CGGAAAACTGGCAAATGTATTATTAGTTTATCTTAATAGTGTTTGTGAAATGGGAGGGTTGTAATAACATTTTAGACATTTGCAACATTTAATATTATTGAATAATTCGAGTACTTAACCGATACTTCTAAAATTAATCTAGTACTTTCTCAGCTCCTTTTTCACCGTAAGACGAGAATAACAAATCTTTCTGACTTTTTTCATTATCATTTTTGTGCATTATTTTGGTTAATATTTTAGGTATGTTTAACTTAACTACTTTATTATATTTTCATTACAATTATGTGTTTTTTTAAATAATTTTACGATCCATTATTAACATACATATTTCAATGACCATAAAAAACAGTTCGGACACTTTTACATACTTCCCTGTTACGACCAATATTGTAGTCACGTTCATAACCGTAGAACCTTGTGACCGTTGGGTAAATACCAGTTTTTCGAATGTCTGTAAGTGATAATCATGTGTGTAAAACCAAAAAATATGGATAAATTCGCTAGGTAATAATACTTGATTAGGCAAATAAAAAACCGAATGTGTTATGTGACTAATAGAAGAGCACATTCTTATACTTAAGTGGACTCTATCCACGCGTACTTAATATTTTGTGATGTGGTAACATGGTTTGCGCGATTAATCACTCTAGAGGCTGTGATAATACTACATTCACCAAATGTTCATAGAAAGATGAAGGATAATATTATCTATGCTTAAGAGTGGTAATTTTTTAATAGATCCAAATTTTGTTTATATTCGTTTTTCTCTCTCTTACGTTTAACATCCGTTATTCCCACCGATCGAGCCTTAGACGGTTTAGATTTGGCATTTTTTTATATAAAAATTACTGTAATAGCTCGACCATAATATTATAACCATGAAAAAATTATCATTACTGTATCAATAGGTACACACTGCGCGGCTTAAATAAAATTAAGATTTTGCGAAAAACTGCCTTTATTATACTCCTTAAAAAATGTGTGGGTACCGTTCTTTTAAGTATAGACGTTCGAGTATGTGATTTAGGTTTCAGTAATAATTAGTATATACCGTGTTTTTATTCCAATGAGTAAAATGTACGTTGTAGGTATACTGTATACCACGCAGACGCTTTTACAGGTCATGAACGGCTACGGTGCGGTGGTGGATTGAAAAAAAAATCACCTTCCTATTTTGGAAACACATAATATACTTATTAGTTATTACACACATATACATTATATATCATCATAACGTTATATTATCTCAGTAGGTACGATGCACATAATATTGTGCTGTACACAGCCACAACCAAACGTGATGTGAGAAAAATTACACTGCGTGTGTTTTGTATGCCTATAATCTATATCATATACTTATCAGCAATTATAGAATTTACAAAATATGCTAAGGATGCTGAGTACAAAAACCGCAATGAGCTTTTTCGACGTTTTCCTGCGATTATCCCGTTACATTAAACAGACGTGACTTTTTGATTTTAGTTACGAATACCCGGTTATTATTAGGGTGTATTAGCTCCCCATTAGTTGTTATTCGATAAGTGTTGTGAACACAACCGTATTATATTAAAGCAGTTAAGAAGACAATATCATACAGCCAATTTACCAACATTAAAACACACCTACGCAGAATGCGTTTTACTCGATCCATGAAGATTTTAGATATAAAATACCTAAAAAAAAAACGAAAGATCACAAGATTTCGGAGACAATATCATATCCTTGTTTGGATAAATCTAAAATTTTGCCTAATATTTAACATTAAAAAAACAGTACTTTGAAGCTGAGCTAATTGACATTGTGTTGACAAACGTAACTTATATTAGGCGAAAAAAATCGCCTTATCGCCATATTGTTGTTATTATTTACGTATTATTATTGTAGCGATTTGTATGAAAAGAGATCTAGTTAATATTAATTATTATGTTAGCTAGTGCTGAGGAGTCCGTCCATGGTTTCAAGGGGTGTCGAACCTTGATACGAAGCCTACGAGTATACGTAAATGTTAAATTTTTTTTTTTATTATTATTATTTATACAATTTATACATAACAAGTTTTATTTTTGATAAAGATGCGTATGGTCTTACTCCTATACATCCTAGATTATAAAACAAATTCGTAGCTTTCTCTTTGAGGAAGCAATTACTGAAATATTTGCACATTTTCAGAAAGTAAATGTTCATAATGAGTCACACCATAAAAGTTTGAGTAAAGTAGTAGGAAAAGTTAGGGGTCAATAATCAATTTTTATTTATGCCTAGAAGGTCAACATTGGGACCAGTATTTTGTGCGACGCAACTAATTTTTAACTTTAAAGTAGAAAAACATTAACTAAAGTTTTTATAGACTTAAAAAAAACACATGACAAATGACTAGACTGGTATTAAAAAATATTCTATTGAAGAAAAGCGTCCTAAAACTGTATACAAATATAAAGAATCGCAAATTTTTTGTTTCCTGTTGTCAAATAATAGTGAGCTTTAATTGTGCTAATGTTATTTAATATGTATCAGAATCAAAATCCAATGAAAAGTCTTTGGTTACAATTTTTCCTAGGTTTTAATATGATTTTAATCATATTGACAAGATAAACATTTTAAGGAAGAACATTACATGACAATATACGAAAATTGATATTCCGTGTATATAAGTTATAATTAATTTGCCATACAACTATAATATTACTACTACTTAGTAAATTCAAGCTGTTGTTATTATTATATAATATTTAACAACTTAATATTAGAGTGAGCATCGTGAAATACTTATTTAAAAGTTAAAACCGATGTCGTGCGGAACAATGCGTGTAGAAGTACTAAAAACATAATATTAATATCTTTGCGCTGTATCACTTTGTTGCCATAAAAATCATTGTTAGCTAACAAAGAGCACAACCTCGTTTAACAAAATTAATTTACTTTCCAAAGGATATTGAAAAATGGCTAACAAGTGACGTTTAAATAAAGGATAATAATATTAGGTATTTAGGTAACTTCATTCTGCTGTACACTGGGTTTCCTTTAGTCATCTTTGAAATTTTGTATTTCATATTTCTTAAGAATAGAACTTAACGCCAAGTCACGTATCACAGACACGTATAAGAGACAAGAACCATGTTGTCAAAATAAACACGCTTCCGTTGGCGAAATAAAAGAGTTTCGAATAATGGATAATAAATAAAAAATGATACAATACCTATAACGTACTTTATGAGGTAATATAGATATTTCTTATGTTGCCATGTTGCAAGCTATAAATTAATAAAGAATTAGGTATGCTTCAATATAAGTGATTTATATAATTAATAAGTAATTTTGTTTTTTAAGCTAATAAAATTAATAGTAAATTAAAAATAATACAATTAGGTGCATAAGTTATCTTACAGATTAGGTAATAAAATATAATATTTTAGAACTCATTGAATAACTTGAAGAATATTTTCTCGATAATTAATTATGATTTTTTTAGTTTGACGATATGTAATAAATAATAATTTTATAATCACTGGGGACTTGCAAGATTGATTTATTTGTATGTTTAATTTTGTTTTTAAACGATGCTTGTCTTTACAAAATATGATTCATTTAACTAAAAGTTCAATTGCACAAATTTTCAAGAATTTGAGTTATAAAGTATTTTTTTTAAAGAACTGATACATTTTTATTTTTTGCATATAATAATATTACAATAATATGATATTTGCCACAAGCGGTGGTTTTTATTGATAGGGATTTCAAGTTTTTTTTACAGTTTTTCGATTTTATACTTTTAGTGCGACATGAAAATAATACAAAAATATAATAATGAAGAAGACCAAATAGTAATTAGTACCATATATTTTACATTTTTTTTTAAATTATAAATATTGTAGTTTGTAACTAGTTTTTAAATCACAACCTTAAATAATAGCTTATAAAGTAATTTATTTTAAATGCTATCATCTAGACCACCCCAAACTAAATAGCCCATATTGGTAGATAGACTGATCTAAAGCAAAATATATTACACGCATTGTTTGCTTGGATACCAAACCAATAAGCTTATGAAATGTAGGAATTATAGCGCGTAGCTTTCCTACTAGATTTTGTGTATGCAAATTCCATCGTAAACTATTATCAAAAATGATACCCAATATCGGGTGCTTGTTACTTCTTTAATAGTTTACTATTCCCACCGACACATATATGTATAATTATCGGATTAACATTTGATAACGTTTTATTAAAATACTTCATAAACATTGTTTTATCTCCATTTAGAGTCAAATTTATGTCACGTAGGCATTAATAAACTTTGTTGACACCAACAGTTGCTTTATAATTAACCCATTCCCAAGATTTGACAATGAAAACTATAAGTATGTCATCTGCTTAAAATACAACTAAACCATCAAAATGTAATGTATACAATTTACTATTTACTATTTATATACATATATAGATATATCATAAAAATTAAATCGTTTAAACAAAATTATAAGTATTTGATTATTTTATTAAAGAAATTACATTTCTATGCTTGGTTTTTTATTTCCAACAGGAATTGACAGCGCTATCTATCATCAAACGAACGCTAAAATGTTTATAAAAAAACGCAGTACAAAATGCCTACTTTACGATTTTAATAATAAATAATAATAATTGAAATTAAAAAAAAAAACAGAAAACTATACTACAAAAGATATCATAATTTATTTTTAATCGAATACAATTTTATTTAACAAAAATGCAGAGAAATAATTACTTTTAAAAATACAAACATACATTGAAATTTCCACTAAATTGTAATTATCCACGAAATATAAATAAAACTGTAATACATTTCTCTTAAGAACGAATAATATGTTTCCGAAATTTCTAAAAATGGTTCACTAAAACTGAAAATTAAAAAATATATGCGCGCCATTTATTACCAGGAAAAAGTTACCATTTTATGTAGACACATCAAGTTTACCTGCTGTTACTTTTGATAAGACAATTTTTTTATCATTATTAGTAGTTAATGTTTCGGCCGTTCAGCTCCAATTTCCAATTGATATTCTATATTGTTTTATTACGTTTTTAGAATTAGAATTTAGAACAGTTTTTTACTCTTTTTATACTTTGTACCGTATCAAACACACATAATGGCTCCAGACAAAAATTCATTGATTGCTAAAATCGTTAGCTATAGACCTCCAGCACTTGACCGAAATTCCGCGATAAACTTCTATGCTCCAGCCTTTGGTACATTCAGTTATACGGTTTTATCTATAAATGTGATGAACCCTGGACTATTGCAAAGGTATGACAATTGCTGCACGTTATCTGTATATATATCGAGATCAACTCTACTGAAATGTCTTTTTTTTTTAGAATTGTACCCATGCCCGACCTTACCAACTTGCTGCTACTGAATTCTTGTGTTGGATCGGCTTTGTTCATTTCTGGTCGTCCACATTTAAGTGAATCACCTTTGAAATTGCGTGTTCTCTACAGGTAAAAAGTGTATGTTTTTTAATAATAACGGAAATTAATTTACTAATTTTGATTTTCAGTGCATACGGATCGATCATTTTCAATTTGGGATCAGTGCTGACATGGGCTATAGTACGCAGTTTGCTACCAAACAACTCTGTTTTGGTTACGCTGGTTGGCCTAGCTTCTGGATGTGTTCTTACATGCTGTGGTAAAGCTTATTTAAATCTTAATGACGAAAATGTAAAAAAAAATAAAAAGTAAGCCTACTTACACTTTTAGAAATGTTGGAAGTAATAGTATGTTGTGTGTAGAAAATAAATTCCAATTTTGTACTATACCTATTTAAATATATTTTCATTTTTTATTCGGTGGTATATAATAAATAAATTCCTTGAAACATAATCCGTAATCATTTTATTAGTAGTGTTACTTGTCATATTTGAATATATATTAAAAATACTTATCTTTTAAAATTTTAAAAATGTACGGGTTATTTTTAATTTCTATTCTCGTCATATTCTATCTATTCTTATACATTATTTATTCCCCAAAAATGATGCTTGTCAAGATTTTTCCCCTAATTCATAAAATATTTATTTCCAAACTGGAATAGGATTTTTTTTATAGTAAAATTGTCCATAAACTATGTTTTAAACAAATTTATTTCATAACTAATTAAGACATTTTCAGTAGATATCATTAAATGTAGAGTCAAATAAACTAACTAATTACATTTCAATTAATTAATTATATTATTATAATTAAATTATTGTGTATGACATAATATATTATATTAGACAAAAAACAATGATCAATGTATACTTGAAAATATGCTTGTGTAACTTTTATTTAAGATAGAAACAAAATTATCTACTGTAATGTAATTATTTCATTTTTTTGTTCTATACTGTAATACAATTTTTTTTATATATCTTATTGTTATTATCACTTATTTTTTATATGTACCATCTATTATGCACCTACTGCACTTTAAAAATTCATGAAAATCTTGAATAATATAATAATAATAAATAATAATAATAATAATATAATCATTATAAAATGATGGCTATTAGTTTTCAATAGGTTATATACTAAAGTCTGGGAATATTGTATATACCCTGTAAGTTAAACTATATAACCTATTTTACTTATTAACTAGCACTAGCCTGACTATCCTAGTATAAAACAAATAAAGTTGTTTTTTAATCTACTATTATTAATAATTTATTAACAATTCTATAATTGTTTAATTGGTTAAATATAAATGGCGTAATCAAACAAATATTATACATTGGAAATATATTAAAAATAAAAGTAGTTTATATTCTATCAATGCAATGTAAAGTTCAATTGTTCCATTTTTAAATAATTGCTTTCTGTTTACATTGTCAAAACTTTGTAATAATTTAAATGTTTTTGTTTATACCTATATATGTCATTGACTATGTTGTGGTATTTAAAATAAAAAGCACAAATAAAAGATAATTATTTTACTATTAGTTTTTTCTTGAGTAGTATTAAGGTAGCGTCATCACTCACATATTATGCTGTTAAGCTAACAAAAATGTGTTTGATCTATGTACAAGCGCAAAAAAACTGTTACCATTACGACACAAATCTTCTAAAAATTTTAATCAAATTGAAAATATTGTATTTTGTTTTACCAATATTGTTTATAAAATAGATTAAAATACTTCCGAACCTATTAATATACAAAATATAAATGTTATTTAAATCAATATTAAAAGTTTTGTAAATTGTATACTAAAATTCTACAAAACTTTTATCATTTAAACACAACTCTATATCGACGCGTCTTACGAAAAGTACCACCCTTCAAGTTCTTACAAAAACTAGCACTGTTGGCACCAAGGCTTGAACAGTGCTAGTCTTCATAAGAACTTGAACGGTGCTACTTTTCATAAGATTCTGTGAACAGTGATTGTCTCCGTAAGAAGTCACGAATGGTGCTACTTTACGTATGACGCGTCAATATATAAAATAAAATGTTCTTACTGACTGATTCATCATCACCTAGACGGAACTACTGAAGCTATGAGTATGAAATTTAGTTAGTAGTTTCGTTTTATGACGAAGAGACCCACTAAGAAAGGATTTTCCAAAATTCATCCCCTAAAGAAGTAAAAATGAAAAACGTGAATCAAATTAATTTTACTTAAGTTTTACATTAAAGTTATATGAAAAATATTAAACTAATAATTTCTACTCAAAAATTCAACTAAGCTATGTTAATATGCAGGGTATAAATGTAAAAAAGAGAAAATTTAACAAAAAAATATACATATTTAGTCTCAATCTGTATGTATGTGATTTTGTTAACTGGGTAATGAAAAAACTTAATTTGACTCTCCAAAAAACGAATATGTATTTTTTTCAAACAATAAAATTATTTTTAGTAAGCAAGAATAAATGAATTGTCAAATTTTAAAAATATATTGTAAAATTATACAGGTATGCCTAACATTTTTAATCAGTTTCGGTGAAGGCAATGTAATCTTAATTGAGATCTAGTATTGTTTATATATTATAATATTGATAATGATATTATATTATCATGTATATTAATTTAATTTCTTTTTCTTTTTTGTGAACAATCCAATGGAACTTTTTTATACTACTATACCTAAAATATATTCGTCTTAAGCTGAATATAATTTACTTACATTCATTTTAATTTTCTGATAAGTTAGAAAGCAATGTTTATAATTTAGTAAATTATAAAACAAATGTAATTGCTTAGTAATTAAATACGGATTATAGATTCAAATATATATATTTGTCGAGCAAAAACCATTATGCTAAATATTCATAATAATAATGCGTATGCCTTATTAACATCATTAGTAGTATCGATATCAAAAAAAGGGACACACAGGTCGCATGTAGGCTGAGGCCCATGGGCTGTGGTTCGTTAAAATAATTTTGATGCGGCATCTCGCGCCAATACGAAATTCTTTTCAAAGACGTTGTAAACTTCGGCGGCGGGATGACAATAGACTTCATAAAATGTCTATAGACTAGACGGTTTTTAATGTTTATTGTTCAGAGCGGCAGTAGTCTAACAGCATAGAATGGATTTAATTTAAATTTTGTGCTGTTAGCATAGGCCATAGTCGCAGCCGAGATGACAGCTGGGTTATGTACACCAGGTTATTGCATATCACCAATTTACCAATTCACAAAATGACATCGCAAGAGGATATCAATGTTTTTCAATAGACCTAATATTACACGTAATATCTACTATTATTATAAAGTATAAATTAATTTGATTGCACAGATAATAGATAATATAATATTCATATTTATTATAATTATAATACGATAATTATAATAAATGTTTGATTTGCTTATTTTGCGCAGCCATTTTGTTTTTTATCATAAAAAAAATTCGATGGGCCAGGGAAGCAATGCAATAACCTAGTATATTTAAGCCACGGGTTATACTTAACTATAACCGGGATATCAGCTGTTTGTGATCGTTCCAAGGTCTTCTTACCGCGCACCGACATCCCCACCATCTACCGCACCCAGACCTTTACCATGTTATTTAACGACCAACCTATAGGTTCATCTGATATTATATTATTTTCCCTATGGTTTTTTATTTTCCTAGTGCGTGCGCCGTGCGTGTTTGAGTATATAGATATATATATATGTATATTATTTGATTACGATTGCTCACATCGAATGCTTTGTGCACTGTAATTCGTAATAATATGGTGTTGTTCCCAGCGCCTTAGCAAACGTTCAACTGTCAACGATCGTCGATTCTGTGTCTACAATCGGTGTCCACTGTCCAGGCACCGCCGCCGTAAGCCGTTGTACACTCACGCACATTATATTATATCAAAACATCGTAAGTAAGCGGTCTTCGCTTCCCATGCGCGCGCTCCCGCTTTTATATTTCCTTAACCTTAAATACACATGTACAGGTAAATGTCAACCCTTCGCAAGGGTTTTGGCAGAAAGCGCGGGCGCCGTGGTATGATATACTGTTTTTGTGCTACCAGATCAATTTTAAATTTTATGTTGATAATCCTCAGGTCAGTACCATGTCGAACTCGCATAGAATGCGTTACAAAAACGAAGGCGTTGACTCCAAGGAGTTACGCCGACGGCGCGAAGAAGAAGGCATACAGTTGCGCAAGCAAAAGCGAGATATTCAGCTTTTTAAGAGACGCAACATCAATGACGGTATTGAGAACGATGATCTCGATGTAAGTAAAAATTGTCTGTTGTTCATTGGTTCTTTTGCGTTTATTGTGGTCAAGGTATAATTTGAATGTTTCTATAGATTTCTGTATTTTAAACTTGTTTTTCTATATTTTGTTCTAGTTACCTACTGAATTTTTTATTTTATTGTTTTAATATTTATTACATTCCATTCTTTATTTACCAATGTTTTTAAACTATTGTTTTATCATTGTGATGATAACCAAAATATAGATAAATTTACAAAATGTAATTTTAATGTAAAATAAACTGGCGCTGTTTATATTTGTTCTATTTCTATTTACCGTGACTAAATAAATAAGCATGATCTAAATACTACAAATATCTTTACACTTGCCTCAGTCATGTTATAATGAGAAATAAGCATTTAGCACTATAATACTTCTTTTTTTAATTCTGGGGATGAATTATCTTGCATAATATTATCTAACGATCATAACTGTTTATTAATCATATTAAGTATTTTATTGTTATTATTTTATAGTCTGCTGTACCAAATATTGTGTCAGAAGCATGCAATATCAATGATGAACTAATTAAACATTTATATAGTAACAATGAGGAAGATCAACTAAAGGCAACACAAAAGTTCAGAAAGTTATTGTCATCGGAACCCAATCCGCCTATTGATGCGGTCATTGGTACTGGTATTATCCCTCGGTTTGTTGAATTTTTGAAAAATACTACAAACAGTCAACTTCAAGTATGTTCTATCAAAAATGTATTTTTAGTATAAAACTCCAATTTAATTTTTATTTTATAGTTTGAAGCAGCATGGGCACTGACAAATATCGCTTCTGGAACATCAGAACAAACCCGAAAAGTAATGGAAGCTGATGCCGTGCCCGTTTTTATATTCTTATTGGAATCGTCCCATGAAGATGTACAAGAACAAGCCGTTTGGGCTTTGGGTAATATTGCTGGTGATTCCCCAATGTGTCGTGATTATGTTTTAAGCATGAACATAATGAAGCCATTATTACAGTAATTATTACAAATAATTTGTCCTTAACAATATTATATTTTAATTTTTGCTTATGACACCTCAATAATTATATGCATTTATGATATATTGAATATATTAATATATATTCAATTATAAATATTAATCATGTGTACAAATTTAATTAAGACATCATAAATTATATATGGGTGTGCATAGTATGAATGAATTCATATATATTTTTTGATTAATTTAGGCGTTGGCGAAAAAAATCTTTTTACATAAATATTATTATACATAATTTATACACTGATCCAAAAGAATATACGCAGAAACCAAAATGCATTACTCCCAGCGGCACTGGCACAGCCAAAAGTAATACGTTTTAGTTCTGCGCTGGTATATTCTCTTTTAGAACAGAGTATAATGTATTTAAAAGTTAATTTTGAAAATGTCACTATAAAACCAGCTCTCAATTGACTGGTAGTACAGGTCACAGATTATTATCAATTATCAGTACCTAGTTAAATAAACAGGCTACAATGTGCTCTAGACTCAATTATATAAAATTAACATGAATATAATACTACTTTTTTAGAAGATATTAAATATCTCTTTTTTAATTCCAGTCTTAAGGTTTATATTTTATGTCTAGAGCGATCACTAAAAAGATGCTCATTTATATTTAATGACAAAAGAACACATTTTTCTTTTTAAAAATTAAAGCATTCACTTTTTTTTTTTTTATCCATTTAGTAAACCTTCAAACATGCAAATGTTATATTTAATAGGTAATAAAATATAGATAATACAAAAAATATCTTAAAGGCAGTTTCATTTTTTTTTTTTTTTTATGTAAATGAACAAGTCAAATTTCATTCACATTCAACAAAAAACTGAACCTTTTTGAGTAACCTCAGATAAAAGGACAAGTTCAATTTAGAACATATTTTTTCTTAGCACTATTTTATAAATGAAAGCTAATGAATTATTTTATATTTTTTCAGACTTCTACGGAATTGTTCACGTTTGTCAATGACTCGTAACTCAGTTTGGGCTCTATCTAACTTGTGTCGTGGTAAATCTCCACCTCCAGATTTTAATATGGTATCGCCTGCTTTGCCTGTTTTGGCTGAATTGCTGACACATTCTGATGCTGATGTATTAGCTGATACGTGTTGGGCTTTATCTTATTTATCTGATGGCCCAAATGAAAAAATTCAGGCGGTTATCGATGCTGGAGTTTGCCCAACTCTAGTTGAATTACTTATGTAAGTTTGATATTATTGATCAAGAAAAAACATCGGCAATACTTGGTGGTTTATTTTTAATAAAACCCCTTAACCACAAAAAATAATACACTTAGCGTATAACTAAAAAGTTCTCAGTCTGTTGTGAGCGTTGATGTTGCATAACATGGCTAACAAAATACACATATACGCTAGTGTATTATTTTTTTGTAGTTAAGGGTTTTTAAATATTTTGTTATTCTAGACTTTACTAATAATATTAATACTTGCGAGCTTCTCAAAGTGCTAATTAATTATTCCTTAGGTGTACGCAGAATAATGTTGTTTCCGCTGCCTTACGAGCTGTTGGCAATATTGTAACTGGTGATGATGCCCAAACACAAGTAGTGTTAAACTGTTCAGTACTACCATGTCTACTCAGCCTATTGGGTTCGCCAAAAGAAACTATTAGGAAGGAAGCCTGTTGGACAATTTCGAATATTACAGCTGGAAATAAAAACCAAATACAAGTAAAAGATTATAAGTATACAGGGTGATTCATTAAATATAAGACACTATTTTTTTCTTGAAATAATTACTATTTTGTAGTTTTTTAGAGATACTATAGTTCATGTTTTTACATTTTAAAATATTAAAAAATATTTATCTTTTTAACTTTTTTCCAGAGCGTTTTCAACTTTTAGGAACGTATGTTTTTTATTAACTTTTTAGATAAAGAATAATTTGCTGAACATGTTGACTAGTCAACCAGTTTTGGATAATTACTTTTAAAGATATCACAAAGTATTATTTTTTATCTGCACGCATTACTTTATCACTTTCCACCACCAGTCCTACATTTTAAACTTTAATAACTTAGTGTAACTATACTATACTAAACTGGTTATCAACCAGTCAAAATTTTCAGCAAATTATTCTAAATCATGAAAGCTAAATAAATGTACACGTTACCATTTAAATTTTAAAAAATGATAGAGCTCTGGAAATAAAGTAAAAAAGATAAAAATGTAGTAGTTTTTTTAATATTGTGAAATAAAAATTAAAATGTTATAAAAAATAAATTAATTTTAATTTTCAAATATTTTAAAAGAAAATGAGTGTCTAATACTTTATGAATTACATAATATAACATACAAAACAATATACATTTGTATATGCTTACTTTAAATAGGCTGTGTTGAATGCAAATATTTTCCCCACACTAATTCATATAATGGGCACAGCCGAGTTCAAAACTAGAAAAGAAGCAGGCTGGGCTATAACAAATGCTACATCTGGTGGAACGCAAGAACAAATACAATATTTGGTCGAAAATGTATGCTTAATTATTTTTATTTTTCTCAGATTGATTACGATTTTTATATTCCACCTTTTTTTTTATTTTAACAGAAATGTATTCCTCCATTATGTGATTTGCTGACTGTGACGGATGTTAAAATAATCCAAGTAGCATTAAATGGGTTAGAAAACATTTTAAAACTCGGAGAACAGTTATCTAAACAAACAGGTACCGTTAACCAATATGCCGTGCTCCTGGAAGAATGCTACGGATTAGATAAAATAGAGTTCCTGCAATCTCATGAAAATATTGAAATCTATCAAAAGGCGTTTGGCATCATTGAACGCTACTTTGGTTCAGATGAAGACGATCCTCGAGTTGCGCCATCTGTACAAGAATCTGCTGAACAGTTTGATTTTAGAGATCAGAGTGTTCCTATGGCTAGATTTGAATTTTAACCGTTGCAGGAATTATGATTTGAAAATTATTTTTTTCTTTTTGTTTTGTTGTCCTTGATTACGCATCAAAAATTATACAAAACGTAAAACAGATATTTTGTATCTTTAAAAAAAAATTGTGACTGATCATACTCAACTACTGGCATATTTCTTTAAAAATAACGAAATATAAATAAGAACATCTTAGTAAAAGATTTTTTTTTTCGACTAGTGATTTTACAATTTTCTTTATTTTTAACTAGCAAATATTTGCTCGGTGATTTAAAATCTTACCATTTCAATATCAATAAACTTATGTTTTTAGTAATATTGTGTAATATTGATGTACAATCACCACATTGTGTGAAAACTTCAATTTACAATATTGTAATAAAATATAAAACAATTTTTATATTGTACCTAATTTGATGAGTTGTAAGTAATCAGTTTTTTTTTTTATGAAATTGTAATATTATCATTATGAATATTAAAAAATTATTGTATTGCCTTACTACTTGATGGATTTTTTTTCCAAATTGGCTACATGGCAACACTGTTCTTGACAGCAGGTATTGTAGACACCCCCTTGTAAAGCAAAGCACAAAGTGGCGCTCACTTATTTCAAAACTCTTGAGGATAATTCAAGTGTCGAATCTTTGTTAAAAAAAAGATGTACATTTAAATATAATATCTCGTTATCAAGACTGGTTCAGATCAAGAGATGTTCATTACAATGCGAACAGTATGTTCACTAGTTATTTGTAAGTATATCAAATATTATGTTAAAGTCAAATCATTTAAAACTTAAAAGTAACTATGATTAAGGTTAAAAATTCATTTTGAGACATTGGACATTTCTAATGGATTAAACTATTGATTTTATAATACATTGTATTATAAAAATACATGTATGCTCTTGCCAGCTAAAACATTAATTATGCATTGATAATCATTTAATTTTATACAGCTTGCCTACAAGTGTGATAAATGTTTTGTAGCTCAAGTTAAGAATAAGTTTTTTAGTTATTACTCAGTACTATTAATGGGGTATAGTTATAATGAAATCTAAACGTCCAGGACAGTAGGACTTATAATATCAAGATTTACAAAAATACGGTAGATGCTTCTATTTTTAACTCTTAAAAAAGTCAATATTAATAAACAAATGACTAAATAGAAATATAGTACAAAAAAATGTGTTAACAACACTGATCTAGAAAATTTTATCTCGAATTTTATAAAAAAAAAAGTACTCTGTTTGGATTTTTTGAAAACTTTTTCATTTGAACATTTTCAGACTATAAAAATAATCGCCCCTATAGTAGTACTCGTTACTTTTACACAAAATAATTTAAGTTAAAACTATTTCAATTTGTTATGAGTATTATTTTTCCGAAGGGCCTTGACTATTCGCTATAATATAACTTCAGTTTTTTTTAATGCTAATTGTATTGATTCAAATCTGTGATTTTTGGCTAATTCTGTTTATTTCTTACACTCATTTTAATTTTAAAAAAGCAATGAATTTGAGGACTTGCTACCGTTTGATCAAATAGTTTTGATTGTACGTCTTGCGTTTGTACAGTACTTAAAAAAAAAACGATAACTTATAAGAGTATTTTTGTATACAACTGTCTGACCACTCCGGGAGGTTTGAAATTTTCACAATTGATCGAAGCTCACCACCCGTCGTGGTGTGCCATGTTTTAGTATAATTTGTCATTGGGATTTTGACGTACAAAAAAAAATAATTGTCAAAATGCAATTACAACTGTACTACTCTATTCCAAACAAAGTGGCATATTATACAAAAGCCAAACTTACATGTCTTGTAAGATACTACCTACTTACTTACTTAGAGGCCTCAATTTTTATACTGTAGACGTGCCAATAAGACTGGCCACTGAAGGAAAATCTATAACGAGTACATTACCTACTTAATACTAGGGAACCTTTATGGTAACTGAAAGTACAAAATGTCATATAAATACTAAAAAACCATGTTACTTTTCAGAATTTATTGATCAAAAGGATTTCAATTTTTTTTTTATGGGTATGAAGGACAGTTTTATAATTTTGTTTTTAAATTGGTATAAAAATGTTTACTTCTTAGCTTCGTATAAAAGCTAAAATCGAACTCTAAGCAAGTAAGCCTCAAAGAAAATCCGTAGCCTTCACAAACTAATTATTTATTTAATAACCTGTTTAGTATTCGCAATAGCCAATAACACAGAAAAAGAAACTTAAATTAGTTGGCATGTATAAAATGCCACTAAATATTACCTTTAGTTTAACCTTTAATAGTAGCATTACTGAACCGTTTTCTAACCGTAGGTTAGATTTAAGAAAGACTGGCCAAATGTACGTGATTGAACAAAAAATTGGTGTCGAATATAAATATTCGATTTGATTATTGTATTTTAATTAATAGGTCTTACTCAATGATATTAGGTTGTCTACTTAGTCCAAAATAAAATACGAAAACTAAGGAGCCTATTATATTATATGATAACTAGATACGAATTGATTATTTGGTCCTTTTGCTCATGTTTGGCCCACAGCGAAAGTGGTTTTAATTTAGTGGTTTTCTTTTCTTTTTTTATTGTTTACTGTTTAGTATACATAATATCTCTCACCTCGACTTTTGTTCACCTATTTTAAAAACGTCTACGGCGTTTATATTACTTCTATCAATTTAACTTTGATGGAGTTACGACACAGTACTTCCTCGCGGGCCATTTCCGCAAATTGGGCGTTGTCCTGCGGACTCGTGCCCATAACACTTAAAAGAAAAGCAAGGGCGCACATTATTGTAATGATGGCTAGTACCACCGCCCGTCCGTCCTCGATGATTTTTCGTCGGTTTGCGTTCCTATTATTATTATTTGCTAATAAAAAATATTTTTCACCGAGGGTGGGTCTTGTTGAAACTTCTTTAATTCTAAACTACATACATTTACATGAATACATTATCACAGGACATAGCTGTTGTTCGTGTTTGAGAAATCGCACCTACAAAAATGTAAACCGCTAATTTTTCTTTTGTATTTTTTCTATGTGATGTCGAGTGGGTATGTTTTTTACAATAACTATATTCCAGAATTCCATCTTAAGTATCCTGACAAACATAAACAACTAAATATAATTATTATTGTTTATTGACTAGTATGGTTTTCAACCTTTCAGGATATCATAACTAGGTACACGGGTATACATTTATACGCTACAAAAATCCCGTTGACTCCAAAAGCCGCACACTTGTGATAAAATATAGGACAAAACCGCACACATTTTAAAATTGCTGTTTCCAAAAAACCGCACATTTTATAATGATGAATAAACTATTATTTATATATTTATTCAAAAAAACATTTTTAGGTACAATTTATATGTTGAAAAATTTTAAATATAAAATTAAAAAAAAAATCCATAGATGTAACGCACTAGTATAATATATTATAATAATAATTTCAAACAAATAAATATTGTAAGATATTCGTAATTATTATAGTTATGAAATATTTTTTATTTCTTCAGTTATTTGAATCCACTTATTGTTAATTCATTCAGATAATTGTTCATTGAAATAATATCTCAAATATATGTTTATAAATGTAAACCTCATTGTTTAAGTATTTAACACAAAGTTAACGATTAATGTATCTTTACATAGGTACTGATAAATATAAAATTTAAAGGGACACTGAATCCATTAGTTGTGTAAGGTGTTATGGCAATCGCTATTGTTAACATTGCTGTTGACTGTTGTGGTGCGTTGGTTTTTTTTTATTGCAATTTTTAGTCAACTTTTCTTTGAAAATGGGGTGGGGAAAAAATAAGCGCTTTGCATTTGGTAAAATAATTTTTTTAGTTGACCTAAAATACAAGAAACGCGCATTGAGTTCGACGTGTCCAACGAATTTTGAAATGTCAACACATGTATTCATGTATCGTATAACCGCGCAACCTTTAATGAAACAATGAGCGTCCTTTGGGAGACTTTAAATGTCATTTGAAAATTGGGTCAATACAATACTATTACCACACTAGTCGGCTTTGAAGTATGTACAGTAAATTAGAAAAAGGAAAAAAATCGTATTTTTTTTTATTATTATTTATTATCCTTAACTTTTGTTATAGAACGTGAATATAATTATTCGAACAAATAAGATTTTTCGCTTGTAATCCCAAGTCGCCGCTATTGCCGTCGCATGTCTTAACTCTCAAGGGATCCGCTGAATAATACCTAAAAGCTATAACAAAAGAGTGTACTTGATTTCATTATGTCTGACAAAATTTACCCAATCGTGTATTGATGAGTACGCCATGTACCTACACTTGCACATCCCTGATCCCACGAGAAATCGCACATTTCGTTTTTAATATAACACATTTTGATAACCCATACAAACTTTATGGGCTGAGAACAAGCTGGCAAAAATTAGAACCCTGGCAATTTGTAATTGCATTGTCTCATATTTGATTATTTATTAATTATCAATTATAAAAGTCATAGCATGTTGTTTTCTATTTACCTAACACAACTCATTATATCTGAATCTTAGACAGAAGCTTGTGATTATAACCTAACACATTTATTAGAAAACAAAATAATTTACAACTGGGGTCTAAGCCCAGAGATCTCTACCATAGTATAAAATATCTGTTGATGAAAACTGAATTTCTTATGACTCAATTCCTAGGTGTGCAAGTAGTATAAACAAGGTTTTTATAATAATATTTTACTAGCATTACTAAAGACGATTGCGTAATGCGATATTGTTTTGAAAGTATAACTCACTATTCAAATATCATAGTTCTTAATAATATAATAATATTATTTTAATCATAACAGAAATTCAGAGCAAAACTAATAATAATAAACTATGCACTAGCATAATAATAAACATAAGAATCAATATAACTACAAATGCCAAAAACTATACTAACTTGTTGGTAATTATTACCTGGATAGCTAAATTGTAAATAAGAAATATCAAAACTTAATAATTTAAAAACCGTTTAGTTTAATTTGTTTTATAATTATAAGTGTAAGGTTGGTTAATACTTTTTAATCTACCCTGAACAGAATGATACATGTTTAATAATTAATAATGAATGCAAGTAATTAATTGTGTTTAACAGTAGATACCAGTCTTGATTGCAAGAAGAAAATAGCATGTTTTAGAATTAAGCATCAGTTAATGTAGGTAGTAGTTAATTTATAATGATTAATATTAATATACGCAAATAAAAGTCAAGAATAACGTTGTCGGTAACGTTTGCGCCTTTACAATTACTTTTAAGAGTATTTCAATATATATTTTTTATAAAATTAATCATTTAAAATATCATCTGATTTCTTAGTTAAATTTATTTGTAGACAGGATTGCTATCGCAATGAATTAGGTTTCTATTGCAACAACTCTAATTATGAATTTATGATTTACGAACAATGAACCTATTTAGTTTACCTATATAAAATCAGCTATCAAGGATTTTTCCTCCGCATTAGTACAAAAAAAAACTTAGGCATAATTTTTCCGGGTAACCTGGCTTTTCACAATCGCATTGAGAGTGTCTGCACTCTACTGTAAAACACATAACGTACTGGTTATAATCAAGCGCATTGCGTCTAAATTTAAATTTAGTATTTCGCTAAAGACCATTTAAATATTGTTAATAATGAAGTCCACATTGGGACCCATTTACTACGGCGGATTCGAGCCTGATCGAAAGAGTATTTAGAATATTTTCTTTATTAGCGGGTTCTGCTAGGGACAAACTTTACCCATCAGCCACCTCACGATTACTTACCAGTACAAGATCGCCTTGGTCTATATACGCTTTGAGATGGACGTGTCAAATCAGAACATTCCTTTTTTCTGAAAAATGAATTTAATTCATTAAAATATTTTTTATAAAAAATGAATATTAATTAAAATAATTAATTGTTTAGTGTGTTCTGTATTTAAACATTCGTACCTTAAGTTTTTTTATAAATAAAAATAAACTATTAATGAGTTTAATGATTGTATTTTTTTAAATTATAATTATTACAATTAGTTAAAATAATAAATGCAATGGACCTAACGCAGTGGATGAAATAACAGGATTAAATCAGAATTTCGAATATTAATGGAGGAAAGAAATAAATCTTATCAAATAATGCTCATTTAAGAGCTAATTTGTATTCATTTTAAATGATTGAACTTTAAAAGACCATGGTCACTGTTGGATATTACTCAGATAATTTTGTTTATACTCCTGTCACGTGTGTAATTAAAATATAAATAGAAAATTTAATCAAACCACAAAATAATTTATTTAAATACTTGTTGCTTTTGAAATTAAACGCTATTGTTTATTTTTAGTTATCTTATGCACTTGGTCGTACGGCCATAGCGGAAGTGCAAACGAAAAAATAATGGGACGAAAGTTGTGTCCACCAATGGCAAACGTGCCGCAGCCCGTCAACCGTGTAAACACATCAAAGATCCTCGAACAGTATGACAAAATATTACCATAATTATGTCTTACAAATTATTGAGGGTTTATAATATGGTTAGTTATAAATATTTAAATATTGCATTATAGGCTGAGATATGAAATGAAACGGATAAATGCTTTTCATGGATCCCCTATCGATGGATACATTATACCAGATACAGACGAACATCAAGTAAATATGTGTTACGAAAATTCTTAATGACCAAAACGTTTCTTTAGGTTTGATGTGTATGCACCTAAGTTCAAATTTTATATTTTACCATTATCTGTTTTCAATTAGTATGAATGAAATAATAAATACTATACGGTGTACAGTCTGAGAGTATAATATTGTGGTTTTGGTGAGTTCTATACCTAATTACATGTTTGAGAATAATTTAGTGTTGGGAAGCAAAGCTAGTATAATCAGTAATGTAGATGAATACTTAAAAGAAAAGATCAGAAAATGATAGTGATGATGACATTTTTACCTTTAAAATAAGGCATTGACGAGCTATGAGCTATAATGCATGAGATGGATGATTGATAGGTATAAGTTTAACATTAAAAAAGACACAAAACAATTGAAAACAAATTAATTAACTGACCCCAAAAAGCTATTAGATAAATTATGGGAAAGAATTTACTTACATTCTTGGGCATTGTGATGAATAAATTGTGTATTTATAATGTATTTTTTCTAATTCGTAAAAAAAATTATATATTTTTGTTTGTTTGGTCCTAATAAGAACGAAGAAGTGGCCGATCACGACAAAAGACTGAAATACATTTCCGGATTTAGCGGTTTGGGCGGCGTAGCGTTGGTAACGCAAACGAAAGCGATTTTCTGGACTGTTTGGATGTACCATCAACAGGCCGACGAAGAGTTGTCTTGTGACTGGCAACTTTTAGTTCACGGAGAATCGGTATGCGATTTCAATAGTTGTTAAACGTGTTATGGTAGTCGATAACAACAGTAATTACAGTAACTTACTTTGATCGTTTCGCAGTTGAGATTGGACGAATGGATATTGGATGAGTTCAAGCCGAATTCGAGAATAGGCGCAGACCTGAAACTAATATCCAACGGCGATTGGGAATTTATGTATAGGACTCTAGCAAATGCTTCCATTAATCTTGTGCCAATCAATAACAATTTGATTGACTTAATCTGGGTAGACAACCGGCCAAACTATCCAGCGCACGAGGCATTCGTTTGGCCTCTGGAATACGCTGGTACGTATGGTACATGTAGATTATAAGATACGACTGCAGAAAAAAATCTCTATTAACAGTACATTTCTGCAGATGTATTTAAGTTCTACGCCTTATACTATCCATTTGGGTCCCGAAATCCATGTTTTCTTTTAGATATCTATCGATCAATAATAAAACAATAAATTTACTAAATCATTTTCCTCTGATCTACGGTTAATCAATAATGGAGTCTAAAACTATAATTAGCTCCTTTCGGGACGCACTCTTAATTTCGAAGGTCGGCCAAATTATCATTCTGATCGTTTATTTTGGATGGTACACAGGAAAAAAATGGGACACCAAAGTGGATGACACCAGGGAAAAGCTAGTGGCAATGGGTTTTGACGCTATGATTGTTACGGCTTTGGATGAAATCGCATGGCTCTTGAACATTCGAGGCCATGACATACCGTACGGACCATTCCTCAAATCGTACGTCATCATTAGCAAAGATCAATTGCATCTATATGCCGATTTGTCGAAGTTAAGCTCCGACGTCCGCAAGCATCTACGCACCGAAAATTGCTATTCGGCTCACTGTGTCAGGTTTGTAAACAATCTGCTAAACTAAACCACCTAACCAAAATGATATTGACGACAAAGATTAACCGGTGTAAACTCCACGCGCAGGCTTCACGACTATGATGCTGTGTGGACAGATTTGAGGAGTTTTTCCCAGGTATGGCGCAAAGTTCTAGTGCCCTCGGCCACAGAATTCAACAATGGAGCGAGTAGATGCATTTTCATTTTAGTAAGTATTTCGAAAAAAATCTAAGTTACAAATAATGTCCGTATTTTAATTAAAGTATTAACGAGGCACTTGAACCTTGCTCATAGTTAGTTTGTTCCAGTGACGTGGGTACCTGACCTCCACACCACTGATTACTCTCTTCCTACTTGACTGAATGTATCGTTGGTCATATTACAACTAAAAAGCTTCTAATAAGTCTAGTTTTTTATATCACGCATTTTGTGCTTGGTAGCATAATTATTAATTTCTACTTAATAAGATAAAATAAATTAAATTTCTACATAAAAAATGAATCAAAGGGATCAATAAATATATTTTTTTTCTATAAATTTGTCATCAAAATGAATTATTCATTAAATTCAATAGCAATTAGCACTGTAGCCTATGTTGTTACAGATTAGTGCGGAAAAGCGAAAACAAGGTCCATCGCCAATAATGTATATGATGGCTGAAAAGAACCCTGTGGAAAAAATAGGAATGCGGCTGTCCCACATAAGAGATTCAGCGGCAATGTGTAATATTTTGGCAAAACTCAACGAACAAGTATTTATTTTAATTTCTTCAGTCTTTTTAAGTTACGCATAGTGAAATGTTCTAAGGGCTTGTGACTATGATATCTACTCACAAGTTTTCTTTAAAATTATTTTATACTAATTATATTTTCCTCGCAAGCTGTAATTATTTGTTTTTAATATTTTAACAGTTTAATAACGGGCACCAATTGACAGAGCTGGCTGTGGCAACTATGGTGGACACATATAGACAAGCGCAAAATTATAGTAGAGGAGCAAGCTTCAAGTCGATCGTGGGCTATGGACCTAATGGAGCGATACCGCATTATACACCTTCAACGGCGAGTAGTCTTAAACTAGACCATATGAGCACTCTGGTAATTGATAGCGGAGCTCATTATTGGGGTAAGGTCTTTTATGTGTTAAACTTTTTTATATGCCGTGTCTTTCTTATAGATTTTCATACGAATGGTTAATAATACTTGTTTTATATGTATTTAAAAAAAAATTCACATTTGAATTGTAAATACTAAATAGGTGGGCGTCCGGAAAGCTAAGAATTGCATCCGATCCTTATGGTAACTAAAAAGGTCAATCTAAAATAGTTTCCTTTCAGGCTCAGGTATATATATACTATAATTGCATTCGAAAAATTGTTAAATATTTGGTGATACTAGGTGCATCCCGCTGAAGAATCAGGGGTTCCAAAAACTACCTAAACATGTTTTTGAATTTTTCTTTTTTTAGTGGTTAATTAAACTGATATTATTTTAGCGGGTCGTTGGTTATTATGTATGTAATAACTTTTGACCCAATTTTGTTTATGTACCTACATAATATTTTAGTACCTATACCAAACGAAACATACAGAAATTACGTACCTATAAAAATAAACCCTACACATAATGTTTATTATTTTAGCTAATAGCTATCTATTATATAGGTCAGTCATTTCAAAGGTCAAACGTTTTATAAATGCCAAACATGAAACATGTTAACGAGAATATAATTAATGTAATTAACTAATACTCTAAGTCGGTTTCCAGACGGTACCACGGATGTGACTAGGACCGTCCACTTTGGTCAGCCATCGGCCGAGCAAATCGATGCTTACACCAGGGTGCTGATGGCTTCTATTGACTTGGCTTCGTTCACTTTCCCGCACAGTCTCAGAGTCAATCAGATCGACGTGGTCGCCAGGGCACCTCTATGGGACACCGGTTATGACTACAAACACGGCACTTCTCATGGCATAGGAGTTTTTCTCAAAGTGCACGAACGTAAGTCCAGAAAAAGTAATATAATGTTATCAGACGTGTGTCCACCGCCTTAACACGACTGCCGAATAACAATTTATTTTTATTTTATATGCATTGCTTATTTTATTATTCTTCAAAGTAAAAATTGCTACTTAAATAATTGAATTTTTAAAGGCTTAGCTGCCGTTATTTATTTTGTATTCATTTTATTTTAAAGTGAGCCGTGTGTACTTGCCTACTTGTTTTTCATGTATAGGTATCTATTTATTTGCGGTCCCCGGGGAATAACTAGATAAGTCAATTTTTGTGGAATTGAGATTTCTTGTAAAGAACTATTGACTTTTATACTTACCTGCTTTTAAACAATTTATGTATTTTAACAAGATGCCCCGGGCAAGAGACCCATATCAATTTCACAAAATCGACTTATCTAGTTATTCCCCGGGACCGCAGATATATATGTATAATTAAAAAAATAACTGATGATCTAAAATGTATTCAACTGTAATATGTTGAATAATAATAAAAATTCTTCACCTCTTACTAAATAAAAAAATAAAAAAAATAGAAAGTTTAACGTTATCTAAACGCTATCGCCCTCTCCTGCACAATTGTAATACAATAATGGTATATCATTAACACTTAAAAGTAGTATGTTAATTTCCGAGTTCAATACCCGTATTCGAGTAATAATGGAACGATATCAGATTGGTATACTTAAAGTATTCATTCCCCGTTTCACCATTGCTATAGATACTCTTTTTAGGTAGGTACCTACCATTGTTATACATATGTCATATAATTGAACATAATGTTTTTTTTTATGACGGTTTACACTCAATCTGATTAATTTGTATTTAAATACGATCATAATTATTTTCCATTAATATACTATTCACTGTTCAGTGTTTAACATGGAAATTAGAACGCCTTACACCTTCATAGGTCATTTCAAAAATTGTATGTGTTACATGTCACTCATTAAAAGTCTTCCTCTTATGATAAGCGATATTCTCAGGTGTCCACTACTGTAATAATACGTAGTAATATGAATATAATGCAAATATAGTTGAAAATTTAACTTTTAAGTAATGCATTAACGTCGCATTATTAGCATACTAATATTATTATTAAACATCTATAAATTATAACTCAAACTGATTTGTTTAAAAATAACGTAAATATTATTAACTATTTTCAGCTCCTGTAAACATGTATTATGGACAAAAATCAACCGACGTAGTACTCAAAGAAGGATACTTCATATCGGACGGTACGTATAAACACATGTTCATGACATTACGTATTACATTTTTTTTTCTAAGACAAATTTAAATTAAATATAACGTTATAATAAATTGATAGTAATAGTGGTATATACATATTTTCACAGAGCCCGGCTATTATAAAGAAAACCACTTCGGCGTTCGCTTGGAAACCATATTGGAAGTAATTGCAAAGGTAAGAACAAGTGGGGTTTTATACTTTAAAAATGCGCTTACACGTGAACAATAATTATTCTTAATCGTCAAAAAAACTTGCCTTATATAGAATGAAACAATGGGCAAATTTTTGACTTTTACGCCAATTACCTTGGTACCGTTCGAACCTAAACTCATCAACTATTCCATGCTCAGTCCTAAACAAGTAAGTTTAAACAGATGATAGTCCGAATTAAGTTGATTTCCACTGGTATTTTGTTGTGCGATGAAATCAGATGTAGGAGAAAAGTGATTTGAAAAACATAATATTAAAAAATGTATGAGTATGGATTTTAGAAATGCGTGTAAACATAATATAATGACTTTGTTAGGCCGTACCGGCTAAGTACATGTTTATTGTTTTAGATCCGCTGGTTGAATGAGTACAACGCTAAAATCCGCTTAGAAGTTGGTGCCGAACTACTTAAGCAAGCCGATCATCAGCTTGGCTATGGCTGGATGATGGACCGCACAGTGCAGGTGTCGAGCAGTAGCCGTAGCATAGCGAACTCGTTTTGCTTTGTCGTGCTCGTCGCCCAGATAATTTCTGTCATCGGCCAATAATAATTTACAACAGCTACATTATTAATTAATACCATCGAGCATATAATATCATTCTATAATCCACGATAACATCCAAGTATAAAAAACATTATCCCCCGTTCGCGTTTATTAGATTTCATAATATAGTACAACAAAACCTCTGTATAATGCTATTGACTCTGCGACAATGTAAAGCACCAAAATTACATTGTGTTCGTGATTCAACAATTCAACAAATTTGACTTCCAGCGCTCACATTCCCTAACATTTATTCGATTTAAATTTGTTATCGGTAAACCGATTTACGTACACCACGACAGACAAAATATAATGTTTAGTAGGTTTATTTTATTTTTTACACACAATTATATTTAAGTACTAAAAATAGGTACGGTCGGATGGGGGGGGGAGTCTCTTGGCGGAATTGGTCGCTTAAGTGGTGGCGGTGACGATTCGGCTCAAATATCTTTCTCTGTCGTCTCTCAGTGCTTTGTGTATTCTGGTCAGAGCCTTGTCCGTGGCGTTTTCCTCGTGCTTACATATGTACCTGTGCCGGTTGCTACACTCGGCCCCGCTGTACGCGTACACCTTACTCGCCGGGTTTAACGCCAACCGCAAACATCTACCGGACCCGTTTACTTGGTCTTCCGGCCTATTTGAGTCTTTAGGCACTACAGGACGAGCGCTGTTCGCCCAGATCCACAAAAGTCCCGGGTTCAAACCGCCAGTCCAATAGTCGTATCCTGCGAACAAAAAATCAACAATGTCTCATTGAATCTTAACCAATTTCTCGCCAATCTGCGGTATCTCTATCTCTCCCCTTCCGTTAGTCACCCCGCACACGTACCCCGTAGGTATTTGTCGCTTATCAAAAACGTCAGCACGTCGATCTGTTCTTCTTTGTTGTCGAATTCCAACAGGTTTCCGCCCAAGCTCTTGCACATGGACATGGCCGACTTCCAGTTGTACTGTCGCTCACTAAAGTGATAGCACGTGTGAGAAATGCGCGTGAAGTTGCCCGGGCAAGGATCTGTGTACATTTTACAAAATATTATTCATTTTTTTTAAGTACCCAATTATATGTCTTCTCTCGTAGAAGAAGCAATAACATTTTTTTTGCAATCTAAAAGTTTATAATAACAGCATCCGGGAAAGCGAACTGAATGTGTGAAATTTACAAATAATCAATAGCATAGATTTTAACAAAAAAAACATGATTTGAATTTTAACGAAATTAAAATAAAATACATAAAGAATCAAGAATAGTCAGTTTGACCCATAAAATACGATTTTCTCGGCGCAGTCAAAAAGAACACAGTTTTATTTATTTTTATGAAATAATAGTTTTAGCAAAAACAATTTTAAATGATGTCAATACTATTTTTAAAATCAAAATAGTTATTATTGTTAATATTAATAGACAATAGTTAACGCAATATTGACAGCATAATGCACTATGCTATTGATATTGTATTTGGGTAAATTGTGCTCTTTTAGATAACGCTCGATTTTCTTATAGTATGAAACAGGTATAAATGCTATTTTAAAAAACCATCATCTATTTTTAGGGTAATTACTGAATAAATTAATTTCAGTTGTGAAATAAAAATAGTTAATGACACTATAATTCAACACAGTAAATTATTCAGTATCACCGCCCGATCCATTAAAATAAAACAATTACTTTTTCAACTTTAAAGCAAGCTGCCCGGTGAAACACCTATTTCTCTAGGACCACATGACCAAGTCACCACTGTTACATCAGTCTATACTTAAATAATATCATTAATTATTAATGTATAATCATTGTTAGTAGGTGTTATATTATGTATTATAAACACAATTTTAAACTAACTGTATTACTATTGAAAAATATTAAATATATATATTTAGCTATGTAATCCTCAGTAGATACTTACTACCTTAAATTATTATTATTATTAGAAAATAATTGAATGTATCGTTATTAATTGTAATTAATAATTAGTAAGTAGTTCGGAAAACCGGAATGACAGTAGAACTTAAGTATAGTTAGTATAATAATAGTTATGATACTTGCGAACTATTGAATGACTTAGGCAAAACCACAACCCGCAGTTGGCTGTTGGTTTTGACAAAATAAAATTATCTACAGTTAGAGGTATAAAAAACTATGCTATTTACGGTGGTGTGTTTTGTAGAGCATTCGCGTAGAACTTTCTAAAAATTAAAAAGTAACGACTTGCTGTGTAACCACTTGTTATTGCGATTATCTTATTGTCTAAGTAAAATATTAATAATATTTTAACCATGTAAGTTATACATAATAATTAATATAATACAATAAACGACGTGTTCCTTTCGGTCTATTTGTGAATATTATTATGTTAAAACCGCAACAATATTGTTTACAGCGCCGAGTTCAGAATGTTAAGTACCTACATAAGAAGAAACCGTCGAGCAAACTATCAAAAATCATAATATATTGTAGTTTTTTACTTTCGACTGACGTTTATTTGCTAAAACCACAATTAAATGTGTAATGGAAATTTAAAAAAACAGCGAACCAGTTTAAATATAATTTCATATTGTTATCATTTATGATGTTGAAATAATTACTCATAATAGCCTAACAGGTTTATGCTCTTTAGTTAATTACCAGAGCATTAAATTTATAATCCTTTATGGTCATGTAAAATGTTTAAATATGTCGAAAGATATGATTCTCTGGGAAATTGCCAATCTGTTAACTTGGATCATAGGAGAGAAAACTCGGGTTACCCAAGTCGGAGCCCGAAAATATTTGCAATACACAAACGCACAACCATAATTTAAAACAAAAAATCAGGTCTTGAATTAGGACTTAAATTTATCAATTAACTCGAAACGATGAAGAATATGCAACTAAAATAAAACGAATAGCCTAATTATACCTGTTTCCATGTTTTTTCCATAATTTTATACTATATTAACCAGTGAAAGATTTATGAACAGGCTTCATAGGCTGTTGTCTACAGTAATACCTATTAATATTTATGGGGGAGGCGAATTTTCTTTTTTTTGTTACTTTCTTTTCTCTCTTCAGACATTGGTATAAGTACGAGTAATAAGTGATTTATAGTAAAGCAATATTGTTTTTAGGGAAGGAAAATAGTAAAAACACCTCTATTAACTGATAAGATAATAGAGTAGTAATGTACTACTGGGATAAAAGTGTAATGAAGCATATAGTTTGTTTGAGTTTGGATTCATGTGGAAAAAGGGTTGCGAGGAAATTAAACTAAGAAATTGTCTCCTGCCTAATACTAATTCTAAATAAGGTATAGAATTTTGATAAAAATATAAGAATAATTATTTTAGATACTCAAATCTCGATTTCTAATCACGGACGTTGTACTTTCGGTATAATATGTACATCCGCCTATAAGACATTCAGGTGCGCCAAAATTATGGGTCGCTTACCACTAAAACGCACAACAATGATGAATATATTCTATTATTATATTTATCTGTACCGAGATCTTGGCATTGAAGAGTGAAATCTTCATACATCTCGAGTAGATAAACAGGTTAAGAGTTAAGTTCTAGAATAATTCAAAAAATATTTAAATCGATGTTCCGTTTAAGTTTTAACTTCAAGGCCTAACCATTGCCATCAGCTTTAGATCAATAAAACAGTACAATTAATTTTAAATTAAATTATTTGTCTAGTTTTCTTGAAAGCTTTGATGATGCGAAATTCCTTTAACACAACTTAACCGGGTTCGGGTTACAATTGTAGGTATACATTTAAAAAAAAGATTAAATACAAAAACTATATTTTTATTTATTTTTCATCCCCAGTAAAAGGACCTACGATCTAAGTCTAAATATAAATGTAATTAGGTACGTATGACATGATTTACTATAGTCATGATTTAGCAAGATAAATACTAATGGTAAATATAGATATTTCTATGTAGATATTTCTAGCTTCATGTCTAAGAAAATGAATAAACGAAACGTGTCAAATGTACCGTTTTCAAATTTAAGGGATGCCTACAAACCAGGTGGCCTAAACTCGGCTCTCCTGTCTTTTCTTCCCGATTTTCTTGTGACTATTATTCAGCATTTATAATACCTACAATTCATAACTAACTAACCTTCTCTGTTCGCCGCATTTCCTTCCAGTACGTGTTGAATGAGCTCTTCGGATCGTTTTAACCGTTTATCCATTAAATCCATCCGATGTACTAACTTCTCGATGGCTCCGAGTAAATACATGTCAGTTTCTGAAACCTATTACAAATCGAAACGGACGGTTAGTTTTACTATTTTCGTTAGTCGTTCGTTACACATTAATTTTACCTATGCCCTAATAGTACTTATGTGTTAGTAGGGATTTATTAAGATTTAGATCTTCCCAATTCCGGATTCCCCCTATTTGCATTAATTGGTTCCTGAATTATACCTAAGTATTAACTGTCCAGTACATCTCGAGCCCGGCGGTCAATACGTTTACATAGTCGCCGGTCTCAAGATGTACTGGGCGGTTTGGTAACTCGTGTTGATATATTGTTCAACTGCCAACTCCTCGTTGTTCGTGTTCAGTTAAAATTTAATATTTATCTATTTAAGGTTTTTTTTTTATGTGTGAAAATAGTATATCCCTTTATGGAAAAATAATTGAATTATAAAAATGAGCTTTTTCTGTCGGACTTCCATGAAACAGTATATTGTTTTAAATAATAACGCAACAATTCATCTGGGACGTATAAACCGCGCATAATTAGTTATGTATTATAGTTTATTCACTTCTTTGTTTACATCCACCCTATCGCCTATGGTTGGATTGGGCCTGTTGACCACGTAACCCGTGGGCAGCGCGGAAACCGGTACGTTTATGACGTTGTCCCGAGTGGCTAGGTCCTCGATGGTCGTCAAACGGTGTGCAAAAGTACCTTTTGAAAAAAAATCTATTAAAGTGGTCGGTTACGTGCAAGTACCATGAATCTATAAAAAATAAATATTTTGTATGTTTACCTCGGTTCATTTCGACGCCTCGGGTAAACGCCATAACGACGTAAACACAACATGTAATTTGAACGAACGACATGGTATAGCACGCGAGTACTTGATAAATAAACGTTTAATAATAATTTTGTAATTATGCTGGAAGAGCCGGTGGAAAATAGTCGAAGAACGGTCATGCACCGTGTAAACGTTGGCGTGCACCTGCCGGTGATCCTAGTACGGTACTGAACGTTAGAAAACAATGTCAAGGATCTAAATACGCCGAATGTGTTACCAATAATAAACGATTATTGACCTAAAACCATTGGACCTTAACTTTGGTCGCGTTGGTTCAGTTGCACGGGAAACGCTGGCCAAAACAAACGTGTGGCAGATCCGCCTCACCCCCCTATGTGTTCTGAATTGGTCACTCCCCGAGAAATTCCGGGAAAAAAATCTACACTTAAATTTTAGTAAGAAAACGAAAGCAAATTCAATGCAAATTGTCTTCAGTTTCCATTACCGCGAATGAGAACCACTGACCAAGTGAAAGTTCTAGTAACGTTAAAAAACAAATAGACTGTAAAAAAAATAAAGACATTTATCAGCATGGGGGCACATCCCATGAGTAATAGTTCTGTTGACATCATTAGCAATTACCTCTACGACATATGGGTTTTACCTCATTGCCATTCTGATTCAAAGGTAATACCTAATAACAACAATAATAATAATAACGCATTACAAAATTAAATATACTGTTTATATAAAAAAAAATTACAACTTTACAATATTAATTATAAAATAATAATAATATTACTATCTATTCAACGTAATAATTAATAATAAAGTTAGGTATCATTTTTGGACGGCTAATGTGATTTTGTAAACTGGACGGAATACTTTTATTTATAATAATCATAATCACAACAATAATACAACTCTTAAAATCTAAATAGTTATTATTATAATATATAATACGAAAAAAAATGTTTTAATACCTTGTCAAATTTCCCTAAACCTATAAATAATAGTCTTCATAAATACATTAACAAGTCTAAGAACTTTCTGAAAAGTTACAGTCGCAAGCAGGCAGTGCAAAGTGTAATACAATTAACTCAGAATGAATGACTAAAGGTTAAATAATAATAAAGAATTAAATTTTATATATAAATATTAATGTGTGTGTTCTCTGGGCTAAGAGATCAATTAAGCAAAAATAAATAAAGATTCACGTAATAAATAAATTAGGTACAAAGGGTATCACATAGAAGTTTCTAAAGGCTGGCTGTGGGACCTAGGTGGAGGTGATGGAGCCTGGTCTAAATTGGTTTCCAATACATCAGCGCTGCTGTACACACCACGGCTACTCAAATCCGTCCACATACCCACTGTGGAAGCAAAAGTAGAATTATCTCTAAACCCTATGCACACAAAAACAGTATTAATGTCTGTATGATTTAAAAAGTTAAATTAAAAATTAAGTTACCTTTATTTTTATAAGCTAAATCGTAGTCATTTTCGATGTGTGTGGGGTCGTTTGAATTATGAACTTCATAAAGATCACTTGGTTCATATTCATCGACCGATGAATTAAACTGTGATTTTTCTATGGAATCGGCACTTCCGTTTATTTTGGTAGATATTGTGTTAAATCCGCTAGTGTTATCGATTAACTAGAAAATATGTATTATTATTACTAATCATTTCTTTATACATGTAAAATGTAAATAGTAATTTCAGTTCAGTTATTATTGATATTACATACCGGTTTTCGCCTGTAATTCAAATCTGAAAATGTAGGCTGTGATAGAGATAGTGAACGCAATGATGTTAGTGATTGACGAATGGAATTCCTTCTATCTAATCTTTGAACCTGCCTACGTTTTGATTTTGTCCACCAACAACATAACACAGACACTACACATATTAAACACCCAAATATCAACCCTGTCACTGCTATGTTAACAATATCGTCCCGCCATTTCAATGGATTTATTACTACTTGAGGATCTGTTTATTTAAAAGATTTAAAAGATTAATTTTGTTGTAACATAAAAAGGTAGCCAAGTTATTATCACTAACCCATCTCACACAAGAATGAATTACGAGCAGAACATTCTAAATTTGTTTGAACTTTGTTAAATCCAAGAGCAGTACACTGACTTATATAGTCAATATGTTGAACCCATATTAGACCATAGTCGTAAATTTGTAATTGCAGCGATCTCCTGATATTTGCATAGTCTCCAGTAATGAACGGCATAGATGCATTCAATGTCTACAAAACACAGAAACTACATAAAAAAGGAGCTCCCCATAGCATATTGTCTGCTACAATGTAAATGATCATGACGTGTCTTACTGTACAAAATTTCTTAGCTTCATGGAACGTCATCGGCACAGCTATATACGCAAAACACGTGTTTGACGAAGTCATTAAGATCCATGGAGGTGGACATTTTTCTGACTCCAGTAACGTTTTGTTTGACGAGTAATACGGCATGACATCAACTGGCATTAATTCTATTTCATCCTTATAGTCTTTGATTCGGCCAAACACAGCTACTGTATCGTTGAAACCCCAGTAGTTATGACGGGCATCAATAGATCCATCAATGGGATAAATAAAGTTACTATAAAATAAGCATAACATACATTCACATATACCAATGAAGATTAAAGAAATATATCTTACTTCAATGTTCGATTGTTGCTAGTAGCTGCGATAATTTCATAGTTATTATCTGGATCATAAAATATATTATGTATGTAGTATTGACCGTTGGACAGAGCTAATATAGTGCCCTTGTTTTGTATATTTGTTGCTTCGTTCCTACAATTTAAAAAAAAAGTACATAAATAACCATCTAAATTGTATAACATAATCTCCTGTTTAATATTTACCAATAAAATCCATTATGTGAAGTAGATGACTGTAGTGGTAGCCTAATGCCTTGAAACCCAGACATTTGTAGTATATGCAAACCGATGTTACCATAGACATAGTTAAAGGTGAAATTTGAAATAACCTAACCCGAACGTGAATAGATTATACAATTGAGAGCAGTTACTTTAAAACAATTGGACCCTAAAATATAATTTACCTGTGCAAGTTGAATGATATTTTCAAACGGTGCAATGTTGTCGGAGAAGAAGTTTCTAAACATAGTGATGTGCTGTTGAGGAGCTATGCGACTACCACTGATATTTAACACTGGCAAATTGAAGTTTTCGGCAAACAAATTGTTATAAATGTTTGCCTGTAAAGCAGTAGCATACCCACTAGAATCGGCTGTTATTTTTAGACCACCTTGGTTCTTCATTAGCACATTATTCTGAAATGATATCAAAAGATAATACCATTTTTTTCTAATAAAATTTCTTGTTAAAAAACAAAAAAGCCAGAATAGTAGAACAGGTCATTTAGAGAACAAGGAGGTCAGAGGTCTTTAAGAATTATTACAGCTGAAAAAAAAATAATACTCACATGCATTTGAAGACTTTGAGTGTTTTGTAACTTAAATTGCAAGGGCATATCACAAGTGCTTATGTTCGTGTCAGGTATATGCAAACAATTGTTTGTTATTTTATTCCAAGCAACACTTATATGCGGATTTACCTCTCCAGCGCAGGCATAACTTATAGCTCCCATAAAGTTATTATTTATTACCGAGTAAGAAACATTGTGTTCGGTGTTGCGGTCTGAAAATCATTGTTGATATTATTATTGCTATACTATTGAGTGTTAAAGCAAACCTACCAAAACCGATTGCTGCAATAGGAAGAGTCACAATTTCAGCAATAAAACCGTAAACGCGAGAAGACGCAGCCTGAGCTACAGCTTTTAAACTTATACTGCCATACGTAGACTTGATAAATCTCCTTCTCTGAACTTTTGGAGACTTGACCAAACGGAAAATTTCAGAAGTCTTATTATACAAAATACCATCGTATACGCCAATATGGTCATTATCGTGTGCTAAATTCAGCTGTAATATTCTGATAAAAGTGTTTAAATACTGTTAATTAAGAACATTTTAATAAAATAACTATTTTTAATTTTTTAAGCATACCTAAGACCTAAAGATTTGAATCCTAAATGACTGCGGAAAATCTTTACACAAGTTAAGGGTTGGTCACCGTATTTAAAATGTACAATCATACGTTCGTACACTATAATGTCTTTAGTAGGATCACACATGTCTAGCAATCCAAACGTGTCTTTTGGCAAATTTACTTGTTTCAGTACATTAAACGAACTCTCATCGTTTTCTTGGCCTTCACCAGTTAAAGAAATAATGTTGACGCCGATACCAGTATTATTTTCTATCCTAAAAACCAAATGTTATATTATAAAACGGATTTATTTGACTTAATAAAAATACGTACCAATTAGAAAATAGATGTATGTTTTGATGTTTGAAAGTTAAGATGGATATGCCATGAGATGCTGAATTCGTAATGTTAATCCAGTTAATAGTAGGAGATTTTCCAATCACCATAACAGCAGGTGATAATTCATTATGCAAAACGCCAGCACCGTCTATTCGTACAAACTGTAATTGTGATTGTATATTTAATTTCAAGCCGTGATTCTCATCGTCGTGTAAGTATTCAGTGTAATCATTCACTTCAAAATCATTATTAGCGAACCTAAAATAATGTACAAATGTGAGTACATATAATATAATTAAAAAAAACACATTGAAATAAATCATTTTTACCGCAATCCTCCCCAGTGTTGTTGAATGTGTGGTAAAATACTTTCTGTACAATATACAAACACAAAAGATTCATCATTCCAATCGCATGTCAAAAAATCATGGGTGATATTAAGAATTGGACAGTCTCGTAAATTATTTTCATGACCTATAATAAAAAAACATTAATTTTAAACTAGCCATCTTATTTCAAAATGCAGTTTTATTATGTGTTTGATTATACGATTAAGTACACTATATTTATTTGCAATGTTAAATTTTAAATAGTTAATAGGCGGAAAAAAATACTTTCATAATAACAGACTGTATACAAAAAAAGGTCTATGAAAACTATTCGTTAAAATTGTTTTAATACAACAAAAAATACATTTTTTTAAAACAAAAAAAACCAACGTTTTGCAACCCCATGCAAAGTATCTTGCTCTTGTAAAGTATAAGCAATTTTTTTACAAAATCTTAATTTAAAGGTTAAGCTGTGATGTGTAATTACTATTTCAGTAGTTAAGACTCTTTTTAGGTAGTTAAATTATTTTTCGGACTATCACAGCATCCTTGACAGCGATTTAAAAAAAAAATGTCCTTAAAAACACGTTTAGCTTTTTACATAATGGTCATACGGTTGAAATTTGGGTTTCATCAATAAGAGAAGAACATAAACTATAATGTCTTTTTTCTTAACTTTAAAATTGCGCTCAAAATTTAAGTTTAGGTTTTTGGTTTTATATCAGTTAATTTTTTAGATTTTAAAGTTAATTATTGAAAAAACAGATGACAGATTATAGTTTAAATTCTTCTTATTTTAATGATACTTGAATATTTCAACTCTACAATCATTAGGTACCGAGCTACATAGTTTGGCGTTGACCGTGTTTTACTTCTAAATTTTAGGGGTATAGCGTCCTCTTAATGGCTGTTATGGAAATATGGTAAAAAATGTAAGACAATGAAAAAGGATGCAGTAAAATTTTTTTTAATGACCAAAAACTAAAAAAAAATTAGTTCTCAACCGAAAATTAATATTTAATACAGTATCAATAAAATAAAAATAAAATACTTAATACAGTATCGATAAAAAACATATAATATGCATCCTTGCTTAATATACATTTTTATTCATTTTCACTATTATCTATTTACCTTTTTTTTACAGTTTAATTTACACAAAGTTATTATAAGCACAAGTATACAAATTTTACCTGAACATCTAAAACGTTGAGGCCAACTCTGAGCTGCAACGACCATTTGACTTTCATTATAATAATGTTTCTTCCAAGTAAACCAAGTATTCAAAGTAGTACTGTTTGAACCAATTTCTCTGCACACGACTTTAGAGTTAGCTTCAGTAAATGAACGATCGCAGGTGGGCAACCACTGCATAAGCGTGCTATTCCATATTTCCAGAAATCCAAAAAAGTTTGTATTCGAGTCATCAACATTCTTTATATGGTTCAATCTTACACCGGCCATCGGCTTAAGATCATATGCTACTGGTTTCAAAGTTGGTCTGCTTAAAGGTTTGAATGTTATTTCTCCACCAGTATACCCTCGAGCTACTAAAGACCCGAGAACGAGAATACCAATGTTGGGCGCAAACTCTAATGTTGTTCCAGGCAATATAGTCAAAGTAGCACCAGGCATTACTGTAATGTCTGATATAACGGTATAAGGGTTTTCATTTGGAGCTACAGTAAAAGATTCTGTAATTTTACCACCCAACACACCATTAGAAACTCGTAAAAGATCATCATCCCAAGTCATCTTAAAAAAAAAAACAGAAAATTAAGTTAAAAATGTAATACAAAAGAGCACAAGTTAAACTTACAGATAATGATGCATCAAACGTATCGTCAATTAAAAACGGTGTGAAAACCGCGACTGCATTATTATTCCAATCGTCAAAGTCAAATATAAGTTCTTTTATACGGTTTACATCCACAGAACCCCACCAGTTGTTGGCCATATTTATTACAGAACTTGTCCTAGAAGTTCTCAATCCAGCAATAACAGCATAATTTAAATTATTACTAGACGACATTAAATTACGGTCGATTTTGACATTTTGAATTCCATCAAATACAACCAATGCAGAATTTGACTAAAAATATTAATTAATAAGAATAAAAAGGTACAAAAACTAAACTTTAATAAGAACTTACTCCTGTAGTTATTAATCTTGAATTACTTTTAAATACATTTTCTCTGAACAAAGCAAATACTGAACTCATAATTTCACATTGGCTTTGAACGCTGAACTTGACCATAAACTCTCCATTATTAGATGCAATAGTATTTTTCCAAACAAGTAAGTATTTTTCCATACCCGATATTGTTATAAGACCGGCTAAATATAATAACAATTATTGATTAAATTAAAATATGTTAACTGTTAATTATAATTGCATTTATCATGATTATTTATTTATTACCTTTGCATATATTATTTTGAATAGTGTTTCGTGTAATATTTAACATTGAAAAATGACCACCGACATCTATTCTTAAATTTGAGTTATGCACAAATGTATTGTTATTAATTATTACTGAATGTGTAACATTTTCATCATACGTGTACAAGTAAGGCAATGTTAGTTGAATACCATCCATTAGATTACGCTCAAAGGAATTTCCAGTAAGCTCCCATTTGTAAACATTTAATGAATTTTGTGCGTCTCTAAAATTGATTAATTATTACAAAATAATACTAAATTTTTTCCTAATATTATTTTTAATTGTTTATAAATTAGAGCTCTTAATTTTAAATAAGCACTTATATAAAATAATACAACTCGGGTACCCGAATCAAACTCTTGTACCCGGGTATATAATGTTACAGATATTACTCAGTATTCAGTAAAAATCAAGAACCCTATTTAAAAGCATATATAGCAAATACATATTTTTTGTAACATACTTGGAATAATGATTAATAATTATGCCATTGTCAGCCATTATAGATTGATTGATAGTAATATGAATATGTGATTTATTGTTTAGTAGCGATGGAAACATAAATGGTTCAATTTCACGAATAAGTAAACCTTCTTTTTTGTTATAAGATATATCACAATCGTAAAGATGTATGGTTTCATTTAGTGGTCGCATATAATATTGAACTTTTTTAAGTTTTTTAACATTTTTGTGACTTTCCATACTGATAAACCTAAATACATTTTATAAATTATTAATGTGAACACAAGAATTATAATATAATTACTTACTCGCTGTAATAAGAACTTAAAATACCAACTTCATTACTTTTTATGGCAGTTTTAGTAACATACAACTTAGGTTCTGGTTGAACCAATAGTCCTAGGTTAATTGTGGCTGTAAACATGGTTGAAATTAAAAATTAAACACTAAGTCAAATCATAAATTAAATATACAAAACCAGGCAACAATAATATAACAATCGACAACATTATCATAACTACTATGAAATCTAAAAAAATAAAGCTTAGTTAAATATATAATATCATTGTTGAAGTGTACCTTGGGTACAAGATATAAGGAGAACAATATTTCCTCGAGCACTTAATCCACTGCTGTAGTGCATGACAATGCTGTTGGAACTACTTTGTGTTGGAAAAATACTACTTTCACGATCAGAACTCCACAAGACGTTATCGTTGATTTTGTTACTGTGAATATTACGAACTGTTATTTTTTCACTAGTACTATTATGAGGAATGTTAAGCATCTGGATTCCAACAACGTAATTGATTCTAGTACACTAAATATTTTGCGAAGAACAAATATTATTTTAAAAATACACTTACAAAAATATAATATAACAAACATACTTGAAATACAATTTTTGACTCAATTGTTTCTGCGAGAATTGATGATATTTGTTTGGAGATTACATATTTGAACTCGTTGGGTTTTAGTTCTATTTGAGTGCTCGATTGATCACTGGGCAACAAAACAGGCCTATAGAGATATGAACTCGAAACAAATGGCTTGAACCATCCGGCAAGTTCTCTTTGTTTATCAATACTAATTGAAACATCGTGTTGAATACCAATTTTGTTCCTTTCAATTGTACTATCTGAAATAATTATTATTATAGGTACAAAAATGATTTATAATATTGAATTATTTACAAGGAAAATGTGTAAATTAGGTAAGTCAAGTTATATTGAGTAAAACTAATTTAAATAAATCAAAATTTACCATGAATTGTTAAACCAAGTTGTTTGAAAAATATTCCCGCTCCTTTATTACCGCTAAATTCTGAATTATGAATATAGCTCAAACTGTTGTATAAATCAGAATAAATAATTTCTAACCCATTTCCAGCATTATCTATTATTTTTACACCTTCGAATGTATGTCTGTTTAAGTCCACTTGCAAAGCTGTCAATAATTGTAATATAAGTCCAAAATGTACAACACAAGACAACCAAAAAGTAATTCAATAAAAAAAAAATCATAATACCTGGCCCAAATTCATTAGTTATGTAATCAAAGAGTCCAGCTTTTTCAATAGTAATATATTGTAAATTGCAAGTGTCCGCTAATACTCCTAATCTCAAACCAGTCCAACCTGGCTGTTCGCATCGAAATGCAACATCTTGAGAATGATCACAACCATGTTCAAATTCAATAACCTTTTCAGCTTTACAATTTGTCATGTCTATATCTTCATCTGAACATGTCACATTTCTAAACAATAATGATCATGTTTAACAAATTGTAAAAAGCACTATTTTTTGTATATTTACGTTAAAAATATAGGCTCGGAAGGATCTGCAATAGGAACGTCAACTCTCCAATCTAAAGGATTTAATACTAATCCCAGTTGTCGACAGACTAAAGCAGCATTTTCCACTGTCCAACCGTAGTTACATACTGATCCCCATGTGTTTAGCTCTTCAGAATAAACCTAATAAGAAAAAAGTTTAGTCAATATACTTAATAAATTACTATTAAGAAAACAGATTATTTTGAATTTGAAAACATGAAAATATGAACATACCTGCAATCTTCCTTCTGTATACGTTCGACCTGCAATTAAGCGAACATTTGAACTAACCGTCTCGGTTATATTTTCATTAGCAACAGAGCTTAAATCTTCACGTAGAGTAAATTTAATATTTCCAAATCCTCTGCCTCGCGCCTCCAATTTACCAGCAACCATTATACCCACACCAGGATTAAACCTTAATTTTAACAAACATTGTTTAAATATTTCTATGAATATTAAATATTTTAGTTATTATAAAACAATTATTTTTATAAATACTTCAAGGTGACATCAGGATAAATAACCAGTTTTCCACTGGATGCTACATTGATATCTCTCGTAACAACATATTCTCCACTTGGAACATATTCTACCCCGTCTACTTCACCCCCAAAATCATTGACATCTTTGTATAACTGAGTGACTACTGTAGAAATAGTCATGATCGATGTAGTGCCTGGATTTGTAGGATGCAATAAAAATGGTACAAACTCAATTTTGGCTAAATTGTATCTGTCACGTCTGAAAAAATAAACACAGGGAGAATGAGTATTCAATACATTTCTACTATATAAATTTTAAAATAACAAATGATTTGCGTGTGTTTTATTTATCAATAACTTAATTCATTATTTGGTCATTTGGGAGTAATTATTTTAATTCATGCATAATTAATTTTACTTGTGAATAGTTCAATTTATTAATTGTGCAAAAATGATTTAATTATCAATTTGGCATGCATATGCATTCTTTTTTATTCGAGATTCGTGAATACATTTTTTTTTTTTTTTGTTATTAATAAATAACTGTTTCACATATGAATAGTTAAATTTATTTTGAATAAAAAAATTGTATTTATAAATAAGAAATTATTCATTCGTCTTTATTAAAATAACTTTTGCACAACTCAGATTAACTGACATAATAAAATATTCAGTGTATTTTTTACATACCTATGAAATAGTCTATTAACAATATAATGATCATCAGTCTTTCCTAACCAATTATAAGTTGCATTGACAACAAGACTTTGGTCTTCAAGTTGTACGCCAATTTCGTAGTTGGACAATGGATTTTCAATTATATTTCTTATAACAAGTACGTTAGAAGAAGTAATTATAACTACTGCGGCTATTTTGTTTCTCGAGATTACTTTGAAAGGCTGTATTATTTGATTGTTTTTTAAATAATTCCAAGTGAACAACATATTATGTAGTTGGCTATATGTGCTCAATCCCAAATTGACTACATAACTACCACTATTGCCATAAAATTCATTATGTCGTATTACTGCATTCGTAAAGGACTCGTCAAAATCTTCATCAAAATGATCGTTTCTAATCAATATACAACCATGATTGTGTTTCTCGAACCGGTTGTACTCGATAATAGTATCCATATTTAGCATTGGTTTAACAAGAATAGCTAACTTTTTATTTTTAAAAAATGTATTGTATGATACAATTAAGTTTGTCGTGTCGGCTTGTCGTTCAATGCACGACTTTATTTCCAATGCATAAATACTAAAATTGAACGTGTTTCCTGTTACATTAATACTAGATTTACCATGACACCAACCATCGATTTCCACAGAATTATTAGTAATTTGTGTGTATGTCAAAATTGTTTTTTGAGGCACGTTTTTAGTATGTTTATCTAAGAGCCGCACTGCCATGCCAGGTCCCGAGTTTGATTTGATTACAGAATGGGTAACATTACGAATACCTCCATAGTTGTTGGTGAGTATTCCAAAACCATTATTATGTGATATTTGTGAGCCTAGAAGTGTGATATCAGCTGACCCGTTGTAAACATTAACTCCGGCGTTTCCACAATTATTTTGAACTGAACTGTTGGTTATTGAGATAGCACTGTATAAGTTTTCGACAAACAATCCGGAACCAATATTGTCTGATAAAACGCTTTCAGATATATTAACACTATGCCACTTCACTAAAAAAATTAAAACCATTATAAATATGATGTCAAAGTCATACCATATTCAATAATTTTGTAATCAAATTATTCATGCGTTTTTTTTATTTATTACTCTTTTTTTAATTATTTGGTTATTCATAAATAAATATTTTTTTTTGGAAATAAGTTAATCTATACATAAATAAAACATAAATTTGTATTAATAAATAATTTTGTTCGTAAATAATGTCATTCATGAATAAAATTGTATTAATTATTTGAATAATTTTCGCAAAACTGCTGTGAAATAATACATTAGTATTTTTCTAATACATACCAAATCCAGACGTAACTCTGAGCAGACCAAATACACTTGATCTACCTGTGGCAGTAAACTGAACTAATATAGTATTACGACTTGATGTTACAGACTGTGGCGCAGTATTATTATGTACCGAAATAGTAGCCAGAAGTCTTTAAACATAAATATTTATTACACATTTGATATATACTAAAATTAAAACGTTAACACTAACCTATCAGGAGTCGAAACTTCTCCATCGTAGATATATATAAATGAATTGTTATCAACTTGGTGTGACATTGTATGTTCGATATTAACTGTTAATACTTGACCAATTTTGGTAAACAAACTCTACAGTAAAAATTTATCTACAGGTTAATAACTAAAGAAGTAATTATTAAAATAATAATATAAAAGAAGTACTTTATAACAATTGATTTGTTTAGCATTGTATAAATTTTGTTGTACAGAAACAACGACAGGGAACGTTTGACTAGTTGTTGTTGGCAATGAACATAATTCGTTGACGTTACTCATGAGATCTCGATCCACGTTACCTTGTACAATATGAACCCCATCGCCTTTATTATTTGATATTAGAGCTCTCATTAAACTCACTTGACCAAAAGATGAATTCATAAAAATTCCATGTCCTAAGAATAAATAGTTATTTTTAATAAAAATGTGTACACTTTATTTTTATATAATAAATTTACCTTTATTATTTTTTATAATACAGTCTTGTAAATCTAGCACGGAATCGGAAGTTGTAATATTAATGCCATTGTATGCAGAATGCAAAATTGAAACATTTTTTAATAGAGGAGGAACTCCATTTATTTGTATCGCTGAAGTAGCTTTAAAATCAGTAGCAACGCCCGCATAACTTAAATAAATAAATATGGCAAATTAAATTAATTATTTTTAAATTTTTTTATTTTTTATTTTTAACTTACGTTAATATAACATGGTTCAGTTCAGAAAGTGAAACTGGCTGATAAAGAGTATTGTGGTGTATCAATGATTTTTTGAATTGTGCTTTTTCAAATTTTAGACCTTGCCAATAATTTTTTACTGCATAACTATTTTCATAATACGGTAGACATTCAACAGCTATATCTTGTTTTAAATCTAAAAATAAAGTACAAATAAATATTAAGTTTCACAAATTGTTAACTGTTGACCGTTAGAACATAGTTGTATGTTTGTAATATAATATAGCAAATGATTAAAATAACTTACCACAACTGCCTGAACCAAGTCTTTTATTTGTCCATCCATTACATCCGAATAGATCATTTTCATTTCCCTGACATTGCAAATCTGATAGCATGAGACGAGAATGTAATTTATCAACTTTGGGTTCCATCCATCGTAAAAACTGTCCTCCACGGTATCCCAAATGTCGACATGTCGTTTGAAGATCTGCTTTGTTCCATCTATCAAATACAGGACATTATGGATTATGAATATTTCAACATAAATGTTTATGATCTACTTACTGTGTGGATGTACATATTGATCTCCATGCACCTTTGTAAAATAACTGCAAACGTCCGGCTAAGGTACTAGGACCATCTACAAGTCTAATATTTAATGACGACTGACTGTAACTGTTATCATCGGTGTCTTCTACATCCATACTTGATGTCATTAGAATTTTATTATGTGCATCTCCCTAGATTGATAAATATTTAATGTTATTATTTGTATACATAATATTGATTGTTAAATACTCTACACACTATCTACTTACATTGGCTACAATCGATCCTTTGACTGTAAGACCAGTTTTTGGGGTGAATTTCAATGTCACACCCGGATCGATAATTAGCCGCCCCGTGTCTTCTATGATGACATTATTCAAAATCACATAAGGGCTTTGGTCAATCGTCAACCGATGTTGGTCGGCTACAATACCACCTGACCATTCGGTGAAACCTTTGGAGGTCCTTTGGTTGTTCGTCCATGAGTTGTAATCGCGGGCGTTCGCGATGGAGTTGAATTTCAAAATTAACTGAACCAACAATAAAAACTTCAGTGTCGTTGAAATCATATTCGTTTATTATCACATCATTGCAGAAGTGTAATTGTTGTACTAACAAAAAGTGGACGGAACGGATTTCAGTGAGAAAGGAGGAAAAACAATTATACTACTTAACTAGAAAATAAAAAACTAAACTATATAGACATATTTGAAATTTCTTAACAACACCCAGCCCGTTGTTGTGTGTAATGTTTTCGTACGGTATTATCACTGCCCACTGGACACTGTATAGTATGAATCTTTGGCGGGCGGGGAAACATAGACTGGGTGTGGTGAAGTAGTGTGTATGGTAACGGAGCAACAGGTGAATGGAACAAAGAGATTGTACATGTTCGGTATTTTTTTCCTCCTCTTTATTCTTTAAAAGCGTCTTAAAATTCCTCAACCATTAAATTGGCCAATAGCTACTACGTCAAATAAAGTTAATATTAAAATATAAATATTTTATTGTTTGCATTATTTTGTTGTTATTATTATTCAACGTGCGAAATACCTATTTATTTTACCCGTGTCTTTGTCAACGAGACCCGAGACCTTGACGACAAATAGCGTTTTCGACGAATCGATTTAAAACGCTAATAAATGTAAATACACATAATTATCCATCGATTCTCTAAATTGCAATTACCTACCAAGACTATTTTCTTACACAACACTCAATTGATGTTATAAATTAGTCATATATATAAGTACTGTGTTGACTTTGTAGCGACTAATCGTTAAAAATATTTCATAGCACACCTTATCTCTGGACTTTGTGGCTATTAGTCATACAATGACACATTTTTTTTGTACGTACGCCCGAACGGGCGCAAGTCCATAAGGGCGCTTAGCATCTTCAGTTACAATAATAGTTTGGTGCTAACTTGGCAACCCCCCTCCCCTCCCCCATAAGTTGTTCTTACTTCGTTTTACCATATACAATAATTATAGATTAAGACATATGATGTAAACACTTATTATGTATACTATACTCCTTACAACGAGCCTACGAGAGACGGCACGACCACAGAATAGATTAATCTATTCTATGACACGGTTTCCTGTTTGCGTAGGCGTAGACGAAAGTATAGCGTTTTTGGTTTCTGCGCAAGTGCGTTCTCTCGTGGCATATAGTATAGTGCTCAAGCACCCCCTAGATATTAAATTAATTATTTACGCCTATGCTTTAATAAGTCGACAAACTTTAATCATAACACGATAATCTATATAATTTATTCAATTTCATTATTATTACTTAACCAACTTAGGAGTTAGGTATATCAAAAGACCAGTAAAGCACCCATCAGCCCATAAGTTTTCGTACAGTAGTAGCCTCACAAAATTTGTTTATTCGACGTAAATTGACGAACACAAATTCATAGCAGATAAGATTTTGCGTCATTTGTATTTTGTAGAAGACGCATAAAAATATGAAATAACGGGCACCGCACCAATTTTTAGTATTTTTAAGTAACCACTTTCCACACGGTAACAGCTACTGTGTCTAGTTAAATACTTAGTACTTAGTATACTTCTAGTAAAATACAATGTTTTTAATCTAATATTAAATATACTAGAATTATAACTAAAATCTATTCACACAATCATACCATAATATACCATACTATCATAATTATTTATTATTATTATATATGAACTCGTAGAAACTATAAATTTTACAATTTTTTATAATGTAAATTAAATTGAATAACATATTAATTGAACATTACCAATTATAAGAATATAAATATTAACCAGAGTATTAACACCTATTACACATGTAACTTAAATTATTTAAGCTGAACACAAATATTAATATCGATTAAATATATTTATAACAATCTTTAATAACATTTGTAATTGGCACTTATTTGTTTTGACCCCCCCCCCCACTAATTTTTTTTAAAGTAGGTATTGACTATTGATCAAATTTTTGTAACTCGTATTATTTTGTAACACAGATATATATATATATATATATATAATATTATATATATCTGTGTTTTGTAATGAACTTTCATTAACATTCTAACCTTAAAAATGTAGTGGTATTCTATGTGGCGTGATTGGTGATACTAGCGTTATCATAATTATTTTTTTATAATACTTTAATATTTATACTATCATCATCTGCAATACGCTGTACGTGTACACCTTTAACATAATTCATAAATATTATCTTAATTCTTCATTATTAAGTTCGAGTTACTATTAATACCTATTGTTATTTATTAATTATTGTTGAATAGGTAACATATTAGATTTAGTTTGCTCTTTACTACTTAAGGCAGTTTTTCATTTTAATTGTTAATCCATAATTCAAATCTATAGGTTATATAAGGTAAGTTGTAATCTTTTTATCCATCTAATGTAAGATCAATCAAATGTCTAAGATTTTATACTAGCAATTCATTATTGCGATGTTAAAGGACAGTAACAATTAATGTAACTTTTTTAAATTTAGGAACCGAAAATGCATAATAAAGATTTAATAAAATCTAGCTGGGCAGATGAAGTAGAAGATCATTTAGAAAAGACAACGTTACCGTCTCCAAAAATTGAACAACATGGCAATACCAAAATAATAACTGAATACCGATGGAATAAGGATGATAAAAAAGAGAAAGTTGTACGGACTTATAAGATAGAAAAACGTGTTGTATCCAAGTCTATTGCTGAACGCAAGGCATGGTCAAAATTTGGAGACTCAAAAAATGATAAACCAGGACCAAATATTGCTACTACTATTCCAGCTGAAGAAATACAAATGCAATTTTTAACTGGAAAAGATGGCGACCAGTTGGAAGATAATCCATTAGATAAATTGAAGAATGTCAATATGAATATTAAATGCCGAAACTGTGGTGGTGAGCATTGGTCATTTTCTTGTCATTTCAAAGGTACTGGATTAGCAGTAGATGATAAAAAATTGGTACCAGAACAAATATCAGAACCTGAAAAGAATACTAACACAAACAGGTAAATATTTTTTTTAAATAACCTTATGCTTAATACCCTTAAAGTCTAAAACTTACAATTATCACATTTATTATTTTTTTAATTATATTTTAGACCTTATATTCCACCATCTGCACGAGAAGGGGCTACAAATACAGCTGGAAAACGTGATCCATATGGTCGCAACTTTGATGAAGTGCCAGCTATTCGTATTGAAAACTTATCGGAGAGTACATCTGAAGCTGATTTGAGTGATCTAGTTAGTAAATTTGGTCAAGTTGCTCGGATATTCTTGGCTACTAACAAGGTCACAGGTACTTGCAAAGGTTATGCTTTTGTTAACTTCAAGTCAAGAATGGATGCTGAACGAGCTATTAAAGGTCTACACGGATATGGTTATGATCATTTAATTTTAAATGTTAGTTGGTCAACAAATAACCATAAAAGTACTAATTATTAAATAAATAAATACTATTTTATTGCAAATAAAATTTATTAAATTTGTTATATTTTATTAGGTTGAAGGTTGTTTTATTTAATATATTTTCTATTTATTAATAACCCTTTTAACTCTTTCCAGTTTTTAACTATACACACATAATAATGTGTGTATAAACTAAAAAACATAACCTTTATATAATGAAGGCATATTTTAAGATCCATTAAATGTTATAAATCTTACCTCTAGAAGTTTTTCTGCAGAGAAATGATAAACTATATGTATACAAATTGTAATACGTGTAATAGTATTATATTATAGTATTTTCATTTTCATTAGCTTCTTAATTTAACTTTAAATGATATTATAATACATTTTAACTATTTATATAATTAATATCTGTATATTTAATTATTATATATTAGAAAACGTGGTATAAATCTACTTTAATCTTATCTGTATTAGGGGAGAAGATGTATATGGTTGCTTCGACTTCCGCGCAGTGGACACTGGGCAATATTTTAGTTAACTAGACGGCAAAAAATCTATAAACTTTTGCAGCCAAACAATCGCTTAACTGTGTTCTAACTTACTCTGGTTACATATTAAATTAATGCCATACGCTAAATAAATAAATAGTCGGGGAGATAGTCTTGATTTTCACAAATTTGTCTCACTATTCAAAATTGGTAAGGCTAAAAAGTGTAATGATATTTTCTAATTAGTATATGAATAGTTTTAAATCGTATATTTATAGTACCGTTTAACTTAGAAACCCCAAACAAATTTCGAGATGACTCAAGATAGTGTTTTCAGAAAGATATAGGGTACTGGTATATATTATGTACGAATATATTTTTTAGATTTAATTTTTAATTTATTACCGTTTACACCCTAATTAAGCATTACAGTCAAATAAGTCATTGAATAATATATACATTTTTATTAATTTTTAAAAGGTTTGGTGAACGATTATTAATCTATAGGTATACAAATTGAGTATAGACAGTATAAATGAAGAAAGTTATCAAGAAATCCTAAATACAAATTTTAATTGTGTTAAAAAAAATTCTAGAAATGCTATAAAAATGGAAGTGTGCAGTAGTCGGTTGCCTTCATTTCTTGTTCTTTTTAAAAATGTCCCTCTTGTTTATTTTTAATAGAAGAATCAAAATTCAAATTAGAGCGCATTCTTATTATATGATAAGACAATATCATAATACTAAAAAAAAAATACGTGTTTTAAACAATTTTTAGAATTTTCTTACAGTCGGGGGGGCTTGTTTATTGTTATTTTTAATTTTATTGTTAACTAAAGAAAAACTCAAAAATATAACATCAAATAGTGGAGATTAATTCGCTTTTTGGTTTAGGGTTATTTCTGTAGTTCCTTAAGAATCAAACTTGGTCAAAATACTCATTTTGGTTTTAGGTATTTAGGATACATATGTTTTACACTTAACAATTGTACAATACCAATTACTCAATGGTAATATATTATACATAGTTTTATTTTGTTAAAAATCCTTATTTATGTAGAATCGAAATAATTATATTTAGCTTAGTAGGTTTTGATAGGTAAATTATCTAAGAACAACGCGGTAGCCCCTTTTATTTAAGGCGTTCGGTATAGGCAATTTTCGTAAAATCTTAATTAAATTTAAAGGTTAGGACTCCGTTGTTTTGGTAGTTAATTTTTTTTGGACTATCACAGCATCCTTGACAACGATTCAAATTTTTTTTTTTATCTTAACAGCTACACATTTTCTATTTTATTGGCTAAATAATAATCGTAAAAAAGACTTTTTTAATATTTAAATAATGAAAACTTCATCTAGGTTCTCTCGTCGGATTTATTTCATATTATTAACACAAGATTCTCTATTTATATTTTAATTCTGTATTTTTTTTTCAAGTGTATTTTAAGTTGCATTTAAGGTGGTATTAAAGTTTTCTATAAATACCGACGAGAGAACTTAGTTATAGTGATCTCTTTAACGATATCAAAGTTTGTTTTTATGACCATTTCGCTTTAACTTATACAAACATGATTTTACGATTATTTTGTAGGATATGTCTACTTGACATAAATGACATCCCACAAAAATAACTCATAACTTTTAATAATCGATTATAATATAATTGATTTATACTTAGCCACCAATTTTTTTTCCGTTGTACATTAATAAAGTTACTTAATAAAATAAAAAGATGTATGACATTTCTTAGCTTCTAAATTGATATCACAACTTTTCTATTCAATTGAGTTCCTTTTACTATGTTCTTAAGTTCAAACAAACAACAAAATATAAACATTCGAAAACTAAGGGTTTGGATGGACTTGTTTTGTTTAAAAACTAAAAAAATTATGATACTTTAATACCTATTATATTTATGTAAAATACATAAAATATATATTTTTATCTTCTTTAATATATAACATTGTCAGTTCTTAATAATAAAGGCAAATACAAAATAAATGTTTAATTCTTTTATACGTTTTTTTACTGGTTCTGTAATTATTTTTTAAGTCAAATGATCGAGAGTATAGATATGAAATTGATTTTCCAGTAAAAAAACGTATGAAACAAATCACTTAATTATAATTAATAATACAATGATATCTAAAAAAAAAACAAATAATAACCCAAGGGCAATGTTTTGGAGTATATTATACACGTATATTGATTTTTTTATTCGTAAGATAATAGCACAATACATACAAGTTATCAAACTCGTAGTTAAGTCAAGGGTTCATTGAATTTTTTAAGTCGACATTATAAAAGTGGGTTGGTTAATTTGTTTTTTTTTTTGTACTCAAACAGTTTTGATTAATCATGTTATTGAATACCACAAGGCACAAACGCTGTATCATCACAGCCGAAAATAACATTTAACAACAGTAGATATTATAATACCATCGGTTGTCATTTACTTAGGTACTTGTAAGTAGATATTGATTTTCTTCTTTTCTGTCAATATAAAATGTAGGGACATAAAAATAGGTTTAATACGTTTTTATACTTAAGAGAACGCTATGCCACCTATTTCTAAGGAATAAAGTTTGGCAATTTGTTGTAATATCTTAATCTAAAGGTTAAACTGACATGTGTAATTATTAGTTCAGTAATTAGTACTTTTTTTTAGTACTTAATTTATTTTTCGGAATATCACGGCATCTTCGACAGCGATTTAAAAAAAAATGTCATCTAAACAGATAGACTAGCTACGCAGAATGCGTTTTACTCGGTCGATAGTGATTTAAAAACACCTATTATAAAATCGAAAGATAATAATATTTTGGAAACAATATCATATCCGATTTTGAAAATAATAACGTATAAAAAAGTAATAGTTATTTAAAAAAAATTTTAATGGTATTTATTCATTTATTTAATGGTATAGTTAATTGTCTCCTAAATTTTACAATTTACACACATGCTACTATTCCAGTGATCGCATGAAACAAGTTGGATACTCCGTTGGATATTTTCGTGTTTTTTATTTTGCCATAGTCGTAGGGTTTTAAATACCTGCAGTTCACGTGTATATTACACTTTAACCCTCATCAACAAATATCCTATATTAGTGCATAGTGTTAATTACTACCAAGTCGTATGGTATATACCTATACATTTTGATATCACGAAGTGATATAAAACTTTTTTTTTTTTTTATAAGGAAAAGAAATACAATTCAGTATAATAAAAAAAAAACAATGAACTGTTTAATGAGCCAAAGTGCCCTAACATTAAAATATCTACTCAATTCTATTAGGATTTAGAGATAAGCGTAATATTTGTGCATTCAATACACTAGTGATTAGTATATTTGGTATTATAGTATTTAGTCTATGATACAGGCGAATGTCAGGTTTCCTCTTACAATGAATAACCTTGCACTACTCATTCTCAAAATTACTAAATTAAAAAATGCAAACTATAAGCTTTGGATTGAAAAACGAATAGAAGGTATTTTTTAATGTAAAAATTAATACGTGTAAAATTATACCATTTGATACTTTGAGAGGTCTGAGGGGATCAACTGAGAGGTGGCTTGACAGCTTAGTGTACCTAATCGAATTTTTCTTTTTTAATTAGACGTAATTACACTAAATGAATTTTAGTTTTTGTTTCCAATTAGCTTAAACACATTGTATGTAATTAACTTTTATATACTCTCTCAAATATAGTTTTATATTAAACATTAAATTACTGCAATTACCTACAGATTCCAGGGAACCGCCGGGGTAAAACCAAATTCGGATGGGCCCCATGCTTCAGTCTAGCGCCGCTACTGCTTGTTTTGCCTAGGGATTTGCAAATTGGAATTGGAAAAATCTAAACAAACGACATTTTAAAGATTGAATTACGTTGAATAGAATGCGATGGCAAAGTGTTTCATTGTTCATTATAAATTATAATTTTAAAATCCAAGTATAGTTATTCTTTTTTCACTCGCAATTTATTGGCTCTATTTTCGCAATTTTTTGTGTACCGACAATACCGACTGGCTGCCGTCAACATTTTGAGCGAAAAAAAATCAGCTGCTCGTGCCGCACACCTGTAGAGGAAGCGTTGCGTATACCCCACAACGGCCAACTTACCGCGGACACGGGACAGCATTGGTATAATAGTAACCGGTATAATAGTTGCGTACCTACCGGCGCCGAGTATGTCCGATTAGGGGTCCACATTGCGCTTCGGCCGTCCGTCCGTCATATTATCGTCTAACGCTGATCGTAACCGACGCGAAACACGTGTGTCGTCCGTCGGTCACTGTCAGACGTTATCGTTGTTCGTTGTTGAGCGCGTTCTGAGTTTATTATTATTTGTTTTTATTGTTGAACGATTTTAATATTTGTAAAAATATGTTTTTTTTATTGTGACGAGTTCAACTTTTTTTATTTTTGGACGGAACCCGCAATAAACGAACGATTGGAAAGGAGCTAACGTTACCGGTGAGTCCTAGATAAATCATTTTGTAAATAAAACTACCCACTAACCAGGAATAATAATACTAAATCTATGTTTAAAGTGTTTAAAATAATAGTATATTTTTGTATATAGTGTTTTATTATCATTTTTATATGGCTGATTTCGTCTCCCCCATTTTTAATAAATTAATAATTTGAAATATACGAATTATCACTTTTTTATCGGGAATCCACGTGTTGGCGATTTCAATATAACTTCAACTCCTGTTCATCGTTGATTGAAAATAGTTACACATAAATAAACAATGGTTACAGCTTTTTTGTAAATAATATTATTGTTTATTACTTATTTAGTGAGAAAACTAAGAATTGCAAACACAACCCATTGCTTAGAATTTAGATGATCTCAATGAAAACCTGTTTAGTTAATATGAAAAATGTTGTGAAAAGACTTTTAAAATATTTTTTTTGTTGCCACAAGTCGTTTATAGATTTCAAACACATATTTTTTTAACTTATCCTCCGCTATGGCTCATTTAATATGAATTATGCGGGAACCTTACCACATGGAGGGTGTTCTGTTACACGATACAACTACTCATTTTAAAGAGCATACAAAGCGCTCATACGAGTATATGCATAGGATTTTGACAAAAATATTAGGTAGTTGACCGATTAATAGCACTATTAAGTAGCCATGGGTCACTTTTTTTTAGTGTCTCGCTCAAACTTGGATATATTATATTTCGCCAACACAGCAATTTAAAAATATTATTATTATTTTCCAAATACTTTTTTTTGAGGTCTAATGTGTAAATGTGTTATGTAATATATGTGTTTAATACTTTAAAATAATTTATAAATATTTTTAAAAATTAATTTTTTTTTAAATATTACTGAAACATGGTAGTTAATATCCTATTAAAAAAAACGACGACACGTGGCAATCATTATTAAATATTATATTTTTCAATAAAATACTATTTAAAAATTATTTTTAAACATTTTGCCGTGTTGGCAGTTGTGTAACTAAAGATTTGAAAATTTTAGGTATAATATATGTATTTATCTCATTGGAGGAAATACTAGCCTAACATTAACTCACCAATAAAAAAAGACTGGTGTCAAAACTGTTAAGTATATTGAAGACAACTGAGATGCAAGTTAAAAACCTCTAACTTAAGCTTGCCTAAGAAACCAGTGAAAGTGCTTGGAAACAGCATACTGATTATTTTAAGTTTTATTTAAAACAAAAAAACCGGATTAATTTTCTATTAAAAAACCATTACCGTTTACGTTATTGCCGTGATGTCAATTTTTAAAAATTGTTTTCCAATTTTCCCTAGTTTGATACGTTTTTTATACATTGAGATATTATTGAATTGAAAAACATTCACCGGGTCGTATCGACGTACAACAATAGTCCATAACCGACGGTTGAAAAATGAGAATGACACGTCGTTAAAAACTTTTAAATGATATAACACGAATAGTGAATACGATGTAGATACTATATGTGTTTTGGCTCGAGCTGGCAAAGAAATCTTGTTTTATTAAAACCAACGTTAGTATATAATACACAATCGTGTTTTGGTTTACAACATTGTCATTTGTATTCAAAATTACAATCACAAAAATAATACTGCAGACGGTTTATTCTGTTAGGAAGAAATCAATATGTACAAACTTATTTTAATTCTTCTTCTTTTCGTGTCCGGTCATAGTAGCATTATCATTTATAGAAGAAGTTAAACTTCCCATCCCAGTAATTTGCCAACCATATGGCATTGTCATTCACGTCTTCACTTATGGTTTATAATTTTGCTATTTTTTTTTTGTAATTTAATTTTACATTAAAAATGTTTTATTTCGCTCGATTGCCATTTATGTTTTAAGAAACAAAAAATAGACAATCGTGACAATGATGGCAGTCAGAAATTATGTATTTAAAAGTATATTTTACGGGCTTGTAATAAAAGATTGTAAAAATATTCATGATTGTAATAATAATTTAAAAGTGTTTGTAATATGATGACCCTAAAAAACCAAGTGGTTTTATTCTAGCGATGGGAACGATCACTGAGGAGAAGACAGACAATAGCGTGTAAATCTGCTGCAGATGTGCGCTTTAATAACAATAAGAAAAGTCATTTCTCTGGGGATCTGGTGCATACCTAATACATACGTACATCGGTATTATTTATTATCTTATGTCATTTGAATTGTATGTACTTGAAACCAGTCGAACATAGGCGCAATTTCAATTTTTAACTTGGGGGGGGGGGCTGAAATTTTTTTTAAATTACATATATAAGTAAATATATTTTTTTATTTAAAAATTGTATGCATAACCTAATTTTTTGGTGGGGCTATTTCTAGCATTGAGGGGGCTAAGTCCACCCTAGCTCCCCCGTATTTGCGCCTATGCAGTTGAAAAAAATCTTGCAGCCATCATGAATTTCGTTGGCAATTTTTGTTGTTTTAATATTATATGTGTATGTGTATTCTATTCAGTCGTCGACGGGTGAGGTAACGCCCTTCGCTCTATAATAACCGTACCTACATAATATTAATCTGTAAAATTGGACCATAGGAAGTAGAATGAGTCAAGAGCAAAGTCTCTCTAATGTGTCATCTTTGTCTGAATTTTTTCTCGCGGAAAAAAATTGATTCTGAAACTATTTGATTCTACCGTTTATTTAAAACGCAATGATGTTATATGAAAATTAATTGGATAATGTAAAACAAATTAAAATAACGCCTACTGTAGACCATATATTTGGACGAGAGTAGGGATTTCCATGTAAAATCCAAATTAACTACTATTATGTATTTATGTATGAATAATAATTATTGTATCGACACTCATTCGTTATTAACCCAAAAAACTGTAATATGAGCAAGCTTGTTAAAAAACAACTATTTCCTTTTTACGAACACGCAAAACAATAATGAGGCAAACCGTTACTTATTAAAATGTACACGAACATATAATTGTTGTTACGTTTTCTTTTAATATACATAAAAATAGTAGCTAAGTATTTTAGCTAGTTGGCCAAAAAAAATTATGAGTATGTTACTTTTGTTAAAGGGCTAAAATCAAAATGTTTTTCATGACATTAACTGGCTTATTACCTAAAACGGGATAGACCTAGTGGTCATTTGCCCACCAGATGACAAATATCAATGAGGTTAAGGCCCAACTGTCGTCGTAAATAAGTCGATCATTATAAACGGGCATGGCTGTTTTCCGCCAAAACCGTACCTTTCCCTTTTGCGCCAAAAAAGATTTCGTCTGATTCCATTTTCCGCCAAATATAAAATCGAATTTAAATTAGTCGATGAATTAAGTTTAAGATTATAACACAGGCCACAGCGTGCTATAATAATATGTTTAATGCACAACAACACAAAAGTTTAAATATATTTATAACACAAATTTCCTTATTTTACACTAGTAGGTACATACAAGTTATCTACAACACATTTTATACATTTAACATATTTTCAAAAAAATTGTTTTGTTAAATTGTCTATGATTAGTTTTAAAGACTTAAATTTAATATGATTAGTCATATATCTATATACCTCATTTAAAAAAATTAACTAAAATGATTATGTAAAGTTTTTTTTTTTTTTAAAGTTCTTTTAATCGTTTGTTGAGACAAAACTTAGAAACGATTTTACTTTAATAAAGAAAAACACTAAAATATTGTTTTCCACTAGGCTTAGTTTTTAAATTTTGAACATTATTGGAAAAATAACATAAAGTATAGAACAATTAAAAATAATTGTTTGTTATATCTCTAGTTGTTTTAGACATTTTTTTCTTATATTTCAAAAAAATAAAAAAACGATAGAGTTGCTACTCCAGTAAATCTGTTCGTAGGAAAACCTCCCCTCCCCCAAAAAAAACATCATTATAAAATCAAACGTTTTTTAGATTTTTTATCGAAGATAAAATATATTAACGGGATGCTGGATGGTTAGGTTATCTACCATTATAAAACCATGTTACACTGTACGGTTTATGGTATTCGACGAAGATGAGAAAAACGAAAAAAAAAGTTTAATATTTATCTCGATTTCCGTTAGCATAATATTGAAGCATACTTCTAATTTATAATTTTGAGTTCTTTATTTATCGTAGATAAAATAAATTAGTATTTTTGGGGTTTTCGGATCCCAGATGTTGTTTTTAACGTTATATTCGTATGATAATTTACATAATTGCTCCGACAGCACATACTACGGTGCGGCGTGACGTTGACCGTTTTGAGGCTTCAATAAATTAAAACGGGACAGTAAACAGTGTAGCGGCCAAAGAGCCATTTATTCGATCGAGTTTTACATTTTTTTATAACCAGGGTGGGATATTTTCAGTCCTAACCTAAACGACCGGGTCAAAATATGATCACCTACACTCTTCGTTTATTATTCAAATGCATGCAAACCGTATCGCGGTTCCGATGCACGCAACCCTACGATATTTTACCGACTTTATCCCCACCGATTAATGTAATTCTCTATACAAACACACGTCATCGTGCTTTACGGTAGGATCGATGGTTGACCCGATTTCCGTCGTATTCTTATGACCGAATAACGTTGTCTAACCAAGTTTACCGTGAACTTAAACAATCGACTTCGGTCAAAATCCGAGCAGAAGTCACGTGCTCCGTTACTGTAAAAATGAAAACTGAGATTGCAGAGCGGGAGAGGTTACAAGGCAGAAGCCATTCTTAATTTTACAGCTAAAAATAATTTGTTCGCGCTGGTCACTGACGAGTATGTGATCTTTACTACCTACTCTCATCTGATGCAAGGTTTCTCTCTGTTTGAACATTATTATTATTTTTTTTAGATTTTCATGAATTCCGAATGTTTTAATAAAAAATGAGCTATTATACAAAACAGTCTCGCGTCGAAGATCAAATCTAAAAATTATTATTTTTGAACTAACGAAATGACATAGACTGTAATGGAAACAAATATGTCACGCATGAAGTAAACTAACCCAACCTAACACAGCCCGTTACACATGTCAACAAGTATATGTAAATATGTCATGTCAATGAAGATGTATGTTGGGAAATTTGAACCTACCTAGGGAATCCGTACCTATTTTGCTTATCGACAGTGTCAGATTATGCATCTGACAATATCGATTTTTTTTGCTAATGAGATCTTAAATATATAGTGAGGTACGGTTTATCGTTTATGTATCGTATTCATTTGCTTTGTAATTAAGAAACGAGCTTAATATAAAAGGTAACTTTTGGGAAATACAATTATCGTAAATATTTCGGTTTTTGGGAAAGATGATAGGAAAGAAGGAGGTAGGTAATTTTTGTTAAACTCGAGAATTAAAGTATTCAAACAAGTAATTTCCAGTGGCTTACACATGCCTGGTCGACACTGGTCACTGATGTTTTTAATTATTAAACCTAGAACAGCTAAAATACATGTATTTATTTTTAAATGGATTTGTTATTTAATGTTCGTTTAGCTGACACTTGATGGTTTGTCAAATATAGTAAAAAGCACCGTTTCGTTAAATATGTTATTTAATGTTTTTATTGCATAACAATAGAGTGTTATTTTTTATTAATACACTTTTGAGTAAATCGATTTGGAATTACTCTTTTTTTAATCCTTATCGTTTTTATTGGAAGGTAAATGTTATACTGTGGTGTAATATACATGAATTTGCATGCATCTACACACATTGGAGTACTTAATTTCTCTGAACATAAAATAAACCGTTTAGCTACTTGTCATAATTAGTTTTGGAAGGGCATTTTTCTGATTTTTATATGACAAACTAAATAACCAGGCATGATTGCTAGATAATACTGCGCAAGATAATTGCCTCAGACTTGGATAAATAAGTATATTACCGTGTTCATTTTTTATTATGTCATAACATCTTCCATGACTGGGAAAAACGCTTGCAAGTGCAGGAAAAGTTCATTATTTAGCAATCGTGCCTGTTTATTTAGACATGGTTTTTATATTAATATATATTATTTTCTTATTATTATTGTTGTTGATCTAACATTCATTTTTAAGGTTAACTGATAATATGCCGTATTTTCCCGTTTCCGAATAACGTTACTAGGTGTAATATTACTTACTGTAGTATTACATCTTAATCACTGTTCTAATTATGACGTTTCTGGCTGGACTACCGTCCACTAATAATAATTACAACCGATTTTGAAATAGTTCAATTAACAACATTTCTTTTACGGAAGAATAATAATTAAGTGTTTTTTTCAGGCATTTAATTCTAAAAAAAAAAACAGAATGTCTGAAAAAGAGAAAAAAGAAGTCGAACTTAACGTCCAAACGGGACTGGTCATAAAAGAAACCCGTGAGTACACAATACCTACATGTTACAAAAATGTCTAACATGGAAATACCCGATATGTCATTGTGGATTATTATGAACCCATTGTCCATATAATTAACATTAATGGTTTTTATTGTATGTAAAGATACGCACTCCGATTCTCTCCCCCCCCCCCCAAAGTTATGTTTTCATAATCATAATTTAGTTTTTTAAATAATGGTTTATAAATTAATGCTAACATAAAATTATCGATAAGTGTACAATTCTGTTAATATATGATGAATTAAAATTAGGGTTAGCTCCGGTTGGAATTGTTTAGACCGGTGCAAACCTGTTATGATTAGGGCGGGCGCGGTTTATCACATGAATTGCTTCATGCAAAAGAACCTAAGTCACCATTTTATCAAAAACGTGATTATTACAGATTCGTTATCACTTTCGATAACGCACACGACACGACGCAACGATTCATGTTAAAACGGCTTTAGTCCCATTATTATAACCCATTGTAAACAAGCATCTTAAATATCAAATAACATATAATCTTATACAACGTATCAAAAGTTTTTTAAAATTTTTTCAAAACTTTTAAGTTAAGGGTAAGGCCTTTTTTGCATGAAGCGATTCACATAACTTTATAACCTGTAGTTACTAGATTACCTAGTTATTAGATAATGTATTTTGTACATTATTATATTCAATACAATAACGAGTATATTTAAATAACGAAATTTATTCATTAATAGTTTGCATTCGTTAAGATTATGTAGTAAACCTAGTATATTGTTTCAATTAAAATAAACAAAATATATATTTATTATAAAAATATAGTATAAATAATTGTACACTAATAAAACAACATACTATTTTTATTAATCATACTCCTTATATATTTTTAAAACTTTTAAATTGATTTAATGTTATCAATTAGGTGATTGTATAATAATTGTTTAAAAGTTTTAATTTTTCTGACTTTTATTAATTCAATTATATGTGTATAAATGCCCACTACTTAAACTTGTAATTACTTTATATATTAATTGAATAGTTCGTTTCAAAGAAATATGGGGTAAAAGTTAAAAAATGAATATCGTATTACATAAATCTAGTACTCGATTTTAAATTCAAATAAATCATTTGCACGTCGAATCATCGTAGTACGATATTAAAATATAATTATGTTGTCTTGTTTATCGATTATTGTAACTTTCACTTATTGACGTAGATCATAATACAGAAAATATTCATCTAAACTAAGACAAGTATTCAGTGTATTTATTTTGTAATTTTATACGCCACAATATTATAATGATTTATTTTTGTATATTACATTTTTAGAATTATTTTATAATAAAATATTTCGCTTTAGGGACGATGTCGTGCACAAGAATACTCAATTTGATGGTTTTGATCGGGTTTATGGTAAACTACATGCTCCGGGTCAATTTCACCATCGCCATCGTTGATATGGTGCCTAGCAAGAATGACAATATTACCGCATCGCCGATAAGCTATTTGCCATCGTCTCTTCAGCAAAACGGCACCAACGTAAGTTCACAGTATATTATTTGTTCGGTAGTGTAATAATACACTTATGTCATTCGATAGCAGTAACATGCAACAGTCACCCCAATTCATTTGTCAGGGCGTGCCTCGAGTGCGTGTATTGAATCCGGGCCGGGCGTCACCTTACACAAACCCAGTGAAATCAACGGATACTGACCAATATCAATTGGATTTTTTTCATTTACCAAGTAGGAAATTTTTGACATTTTCCCGTGTCGACATGCTAGAAGTCCTTGAATTTGATTTCACTTAGATATTGGGTACGACCAAAAAACAAAATTCTGTTGTCGACCACAATAATCACATGCCCCTTTGGCACCGCCGTCCGTTTGGACTCGGACCAAAATCGTGAAAACATTGAATTTTATAACATGTTGCACGTCAGCTGATCTATTTGTGTCGCCGACACCGCAGATCGTTTAAGTTCTTAAATTTCGTCGGTAATCCTTCGATCTCGTTAAAAATGTGATCAAATCTCAAAAAGAACTAGGGCGATTAATGGAGGTTATCCTAAAATTTAAGCCCTCAGTAGGCTTTTTTTTGGGGGGGGGGAGTTTGTAATTACGAAGTCGGTAATTTAGACTTCAGCTCACTAAAATCATGTTTAGATAATCAACACTGGATTATTACAATTATTAGCCGTGTTTTGTAAACGTACAATTCTACTGCACTTGTTATAAGAGATTTGTAAAAAATTTAAGTTTATTATGAATATGTTTTATTTACAATGAAATATCTTAGTGAAAAATATAGCATAATTATGTATTACAAAGCAATATTTTTTTTAAAAATGTAGAGAAATATACATGGGGTTGTTCATTTAACCTAATACATATGAACTGTAGCCCATATTTATTATATTAGCTTTATTGTTTTGGAGGTTCCGAAGTGCCGCCACTTAGTATGATTTCTCGTACTAGTGGTATTAAAATATTATTTTTATCAAATCGTCATGACAATAAAATTGCTGACGAAATAAACTTATTTATCGTTAATCAGAGAGGAAAACCTATGCACAAATGTAATAAAAGCTCATAGTTCTATGCGTAATGGGGCAACAGTTTTTGTTTTTTATTATTTTGCGTTTTCTATGGGTAGCTCGTGTGCGTTTGCCGTACAATTCAAAGAAACCTTGGACTTTACATTGGCCTGTACAACGAGTAGTTGTGTTTCCGATAAAGCAATAGACAAATGCGCGTTTGGTCCACTAAAAATAACATTAAACATTTTAACGAGGCACAATGTTATTAGTATAAAGTAAAAAATCGAGCACGCTGACGCGTTTATTGATTGGGAATATTAGGTACTTCACTTGCGCGGTGAATTTGGGCGAAATTGTATTATGTACATAATATTATTGTAAGACAACATAGTTTTTGTTATGGGAAAACGGCGTTGAAACCTTTTTGATGAAACAAACGCTAATTAAAACATCTGCTGAAACCAAAGAACTTTGGAACTCAAACGTGTTTTTGGAACAAAATATTCAGTGTATGTTATCGAGTAGTGTATATGTAATACGTATGCACATGCATAATACACTTGCCTACAGATAGAAAAAGAGGAGGAGTTATGTCTGACTTATGTGTTAACATTTCAACGAGAAAACGCAGAAAAAGAAGGGGAATATGTTAAAAGTGCAGAGTTGCAATAATCATGGTCCTTTGACCTTGGCAAACGAAATGAAATTTTTAATTCTATTTTTGTTTTTATATATATTGCACTACTGTCATGTTTATAAATACATAATGATCATCGTCATGATTATTGTATAATTATTGTCATAATGTTTTAAAGGCTCGGTACAAACTACAAACATTTAAAAATTACCTATGATAAATTTATCATTTCATTATCATTTATCATTTAAAATAATAATATGTTTTATACGTTACAAAATGTAATAGTATGGTTTAAATTAAAAAAAACTAGAATAATATAAAATTAAATATTTAAATTGTATATTCACAGATAACCGTTTTGTTGTATACAAGATGCTATAATTCCATGTTAGTTATATCGTAATAACATTTAAAAAAACATGTTCTTTAACTATGTCTGTGCCGTGAAAATAACAAATTATATCATAACGGAATCTATATAGAAACTTGTTGATGTTTGTTGGTTAGTCTTTAATTAAAAATAATTCCCATGTGATCTGGAAAAATATTGCAAGGTTAGTCGAGTTTTTATCTTAGAGTGTGAAACATCGGTAAGAAACATTATATATGTAATTACTGTTGCCTAGAGTATTAAAATATCCAGTCATTTATCCAATCTAATTTATTCACGGCCAATTTACATATCAAAGAACACCTCGCCATAAATACATACCTAGCATAATACTCTTTATTTGCGTCATTATATGAACAGTGGTTTCCTGTATTATTATGTTTACAACATTCATAAAATCAGTTGCAATCGTTAATCGGTTGTGATTTCAGACAAATCAATCAGGTGTAGTATTAAGAATCAATTTTTTAATTATTATCTTATTTCACTGTATTATACGGAATACCATTACGAATTCTTAGTAAAAATGTTTTGGCGGTACAACGGTAGACACAACTGTCATTGAATATTAGTTTTAAAACTAAAATAATCCCGAGTAGTTGGCGTTTCACTCGTTACTCGTATATAGTATATACCATATACGGTATACCTTACCTAACCCTATGAACATCATCAGTTAAGTTCACTGTATTTTTGTTTTAAGGAATTCGCCGAGTAATACAGTACAGTAACTGGTCCAGACACACACAAAACATAAAATAAAACACATATTGTAAAAACAATCTTTTCAGCTACGCAAATTTTAAAATACCTTTATTGATATTAGATATTTAAAAGCATTTCAATTAGAGTTTCAAAAATTCGCTTATTATTATTCACATTCGAATTAGACTACAATGTTAAGCCAATTGTTTTACTTTCAAAGTGTAAACTTCTTCTTTTGTAAGGGATTGAATTAGTATTATAAAAAGTAGCAACACGCTGAAGTCACGTATGTGTTATCACGGTGTACATAATGTGTACCTGTACGTGTTTCTGAACATTTTCACTGTGTTGTGACTTGTGATTATTATTTTTGTTGGCTAGTAAATGTTTATGTCCGCGAGAGATTTGTTTGTTAGTAGGTATCATAGTGTTGACATAGTGGACGTAGATGGTTATCCCCCTCAGGCGATCCACTATTAAAGAAAACTTACTATATTATCACAATAGTAATTAAACTATAACTATAGCATAATAACTACCATTCACCATAGAAAAAATACTATAAAAACTTTCGGTAAAATAATAGTTGAATCGTTACAGCTTTGATGTCCAACGAAAATATAGGTCACGTACCCCACCCCTCACCCGGTTATTATATAAAAACATGATTTAATTATTATTATTAGATTTGTGGCTAATTTGTGTTTAGGTACATGATAACATTTAATTAACGAGTAGTTTAAGAAGTTTTTTAACAACAAAATTGGTTGTGTGCTAATTATCTGCAGATGTATAACACATTAATTTTCAATATTTTTACTTGATTAGCCTCAAGGTCTTAATATATAAACGATTGAATACTTTGATCAAAATAATACCACATAGTGTTATTATAAAACAAAACGATAAGCCATGCGTGTTAGCCTGTAAATTTAAATAATATAAACTGTAAATATAAAATAATAAATATTTACTATACATGTGAACACTGTGGACAATGTGATAAGCTCAACAATTATTATGTTATTTTTAAATGTATTTTTTTATAAATCTGTTATGGTCTCTAAAGTTGCAAAAATAAAATAATCGCTGCCAAATCATATAACTTCCTCTTCCTTTTTTGAAATTTAAATATTAATTAGGTTTTTGGATATAAGTTTGACTGATAATAGCAATAATAGTCATAACTCATAACGTTTACAATTATTGAGCTAGAGGGCCAAAACTTCTTACACACGTCGAGCTCAATCAATTACATTAACATTAAACTATGCAATTCAGATATACCTACGTTCAATTCATCACGAGAAAAAAAAATCCTGTCAAATTGAAACACAATCACCTAATCACTATCACATTTTAATCAGTTCATCTACACAACCGATCAAACTTACTGGTAAAATTTCAGAGTAAAATTCGAATCCGCATATTCGCTATCGAAGAACATATCAATTTCAGACAAATACACACATTTACGGACAGAATGCCATGTTGTTCTATTTCGATAATAATACATCTTACTCCCATCCTATGTAGAAGCTTTCGAGGTTGTTAATGTTTTCGGTCAATATTGATTTAATGTAATCACAACACAATATGAATAATAATATATTTAGTTATTTGAATTTAACATTTAAAATTTTAATATTGTAATATGTAAACTTCCCCTGTGGGTGGGGGCCAGAATACACCCGCGGTAGTCCATGCCTGTCGTAAGAGGCGACAAAAATGGACTTAAAGTTGAGCGGCAGCGCCTTCAGTACTGGCTATAGGTGGATGCCTCGTAAGCAGGTACAGCTATAGCCAGGTAATAGTAGTAGGCGTGCATGGAGACCATGAACACGGCTATTATACTACGACGTGGAAGGCAACGGGAAACCACCACATTATAGTCCCAAGACCAAATTCCTACAAACTCACAAAAAGAAGAGGAAGATCTAGAGCAAAGTTCATATCACAGTCATGTGGAAAAGTGGGCCTAAAATATGTAGATATTAAAAGGAAAATAGAAGACAGAATGGAGAAGAATTGTAGGAAGGCAATACCAGTCGGAAGACTGAAAAACCTAAAGAAGAATATGTAAACCACCAGGTTTTTAAAAAGAACAATATTATTATTATAAAAATACTAAGCAATAGGTTACTGCCTACTATAAATCACATTGGATAATAATAGTGTTTTTTAGTTAGTCGAGTTTAAGGTACTTATATTATACATGTTTTTAATTTACGACTGCTATCGTGAATTTTTATGTCAACATAATACGCTGTGTCGTTGACCTGGAGACTGAAGTAAAGCAAGGACCAATCGATAGCAGAGACAACAGAAATATATTATTCTTATATTTATAATCATTGAATGTAAATATAAATTATTATCAATAAATATTTAGAGGATATGTGTAGGATATACTCTCTACACATAGGTTTTTTTCTTGAATTGATTACATATTTCTAGTCGAAGTTTCTATTAATAAGTTTCTATCTTATAACATGAGAATGCAAGATTCATCTATTATCTAATGCAAATCTGATTTATGAAAAGTTTTTTAGAGAATTATAGTTGTACTGATTGTGAGTTTTTGGTCGTTTTCCACAGACCCTCGTGATTTTCACGGGAAATCATAGACGCAACTAGCCCTACATTTTGGGGGGTACTAAAATTATGTATACCTGACTAAACTAAATTCTTAACTTCAAACCATTAGGTATAAAATATTCTAAAATAAAAAATTCGAACAGAGTATGTAAATTATTACAATTTTATGCGTACAAATTAAGGATGGGTGTTTGAATTTATAGCGGTGCTAATTTTGAGTCTTGAGGGTGCTAAGTCCCCTAGCACCTCCCTAGTTGCGCCTATGCAGTAAACCTTAACTCGTGGTATCTGGTTTTGATATCATTCGGTTTTGGGCTTAGGGCTTAAGCATTATCGTTTTCGACAAAAAATTAACTTTTTGGTATTAGTTACGTCAAAATAATATTCCGATTGTGACTAGTAAAGAATAATAATATGTATTGTATAGTGTACGAAGGTGAGGTGGTATTTTCTTACTAGGACATAAAAATTTAATATAGTTTAATTTTTTATCCGTCCAGTTAGTTGTTTACTTTATAATAGTCAAGGTTAACATATTAATAACAAGTTCCTTGTTTTTGTAATTTGTCGCGCATCTTCTTCATTAATCGACTGCGGAAAAAGTAGGATAATGTGGTTAGGCGTAGTATATTAGTATGTATGGGTATTTTCCCATTTTCGGCTATAACTACTAATTTAACTTGACTTAATCGACATTGGTTAGTGTTGGTAAAATAAAAACTAAAATAATCTGTAAATCCTTAGGAGTGTTCTAGATAGGTTTAATCATAGTAGAATAGTATGTTATAACCTGTCTATGCTAAAAATGAAAATAACTAGGCATTATCAGTACTCAGTAGATAAATATGCAATATTTTGATTATGGTGAATGTGTATGTTTGGATGACAGTATTTTATGTGTTCGAGGTCAATGGCGAATGGTAATATATTAAACAAGTGTAGTATGCTAATGTATTAAAATCTACTGTTGTAGATATTTTATGTCTTGCCTTGCATTTATATTTATTTCTCCATTAATCCAATAACGTATTATGGTTTATAAATTCAATTGACGTAGACACAGGATAAAAAACACGTTTTTGTTTCAAGTATGGTAATAAGAACCTGCCGATACCCTCAAGAACACTAAAGTGCTGTGTCCATTTTTTTCAAAATCGTGATTTGGTATCCCTGAATTCATGATAAAAAACTGAATCGAATTAACACCAGTGATCTGTGATATGTCCAAAGAGCATAAATATAACGTTCAATTACAAATAACCGTAAAATTCTATGGCCATAGTGGATTTTTTGCAATTATTCAAAACCATATAAAGTGGAGAGAGCACTTGTGTGCTTTAAAGTATTTATTGTAGGAATTATAAGAACCATGATAAATGATAATTAAAATATAAGTTTTAATCTTGTATAGTATATAAATTTGTAGTTCCGGATACAAACGCATAATGTAGCCTTGTGCGGTGTTTTATAAGACTTTAAACTGGATAATATAAACTATAAAATTATAATTTAACAATTAGCTGTGGTGTGATAAAATAACAATGCTTGTTTTAAAAGCACGAATAACTAACAATATTTATTATCTGTATAGACTATATTTCTACTATATTATTTTTATTAAGTTCGTTAAATAATTATGAACTAAATGATTTCCAAACACGTTTTTTAGACGTCCTCGACGAATTGGGTCCCTACCAAGCTGACAAATGGCGTGAAGTTTAACTGGTCCGAGTATGAGCAGAATATAATACTTGGAAGTTTCTTTTGGGGATATGTCCTAACGGAATTGCCTGGAGGCCGAGTAGCCGAAATGATTGGGGCTCGGACGGTGTTTGGTTATTCCATGTTGTTGGCGTCCATGATCACCTTACTGACACCCATGGCAGCAAAAATTGGACTATATTGCATAATATTTTCTAGAGTATTTTTAGGCTTTACATTAGTAAGTTTAACATGCAACTAAATAGTAAGGTTCTGACTTCTGTCGAGTTTGTTTGGAAAATTATATTATATGCACAGGCGCCGCTATTATAATTACCAGGGGGAGCACAGTTTTTTAGTACTATATTAACCCAACCGAGTAGTCAAATATCTAAAACGGCTTGAGTCACAATGTGCTTGGTAAATGAGCGTTATAGCTGCCTAGGTTTACATAAACAGTATACTGATTTATTTCTACAAAATAAAGGTATAATATAAATACTAAATAGGTATAATAATATTATCATAAAATTGTACCAACTAAATTGATACAATAATTAAGTTACTATTAAGAACTGCTTTGTGAAATGAGTTGATCATCTGAGTATAAAAGCATTAGAATACTTTCTAAAAACTTTCTTGTTATGTCCAAAACTTTGGCTGAACTATCAAAAAGTACAGCAATTTTAAAGACAAAAGTTAAAGCTTACCAGTTTTTATTGTTACACTGCAAGTAATGGCCGTTTATTCTGCTAAATTTGAATCAGTATGAGGTCAACTTTAATAGGTGGATATTGATTTGACAACAGTAAACAATCACATAACTTTGATCCCTATTAATTATTTATAGATAAGAAGTCAAGGTTTTTAAGAATCATAATACCGCGTTAAAGAATTTAGTCATTTAAATATCACAATAAATTATACTGTTCATTGCAATAATGTTTTTGACTGCTATAATTTTCAGGGAGTAACGTGGCCGGCTATATTACCATTGGCCGCTAACTGGATTCCGCCAAACGAACGTGGCAAGTTCATGGCCAACATGATGGGTAAACGAAATTCGTTTAAATATTTTGTATTGTTCTTATTGATAATAAAGTGATACAATGGGCTCATAGCCTTATATCCCCTCATAAGTTAAAATCTGTCATTCACAAACAGAGGGTGGTTATAGTAGTTTTAACGTGACGCAAACTGTAGGACTGAAGTCAATCTGCCTAGGCCCTAGTTAGTAGATAAAAATACCGTTCAATATATCGTGGTGATAAAAGATATCAATGGTAATAGTATCTTGTAAAAAACAAAAATATTTTAAGATAAGGATAAAAAACTTTTTTTATCATATAGAGTACCAATCGCTAAACATTGTGGACTATTTTTTTTCCTTTTGTGTGGCCATACTTGTTTTAATACTACTATTTACTTCACTATACAAGCATACAAGCTAAATAGTATATGTTAGTTCATCTCTTTTTATTGTTACTCTATGTTCACAAGTCACAGTCGTTCATTTGTTATTTATTAATCCTTATTATTTACAATAGACTATATTGATTTTATAATAGTATGGACATTATTATAGGCTTTATTTATCTCAAGAACGTAAATTAAAATAAAATAATACAAGAAGTAGTCCAAGTCCTTAACCACTCCAAGTCCAAAGTATCAAGAGTTTATCAATAAAATTTACTGAATACAAAAAATGATAATTTCGTAAACGTATTTTACATCATTATCTGAGTAGGTGATTGCAAGTTACCTAGACCTATATAAAAATTTCGTTTATTAAATTTTAAATAATTTTAATTGATTAAGTATAAATTGTTTTGCTGTTAACATCTTTTTCGCTTTAGAAATATTTTTTATTAATTAATAATAATTTTCGGCTTTTCCTTGAACCTGATTATTTGGTGATTAATTACATTTGATTGTACTACGGCCTTATATTGTTTTATAAAATTGTTAAAAAAGTAATATAATTAGTATATCATATTACTCATATATATTAGTTTTATATTTGTAGTATAAAAATTATATAATAGTGAAAATAAAATAATTGGTCAATTTCAATAATTAAAAAGAACTGAATTATAATAGATTTTGGCTAAGCCTATATAGCTGTACTAACACGAGGAAGTAAGTTGAGTAATTACAATTAAATTATTTTACTATGAACATTAGATACCCAAGTTTTATGCCATGACTTTATCGAAAATACAAAAAAAGGTTAAATCGCCTAATACATGTGAAACACTACGTACCGGTGATTGGTTAAATATGACATAACTTAAAATATTAATTAGTTTTTTATACTATTATAGCTATAAGTTAGGCCAAATTTGAAATATTTTTTAAAAATATAACACCATCCCTTATGTGTTAAAACTTAAAATCCTATCGATTTAAGATTTTTTAATAGCATTCGTCGTATTATCATATATTAAGTTTTAGCAACCGTCGTATATTTTATCATATTTTTCGAATTTCAAACCACCTAATACCGTATTTAAACGAAATAACGTGTTATTATCTTTAGTTATCAATTAGTCAATCACCCGGTATATATATATATTTACCATATTTTTTTGTTTTATCAAATTGAATTTCCTCTAACAATAATTCATGTTTGTTTTAGCTTCTTCTCTGGGTGCTGCTATTACCTTACCAGTTTGCGGTATTTTGATATCTAACTGGGGATGGGAATCAGTGTTTTACATAACAGGTCTCGTAGGGATTGCGTGGTCTGTGATGTGGTTCACTTTGGTGTTTGAGAGACCCAGTGACCATCCTAGGATTACCGAATATGAAAAACATTATATCGAAGCTCAAATCGCTAAACAAAGCACTCCTGGAACGAAGGTAAGACAATTATTTCGTGTTTTATTACTTAAACAAAAAAATCAAACAAGTACCGAGTAGGTTCAGACCCTCGCCCAAAATAAAATTACGAAAACATGTTTTATAAGTATTTACTGTCAATTACAAACAATTGCTTATTGCCATATTGTAACACTGTTTAAAAGAGAACGTTTGTTTCGGCGACCCGGGAATCTGTGATTAATTAATAAAAACCCGTGCTAATCTAATCAAGCAATATTCATGCGTGTCGTAGCATTTAGAACTACACTCCCTAAAGCGGCATTAATTTTGAGAAAATTGTAACTTTCAGATTTTTTCCTTTAGTTACACTATGTGCGAAATTTCACGTTTCTACCTTTACGGCAAGTGTTTTATAACTTTGATGATGAGTGAGTGAGTAAGTCAGTAACATAAATGAAAACTTTGAAATTCTCCCCTTTTGAAAATGCTTACTATTAAAGGCTCAATTGTTTACAGTATCCTAACCTACTCGAGCTTAATCAATGTTTCAAATTTCAAAAGTTTATCTTAAGACCAAACAGAGAAATGGGGCTTAGAAAAACTAGGTGAATTGGTTCGTGCGCTCAGTTATATTTCTGCTTTTTTTATTCAAATAGATAATGAATACGTTTATAACTGGTAAATGTTATTGTTAAATGAGTGCATAAACAGAGAACTTATAAACGTAATCTTTAATCTCTATTGTTTTGAAGTTGTTGACAAGTAGTTTGACAAGTAAATAACAACGGGTGACTATTAAGAACCTATTAAAAATCAAAAAATCTTATGTTGTACAATTTTATAACATAATATAATATTTCATTTTTTGTCATTTTAAATACATAGCATTAAATCAATATAAATCAACAGCCTAAGCTTTGGTGATCATTGAATTGGAATCTTTGGATACTTTTTTTACTGTTCACATGACTAAAATTGTTTTTAAAAAACGTTTACATAGTTTACAGTAATACCTATATTTACAAATAAGCTTTGCCAACGTTTCGGAAGCCTTTCATCTTCCATCTTCAGGGCTGTGTATTGTGATGCGTGCTAGTTATGTTGTTATGTTGTTCGCTTCGCTGCGGCCTGTAAACTGAAGCGATCGTCTCCGCGGTCGTAGGTTACGATTTATACTGATGTGTCTAAATACCCTACACAAACTTCAACAAATTAAAAAAAAATGGTTTCGTGAAAAGTTAAAAAAAATTTTACACAAGCGTATTTGTCACAGACTTAACATTCAAAACGGAGTTCTTCCTCTTTTAATTATTAACGTTTAACTATATGGAAAAAATGTTATTATTTCTGCCTGCATATCACTACAGCTGTTTTATCTGCTTATATACGTCCTGTACATTGTACTTGAGCATTTAAAGGCTAAAACTAAAGGCGATAGTACAAGTCTAAGACTAGATTTAAAAATGACCACCAAAAAAATCATGTCAAACAGAAAATATATTTTATTATAGCCGAAAAAACTACCTTGGGTGAAAATTTTGACATCGTTGCCAGTATGGGCTATTGCAATCACACACGGTTGCAGCGTTTTCGGATACTTTACCATTGTCAATCAGTTACCAACGTACATGAAACATATGCTACACTTTAACATCAAAACCGTAAGCGCCCTTTATTTAATTTTCTCTGCTCGAGAGTTTTTTTTTATATATACTTACGCTACTGTAAACGAACTTTCGCAATTTTAGAACGGGTTCCTGTCGAGTCTTCCGTATTTAGGCAAGTACGTATCGGCCCTCATAGCCGGAATAGTCGCTGACCGCATGTTTAAATCCGAAAAATTATCCAAGACTGCGATTAGAAAATATTTCACTACCTTAGGTATGTGCAATTCTGTTTAATGATATCTTTAGATCGGTTAATTAGAAATTTCTAACGTTATTGTTGCTCTCCGTCCGTCAGGTGTGTTAACTCCGGGTCTGCTGATGATAGTACAAGTGTACTTTGGAGACGATCAAATTTGGTCCGTGATCGTATTTACGGCTGCCATGACGATTAACGGAGTCATTACTGGCGGATACTTAGGGAACGGATTGGACATCGCACCGAATTTCTCTGGTAATCATTTATTGTACGATTTAAAATAATTAACAAATCCAATAAATGTTTTTTTTCGTTGAATTTCAGGTACGATATTCGGCATAGCCAACACGATGTCCTCGTTTGGTGGATCTTTATCATCGTACATCGTCGGTAAACTCACAAACAACAACGTGAGTTGAAAAAATACAATTTTGACAACTACTTGTATATTTGGCTAGTACTGTTGTAAATCCTGATATTAACGAGAAGTTGATTTTTTCAGCAAACTTTTGAACAATGGCGTATAGTATTCTGGATACTGGCTGTAACTTACACTGTCGGAGCGTTAGTGTTTTTGATTTTCGGTACAGCTAAAACTCAATCGTGGAATTCTACGGAAAATAATCACAGCGAGTTTCAAGGAAACACACCAATCGACCACGAAGCGACGAAACCGTTAAAAAACTCGTCTTCATAAAACATTTATTTATTGAGGACATATCTTTGTAACAAAGACATATTATATAATATCATTTATGTTAATTATTGTACAGAATTATTGATAATTTATTGTTAATTATTATTTTTTAATACTCATTACTACATATATGTATTGTTGTGTATACTTATTATATACATATAATTTCGTTTACTTATATTACTCGTAATCGTGGTTTCAATTTTTATTTAAGTTTTTAATACATAAAAGTTAAAACAATGTATATATACAATCCTCCAAAGCAAAAATGTATTAAGCCACAAAATGTAAATTTTACAGGAGAGTGAAAAATAGTATTATTATTATAAGTTTACATTTTGTGACTGAATAGACAATTTTAAATTTGCTAATGATAATTAACTCTCTCTCTCTGTCTCTCTTACTGTCATACACAATCTGGTTTTGCAACTCAAAGTCACTATCAAGAGAAATTATTTTTCTTCCTCAATAAAAAAAAAAATAATCTAACTTTTAAACTGAATATTTCTTTACTGGATCTACGATGTACCGAATAAAAAAACATATTTTATACAACAAATTTGGGGTGTTAGGTCAACGATCCTTAGTGTATGTATTTTTTCGGTTATTTTCATATAAAAATAACATATACAGCTCAACAAGTTTTTAAGTATAAAATTTTAAACATTTTTTTAGTTAAAAAATTGAAGAATATTAGAATAAACATATATAATTGTATAAGGTGATTTGTGAAGTCTGTTAATTTTGAATGAATTATTATGTGTAAGTAAGCCTTTATAATTGTTTTTATTTAACCGGAGATATGTTAAGTTAGAAATCATAAATTATCTCGCTTATTACATTTTAAACCTCGGTGTTTTTCGTACAGTAATATACTTTTTTATCTCGCTTTTATAAGTTTTTAAAAGTTGAAAATTGGACTTCTGGATTAGGAAAAACACATATTTTTAAATCCATGAAGTCCATTTCTATTTAATATTATTCTCGCGTATATTTTTATTTTTAATAATTAATTAAAGTTAATATTTTATAAAAAAAAACCTTAATAAATTTATTTGACATTTAAAAACATATTATATTGACTTCATAATATACATTTGTAGTCTTAGGATTAGAAAATACTCTTATAGATAAGGTATAGTATATACATTTTAATTGTTTGTATTACCAGTCCTAATGTTGTCTGTGATATTTTACAAATCGACTGCTTGATGTTATGACTTATGCACTAATGAAATATAAGAATACACCTACAGGGTGTTTAACAAATTTGGACTTACTTGTTCAAGCCTATATCGACTAACTTCTCACGTATTTGAACACCTCATATAATTTAGCACATTTTTAAAAAAAACATTTTATTTTGTTCAGGCTCAGCGTGTAAAAGGGCGTATTTCCACTAAAGGATCGAATGAAAGACCGGAAAATAGTTTTATATATTATATGAAAAACCAGTATAGTTTTTACATTTATTTTTTAAGATAAAGTTATCAAATCTCATTGTGATTAAAGTAGTTATAACCGATTAGTGATTCCTTATTTCAAATTGATAATTGTATTTTAGTATTGAGTGCTAAACTAAAAAATATAATTTATCGTATCAAAAAAAAAAACCTTATGGCTCAATTATCATTCAACATTTTATTAGTTTTTAACTAAAATACATCAAAGTATTATTACGACTTTAACCAGAAAACTTTGCTAAGAAATCTATATTAATATAAATTTTTGGTTTAAAAAAACTAAGAAAACTTTTATACAAACTTTTTTTGTTAAAATACAATATTTTTGAACTTAGGTTAGGAATTTATTGGAGGGGTGTATAGTATACTCGTATTTTATAAAAATAGTAACATAATTTGTTTTTTAATGTAAGCTCCTATTTTTTTTTTACACTACTGCAAATTGTAACCCAAAACTAGTTCGAAAAGATTATAGGTTAGTTGAAATATTTAGTAAACTGATAACAAAAAAAAAATATCCTAAAATTAAATTTTTTTGAAATTAATTTGAAGTTTGGATCATTACATTAAATATGTTGTACTGCCTATACTTAACGCAAACTGAGTAGCTTTTAGGCTCTGAAATGTTTTTATCATATAATAGACTTACACCATCTACACATTTAATTAATTTATGGAATCGTTATATTTAGGGTATACAAGTTATAACAGCATCATAGGCCATACGGCTGGCGCACGAAATAAACATCTAAGACGGCTCATCAAATTAAGTTCATTAGCTTGCGACTTGAACCGGTTCTATCACTTAAGTCTGTTGCAGAAATTACCATGGCCATTACCATATTCCTACTGTGCTAGCTGTTTTACTTATTACTAATTGCCAGTAAATAATAAAAAAAAAAAATCTAAATATTCTTGTAATATTATTTTACAAGTATATATTTTTAAATTGTGTTAGGTAAGTAAGCACATTTATTTTTGAAAAGGAAAATTATTATTAAAATAATAATATGAACGTGCATTTTTATAGTTAATAATTATAAGCGATGTCTTTTATAAAAACATACATTTTGATGTATACATGGATTTTACAAATATGCTCGTATTATAACTTCTACAATTATACAGATACAGTAGATACAGTTTATCTATACATCATATTACTACCGCATAACATATTATTAATGGTTTTACAACTTAATTAACAAATAAACAAACTATTTGTAGGTATACACATGTTATATATATATATATATATATATATATATATATATATATATATATACATGCTTATATTATATAATTAAGCTTACATATTATAGCAATGTCAAAAAGGAAGTATTTTAGAAATCTTATTAGTCAATAAAGTTGTAGTGTTTTTTAATGTTCAGTATAATTTAATTTGTAAGATTTAGTGTATCTATAGTCTCTAACTCGATATTAAAAAACACATCAGAATTAACTGAAAAAAATACTAAAACGTATTACATAGTTTAATATTTTAAGATTTAATTCAATTTATGTTTTTTAACAAAGGTACAGATTATGTCACTGTATAGACCGTTTTGGAAAGTATTGTATTCGCGTCTGTCAAAGGTTCTTCGTCAATAGGATTAGGACCGGGTCCTTGATCAACTGCCGGCATTGTATTGTTGCCCTGTACCGTTTGTAAGCCGATTCTCATACTTTCCAGGGCTTCTCCTAAGCCGATTTTTATCTCCTTAAATTCTTGAGTGACCAGCGACAGTCTGCCCAGTAAGTAGTTGAGATTCTCATCCACCTCAGACATACGACCTGCTATAGCCGACACTTTGTTATTGACGCCGTCCACTGACTCTAAGGTACTGTTGACAAACGTGTCGGTCTGTTTCTGGAGGGTGGCCAGAGTGTCGGCTGAAGCTGTCAACGTCTGGTACATAATACCTATTTGTCTCCATACTTGACTTATTTCAGTCTCAATTTTCAAGCTCAAGTTGGCCATGCCCACAGCCTGCGCGTCCAATACGGTTTTAACGGCTCGTTCCACGCTCGTGTTGATCGTCTCGTTGATCTCCTTCGTTCTTGTATTGACCACATCCGTCAATTCTAACAGTATCTGGTGCGTGCTGTATTCGATCCTTCGCTTGGTATCCAAAACATTGTCGGCCGTTTGTACCAGTACTCGTTCCACGTCTGACAGCACTTTTACTTCACCTGACATCAATCGGAAACTGTTTTGCACGTCGTCCTGGAAGGCTTTGGAAAATTCGGCCGATTGAGTTAATGTGATCGCAGCCGCATCCCTCTTTCGCTCAGCCTCGTCCAACCTGGTGCTAACCGATTCGATGGCGTCCATTAGCTCGTGTTTAGTCTGCTGCATCAGTTGTGACGTGATGTTTGACGACTCGGATCCGCCCACAGAGTTACTGTCCGCAATCTTTTTCAAGAGCTCATATAAGACTTCGTTGGTAACTCCAGGTTTAGGTGCCTGTTCTACGGAATCAAAACGGGCCTGAAGAGCGCTGATCTGTGAAGATAGTACTGTCAATTTATTGTCAAACGCTTTGTAAATATCTCCTGATGTTTTTTGTTCCATTTCTAAAATTGTCTTGAGTTCTGATGCACCTGATACGACATGCTCATCAATGCTGTCAAATATAACTTTAGAGTTGGCTTGGTTAGCGACCTGCAAAAAAATAAATATATATTTGTCTCGAATACTTGATTCTTTAGTTTGAGATTTGTACAAATCTTTAATGAGATAAGAAACAATTTTCCTCAGTTAAAACAAAATATGAGGCAATAGATTGAGATGATTGAGGTATGAACGGGAACAAAAATTTAACATAGGACAAATAAATGAAAAGAAAAAAGTTTAAGTATGATATTTGTTTACATCTTCGACAGCCGCTTTTTTTAGTAGCTCGATACTGGGCATTAATCCACTCATAACCGTATCCAGAGTTTTGTCAGCGGAGTCGGCTTCCTTTTGCCGGGTTTCAATTGTAGCCAAAACGTTCTTCAACTGTTCTCCCAACTCCCTCTCGCGGTACTCATGCCTTTCCAACTTGGCCATGTTGTCCCGAAACATGTGTACCAAAGTAAAAATTGCATTTCGAATATCCTCATGACTATAAACAAAATATATACAAATTTGAAAAATGGCCAAAAATATTAATTTTTTTTTTTATCTAATTGAATGTGAAATGTGTATACGAGAAGGTGGAGCAAAAACGTTACCGTTAACAGAAAAGCTTTTGTATTTAAATGTAATGCATATCAAATATATATTTTCTATTCCGCATTCTGCAGATTCAGCTCTATAGGTTTTTCAAAAATGTTTTTTTTTAATTTATAATTAATTACCTCTCCAATGGAGAGTCACCATGGAGAGTCTCCATGTACTCAGCTTTACCCGGGTAAATAAATACAAATGCAACATACATATCATTCCGGGCATCCAGCATAATGTCCCTCACTCTACTCTCTTCCCTCAAAATATATACTAATGCTAGGCTATAAAATCCGGCCGGAAATTAGCTCCTAAGTCCTATCGTGGAATTATGTTTGTTTTTCAACTATCTTCGAATCGCCAAGGGCGGTCTCGTTAAAGGAGCAGGGCAAACTGACTATGAGAAGAGACTGCCATCCCTCCGCTATGCATGACAGAAATGCTCTGCGCTACACTCGGCAACCGAACCCTAATTGGGCCTCTCCCGATCAAAACGCCATTCGAAAAAATTAATAACTATAATGTATCAAATATCAATATTGAAAATATTCTATTAATTTGAAAACGAAATAGACGTTTGGCGAGAAAATCCGAAACTTGAAAATTAAATAGATTCCCCTCCCCGCCATAGTATGGTGTGAAGGAATAGGTCAGTATGTATACATACGGTCATGATTATAGGTGTAATAGTTAAAGCTATTCGATTGGAAATATTTAGCAAGCTAGTGGTTTAAGTACAGGGGGTCTATTCTTGAAACCATTCGAAAATTATTCGTATACGACCGATTCGTATACGAAATGTTCGTATGCGAATGTCAAGAATACCATTTAAAGCAGTGTTATATGACTATTCGTACACGAATAATTTTCTATAATTATTTGCGGTGTTTGTACTTTGTTAACTACGGTGTCATAATTTATGAGAATGTACTATAATCAAAAACTTTAACTTAATCTTAAAAGTCAAAATTACCAATAGTTGTCAATTTGTATTGTATAGTCAACAGTGTCGACTGTGTAATGTGTTTTACTGAATTTACCGTAAATTATTTTAAATAATGTGTCACCTCTATTGTTGACTACGTTTGTCGATATCCATTTATCGTTTAGTGATTACTGCCGGTGTCTGAACATTTCGGCAAGATTATTACTAAAGACCGAGAACCCACGAGATAAGTAAGGTCTGCCTTGTCTAACTATAGGTTTTAAAAAAGCTAAGTATTGTCATTACTGCATAACTTTTTTTTTTAAATGGATGATGATAATGATTTAATAATGCAATTATTTGCTATCGAAGAGTTGGAACAAAGAGAACTTGACGGAGAAGTAACTAGGCGAACTTATGAGCCTATTGATCCTTTTGAATGTAAGTACACAGATTTAATATTTTATGTTACTATTAAAATAGTTATTATATTACTAAAATAAAATATGTCTATATAATATATTATATTATATATTTTAACAATTTGCTGTCATTACTACATACCCATAATTATTAGTATGCAAGACTGTTTGGAGAAGAATAAAAAAATACAAATTAATTCGTAAATATTTAGTAAGTACAACTTTCTAAGTTAGTTCTTCCTACCAATAATTTTCATAATAGTAATAAAGTCTTAGATAATTATAATTTTGTATTATTATTATATATTGTAATTAATTATCAACTAAAAAATATTTTCAATACAATATAATGAACATAAATCAGAACCAACCAACCAAATAAATGATTTATTAAAATTTAAACATTACATTAGTGTACTATAGAATGTTGATAAAGTGCATTTTGTACTAAATACCACCTACTAAATATATAGACTATATTTTATAAAGTATACATTTAACTAAATTTAATTTTACTATTTAGAGTAATCATAAATATTTAGAATTATTAAATAGTAAACCAATTGTATACTTAAATATTTGACAAGATTTTAGACTAGATAATTTAATAATTCAGGTAATATAACGTAATTCGTATACGAATGCCTAGTAGAATAGAAAGAGTAATAGAAAACGCAATTTCAAGAATACAGTTTTAAAAAACCAGTAGAAAGTCACATTTCGTAAACGAAATGGTAGTAGAAAATTTTCAAGAATAGACCCCCAGTTCCCGACTTGATGCTCTTTTTTTTAATTTTTAATTTTAATTTACCAATGTTCTTCTCTAAAAAATATCTTTAAAAAAAAAAACCAAAAAATATGAAAATCGCGTCAGTAGTTTCAATGAGTACCCCTGAAAAAAATAAAGAACTCTCTTAAGGGCGCCCACAAGTGAAAATACAGAGGGAGGACCTCCTATGATTTTACAAATTTGGGATATTGAATATACATTTTTTTAACTTTCAGATAAGGTAAGGGGATGTTGACCTCCCTGCCCCTTCCTCTGGACGTCCTTGGACTCTCTTTTATATACATAGAAAATATTTTTATTTGACCATATTTAATTTTAAGTTATTTTAAATAGCCTTTAAAAGTTGTGTGATTTTGTATGTGTTATAAAAAATTGCATGTGTCCTAGTAGCCTTTAAATTATATGAAAAAAAAATCGAATATAATTCAGTAACTTTGATGTAATCCTGAAATAGAAAGCACAACTAATATTATGGTTCTCAGTCTGATAAACGCCATACTTTGCACTTCCTTAAAACCAACTATGTTGTTATATAGGTGTTCAAAAAATCGAAATAACTTACTTATAAACACTTCTAAATATAAAACACGAAATATTTTCCCTTTTGCTTTTTGAGCACATCAAGTAAATGTTCGTAGGTATGTTATAATGTAAATGGCCAACCATTCTCCGTCCCTCATTATAAAACCCATTAAAATGTAATAAAATACATTTCGTCCAGCAAAAGAATTCGGTAAACCATAATGAACGTTTACGCGTCTTAGCATAGAGTTTTTATTTAAGAACACCTATTTTAATGAGCCTATTTTATCTTTATATTACTTTAAGGTACCTGTTTTTTCATCTTTTATTATACAAATATATAATATTTTTTGTATTATGTAAAATTCCGGCGACGGATTGACGACCCGCCCCGGAAGCGAATTCGTTAAGAAACCATCTCATGATGGCAGCGTTGGGCCTTCATGGCCCGTTAAGTTACATGATGATGATGATGATGATAGTGTAAAATTATGTTGTTGTTTTACGTTTCACGATTCGCAAGAAACAAATTAGTAGAAATAGAAGTTTAAATGTGTATAGATTGAGCGATTGGATATAAAACACAATAGAGAATTACAGTATAGGTTTAAGTACCTATTTAAACAAAATATAAGATAAAATATGAATGGGAGATAAACCAATCAACTAAATAGTGAGTTAACTATGAGCCTGTGAGGCCAACATTTTTTGATCATAATGTTATGATTATAACGGAATTACATTGATAACATAGTCTATTTGAGTGGTACCTACGACAAGAAATGAAAATGTAAAGAGATTCAATCCTTTTTGTGAGTGCAGGGGTTGAGAAATTCAATAGATGGAAACTATGACGAGTATGAAAAAGAAGGTAAGCCATTAGCCATAAGTATGTTTTTAAAAAAATATCGTGAGTGTATTTTACATTAAAATGTGAGTTTTGGAACTACGTCAGTGGTAAACAATTTGATTTATAATCTTACAAGCTAAATAAATACATCACTCACGTCACTTCTCTAGTTGCTGGTCCAGACGCACCTTGGACGTCGACTATGGCGCAAAAAACCAGACAGGACACGGCCACGATTTTCGACCACATATTTTCGTCCCGTGTGCAAAGAACCGTTGGTGTGGCGTTTTAGGCACGTCGTCGTAAGACTAAAACGGGATGTGTTATCTTCCAACAAAAACAGTTTCGTTTTCATTATTCCCCCCAAATCAAAATCGAAAAATATATAGTATACATTATTGATATTATTAATATTATTATATATATATTACAGCTACTGATAAAGCCCACGTTCCGTTTGTATAACGGAAACGTCGATTAGCCGGAACATGATAATGAACGCGCGTTAAGTAATGGAAAGTAATATAAAACCAATAAATGAAAGTAACGTTAAATAAGAACAAATATCTTCAATGACGAAATCAAATGGTTTGGGTAAAAAACTCGGTTTTCGGAGATATAGCCCAAACGCAAATTGTAGTGAATAATTCCAAACCCTTTAAAGACATTTACAAAATAGCAACTAGCAGTAGAACAATAAGATAAAATATTGACTAAAACTGTTAAAAATCCTATAATTATTGATGCCCGTGCTTGTATATTAATACCCTACGGATATTACATAGATTACATTGTAATGGCCTCATTAAATTTGTTGGGAAAATATTTATCTGTAACTGTTGTTCCGACTTCCGATAGTTGAATTATGTTTTTTTTTATTTGAAATGCTTATGTTTAATATAGCTATTTTGGATATTTTATTCAATATGAAAACAAAAAATGATTAGGCGTCTCTCAGCAAAATAATTTTAAAATATCGAACTGCTTATATTGTGTTCTTTGTTCGTATGTTCCTTTTTATACAATAATAGTGTTTTCTTGATAAGTGTTTTTATTATTTAATCATTATACATTTTTTTAAACTATTTACCTACAAACCAGTTTTGTAATAATCATTTTTTTAATCAGTACCTATGAACTGTTTAAGGTTTAAATTAATACAACATAATTTTGTTAAGAGTTATAAGATATTATACTATATTAATTATGTTATAGCTCGCTCTAGCGCACATACCGTGTAGTGAGTTTTACATGTATCGCTACTATCACTTTTTAACTTAATTTTTTTTCCAGCACCACCCATGTAACTAACTGATAGTTAAAATTATTTTGATGCCAATTTAAAAATTGTTGTATTATAAGTTTCCACTCGTAAGTCGTAATTTAATAAACAAAAAATAACAATTAGAAAGTACAACATTACATTTTTTGTTCAAAAAGTGATGTAAAAAGGTAATTTTAAACTAAATTTGCTTTCTAATAATCATAGTACATTTGCTGAAGGAAATTCTGTATTATAAAAGGTTGACTAGTACAATACTCGTAAATTCCATACAAATTAAATTTATTTTATGGTATTTGATAAGTTGAACAATTTAGGAGAATAAATGTGAACTTCATGAAAAGAGTTGGTAAGAAGTCCCATTTTTTTAAAACGTTTCATTATTTAACTGTGATGCTTTTTGAGAAATATAGGCTTTTAGAATATACCTTTTAAATTAAGTTCTAACAGAAAATTTGATACCGAGCAAAACACGAATTTAAATTTCAACGAGAAAATTTACTACCTTATTCTAGTTAGGCTCACCAATTAAAAAAAAATGAAAATACATTTTTTCATCTATACTTTTAGATACTTTGATATTGAATAAAAGGTAAGACCAAAGCTTGCTCTTTAAAATGTATTTAATTATAGCAGTAGAAAGTTAAATGTTCCATAAATTGTATAAATTATAATTGTAGTCTACTAATTAACAACTAATTGTCAAATCTCTATGTATTATATCGCACAAGTGTTTCTAAAAAGCAAAAATAAAAAAATAAATTGTTTTTGAGTTATCACCATGGTTATAATCCGGTACACAATTTTCTAATAAAAATTATGTTTTAAATTTCTGTTTATTCTTGACTTGTGGTGCCTATGTTTGAAACACGTGTGCGATATATTGAACTTCATAAAATGTCAAAAACAATAAATTCGAGACTTCAACTTATCTTTGGAGTATGGGCTTTCAGCGAATTGTTATATTTACTCCAATAGTTAGTACAATTGGTACAGTTATTATGTTTTGGGTACAATAATTGTAAATATCCCCACAAACTATGATATCCCGATTGTCTAGTACTTGAAATCCATCAAAATTCGAATTTTATACCCAGCCCTAGTCATATTATAATCAGTAATTACCCAGCGTACTTACTATATTATTTTCCCAAAACAACTGGGTTCACAGTTTACACGGGCACGAGTGTGTTATCACTTGAAAAAGTATACACATGATTTATTTGATTCAGAGTACACGAAAAAATATCAATTATAATGTAAAGAACGCGATCTCGCACGGTTGCCCATAAATAACTGACCTGTGGTCATTTATTTTTGAAATACCAAAGCGGTTCTCTCGTTTATTAATTCCGTACTATTATAATAAACGTCAATCAAATGATTTCGAATGCAATCATTACTTGTTGCTAACTGCGCCAGAGTCTCGTTAACCTCAGGGTCATAAAATGCGCTTTGAATATGATTGTAATCGGTTAGTAAACAGTATGTACGTATATTAATTTATGTAACGCTTTTAGGATTACACATGTGTAAGAGAAATATGATGATTTTGTTTTATACAAAGTTCAAGGGCGTCTTTAAATAAAGGAAACGCGATATACTGGTATACACATAGTACGTTGCACCGTATTTTAAAACATGATAAATCTCCTCTCCTTCTTAAAGCATGATAACGCTGTTTATGTACACATAATATGACAGAGATCACTTTTACAGTTTCATAATGGTACCTAATAATTTAATATTAAAACAAAATAATATGTTTAAAAAAAAACTAACTAGCGATACCTAATTTAATTTTTTGTCTAGTATGCTGGATAATAATATGTTCATGTCAAAACAATTCTGGCCGAATAACACAGAACATGTGTAATACATATAATAAACAAAGTATGGTTCGATTTAAAAACAGCTCTATCTTAGGTATACATATTTTTTTTGAAATCTATTGTTTTATGATGGACCGTGACGAAAAATGTTTACAAAAAACATTGTCAAGCATTTCAGAGTATTTGGAGTGTGCTGCAAAATTGTTTGAAACCCGTTTGGAAAACGAAAAAATCGCTGAGTCTAAGGTGGACGAATTTCAGTTAATTAAAACTATAGGTGTAGGCGCTTTTGGTCGTGTAATACTAGTCACTCATAAATCTGATCCAAACACGTTTTTGGCAATGAAAGTAAGTGATTAAGGTGAATATTAAACCGATTTCTATATGTTTGGAAGAGCATATTGTGAATGATATTTTACATATTATTCAATTATCGTCATTTGTTCATAGGTAATGAAAAAAGATCATGTCTTTCGCAAGAACAACATACAGCATGTTTTAAACGAAAAACGTTTTTTGTCTGCCATACGCCATCCGTTCATTGTTCACATGGTGTATTTTGCCAAAGATATATGCAACCTATATTTTGTTATGCCGTTTGCTATTGGCGGAGACATGTTCTCCTTGTTAAAGCAGAAAGGATCATTGGGTGAATACAACTCCAAGTTTTACGCGGGTCAGCTGGTCTTAGCGTTGGAGTACTTGCATTTGTTAGATATACTATACAGGTAATAATATAATTGTTGTGATCGAAAGTGCCCGGTAGTCCAGAGACGAACTTTACCGGGGGATAGATGGACAAAGGGCCGTTCCTGTTTTATGTTATGAGACAGTTATATTATAATTGTGGGTGCTAGTTTTAAGAAGAAAATAATTGGGTTTTTTTTTAATTTGTTTGGCTGTTAAGTTAGTTAACTGCGCTTCAGTTGTATACTGGTCGTTGGCGATGGGTTGGGTATTTTTTTTATCAAATAGCAACTCGTTTAGGGATCTGAAACCTGAAAACGTGTTGATCGATGGCAACGGTTACATAAAACTGACGGATCTCGGATTTTGTAAGAGAGTAGTCAAGCGAACTTACACCATGTGCGGCACGCCACAATATTTAGCGCCAGAGATAATTTTGCTCAAGGGTTATGGCAAAGCGGTGGATTGGTGGGCACTGGGTGTCATCACGTATGAAATGGTAATTGGAAGTCTTCCGTTCGACTCAGACAGTGACCGCAGAATGTACAAGAAAATCACGTCCGGTCACTACAAGATGCCGTCCAGCTTTTCGCCCGATCTTGTGGACTTAATAGAGAATTTATTACAAATCGATTTGACCAAAAGATACGGAAACTTAAAAAATGGTACCCAAGACATAAAACAACACCGGTAAATCGTAACAATAATTAATCATTAATAGCGAGTACACTGAATCAAATATATTTATAAAAATAATCGAAAATAATTGTATCAATAGAAAAATATATAATATTGGTGTATCAATTCGTTAACGATTTAAAATCAATGATTTAACGGAAATATTATTAAACTAATTGTTTAAAATAACACTTGCAAATAGCTTTGTACATTTTACCAACATATAAACTTATAGTTTTAACAAAATTAATTTGTAATATAAACAAAATCTTTTTTTTAAATTATTTATTAAGCTTCAATAAGATGCTAATTACATGTAATAGTTTAGAGAGGGAGCGAAACAACCTTAATTGAGGCGAACTGCTTGACAAACGGGTTGCCAAAAATATACAGTAGGTATAGTTTACAGACATAAATGTTAGAGCAATAGTTATAAAATATGGTAAATAAAAAGTATAAAGTAGTCTAATAGTAATAATTATAATAACAATATAATAGTTTTCTAAAAATGCTATAGTATTTTGTTTCTGTAAGTTAAAAATACCAAAATTAAATATTTTGTATTGATGTATTTTTGTATAAATGTGCATGAATAACTCTTATGAATTTGTTTTCATAGATGGTTTAGAACAATTGATTGGTTATCGTTATTTAACCGGACCATGGAAGTACCATTTTCGCCTAGTTTCAGTAGTCCTTCAGATACAAGAAATTTTGAAGAATTTTCCGAAGATATAATTTCAAGCATTGGGTGCAATGATACTGATCAAAACGATTTTTCCGACTTTTAAATAAAATATACTGTATAGACATATTATATACCTATAACCTAAGAAAACACTTAATGATTATTGTTAGATTTCAAAATAGTAAAAATCACAACATTAAAAGAGTAAAAGTTTAAAAATATAATTGAACAAACCTATACGTCTTTATATTTAAATTTTAAATAATTCTGTAATTCTAGGTATTGTTATACATTTTATTTAATCTAGGTTTTAGAACTCCATTAATTAATGATCTATAATAAGCTGACTAATACCAGTATACCGTCGTTGCCGCGAAAAACCTCCATGTGCCAATTTTACGATTTTGAGGTTTTGGTATCCCTGGATACAGAAAAAATAAGCTATTATATGATAATATCTTCAACGTGCTATCTCTATTGTAGAATAAATAAAAAATAAAACCACTTTTGTGTAACCTACTATAAATCGTATTACACGTTTTTGTGTCTCTTGAATAATTAGATTTTAGCACATGGGAGTTTTTGACGATAAGTAGGTATTTTTTTAATTTATTTGCAATTTTAAAATTTTTTTTTTAAAAACATAAAATTGTAGTATATTTTTTTTAAATAATAAATGGGCCTCTTTAGCTGTATGATTAAACTTGACCGTTGATTTATCGTTTCCTGCATATATAATATTATCTATCAAATTTTAATTCAATACAATTGTTACAGTTAACGTGAATGCTTATCGTGCATGATATTTAGCATTTACGAAAGTACCTAAGAATAATTTATCACTTAAGACACAAATAAGACGCGTGTGGAATGCTTGATAATAACAGACTCATTAAGTTAAAATATATAGAACTGTAAATATGTCATAATACCTTGTACACGGTGGATTTATAAATTCACCTTAGCTTTGAACTTGGTAACGAATTAACGGAGAGCGACAGTGTCACCACTTTAAATACAAATAAATCCTTTTTTGTAATTTGTTAAATACTGCACAAAATTGTCCTTATCAGCTATGTAGATGAATAGATAAATTCAAAATTCATATGATAATGTGATAATATTATAAATGTCAAGTCATATGTTTATTACACGTTTGGAGTAGTGAAACAAACTAATAATATATACCAGAGAAATTTAATTTCGTCATGCTGGTCACGCTACAGCTCTTCGTTACGCAGAAAACTTGTAAAACAAAATCAAAATGTCCATTCCATTAATACAATAAAGTATAACGAATACTACACACTTTAGAGTATAAACTTTTAAACAAGAACCAAAATAGTATTTTTATAAACATTATACTGATCAATGGTTATTATAGTTTTTTTTTTATTTAGAGTGTGACATACATAAGTTTAATGTTTATAATTACTGAATATTATCAGTAAAAATAAAATATTAATAATAAAAAAAATACAATTTAACCTTACAAAAAATAAAATAGTTTATACATACATTTTTAAAGATTAATATTTAAAAAAAACGAAATTGTAGTTATTCAATAGTTATTTTAAAAATACCGCTTATAAATAACCACTTAAAAACCATATTCGTTTTTAAAAGTTTAAATGTAAGAAATATTTTAGAGAAATACCTTGAAAATCGAAATTAAATAAGTTTAATTAGGTACAGAATTCGTCACAAATAAATTAAATATTTAAACAAGGTGAAGTACGACTAAATAATAACATAATTATTATATTGTTGCGGCATAAGTAGTTACAATTCTAATCATTAATATGTTTTAATTTGACATATTATATTATAATTATATTAGTTGTATAAAAATAAAACCAATCAAATGTTAATATTTTTTTTGAACCTAATATTTTCTATATTTCTATTATAAAATATCTATTAAATTATTTTGAGTATTTAAAATAAAGTTCCTACATTGTTTTACAATGGATGTATAATTTTTAATTAATAAGTTTTGAGGGCTTTAGTATCTCTCTATACTTGTAAAATGTAATCGAGTAATGAGTTATACAGCGATACGAATTCTTTATCTGTTTATTTTTAAATACATTTTTCCCCGTTAGTAGAGGATTTTATTAAATATTTATTAAGATATATTCATTAAAAATTATGTATTATGTTATGTAGTATACCAGTATGACAATTGAATCGGTAGCAAGAATTAATATTTCATTATATAAAATATTGGCTATACTGTAACGGACTAAGCTCACCGAGCACATGCGTGATAAACCTTCTGAAGTACTTGAGCTCGTGATATCTATTATTTCTAGATAATCTAACCAAAAAGGCCTTTTTTATGAATTTAGAGAGATTAATTGATATATGAATCGATATTATATGCCAGTGGATACAAACTAATGCAGCGTACATAAACAGTGTTAATTTAATTACAAAACAATGTTTTGCAATATAAGTTTTAGGTATTAGGTATATAGTTTATCAGATAATGACTAAAAAACTGATAAAAAAAATATGTGTCGGCTAAAATACGTTTCTGTCAAAATATTTTCGGACGATTTATTTTCGGCTAAAATACGTGTCGGCTAAAATGTGTGTCGGCCAAAATACGTGTCGGCTAAAATACGGATCGGCTAAAATATTTTCGGCCGATTTATTTTCGACTTAAATATTGTCGGCTACAATACTGTTCTGTTAATTTATAGTTCGGTAGAAATACAGTTCTGTTAGTTTGTGTTTCTGATCATTTATTTTTCGGCAAAAATACGGTTCTGCCGATTTATTTTCGGTGTTTTTACGCGCCCCTCGTTGGAAGTATGAATACATAGGTACTTATAAGAACAAATGTTAGCGTTTTTTCAGTCATTTTGCATAACTATACATGTATAAGCGGAAAGCATAGACCTGTACCTAATACCTATATCGCTAATATTAGACAATTGACATCCTTCATAATGTAGTTATTATGTTTAATACTACTGTTTGCTGATTTGGTCTATGTTGTTCATATTGTTTATTACTATAGATTATAGACTATAAGGCCAGAACGACAATGTTTAAATTATAGGGTTGGAAAAAAGGTCACTTCTATGGAATACAATAATAGTCGAAAAACAAATATCATGATTTGGCATTTAGATAGAGCGGATTTCATAACACTTTAGAAAACAAATATTAATTTTAAAAAATGAATATTAATACAAATATTGATTAACAAAATTATTAATAAATTATTTTCTCCGATGTAAGGCATCTATGTAAAATATTATTATTTATCATTAATATGCATCACATGATTTATATAATCATGACAGCAATATAATATAACAAAGTGTCTTGATATTTTTATTATGACCTTCACGCGTCACTCTTGTTAGGGTTTTTAACCGTTAATATTTAATATATGATATAACATTTGCCAATTACAACAAATTTAGTAAATATTAAATTAATAGCTATTGTGTTTAGTGACTGGCCAACTAATAATATATTATATGGCCAACTTGCGCCATTGTGATATAAATCCTTAATTGTATAAATACTTGTATTGTGTAATAAAAACCCAGAAGACCCATGTCAACGTTATAACTAATTAGGTATGTCATAAGATATATAGTGTTAATATAACAAAACAATTATTATGAGCTCGAGTATTTGTATATGTATGACTTTTCCGATAACACGTCTTGATTATTAAAGTAAAACATTATTTTAGTTCAAAATTGATTTCTGTAAAACTATTTTTGACATTTTCATGTCTTAGCTCTGGCACATAACCCTGACACATAACCGAAAAAATTATAACGAAAAAAGCGTTACGCTGTTATCTGATATGAGATAAGAGATAGGGGTGAGTGATAGGTAGTGGGAGATAGGGGTTGGGAGATATGGGTGGAAGATAGGGGTGAGTTATAGGGGTTAGGGATTGGGACGGGAGATAGTGGGTAGGGGATAGGGGTAAGATATAGAAGATAAGAGATAAGAGATATGTTGTACGTTCAACGTTCAAATTAGAACTAAATAATAAATTCAAAATAGTTTAATTCTCTATGTTAAGTTACTGTTAATAAAATTAAATAAAAATACATGCTATCTTATTATTCTTGAAAATCTAGGAATGGATAGCGCTGTTGATAGATTCGTAAAATTTAATTAAAAGCTAATCAAATTTCGTCAATTTTTAAGTTATTATTTATAAGGTTATTCATATTATGATATATCTCAATATTTATACAAATATATAGTGTATGTTTGAGAAATGTATTATAGGTACTGATTTTTGTTTAGGCTATATTTATTATATGTTTGTTTGTCTTAAATTTAAACAATTGATGTATTAAAATAGCTGAAATGTTCGAACATTATTTATCATTAAAGGATAATAAAGAACATGAAATCGGAAAATTGAATAGCACGTGCAATTTATTATTTCAACGAATATTAAATATTTAATAAACAGAAGAAGCTAAATCGATTATGAATAATGATAGGATAATGTTTGTAAATTGTACTATATCAAATTATTATTATTATTATTTCAATTTACATTATTATAATATCATAGTACAAACTACACAATGTAAAATAATTTTATTTGTTTAAATAAATACCTAATTTACCGAATTTGTTTCTACATGTTATTCAACTCCATAAAGGATACACAGTTGAAGAGTAACTACGAAAAGAATGTTATTTCTATTAGGCAGGTCGATGTTTCAATAATTACTTATAATATTATACTATTTTAAGTGTTTATGTTTTGGGTTCAATAAAGGATTAATTCTGCTTAGGTATGTAAACAGTAAAATGATATTTTAAGCTACACGCAGACTGGTTGACATTGAACCATCCCATCGTTTTATACTTGTTTCACGTATGTTCATATAAAAGAGTCCGTCACTGTTCCACAAAGCACAATTCACAGTTCTACCTTCCGACTGACCAACCGATCGTCCGACCGTCTTCGACTAAACTCATCTAACCATGAAGCATTTTACTGTGAGTACCTTATGCGATTCTTTACACCTTATATCACCGACATTTTACTTATTAACTTGTATTTCCATTCTTCTGTAACATTGACGGGTGACGGGTGACGGTGTAGGTAATACCTAATATAAATAGAGTTTTTTTAACAACCAATTAATAATAATACTGTAGTACTATACTAACAAAATAGACATTTCACGTTGGAGGCATTGTTACAGGCTGTAGCCGTTGTGTTCGCTCTGGCAGCCGTGACGTTGTCGAACTGTGCGCCAAACGAAATTCTCGAAAATGACGGACAGTACCATCCCGAACTTTGGGCCGAACGCGATGAACCCAACACCGATGACTACGGTTCCCAACAGCAAGTCCAACCGGCCGTAATCGTGCCAACCATCCGAAGCGGCGGTCAATCGGCATGGCAACAAGCCTATCAGCCGATACCGGTCGTGTCGCACCAGAACTTCCAACAAGTCGTGGCTGAAGACGGCACCCTCAAAGGTCAGTACTCGTACACGGACCCGGCAGGTAGATCCATCACTGTTAAGTACGTGGCCGGACCATCCCCGCTGCAAGCAGACTACCCGTCGTCCAAATAAACACTCTAATCCGCGAACCGCAATACATATGTATATATATGTAATATAAATATCATATATAGTAATTATCATTAGTTGTTTCGATCGATATTTTTCGTCGAAAGCAAAATAAATAACAACAATATGTTTATGAATATTTTTTGTATTAAGACTAGTATATATTAATAAAAAAATTGACTAGAGAACAATAGTATGGTACATTTTTTTATTTCGTTATATGGCAGGCATGCGCATCAGTTTTGACTGAACGAATAGCTATACCCGTCTGGAGATCTGTTGAGGGTGAATTTGCCGGACGCTATTTGGTTGTACGGTGACGGGGTAGATGCCGCGGAACGCATTTGGCTCCACTTATCCGTCATGGATTAAATTCCATTGGTTCCACGGATCGTACTTTGGTACCGTGGTGGTTAGGATCGAGTTCCGTTGGTCCACAGACCGTCATCGTGCTTGGCGGCAGGTACTGAATTCCATATGTCACTCCATTGACCGTCGTCATACTTGGCAGCAGGCTCTGAATAGTGAATTCCATTGACCGTCGTCATACTTGCTCGCAGGCTCCAATTTTTTTTGGTTCGGGGCAACCGGCTGAGCCCTATTAAAAGTATATCAAACAAGACATTTAACAAACAAAAATTAGTGTCGAGAAAAAGAAATTAAATGTGTACATTTTAAAATACTTTAATAAGTTGACCTTGTAAAACTGAATAAAATCAGTAGAAGCCAGGTTTTAAAATTTTTAATTTTCATTAGAACTATTATTATTAAAAGGTAGTTTTTAATATACAAAATCGATTAGGGTTTTTATTACACCACTATACTTGGTATTAAGTAATAATAAATAATAATATTGTATTTTATACCTAAAGGTGTCAAGTTCAGTATTTTGGACGAATTGTGTTATAGTAATACTTAAGTAATATTATATAGGTGTTCATTCTCAAACCGTTCTGAAAATTTGTCAAAACAGTGTGAGACAACTTGTATAACATCTATATACATAATAAACTATCTATATCTCTCTATATTATAACACGTCTAAATTAATATTTTTATGAATATTCGCTTTCGCAAGTGGCCAAGTAACTTAATTATAATAATATAGGTCTAACCCAACTTATACGAAAAACATATCATTAAAAGTTAAAAGAAAAAAAATTGTTTTGTAAATTATAATTTATTATCTGTAGAATATAGATTTACAGTTTTCTAAATGAAGGCCTATTATTTTATTTAAAAATTCAATTTTAGAATAGAAACTCCGTACTTTCATGGCCATGGTAAAAATATTAAGGTGAAAAATACGAAGGTAGTTTTTGATATGTTAGTTATGCATTTCAAATTAGTTGTACAAATAAAATGTAGTTCTTTAATCTATAACGGATACTTGTTTAAATAGTGTTGACAACATAATTTAATCAACTTTACCATAGGGCTTTTGGCGCCAACGGAACTGCGGAAGCGACAGGAATGGGCGTCGGGGCTACAGGCAAATGATCGCCCATGGCCTTAAACCCGCCTTTGCCAGCTGTGTAGTCTACGGTACGCCTCTGGCCGTTAGAGTCCACATAGCTGTATGAGCCGCGTCTGTTTCCTTCAGCATCCGATTCTTCTTTGAACTCTACACCATTTGTCTGCTTGTAAGCAGTGCCAAATTGGCCGTCGATGGACAGATACCGTGATTCAGATATCATTACCTGTTGTTAATTGCCATAATTATTTAATTAACACGTTTAATATAACTTCACGCGACCGTGTATTTTCTACCTTACATGTTTTTTTATAGGTTTTGTCTAATTCGTTTATAATTAGTTTTTTATTATCAAAATATTTGTTTTAAGTTATTTGAATAATTATCACACGACACACCTCGTTTTATGAGTAAATTTTTTTCTACGCGTATGTGGGAAATTAACATAAATTAAATTATAAAAACCTGACGATATAAGCCAATTCCAATTATACTAATATCCTAACTATTTAAATTTTAAGACAATTTTTAATTGTGTATTAACAAGAAAATACTTTAATGACAATTCTTCTGTTGAACCTCGATGACTAGTAAGCTACATACAATATTGTATACTCTTTTATTTCTTTTGAGAAAGTAGACAAAGCTAACAGCACGAATCACGATTAAAGATCTTAAAACTAAATATTAAATTATCTCTAATAAAGATCTTTAATCATGGCAAACAGTAACAAACGTATTATAAAACATTAAGTTAACTACCACAATTCCTTATGCTACCCGTTATTATCTCAGTTTGTTTATAAAAAATTGATTTGCATGAATGAATATTCCCGATATTTGTGGTCGTGCTGTTGGGAACTTAGGAAGATGAGCGTGGCCAAAAGAAAAATAGTAGACACTCCGCACTTGACAGCACAATACACAACAATAATAATATATTTTAATAACAAATTAATTTTATTAAATTTAATTATATATTGTACATAATAATTACCCAAATATTTTGTACATAATATTTTGTCGATATCAATTGTTAAAATCACAAAGGAAGTCATAAGAACAAAAACGGTACAAGTGATATTTTTTGTACGTAGATATTGGTCTCGTTGGCGTTGCTATGGCTAGCCTTGGTCACCGGCCAACAGGACACCAGTATTCTATCTGAATCACGGTATCTGTCCATCGACGGCCAATTTGGCACTGCTTACAAGCAGACAAATGGTGTAGAGTTCAAAGAAGAATCGGATGCTGAAGGAAACAGACGCGGCTCATACAACTATGTAATACAATTATGATATTTAAACTAGTTAATATGCGGTTTATTAATGTTCTAAGCATTTTAAAATATAATACTCTTGTGTTTTTACAAAATATTTTGTTGACCCTTTCTTAACCCTTTCATACCACGGGCCCACATCTATATTTATGACAAAAGTATTTAAGATACTCATTCAAGTCATAAATATATACATAGATTGATTTGATGTATTCGTTATATAAATACAATAAGTAACTATTAAACACATACGTTGAATGAATTGGCTGTTCTAGGAAAATTATCCTAACTCCTAAGTAGGTACTGAAGTAATTCAAATAGTATTTTCTACCCTTTTCTACTAATCCACGATTACTTTTATCCGCGCTTTCTTATTTGCCGCCAATATGGTAATAGGTCTATGAATGCAGCTGTTTTATTTTGTCAGGTTTAATTAGAGTAATAGTGTGTTTCTCCGACAACATGATTTGTGCGAGAAGGTCATCTAACTAATAGTAAATGAACATATGCGTGCCGATCTTAATTGCTTATTTATATGTAAGGGGCAAAATATAAAGATAATTGTTTACACTTTTGCATAATTGCATGACACAGACCGATAATATTTACTCTTTTTTATTTTGATAATAATATATAGGTTTGCTTTGTCTTGAGGGGAAAAAAATCACTTATTTATTTACTATTATGAAAAATAATATTAAAACCTTCTAACATAATAATATTATAATAAAAATTGTCCCAAAAATTACAGCGTCAGCAAAACATTGCAATTATCGGCACATACGGGTGGTGTGTATGTGTATATAGGACTTCGTTTTGCGTGTCATAAATATCATCGTCTCGGGTACCGTCTGTGATTGTACATGTTACATTATTGTTCTCCGTTAAAATCATGATCATCAGTTTTAAATACGTTGTTTTAACATTTCTGTTCTAACGGTCAAGGAATCGTATTATAATATTTTATAATCGTGTCAAATTCAAATAATAGTATGAAGTGCGAGTCGGGAATTGGTGTCCAAGGATTGTCAGAAAATAAGACTCGGACATGTCTATGATTCATTTCTGACAACGCAATAACAAAAAAAGGCATTGCCTTACAACCGAACGTTTATAATTACGGGATAACGGTTAGGTTGAAGTTATAAAATCTGCCACGGCAGTTGTCTGCCGTCAAGGAATATGTGTTTTTTTTCTAGGTGTATTCCTAATAATCTTTTACACCGTGAGAAATGAGAATTATAATTTATATTTTTAAAGACGCTACCTAACAGAAGTTAATAATTTATATATTCGCGCATAATATGTATGATTCCCCCCCAAAAAAACAAAAAATTATACTTTTACAAAAGAAAAATAGAAATTTATTTTTCCTTTTCCTTATACTGCCTCTTGGAATTTCCATCAAGAGACAGAGGAAAACAGAGGAATTTAAGTTTAGACATAATTTTGGGTTCCTAGGTTATAATCTAAGTTCCCTATGTTATGTTTCTGGTTAGTGATAAATGGTCTGCTAATATAATTGGGTCTCTGTCTATTGCTAATACTCTTTTTAGATTGATCGTCAACAGCACTAAAAGTAGACCTATTACAATTATATTCAAACTTCCTATTTCTAGTTTCATTATAATAATTTTGGGTTGTCCTATTTTTCCCATTGAATACAGTCCTAGAATGATTATTATTTAACCCACGGGGGTGTCTATAATATTTATAATAATTAAAGTTACCCAAATTAATATTCTTATTAGCGCTATGATTACTATGCACACAAATCTTAAAATTCCTTTTACCATTATTAATCCTAGTATTCTGGCTAATCCTACTATTTTTATTATTCACATTCTTATTAGCCCTATAATAACTATTGTTGTTATTATCTTCAACCCTATTTATATTAATTCCATTATTATGTTTTTTTTAAAAAATCAATGTGTATTATCTCATTATTTACATTAAGTTGTATTTTTGACTTAGCAAAGTTAACTACGACCTTATATTTAATTAGAAAATCAACTCCAAGAAGACTATTACAATTTAAATTTCGTACGACCGCGCATTGTATTTCTACAGGAATATTATTAAAATATACTTTAATAGTTGACCTGCCAGCTAAGTATAATTTTGAACCATTGGCTGTATATAATTTTGTCTTCCCGTAAGAACTAATTACATGATTTTTGGGAAGCATATTTTCGTTAATAACGCTAGTACTCGCGCCTGAGTCAACAGTAAAATGATGTGCTACATTATCTAAAACACCTATGATTACTGGATTATTCCCTTTATAGTTTTTATTATTAATGACACAACTATCTATGTTTTCTACTCGGGGTGGAGTATTATAATTTTTACTCTCTTGTCTATCATTATTCCTAAAACGAGCGTTGTAATTGTTTTCACTATGATTATCAAAATCGTCTTCCTCACTGCTACCATAATCAGAATTACTCCTAGGTCTATTTCGTCCATATCTGCTATCGGATGCGGTGTCGTCATTATGATAACTTCTATTCTTATAATCATTATTATTATCGCGCTTGTTAAAATGTTTACCTACACCGTTACCATTAAATTTACTGCCATTATTTCTATAATTATTAAAATTTCTTCTAAAATTACCATTACTTTTAAACGGTCTATTATTCATGTTAGCTTTAAGTTCCTCAAGCTCTTCTCTTAAACGTCTTACTTCATCACTAATATCGTTATCTTTGCTAACTTTAAGTACCTCAATCTCTCTCCTCAATAATTCTAGTTCGCTTCCATTATTATTAATTGCTGCCATGTCCGCCTCATATGACCTAATATTTGATATTACCTTATCAACCGTAGAGTTGTCCATTGCATATATCCTCCAATATATATCCTGAGGTAACCCCTTCATTATTATCTTACTTATCTCTTTCTGACTCATTTTCTCATCCACTCGTTTACACTCTCCCAGTACTTTCAAAATGTAACCCTGTAATGTTTCCTCCGGCCGTTTCTTTCTCCTACTTAAATTTTCTCCTAAAAGCGCTCGTTGTTCCTCGGAATCATAGTATTCCGTGAACACCTTTTTTAAAATAGACCAAGTTAAGTTATTAGTTTCACTCTCTATCTTCTCAAACAAAATCTTCGCTTCCTCTCTAAGGTACAGCGGAAACATAACTACTTTTTGCCCGTCAGTCCAGGTATTTGCTGCCGAAATTCGTTCGTAATCTTTCAAATACCCAAAAATATCTTCGGTCATTCGACCGGAAAAGCATTGCGGCGTAATACTCATAATTAATTTTTAATTGAATAAAAAAAAATAACGTATTTTAAGTTAAATAAAATATACTTTAAAATTCCAGAGCAATTTGTACCGTAAAATAAAATACCTTAACACAAACCGAGAGCGAATAAATTAACCAGTGCAGTTATTCCTACCCCCTATCTCCTACTCCCTGTAACGGTTTTGTAACGCTTTGGTAAAAAACGCATTTTTGGTAACGCTTTTGTAGGTTATGTGCCATGAAAATGTCAAAAACCGGAAGGTCCAGTAAAGTGCAGTATAGTATAAATCAGTCATATCCAAACAGTGTAAACACTGATCACAGATTTGTTATTTTTGACTTTGTTTCAATACCATTTTTGATACAATGTGTTTCAATTATGTCTGTGTATTGATCAGAAATTGTGCCCAGGGCGGTACTTTAAATGGCCGGAATTGGAAAAATTTTACATTTAAAATTTGATAATTCACTATCAATGTAGTTTGTTGGAAATATCCGTGTGGAAATAGTTTGGTTGTTTTAGTGATTTCTCGACTTAGGTTGACAACGAGATGTATTTGCATTTGAAATAGACAGCCCGAAGTGTTCATAACAAATTATTTGTGTGTTTCGCAGTTCTCTATACAGTGACATATAGTCTTTCCTTTGTTATCCTATCGTTTCTTATCATTTGTTTCTTTTTTATGATATATTATCTGATAAAATGACCGAACAGCAATTAGTCGTCGTTGCACAAGTGAAGGAAGACAAGCCGATCGAAGTCGACGACATGATAATTGAAACTTGGCTTTTTGAAATTTGCGAGGCATCCACCCAGTTTGCAGACGGCGACTTTGAACCGGCGGTTCATTCAAACTGGATAGACCAAGCGGAGAAATTCGAGACGGCACGGCTACTTTTCAATGAGCTGCCATTTGGCGACGACAACTCGATCCGGGGACGCCACAAGTCCTGGGAAGACTTGATGGAGTTAATTGCTTTGGGGGTCCCGGGAAGCGATGTCATGGCCGTTCCCGAAGGTCCAGCCGAGGACAGCCAAGAAAATGCAATTTGTGTAGAAGCTTCGGCGCCACTGTGGAAACGAGTCCCGGGAAGCGATGTCATGGCTGTTCCCGAAGGTCCAGCAGAGGACAGCCAAGAAAATGCAATTTGTGTGGAAGCTCCGGCGCCACTGTGGAAACGTGTCCCGGGAAGCGATGTCATGGCCGTTCCCAAAGGTCCAGCCGAGGACAGCCAAGAAAATGCAATTTGTGTGGAAGCTACGGCGCCACTGTGGAAACGAGTCCCGGGAAGCGATGTCATGGCCGTTCCCGAAGGTCCAGCCGAGGACATCCAAGAAAATGCAATTTGTGTGGAAGCTCCGGCGCCACGGTGGAAACGAGTCAGGAGAGCAGTTAGCCGGCGAGTGAGAGCTTTTGGTAGAGCTTTGTGCTGGTGTCGTTGAATAGATAACAAAGGGACGACAACGATCACGGTTCCATGCACAGCCCACAGGATAATATTGTTTAAAATGTATGAAATAAATTGTTCTTCTTTATCATGTTATTAATATTACTTGTCTCTGTTGCTAGCCGCCGGCTGTGCATGGAACTGTGATCCGGTCGTCAAAGCTCTGTTGCCACGTTGGGTCAAACTTAAGATGTTTTGCTGACGCATCGTGACCTCCCCCCCCCCCTTATATTTTGTAAGCACGTTCCTGATCTGTAATAAATTATTATACTAATGTTGTTATACGGACATTGTTGTTTTGTTGTTAAGTCATTCGAGGCAATTGCCTCGTCAGGACAGCCTTGTCTAGTTTCCTAGAACAGCCAATTCATTCAACGTATGTGTTTAATAGTTACTTTTTGTATATATATAACGAATACATCAAATCAATCTATGTATATATTTATGACTTGAATGAGTATCTTAAATACTTTTGTCATAAATATAGACGTGGGCCCGTGGTATGAATGGGTTAAGAAAGGGTCAACAAAATATTTTGAAAAGAGTTCAAAGATGTCAAGAGGTAAGGAACCAGTTTGGCTTAATTTTAAAATGTTGAATTTAGGTTAATACGATAAAGTTTTATTTGGGATAGGTAAATGTTGTTTATTCCTTTTGTTCTATTTCTGAAAGTGACGACGAACACACTTTGAAAGTTTAACTGTCCAACGACCAATTGCCCAACACGTTATGAAATACTATGAACACTTTTTTTCGTTGTTCGGCGCCACTGGTTACTGTTAAAAACCCAGCTATATTGTTACAGTGCGCATTTTAATAAGCTGTGTAGCCCGAGATTTAAGGTTTGGCAAGCTTTTAGTTGTTACATTATACTCGGCTCCATTACCGAATGCGGTGTAAACAGACCATTAAAAAATATCGTATAAAAAAATTTGAGACATTTCATTTTCGAAGTGTTAATCTCAGATTGACTTATTTTATTTGTTGAATAATATTTTTATATGTTTATCAACATCAATGGACGATTATTATGTCAGATCACGAGTTGACACACATTATGCGGCGTATTCATTTTTCGGCTTTATAAAATAATTTCGGATTAGTTAATGAAACAATGACTGATATTTTACACGGCGTTTCGTTTTCAATTAACTGTTTTTAACTATGTTCACATTAAATCGGATTTAAACAAATTTATTTTATTGACACGCGGTGTGCAGATGCAACCATATTTTCTTTTTACGGCGATTTTATTTTTATATGCATAATTTTGCGCATGCTGATTTTCGTAACTAAATGAAATTATTTTGAAATATTTTCGTTTATTTATTTTTTATTTTAATAAAAATATTTTATTTTTCTTATGAGAACACTTACAATTTTAAAGGGTACTTACGTAAAATGACGTCCGAGTTGCTTGCATTATCAAACCCAAAATGTTTAACCATATAATTGATTCTATTCTTAACTAAATGTTAATTTTCCAAGGCAATGTGTATTTAGGGGCTATGTAAAATTATTTATGTATAAATTATACTGTATTTCATTAAGTATATACATTTATGTCTTATTAAGTCGACTTTTATATTAAGTTTTAGGCGCAGCGATACAATGGTCAACTTTTAAAACTGTCTTTTTAAAGACAACCTGTGTGTTAATAATGCCTTTGTTTTACATATTTTTATTATATACATATATATTGACCGATTTTTATAGTTAAGATAAATCGTTTCCCAGACATACGATAAGGGCGCAAGATTAGCCGACGTCAAAATATTTTATGTAACTTTTTTGTATCGTATGTATAATGTTTGTATACATTTTGAAAAAAAAACCGCGTAACGACCTGAGGACGGACATAATTACTTTCTTTAATTTAAATTGTTTACGGAAAACTACCCTACAATTAAATCAAAATACACCTGAAGGTGCGTGCATTCTTTAACTTAAGTGTATATTGTAAATGGTCTGGTTTTTTATGCAGCTTTTTCCCCAGAGCCATTAAGTTAACTTAAATTCTATTAATTTGTGATTACACATCATTTTATTTTATAAATATTATTCACCGGATGCACGCCCACATAGTTTGTGACCCAATAGATTTTAACTTAATAATGACGGAATTTTTAAATGTGGATTATTGTTAAATTTTAAGAACACTATTTTTGGGGAGGACTTTGCGAAGACCTGGTGTTCCGTTTTTGCCCCGAGCTTATGCCAAGAAAGCGACGATAGGGCGGGCCATTTTCCGATGCAGAGGGAATGCGACAATGGCAATGCCCTAGACTGAGAGGGATCCAGCTCTTCGAAGTCACCAGAAGTCCACCAAAAATACATGTGTTATTTCCCCACTTAGTTTTAAGGGTTAACCTTTATTTTCAGGAATTTTTGTACCACCATTTCGTTTCTTTTACTTTACAACCTTTTTTTGACAACCATTAACTTTATACGACTAGGTCCGAGGTCGGACCTCTACGGGGGAGGGGCAGCTGTAACGATCATATTTCACTTGACCGTTACTTCGTGTCCCAAACCTACTGACACAGCACCCCTGACTATAGGTAGGGGAACGGTCGCACACACAGGACAATGCACGTCGCGTATCATCTAATTAACCAGTTGACTTTACCATCACGGACCGCCAATATCCTCGACCTTGCGCTCTATATTTTTGCCGTTTTACTAAAAGCCGCCCATCCGACTATCTTTTGTGTGCGTCCGTTTCAACTCCGCTTTGACCAATCATTTCATCGTCCAACCCAGGTCAGAGTGTATATATATATATATATATATATATATATATATATTGTATAATTTTGTATTTTATTTAGTAACCCTAATTTATAATAAAACATCTTGTAGCCTGCATCTGTTAGGCTGTTCATAACTCCTAAGTAGGTACTTAAGTAATTCAAATAGTATTTTCTACCCTTTTATACTAATCCACGATTACTTTTATCCGCGCTTTCTTATTTGCCGCCAATATGTTAATAGGTCTATGAATGCAGCTGTTTTATTTTGTCAGGTTTAATTAGAGTAATAGTGTGTTTCTCCGACAACATGATTTGTGCGAGAAGGTCATCTAACTAATAGTAAATGAACATATGCGTGCCTATTATACTGTTATAACTACTATACAACGGTTTGCGTTGGTTTCGTAGCAAAGATAAAGTGTAATTTATTTTTACAACTTCGGGTTTTCATCTCAAATTACTATAACGGTTAATATACGCGTCTGGCAATACTCTTAAAAACTAATAAAAAAATTGTTGAACAAAAATAATTGTATTCTGATGAAAAAGTCGTCGCAACTTAAAACGATAGGTAATTGAATTTTTATTTTCAAATTTATATCAAGTGACCGGAAATCAACGGAATAGGGATAATGTTGTGCGACGTGACAAGGATACGGGCACTCCAGAAACCTCGAGTTCAATGCACTGCATTGTCGCTTGATCTGAGGAAGGAAAGAAAGAAAAATAATTGATCGATTTGAGGATTAATACTGTCGTTGCCTTCACTCCGCCGACAACTCGCCGGGTCTATATGACTTCCTGGGTGGAAAAAATATGTGTTGGTCAAAACGAGACAATCCGAAAGACATCGACACTGGCCAATGTTGACGCATGCACGAATGTATTAGGAATAACATATAACAAAAGCTTTTTTTTTTTTGGAGGTCGCCGGATGCAAGAAAAAAACAATCTATTTATTTTTATAATAGCATAATATATTTTTTGGTTTAAGGATATTTTGGTATTTATATTATATAATAATATTATTATATTGTACTTACACTAATAGACGCGAACATTTAATCGTAAGAAAACAAGCATTGTGTAATAATAATTTCCGTCGTCTATGTTTGTACTATAATTTTTATTGTTTTTTTAAATAGGTTTTCAATTCTCTATAAACACCCGCCCCAGGTCTGGCGATAACTGTATTAACACAATTATGTAAGTGGCCAGCGACATGACTATCTGAAACAAAATATCATAATTGTTTTAATTATCGGTTCGATTTTATATATCAAAAGCGTGCAATGAGGATTGAGGATACCACACATTCTTAAATTTAGGATTAAAAGCTATCTTTAAATCCGTACTAATATGTCCGTAGTCGGTAATAACTAATAACTAGTATTCCTTAAGTTTTAAAATGCTTAACATTTAGAAAATACTACTAAATATCTTATTTTTTTCTGTTTTTGAATTTTGTTATCTCTAGTAGTTTTACTTACAATATCTGTTAAGACTTAGATTTTGTTAAGAGTCACTATAGATATGCACATATGTCATATTCTTCTACTATAAAAACTTCTAATAGTTACAATTATAATTAAAAAAAAATATATTGTAATGTGTTAAAAATATTGACACTCGTAGCCTAGGGTTATGTGTTATTAAGTATAATGCAAATTGTATAAATTAAGGGCCTTATTCCTCTCTAAATAAACGGGTTTCTTACAAAATAAAAAAATATATGTATATTGCTTAATTGGATATCAATAAGTGATTGTTAGTTCAAAAAAGAGTTCGCATTAGTAATGCATTACTTTAATGAATCTTTGACCCCACAAATGTTTAAGTACCTAATAATAAAACTAAATTAAATTATATATATTATATATTTAACATTGAACATTTTACTCTAAAATAATAGTATTCAATTATACCTTGCTATTATTTTCTAAGACATAAAAAGATATAAACAATGTCTGATTTTTATCTTTGACAGTAAAATGTGCATATGTCATTTATGTAATTTATTATATACTCTGATAATTGTACACCTACTATAACTATATGTGTCAATATTCTATATAAAACACATATATATTAGGTTTATATGTAACGTTTATATTGGTTCAAAATCAGGGGTTCGGAACTAATTCCGGAACATGTTCCTTCATAACTCCCTGTTGTAAACGTTCCGGAAAATTAAAGATACCTAGTTGACTATAGTGACTAGGTTACTTAGTTGACTTGTGCTAAACAAAACGGGTTTTTAATTAACGTCCTATACCATAATGAAGGAGTAAAACGTTATAATTTATAAATACATCTTTCAACACAAACCAAATAAGTATCCAATAGGCAATAACCAATAATGAGTTACTGACAAATAGTTTTAAATATTAACACTAACCCTAAATCTTAATTTTTTATTAAAATTCATTTTGGGATAATTTTTTAAAACGTGCCAAGCGTCATTATATGTACATATTGTTCAACAGATATTTTGAACAGGGGTTCGGAATTCGTTCCTATTTGACTCATTTCTCTTTTATGTTCCGGAACAAATACCCGAAACTCGTTCTTCAAGATATTCGTTCCGGAGCAAATACTCGGAACTCGTTCCTCGAGATATTCGTTCCGGAGCAAATACCCGGAACTTCTTCCTCAAGATATTCGTTCCGGAACAAATACCCGGAACTAGTTCCTCGAGATATTCGTTCCGAAACAAATACCCAGAACTCGTTCCTCGAGATATTCGTTCCGGAACAAATACCCGGAACTCGTTCCTTGAGATATTCGTTCCGGAGCAAATACTCGGAACTCGTTCCTCGAGCTATTCGGTCCGGAGCAAATACTCGGAACTCGTTCCTCGAGCTATTCGGTCCGGAACAAATACCCGGAACTCGTTCCTTTGATATTTGTTCCGGAACAAATAAAATGTAATTGTTCCTTGTCTTTATTAATAATTTATTAATGGAGCAAAATGTATTTGTTCTACGTATTATGTTGTTTCATTCGAGTTTATTGAAGGTGCACATTTTTTTTGTTACTTTAGCCTTTGTGTGTGGTATTTTAGAAACAATAGACACATTAATGTAAGTTAATTAATTTAAGTTAAATGTTAATTAATTTACCAAAAGATTATAGTTAATGCATTTAATATAACAAGTAATGTTATTTTCAGTGTACATAAATGTAATAGTATATACATGGTGAAAGTTAACAGAGTTATTATAATATATTTTTAAGTACTGAGAAAAATGTATGCAACTAATCCATCAAAACCATCAGTCCTTTAATCATAAATTAAACTTGCAAAGTTAAAAAACACTTAATTTATATTAATTTAATATTTTTTTTGCTAATTATTTATGATTAATTTACAGTGTATTTTTTTTACACATCATATACAGGGTGATTCTTTTATCATGAACCACTCAATCTCATAGGGTTTAATAGGAAATTAAAATTTTATTTTTTTCATATTGTTGTTATACAATGTGATTTCAATTTTTCACAATTTTTTTGTTTTTACCCCCCTCTCAACTTGTGATGGAGCTTCAAGTTTAGGACAGGAGGAAAGGAGGAATGTAAGATTATTTTTATCTGCGCGCATTTCCAAACCGCACTTCCCCTCCCATCCTAACTTTTAAACTCTTATAACTTTAAAAATAGTTACTTTAATCTGGTTATCGACCAGTCAACATTTTTATTACATTATTCTCAATTTAAAAAGTTAATAAAATATATACGTTACCATTTAAGTTTCAAAAGTTGCTATCAAAAAAACTTAGTTGAGAACGGGGTAAAAACAAAAAAATTGTAAAAAATTGAAATCACATTGTATAACAACAATATGAAAAAAATAAAATTTTAATTTCCTATTAAACCCTATGAGATATTACATTTTATTTGTTCCGGAACAAATATCAAAGGAACGAGTTCCGGGTATTTGTTCCGGACCGAATAGCTCGAGGAACGAGTTCCGAGTATTTGCTCCGGACCGAATAGCTCGAGGAACGAGTTCCGAGTATTTGCTCCGGAACGAATATCTCAAGGAACGAGTTCCGGGTATTTGTTCCGGAACATAAAAGAGAAATGAGTCAAATAGGAACGAATTCCGAACCCCTGTTCAAAATATCTGTTGAACAATATGTACATATAATGACGCTTGGCACGTTTTAAAAAATTATCCCAAAATGAATTTTAATAAAAAATTAAGATTTAGGGTTAGTGTTAATATTTAAAACTATTTGTCAGTAACTCATTATTGGTTATTGCCTATTGGATACTTATTTGGTTTGTGTTAAAAGATGTATTTATAAATTATAACGTTTTACTCCTTCATTATGGTATAGGACGTTAATTAAAAACCCGTTTTGTTTAGCACAAGTCAACTAAGTAACCTAGTCACTATAGTCAACTAGGTATCTTTAATTTTTTTTAAAGTACAGTATTATTAAAACCATTACTATGACTCTTTTATTTTCTGACATTAAATTAACAAAAATAAAGAGGAATTATTAGGTTTAGTTGTTTTAATCGATACTTTAGAACTATCGTAAAATCAATATAATAATGCAAATTTTACTTACAGACGATAAAAGAGTTTTGTCGACTACAAAAAGACCAGAAGCTGTCATTTCCGTGTTAGAACATTGCACTTGTGTCATGAAAAAACTTACCTTTAATGTAAAAAAATAATTAGACAGTATAGTAAATAATTTATACAAAATAAAACAATTAGCTATCACAATTATTTTTTTCTTTAGTCATTAGTGTAAATATACTAAAACGTCAGCTAATATATAGGGCAATAGACATTCCCCAGTTTACATTATTTTTTATCGTTTAATGCTTTCAACTGTGCTAAATAATTTAAATTTGTTCAAAGGGATAGCTGGAATATTGGGAAACAGTCCTCTAGGACTATAGTCTATATTTGAAGCTTAATTTGTTAAATGTTATACGAATTATGATATCCAATAAAATGTGAATAAATAGAAATTTAGTGGTTAAATAGCTATAAATAATTGTTCTTTTACTTGTTCGGAACATTCTTTCGGCAATTTCCAAAGCGGTATGTTTCTTAAATCTGTCAAAACCGATTTGCTCTGAAATTATTTCAAAAATAATACTTTACAAAATGTATTACGCAGATTTGTTGGGGAAAAAATTGTAATTTATCCAATAGAAATGACTGTGTAGTCTGATAATAAAAATGGCAATCAATAAAGAATCCTTATTACTGTATTGTAATTTTTAATTTTTGATTTTTTGTACAAAATTTGGTTTTTTATTTTGAAAATTGTTTTAATTATATTTATTTAAAGACAAGAAAATCAATTGTTTAAATAAAAATCTGTTTTAAATAACCTAGTAAAGTATTCAGAGAATTCGAATCTCTTTGCAAAATTGAAATCTGGGGTAATTTTGTCAGATGTTTAAGGTCTAAAACAAAACAAAATGGCTTTACTTAAAGAAAAAATTTAATAAATGAAAAATAATATCTTGAAGCATTTACAAATTAACCAGCAAACTATTGATATGGTCGAAATTTATGAAAGCTACTTTTTTCTTAAATATTGCTTATATAAAACTTCTTTAAAACCGCCCGCTTCCAGTCCCTTTAAATCAAGAACATAAATGTACAATTTAAAACACATTAAAATCCTCATTTAAATTAATTAAAATATAATTACCGATTCCGTGAGAAAGTCAGACATGTACGCTATTAGATATGTGCCGGTCCAAGTGTGTGCCAAGAATAGGAAAGGTTCCAAGTCTTTGACGAAGGAAGACTGTAATCCTGGGTGGGTGGCAAGGAACGCGGGCTTAACGTAAGTCAGGAAATAGAAGCGAGCCAAGTGATCGAGGAACACAAACAATAAGTACGTGGTAAGACGCGATCCAAACGCTTTTTGGACATCATTGATAAGATCGCAGAGTTTGGCATGGGCTAATCGCTCAGATTCCATCTTTTGGTTAGATATCCCTGGACCCGCTTCAATAATTCGGGCCACTTCGTTTCGCCACCGCGTTCTCAATGAATGAAACCTTGTGCACAACTCGTCGCAGAAGAATAAGTACATCAGAGGAAATATCGACGTAACGTACCTTGATATTAAAATAACAGTTACGTAAACCTAATGCAGTATGATATCCAGGCGTGGATCAAAAACTAATTGCTAATGGGAGAATACTGAATAGTGACTAATTTGTAGCTCATTGTTGGTAAAAAAAACGGTATTTCAAGAGCTCAGCCTGTTTTTTATACGCTACTACTAAAAAAAAGTAATACTAATAACTAATTAAACTATAGTAGTATTTTTATAAGCTTTAATAATATTTAAGAAATAGGTACAATTTTTGGGTCCCTGGTCATGCAGGGATCAGTGGCAATGAAATGGCCGACTCTCTAGCTAAATCCACATCCTCTTTTCTATTTACTCCCCCTTTCCATCTCATAAATTCTAATGCTTTTCATTCCTTTAAATCAGTCCTTTCCAACGCTTGGCTCGACAAGTGGTCTTCCCTTCCTCCTAATTTTGCACAATCGCATCGGCTTAAATTCCTTCACCCCGTAATTGTCCTTGGTTCCACAAATTAGATTTACCCCGTAATATTATTTCCTCCTTATCACGCCTCAGAGTTGGTTATAATCTCTTACCCTATTTTTCCTACAAACTTTTCCTTAATTCTGTTCCTTTCTGTAATTTACATGTTGAAGAAGATGTCGGCGATTTTTCTCACTTCATACTCGATTGTCCTTCTCTTGTTCCTAATAGAATCCTCCTCTTTAATTTCTTTGCTTCCCATGGTATCCCAAATCCTGATCCTTATAACATTCTCAATTCCCGTTCAGTTCCTATTATTACTGCCACCATTTCTTTCCTTTTGAGCGCTGGCTGCACTATTTAAATCTCTACTATTTTATATTTTTCTTTTTTCTCTTTTGGTTTTGTACATAATATTTATAACGATTTGTTATATATCCTATAATTAATTATGTTTATATTTTAATATTCTCAATACAAACTATTAGAAAATATGATTAAAAAAACATTTAGGTAAAAAGTATAAAAATTAATCCGTCGTCTGTTATTTGGTGGAGGAGCTTAATCCTTAGTCACTTCACCATTTTAGATCCACGTCTGTTTATAAATATAAAAATCGTATCATGCTGTTTAAAAATGTGTTCTTGTCTTTAAAAAAACATATAGAAGCATTTGTTAGGTACTTAATCATTGATTCGCTGAGATTCTCTATCGATAAGCCGTTGGTGGCCACATCGGCGATACCACAAATATATGTACTCAATGTTAATAGCACGTACGCGACCACAAAGTATCTGGGAGTTTTCTGATGCTTTAGCGGACGTCCATGTTCCATGTCGAACCTGTAAATGTTGACAATAATATTGGGCAACCATCTGTCCGAGTACAGCGTCGTCAGCAACCGGCACAGTTCCCGTAAAATACTGTCGATCGTCCAATACCATATGACAGGCGCATTGGACTCGAGTACACTCCAGCACACGATATAACTCTGTATCCCGTAAAGAAGCTGTTAAATATAAAAAAACCGTTGGATTGTACTAGTAGTTTATTGTAAAACCAAAAATCATACAAATTATAACGCGAATAAGTACAATAGTTAATTATTAAATTATACTCCGATAGAAATATATGGTTGCGTACAAATGGCCACAAGCAATTGACGTCCCATCGAAATTCCAGTCGGCCAGAAAACACGTTTTTGAGATTTGTCATGCCGGTGATTTTACACAAAATCAACAAGGGTCTAACATCGTCATAGATGTCTCTTACCGACATCAGTGCGGCGCAATGGATAGTATATTGTGCAAAACGTAAAACAGTACAACACTGAACTGTTCTCTCATCATTTAAAAATACTATCTAACTTAATTTGGATTACCATATTCCAGGCAATATACTTTTTTTATATAAAAAACATAAAATGTATGTCACTTCCATAGCATTTCATTTTACTTGACAGTTAATATTCTCAGAAATCAAACGGTCATTATTAGAGTAAACATCGTTAGAATGTGTGCACACGCATGTACATAGGTTATATATTAGTCTTGGAAAATTAAATTTGTATCTTTTATACTGTACAAACTTATAAAAAGCAAATAACTGTACAAATAGCAATTGAATTTGACAATGCACCTAGTTGATTTTGGTGCTTAATATTTGTTCGACGACATGAATAGAACCCAGTAAGTCCTAAAATATGCATCAAAATAAAAAGTTACATTCTACTTAAAGCCTAACAACTAAAATTATAAAACATGGAACATGCTTTAGCCTGCTGGCTTCTGAATAGTGATTATTTGTTATCTATAATCTCTTTGCGATTTATGATAATAGTATAGTCTTAATTATATGTTTTGGTCAAAACGTTTGCACGACGACGACGACTCGTTATTATTTCGATGGCATCTTATATGTTATATATAAAAAAAAAAAAACAGAATGGCTGCAGTGTTGCAAAGGAGTTCCAATCATAATCTGGGTGGAGTGTACTCATCCCAAATTAATATCATAGACCTCACTTGAGTTTTGAAGCATTACATAAAACGATGTAAGATTTGAACGGCAACGATAAACCTTTTAGTGATGCTGTCCTACTACTGTCTGGTGATTTCCGACAGACATTGCCAGTCATTCCTCGCTCTGCTTTTGCCGATGAGATTAACGTAATGTTTAAAACAATTGTTTTTATGGCGAAATGTCGAAACAATTCGATTGACCATAAACATGCGAGTACAATTGCAAATAATCCATCGACAAAAATATTTTCTAAGCAATTGCTGGATATTGGAAACAGTGAAATAGAACTGCATCCAAATACACAATGCATCAAAATGCCAGACAACTTCTGCATTGTTCAGACAAAAAATGAACTAATTGAGAGTATATTTCCGGGTATACTAAATAATTACTTAATTATTACTTAATTATCATAATTGGCTCAGTAAACGTGCTATTTTGGTTGCAAAAAATGTTGATGTTGACGAAATTAACTTTCAGATACAACAGTTGTTGCCAGGTGATCTAATGTATTTTAATTCAATTAACACTATTGTTGATGAAAACGAAACCGTAAGTTTTCCAACTGAATTTTTAAATTCCCTAGTTACTTTAGATTCTATTACTACTTTAAAACGTTCTAAAAAAAATGTTTACATGTTTTTTTGTTATTTTTCTTTAGCTTCAGAGAACGTTCAGGCCCATTGCTGCAACACACACTTCCTTCCATTTGTCTCTATCCATTGCTACCTCCCTGTAGTTTTCAACTCCTAGCGTTGTTAGATCCTTTGAGACTTTATCAAGCCATCGTTGTTTAGGTCTGTCTAAGGGCCTCTTTCCTCGTGGCCTCCAACTTAGGACCTCCTTTGCAATCATGTTAGACCTTAGTATGTGACCTAGCCAGCTTAGTCTTTTGGCTCTAATTACTCCAATTATATTTGGTTCTCCAAAGGCATTGTACACTTCTTCGTTTGACCTTATTTCATACCTTTGTGTTAAATTATTTATTTTAGGTCCACATATCTTCCTTAGAAACTTTCTTTCTACTATGGCCAATTTTCTCTCATCCTCTAACGTTGTTGGCCATGTCGCACATGCATATGTTATGATAGGTCTTGCTATTACTTTGTATAGTCTCATTTTCGATTTCTTTGATAGTAGCTTTGAGCGCAGACACTTAGATAGTGCATGTAGACATCTGTTACCTGCTAGAACACGTTTCTTAATCTCTTCGTGATTGTTGTTTTGGCTGTTTAGTTCTGTACCAAGATACTTAAAGCTATGTACTTTTTCAAATGTGTACTCTCCGATCTGTACATTCCTTGTCTGATGTATTTGTGGTTGTTCTCTTGTTATACACATATACTTGGTTTTGTTTTCATTTATTTCAAATCCTATTGTCTTGGCACTTCGTATTAATTCCTCTGTTGCTAGTTTTATATCGTCTTCAGTTTTTCCAAGTACTACGATATCATCAGCATACGCTAAGATTGGTATAGATTTTCCGACATCAATTCCTTTATATTTATTATGTATGCTTCGAGCTACCACCTCCAGTGCGATGTTAAAGAGTATAGGAGAAAGTGCATCACCCTGCTTTAGTTCAACTGTGGTTTTAAACTCTTCAGAGTGTACTTGTCCGAATCTTACTTTGCATCTTGCTGTTTCTATGCACATTCGGTGCTCTTAATTTGGCTGGTATACCAAATAGTTCTAGATGTTTCCATAATGCTTCTCTTTTAACCGAGTCATATGCTTGTCTAAAATCCACAAATAATAAATGCAATTTCTTATTGAATTCATAATATTTCTCTATCAGTTGCTTGAGCGTGAATATATGATCAATTGTTGATCTTCCCACTAAGAAGCCACTTTGGTAATCTCCTATAATATCTTCTGCATATGGTCGTAGGCGGTTAAGAATAATGTTAGAGAGAATTTTATAAGTCGTACATAGCAAGGATATCCCCCTATAATTACCACAGTCCATTGCATCTCCCTTTTTATAAATTGGGCATATAATTGATGTATTCCAATCCTCTGGCATCCTTTCTATCATCCATACTTCTTTTATCACATTCCATATCTCTATTTTTAGATTATCTCCTCCATATTTTAATAATTCCGACGCTATTTCATCGTTTCCTGCAGCTTTATTATTTTTTAGCATTTTAATTGAAACTTCGATTTCCTCTAAACTAGGTTCCTTATCTTCTGGTTCTACCGATATATACCCGGTGTTTATTTGGGGTACATCAATAGTCCTGTTTAGTAGGTTTTGGAACACTATTTTAAAATCCCTTGCTATTTCTGTTTCCTTGGTTATTAGTGTTCCGTTCTTGTCCTTCATGATGGTTGTTTTTAGCTTATAGGTTCTTGTTAGCTCGTTGGTTTTTCGGAAGAAATTTCTTGAATTTATATACTCCTCTTCTATTCTCCTAATTTTTTCTTCTTCCCATATTCTTTTTTCTTTTCTGATCGTTCATTTAACCTCTCTCTGTTTTTGGGCTAGCACGTTCCTTTTCTCATTACTATTGTCTTTGATTACTTCCATTTTCGCTTTATCCTATTTTCTATTGCTGTTTTACACTTCTCATTAAACCATGTTGTTACTTTTTTCTTTGTTCTGTAGCCAATTTATCTCGTTGCTGCCAATGTGATAGTTTTTTTGAGGTTATTCCATCTATTCTGCTCAGTTTACAGTCTCTCATTTAGTTGTTTTATTATTTCATCCTTGTACTTTTTCCGCGTTTGTTCTTCTTTAAGGCTTTCTAAGTTTAGTTTTTTTTGTAGTTGATAATTTTGTTGTCCATTCTCTGGGTAGTTTCACCCTAACTATAGCCCTACATTTACATAGTTTACATGCTATTACATTTTTTTTTAGTTTTTAGCCAAGTCAAGTAAGTGTAGTTAGTCTAATAAATATATCAATAACCTTAATACTATTTCTGTTTCTCGACAAACCCGTGAACCCAATTCCAGGGGAATTAAGTTCAGTGGCGTGGAAAGTTTCTTGGAAACTGTGATGATTATCTGGTTGGTTTTGGAGGGAATGTAGCAGCGACTCCTTAAAAAAATATATTTTTGAAATCATCTCTACCCTGACGGCAATAAAAAACTACAAAAGAATGAGGTACCAATGTTGGGACAAACCTACATGTGATCCCTATAGTTTAGCGTTAATTGAATGGTATTTCTCAGAAAATCACCCTTTAGTAAATAATGCTGCCATATCATTCTAATGCTGTTTTTTCAAGCGACACAGTCTGTTACTCTGTCAGAAGCGGTTCACAAAAGGGTCTGCGAAAGACCTTAGGAGAAGCTAGGGGTACGACGAAATTACTAATATCTTGTTTTTGTTATTGTAGCATATTAACGATTATGCAAATATTGATGCCGTGCTAAAAATAATGAGATAGACTAGCCGGACTTTAATGTACAATATGATTATACAACCTGGCCCAACACGTACGGAACTCTCGGGTCTGAGGCAGGAGTAAAAAATAATAGTATATATTTTACAAGTTTGCACAAAACCCGTTTGGTTGTGGCGACAACAACAATGACAATAGAGAACATAATATTGTATAAATTATAGTTCATTACATCATATTAACATCAACCCGCAAATATCAAATCTTTCCTCCCTCTGAATCTCCCCGTCAACCCACCGAAAAGACTCTAACGCGATTGTCCAAGGCCCGAGCGATTTCCTCAGAATTCCGATAACAAATAAAGAACACGCATGCAAAATATCATTAGTTAAAAATAACTTATCACGCCGCGCCGGTTTACCGTCACTCGACGGTTTTTACAATCAAAACTTCAAGTAAAATTTCTTTTTTCAATCTTTTTATACATACATATATATATATATATTTATACTTGTGCTTAAACCGTGTACAGATTGTATGGCTTTCCGAATAAATATTTTTAAAACCGCTTGCCAAGTCGGGGTCGACATGTAGACGTTCTTGATTTTTAATTTTTTGAGAATTATTTAAATATATCTTTTGTTATTAAAGAATTATTTCAAAAAGTATGAAAATTTAGGGGAAGGGAAATGTGTTTTTATGATATACAATTTTAAAGTTTTGTAATGACTAACGAATGAACTAAAGTTTGAGATAAAAAAATTCTGGAACTCTTCACTGCACTTCAACGTGCCAAGGTAATTCCAATAAGTCACTAAATAGCAAAATCCGTTCATTGGTTTCAGAGATCTGCGTGGCTAAAGAAAAATGTAGCTAAAATTTAAAAATGACCATGTTTTTAATTGTAAGAAACTTAAATAATTTATAACTTCTCGATAAGCTTTCTAATGAGCCTAGAATGAACTTTTTATCACTTATCGTTTTATTAGTAACAGCTTTTTTCAATTTTAAACACAGATATATATAATAAACTAGATTGCTAACTAGCGATACGAATTGAAGCCGACGATCCGCCATTCTGGTGGGATTTATGTGTGTTATCAATGCATAAAATATTTATCTGTATATATTATTATATCAATATTATATATAAATATCTATGATTGTTAAAAACATATATTATTCTCACGTGATAAGGTTCTAATTCCCACCAAGATGGCGGAAAGTGGCTGCTTCAATCTTCTATATTGGTGGCATGTACAGTTAGCAATCTAGTTTATTATATTTATATATATATGTGATTTCAAATCACTGAATGTGTTAGGTTAGGTTTGAATTATTTATTATGTTTCACAACTAGTGTAAACAATAAAAAGGTGAGAGGAGCGTGGAGTGTAGCGGTCTTATCTATTCTTGAAGTTGCGGTCAATTGTAATGATAATATTGATAATGGACGAAATGTCGGTAACTAACATCCAAAACCAGATAAAAATCACTATTCTTCATTACTGATTACGGTGCACGCATAACGCGGTCTTCTGCACGATGCTCAATATTCTCGTTTGCTGGGTTAGTGTAATTATTTTAGTAGTAAATAATTATTAATTATTATAAAGTCAGTTATAAATAAATTGTAATTAAACTAGTAGTTACCAATATAATGTTTATCGCAAATGTAAACACATGAAGAATAATTTCAAACAGTGTTTCTGCCGTTTTGTTTATAGTTTTAAATCATTTTGTTTGGCGGCGGTTGTCACACACAGACGTGTTCACGTTTCCGTAAAACTCGTTGGAATATTGTATACATACCCGATATAGTTGTATCCATGGTAAGTTAATTATTATTATTGTATTTATTTATAAATACTTTTTTGTTATTAAATTAACTTTTTAAATTTTATTGATTAGTGTTTAAATTTCCTTATACATTCAACATTATTAATGTGTTTGGGTTTAAAAATACTTTTATTTAAAAGATTTGTGAGTATAAAATTAAAATTAATACATAAATGTTAAACTTTATAGTAGTACCTATGTAAATTAAGTAGAGTTTTACTTTGCTTGGTTCTCCCTGTTTTTTGCAAAATATTAATGCTAAATTATAGTGTTTATATATGTTCAATATTTATTAGAAATCTATAGAGTTCACTAAATTAAAAGTTATAGCTACTAAAAGTATCTTTAGTAATGTAAATATGTTCCATTCCAGTTAAAATTTGTATTATGGGCTTTTATTAGAACAACCTAAGAACTTTGGAAATTATGAATACAACCTAGGTAGGTCTGTTCATCAGAAAATTAATATGTCGTTACCAATGTATTTTTATCGTTAAAATTAACTTAAATTGTTCTCAGAAATGTTAAATTTAAACTTTTTCTAGATATGTTGCAAATCTTATATATTAGGTATTTCAAAAATGTCTTTTTCAACTTAATTAATAATACTACTATTTATTTAATTATTTATTGTCATTTGCACCAGTTATATTTAAAATGTGTGTATAGTTTAACCTTAGTTTCAGTATTGTTACACCATTAATTCTAATTAAACTTATAATCTATTTAAAAAAATATATTTAACTCCCATTAATTAGTCTGAATTAATGGTAGGATACCCAAAAATATTAGATATTTTAACTTAAAACAGAACTCAACAAGCCACACTGACCTCTTCTTAAATTGCTTGATTGTAGAACAAAAACAACTTAACTAGCTTAGTTCAGCTAAGTATTAGTTAATATGCTCACCTATTTTAAAAAATTAATATTAATTTACAAGTTTGTGTTGCTTCTATGGCCTCTGCATATTTTCCCCTAACTTTCCCCTATATGGTGTAGTTGTTCAGGGGTAACGGTTAAACCTCTTCAAAATCAATTTTTTAATCAGACCAAAGTTCGACACCACACAGGTCTTAAGAAGTTTCATAATTTATTTTTAAAATTATAGTAGTACTTCTGGTTTTAACTTGCTTAACTAAACTATTTCTTGAGTTGGTTACTTTCTTAATAACTATTATTTTAATTTATCAATATTCAAGTAAATTATTCTTGTTGTATGTGTCTATCAACCCTGACATAATAAATGTGTGATCTTTTTTATTATTACCCAACATATTTAAAATCGTAACGTAATGTATGCAAAATAAACCTTTACTAAAAAGGTAAACTATTATACTAATTTAATTTTGAATAGTTTGATCTGATCTTTACATTTTGTTTAATGCCATCTATAAATGGTATTCTATATCAGTATATCAAAATGTCAAAGTAGTGTGCCAAGTATACTTTAGACATACCATTACCATTACCTAACTATTGACCTCATTTATAATTTAAAATGCGTTTTGGATTACTTATGTACATTGCTGTATATTTTAGTTTTTAAATGTATTCTATAAAGTATATGTAGGCATTCTAATGTTTTTTATTATTGAAATGAAACGTTTATTATTTTGTTGCAGGAAGTTTTAGTCTAATTTTATTGATATAACACATTTAAAAACCAAAAAGCTAATGATGAACAATACAAATTATTCAGTTTTGACCAAAGAATTGATTGCGCGCCATGAACATAATGAAAGTTTGCCAGAAAAATGTTTCTGTCCCTTATGCAATGTACATATGAGTAAAATCAAAAGAGGCCGACCCCTTGATGCCCATCAAGACAATAATGCTTACTCATCTGATGTAATCAAAGAACGATGCTGTGCTGTAGATCGAATGCCATCTCTTCATGCTAATTTACATGTAGACCATAGTGGAGAAAGATTACTGAAATTAAATCCATATCCAGTATTAGATACTGATCCCACTCTAGAAAATGTAAACTATGTTAATTCAACTTCAAAACCTATGCATTCAATAAGTAAGATTATGTTTCCTAATATATTACGCTATAAAGTAGCTCAAAAAGTAAAACTAATAAAATGATTTACTTATTTATTTTTTTATTTTTTTAAGATAATAAAACAAAAGAGCTTAAAACTCAATCTAATATTAATAATATTGAAGCCATTGGTAGACACAAAGAGCATTACCAATTTCATAATGAGTCAAGACATTGGGAAAAAAATGAAAATGATTTAGATCACAATGAATTTGTTAATGGTGATCATTACAATTATATGGCAGCTAGAAAGTATGATGTACACTATCGACAACCTTCTGTTCACCGTCAACGAAAAGCAAGCGATTCAATAAAATCAAGCTTTTATACAAATTATTAATATTTCATTTCTATTTTTTTTAGATTTTGCCAATGGTTCCTCCTAAATATCTTATCCCTACTAATTCAGTCCAAAAACCTGTTGTGATATCTTCGACCACTAATGGTTATATGAATGGCCAGGTTCATAAAGACTTTTCTGATACTCCTAAACAAAAAGTTATTGTTAACCCTGTTCACGAATCATCTAATGGGTCTATTGATGAGTCTAAAGTAACGTGCAAAGTAGTAAATAACAACCCAAAAGTTATCATCAAGGATTCTCAGAAAATTGTGAAAGAAACTACTGTGCTTTCAAAAGAAGTTATCAAAGAAGCTAAAGAAAGTAATATCAACTACCATAAAAGTACAATCAACGATCAAATTAATAAGAACAATGTTATATTTCAAAAAGAACAATCAAAATATCTTGACAATAATAGTCAAAGTCTAATTTTTAAAACAAGAAAGGGTGTTAATGCTGTTAATGGTACTCCTGTTCAATCTGTTTGGTGATTTACATGTTTATGATGAATTATTAACTAAATATTTAACAACAGTAAATTTATTGTTTTTTTAATTTTTAGTAATTGGGTGCATGATTCTTATGAATCCCCACAAGAAATAGTATCTGAAAGTGAGTAATATTTTATTTATTTTTTAATTTAATATTCATTTGTTTTTTTCTGTATTACTTGTTTTAGATGCTAGACAAGGCTTAAAATTGCATGTATCAAAATCTTTTAATAAAGACTTGGATCTCAACTTTGTGAGTGAAGAAACACACAAAACCGTTTTTGACCATTTATTTTCCGGTAAAAAACAATTTCTTATAATAAAATTATAACAAAATATATTATAATTCATATTATTATACAATTATATGGTTGTGTTGGGAGGTAGATACAAAAATAAACATAATGAATGTATCGGAGATAAGAATGTTAGGAGAATGATGTGACAAATAAAGATAAGAAAAAAATGTGTACCTAAAGATAGTATAGACGTGGTTTTGATAGGGGACATAATGAAAGTAAATAGATTGAGGTGGTCTAGACATTTTATGAGGAGAGGGGAATGAATTTGTAACAGTAAGAATGGTTATGAAAATCAAATTAGGAAGAAAAAAGGGAAGAGGAAGGCCGAAAAAGAAGGTGGATGCGGTTGAAGACAGCTTGTGTTACAATGATGATGTGAGAGATTGTGTCGAGTTAAAATTTAGGACAAGAGTATGACTAAATAATTAGAATAAAGGCGAAGGATATGATTATATTATTTTATTATAATTATGAAAAGTAAAAAAACAATGTTACAGATATTCAAAATGATAAACATCAAGAAAATGTTAAACAACATTCAGCATTAAGACCTAGTTTGTTTTCGAATATGCCTCCTTACATCCGATTTTCTTCACATGATATCAAAGGTATTTTTTATTCAAACATTATGTAAAAATAAATATCTATCTATTAGATATATATCACTTTGGTTTTTATAGGTGAATCATTTCCGTTGCCATTGCAAAAAGTACTTAAATGGAAATTAAGCTCTATCACGCCAATCGTAGTTCGCCGTACAGTACAAAATAGTGGTTTTAAATTAGTGAGAAGTGAGCATAGTTTTATTCAAAACGCTTCTGATCTTTCTGATAAAACTAATCAATCCAATCAAAATATGAATTCCTTACAAAACCATTATGGTATTACACCTCCTATTGTCGATGCATTCTGCGGTGCTGCTTCTTCTCCTAATGAACTAAAAATGTTACCTCATTCTCGTGAGTCTGTGATATTCTTTCCTTTTCTTATCATCATTATTTTACTTTAACCCAACATTTTCTAATACATTAAAATATTTTTAGAATCTAACGATTGGGTCGGTACATGGGGTAAACATATGAAATCGTTATGTTTTAAAACATTGCGTGATCAGCAAAAGCTCAATCACTTTCCGGGGACATTTCAAATTGGACGTAAAGATAGATTATGGAAAAACTTACATCGATTGATGTTAAAATATGGTAAAGAACAATTTGGCTTTATACCGACATCATACATATTACCTCAGGAGACTCGATTATTACGGCAAGTTTGGGAAAAAAATGATGAAGACAAGTGGATTGTCAAACCGGTATTTTTTAATAAGCAGTTTTGTAATACAATTTGTTGTTAATAATCCTTTTTTAATTATCATAGCCAGCATCTGCTAGAGGAACGGGTATTCGTGTCATATCCAAGTGGAATCAGATACCAAGAAAAGTACCTTTAGTGGTACAACGATATATAGATAATCCGTACTTGATTAATGATACTAAGTTTGATTTAAGACTTTACATACTTATTACTTCAATAAATCCTCTTCGGCTGTATTTATACGATAATGGACTTGTGCGATTTGCCTCTGGTACTTATTTGTTTAGATTTTTTTAAACTAAATAATTATTATTTTCATCATATTCATTAACTAAAATATAATTGCAGTTAAATATTCATCTGATCTAACTACGATTTCTGATCGTTACATGCATTTGACAAACTACAGTATTAACAGACTGAGTAGCCAATATACTCAAAATGAGGATGCGGATGCCTGCCAAGGCCATAAATGGTTACTTGAGAAACACTGTTAAATCATTTATTGAACTTTTAATCACATTAAGCATTTAACTTTGTAGGACGTTAAGATCGTTATGGACATACATGGAAAAAGAGCGTAAAATTGACGTTAAAAAATTATGGGATAGTTTAGCAGACTTAGTAGTGAAAACTGTAATCAGCGGAGAATCACCAATGGGACAAATGTGCCGTTCTAATTTAAGTAATAGATATAATGCGTATGAACTATTCGGTATCGATGTTCTATTCGACGAATTTCTTAAGCCCTGGATATTAGAGGTAAATATAATTCTAAATTTTATATGTATTCATATGAATAATTATTACTTACAATTACACGATGTTAGGTCAACATATCACCTTCACTGCATTCGTCTTCACCACTTGATTTAGCAGTTAAAGGACCTTTAGTAAAAGATTTAATGAATATGGTTGGTTATCATGTACCCAATAAAATGTCTCCTACTACTCATGTATGTATTATAGTTCGTTTTTAATTGTGATTAATCTTTAAAGTTAAAAATTACAACATTTGTTTAGCTTTGATACAAAACTGCAAAGGTATTTTGAAAAGAAATTTACAACTGTGTGGGTTTTTTTTGTGTGCTTATTTAACACAACTGAACATGCTTGTTCTACATTTTTCTATTTGTCTTTCTTGTTTTCTGTAAATGATATCACTTTCAATTATGCTTCTAGAATGCGTTGCTCAAGATGTTAGGAATTAAGTCACCTTTGTGTTATGACAAAAGGTTGTACACATTTAATTTATCCACCAAAGAAAGAGAAAAACAAGATTTCTTTATTAATTTGGAGTCTAGAGAAGAAGTAATTTGTATATTTTTACTTACATGTATATTCTATGTAGATTATATAATTGGTTTTGAATTTTTAGTATATCAACAATATTCTTGATGAGTTAATGCCAGATGATATTCGTCACCTTATCGAATATGAAGACGAGCTTACTCAAGTTGGATCGTAGGCTATTTTATAATATTATTGTATTTTTTATTTTTTATAATTTTTAATTACTTATATTGGATTTTAGATTTCAAAAAGTTTTTCCAACAACAAATTCTCATAAATACCACCAATACTTTGATGGTCCTAGATATTACAACATGTTGTTTGACGCCTGGGAAAACAAGTATCATGATAAAAGAGAAGAAGGTAATAGAATAAAAACCTTTACAAAATTTAGTAAAAAATAAAGACATATTTTTTTAAATTTTATAATATATAAAATATTTTAACTATTTACATGTAAATTGTTTTATCTTTTTCTAACGCATATTATTTGAGTTACTTTTACCTTTATATATTAATAATATATTTGTTGAATTTACAGGTATTGCTTTGCTAGAATCTTTCTGTCAAATGAAAACACATTTGGAGGTATCGGATGTCGAAGAAGACCAATCAAAAGTATAAAATATTTATTTTATTATATTTAGTTAGTTAAATGAGAATAATAGGTATTAATACTTTTTGACACTACAAAAACAAGCATGTTTCAGCAGACAAACAAAAAACAACACTTCCTTGATTATTCAAACTGAAGTGTGGTTTTTCCATATAGAGTGTCAAATTTTGTTAGGGTGTCAAAATATACTAGTGTCAATATCATTTAAAATCATGATTATTTTAAAAATTTGAATACTTTCTTCCTTCACATATTAAAACAATTACATAAATGAACAACACTTTTGTAGAAAAATAAAAATAATTTAATTAAAAACAATTCTATTTATAAAAAATATATAATTCTTTTTTATACTTTTTGACGTCATTTAATATTAACTTAAAAGATACTTGGAAAACCTTTTGGAAGTTTAATCATTTTTTTTAACTGTTTACTATTTAAGTTAAACACATAATGACATATATGCACTAATAAGTTATTTTTATTATTAGTATTCATTATTTATTATTCTAATTTATCCCTAAGCAATTACACTTATGTAACAATAAATATTTAAGACTATTTTATTACAGCACTATTATTTATATAACTTATATTCTAAATCGTAAAAACATTCATAGCTAATATAATCTCTCTCTCTCTAATTCATGAAAAAGACTAAGAAAAGAAAAAGGACAATTTCAATAGTTAAATGTTTATATTTTGTTCAGTAGATATGCTTTTAAAATACAATGTGACTGCAATACAACTTCAACTAGATGATGGAGGTCATATCAATGAGGTCGCTAAATTCTCTGTAACATTGCCAGATTTATTTAAAATAATTAGTACCATAAATTTAGAACCATTTTATTCCGTTTTTGGCAATAAGTTATAATTGGGGAGTAAACATTTTTGATATAACTACATTAGCTATGACATAAAATAACTTTAAAAAAAAAGAGAAATTAATTAACTACAAAAAAGTACATATTTTTTGTTACATTTTTACTTATTATTCTTATTACCAGCCTGGCGATATGTACTCTTAATGAAAGTTCATCGTATTTTATGGTCTAGTTTGCATATTAACCACTATAATCATTAGTGATGGGAATCCGAAAATCCGGATTTTCACAAAATACGCTATTTAAGCTACTTAAAAATCATATAAGTGTTAAATAATTTTAAAATAATAAGCCTGTATACCTAAGTAAATTTTTTTTGATAAATATGTAAAAATAAAACAAAACACTAAAAAAACATAAAATGCTTTTGGATTTCGGATTTGTTAAATCCATCGGAGCATTGTATAGACAAAGTTAAGAGTTTTTTTTTTAAATTTTTATCAACACATTTTACTTAGGTACACATCTTTATGTTGTAATAGTATTTAATATTTATAAGATTTTCAAGTGATTTAAATAGCATTTTTTTTTTTATTAAATCCGGAGTTTTGGATTCCCATCACTAATCATAGATACACACTATGAGTATCTCTATACATTATTACATTTGTACACAATATACTAACATATCATGTACAAACATTGGAAACCAAAAATAAAATAATTGAAATTGTGATTTATCTTCATGATGTTCAAACGTTCCAACAAAATTGTATAAATGCACTAAAAATTTGAGCACTAAGCCATCTATATAATTACCAGGGGTGGCCACTAACCTTAATTTTGAGGTTTTAATTTTCATCAATCTATTCATTTGCATGACTTGAGAAAAATATTAGTTACCTTTATAATTATCATCGGTTTTCCAAATTCCATTAGCCCATAAAATTCATATTTCAGTTTGCATTGTCCGATAGGTGAGAATACCAACAACCAGACACAATGAAATGCTTTGAGATAATGATAGACATGTGAATCTTATACACCTATTTAAACACAGTGACGATGACGACAGTGTTGTTATCAAGGGGTATCAATATTTTTATTTAATGGGAAACTGTTGTAAAAACCGAACAATATTAAATTCAAACCTTTACAACATCATATAGCCAACAAAGAGATTTAAAATAATTAAAAAATTCAAACGCTAAAATTACTTTAGATTTTTTGTCTACATTTTTATGGAATTAAAAACACTCGTTTCCATTTAAAAAAATTAAGTCCATATTACTTTTACGTACAAGTGATGAAGGTAAAAAATGTCTAAATATTGAAAAATATAGTAACATATTTATGTACCTGTAAGTATAGGAAAAAAATAATTTTCAAAATATTCATATTTTACGAGAAAATGAGTGTCTTACATTAGATGGATCACCTGTTATTGTTATTAATATTTACCATATTTACCGTTGTTAATAAATAATCTATTAAAAATAATTGCTTACTACCTTGGCCTAGATAAGCACTTTTCATTTGTGATTTATATGGTACCTCAGTCAGTATACAATTTATTTATATCCAAATGCTTGTTGTATGACACTGGCTCATTTACTGTTCAATTTGAAATTTAATGAAATCACTTTCATACAAAAAGATTTTTGTTTCCATTACAAATCTATTAAAATTCAATTTTTTTTTTGTGATCACATTAATGTTCAAATGTGTAATATATTACTAGTTTTAATAAACCATACCATGAGAGAGTACTGACCCTTTTCAAGATATTTAAGTGTATAATTTTCGAAACTTGTTTTTTAATTTGATATTATTAGGATACATAAATTTGTTGTTTATTTAAAAATTATTTATCTAAGTTGTGTATTTAACAGAATCCATTTTTTTTCAATATATAATATGTAAAGAAAGTAAAATTTAAATATTTGCCAGAACGGATAGTATTACGGAAGTACAGGTACCAGTACTGGAAGTATTTTTTAATACTTTTTACCTAACTGATATATGAGTTAATGTTAAAAAATTTTCGGTTATTTACAGAGTAACTAAAAAAATTAATTCAATAAACTAAATTATTATAATTATAAATACTATAATTGAAATCAGATGCTTATCCAAAAAAAAAAAAACTTAAATTTTAACTAGTAGCTATTTTATTGATTATTACTCAATTACCTTTTAGATATTTATCATTTATATTGCTATATTGTCTTTTAGAACACTCTTACGTTAACATTAATTTTTATCAATTTTATAATATTTTATTCTTTTCTAAATTATTAAGGACCGAATTATGTGGTGCATCAGAAATGCCTATTACACCTTTAAAACTCTTAAATTTTGTAAGTAGGTGCATAATCAGATATCCAATTTTAACAGCATGATGTGAATTAAAAATGATTTTTTTTTAATCATATATTATATTATAAATATAACTAAAACGTAGCACATTTTATTGGCAGCCTAGATAATTTGGTTATATATATTTTTTTTAATTATACGTGTAGTTGTATTCTGACAATAATTTACTAATATTAGTTTATTAATTGGACATCAGGGATTTATGGTAATTTAGTATTGTGAAGTATTTATGACAACGAACAAGAGTTATTAATTATTATCAAAATTGTTTATTCTATTAACATTTAGTATTTTAATGTTTAACAAATAAAAATATATATCTAATAAAAATGAATAAAACCCTTAAAAAATATTTTATAAGATAACTAAATATATGTTTTTAATATTAAGTCTTAATAAATAAGTATGACAAATTTAATAATACAGTATTGAGAATACTACTCTTATTATGTTATCTTAGATTTGAATAAATTGTAGTAATTATTTTAGTTAATATTGTGTACATTTTAAGCAGTATGTAGTAAAAAAAAGGTTTTATTTTTAATAACAATAATTATACATTGCCTTAAATAGTTACTAGTTAAGTTGGTGAATACTAAGCAATATTTTAAAATAATTGTTGTTATAATAACACGCTATGCTTAGGGGATATTAGTATTTAAACACCAAGTGAAATATGTACATATGTATCCTAAGCTATGGGTACATACAAATGGGTAATGTGTAAAATTATAAATATATATATATTTAGAAAAAAGAAATATTAATGATTAAGACTGATTTAGCATATTTAGCTGTGGTTTTTAAGTAGTGATATATAAATATATTCTAGATTTTACCAATACAAGATGAAAAGTAACACAATTTCATAATGTGTGACATATACATTGTTATGTATTATAAATTATGTATTAACTATTATGACTTTCCAGTTAAGTTATAAGAAAGTAAAATCTTTAATATTAGTTTTACTTGTTTACAAACCTGCATTATAATTTGAAATTGGCATATTTTAAATTTTATACATATATATATATATATATTTATATAAAGTAATTTAGTAAACTGTTTTGGTTATTACTGATTATTTAGTTGGTTAACACAGAACATTTATTTCCCAATTGTAAGTTATTATTATTTTTTTTTTTTTTAACAGACTTGCGAGACCCTCCAAAGTACAAAAATGGAGGTTGAGAAAATGGCCAGTAACATTAATGCCGACCATCATCAAGCAGTTATCAGGTAATCTATTTGCCGACAAATAATGTGTGTTATTCTAATTTGTGAAACTGTTGAAACAAACAAGATTAAAACAAAATATATGTAATATATAATACAATGCTTATTATTATTAGTTTTTTTTACTTTTTTTTTATCATATATTTGCTTTTATAAATGTAATAATGCGTTTATAGAAATGTATTTATTTCAAATTTACCACTTGGGTAAAAAATTATTTTCAAGTGTCGTGTTTTAAGTATGCTGATTGACTACTGGTATTTTTCTTATTATTATTTATTAGTACACCATAGTAGTGATATGAGTTAAACTTATAGTTTAATTATAATTACACTTTTTTTTCTCCAACCAATGGATGATATGCTTGATCATACAAAATATAATTAAAAAAAAAAAATGTTACATGTTTTTAAACAATCTATGTTATACACAATATACCAATTAAAGCCATATTTTATCTATATGAACATAATTTTTATTTAGCGATGATGTATAAGCAATGTACGCATGTTGATTTGTTAATGAATGATGTCTCACGTTTATGTATATATTTATATGTTCTATCCTGTGATGCATGCCGCACTGTTTTGTTGATTTTGGCGCTTTGGTTGTGTATTCCAACATGACATTTATACTGGTCTCATATTTGTCTATCAGTCATTTTTCAATGTCTGCTGCTGAACGTCGCCACATGGTATACACATCGATAACCATGTCTGATGAAGGAGACTGGATTAGTGACGATTTTCCGTATGATGATACAACATCGGCTACCGGTCATCCAATGGTTTCCTGATATATAACTATGTTAATTAACACCAAACAAGCCATTACGTCGAATAGAATACGTCTTGTTGGTTTTGTTAATGGTTTTTGGACTTGGCTAAAAACCTACGTTAGCTGAATTTCTTTTAATTTTAATTAGTAGAAAAAATAACTGAAAGTATAGATAATTTACATAGAAGTAGAAACGTGCCCGAGCCAAATTTTCATTTTTTGCTTTAACAGAGATAGTATTACACAGTTCAACATTTTTTTTGTCAGATGAATTGCAATTAATTATAGGTATTTGATAGCGCTGATTTCAAAAAGATGTCTATTTGCCCAATTGGCTTATAGTAAGACTTGATATATGGCACATACAAAATTCAAAAATCTTTATATAAATCGAATATAGACCAATGTTTAAAAATAAAGTATTCATTGAATTTCATTCCTTTTTGGAGGAATGTAATATGAGTGCATTATATGTATTTTTAAGTCTTCACTCATGAATAGATAAATTTATTAGTTTCACTGGAAACAAAAAATACTGCTAGTTTACACCTAAATACACCTGTACCTATAATGGTAGGTACAATGTACCTATATATACATATACACATGTATACCTATATATACATGACAAAGTTTTAAATACTTATACCGTTTAATTGTATTCAATCCAAACCAAAACTTGTTAAATGTTTTTTTTATTAAACCAGATTATTTTAACTATTAAAAAAATATGTTCGTTTAAATGATTAAACCATTTTTTTTATATATGAAAGAGGTTAAACTACATTTAGATGGACATCAAATTTGATAACTTTTAAAAAAATTAATTTTTATAGGCAAAAAATGGAAATTTTGGCTAGATTGCTTGCCAATTTTTTTTAGACAATCTATAAGGGCTTCATATGCTACAATATAACTTATGATTTGTTTAAAAATAAGTCTTTGTTAAAAACAACCTTGTACGTACTCGAAATTTTTTGAATTTTTGTCTAATTTTACTGATTTTTTTTACAAGAGTATTAATATTATTTTATTATAATATTAAGTTGGTGTAAACTAGGCAATTTAATACTTTAACTCTGATGCTAAAGCTGACGTACTATTTCAATAAACAATAGCAGGAAAAAATCATTATCATTAGGGAAATTAAAGTGTGTTTGTAATTTATACATAGGCATATTATAATACAAAAAAAAGATAATTTATAAACGAATTATACTTAAGTTGTTATTTTTATCCAATGTTAGGTGTATACACTATATATGTTTACACTGCCATAAGTTAATTTATAATAAGTTTTTTATAAAATTGTTTTAATATATAGACTTAAAAATCATTAAATCTTAATAGAGATTCGAGTATTACTTTATTAAGAAGGGAGCCTAAATACGTAGAAAATTGTGTAGTTAACTTGTAGTAAAAAAGTAAGTAAAGGAAGTAGGAGTTGTACTGATTCATAAATTATAATAAGTATTAAGTCTGAAAACATAGCATGCCTCAGCCTGTAAACTTTTACTGAATGAATATTTACATTTTACAAAAAAATCTTTGTTAATAATAATTACTATGTTTTTTTAATATAATTTTATTTTACAAAATATATACCTTAGCACAGTGTTCTAAATTTAAATCATTATTTCGAAGTATAAAACAAACCAGTGACATCCATAGGTATTTTTATTTTTTTGCAAGACCTAATATTGGTGAAATTCTATAGCCTACATGTATCTAATATCGATAAAAATTTCATTAGGTACTTATTGTTTCATTTGTTTATATAGTTGGACAAAATATATGTACATAAAACTTTAAGACGATTAATCAATTTTGGATCAAAATTATATTTGTGCACTGCTAAAAAACAATTAGATTTATTATTTATTTTTTTTAATTTTAAGTAAATCATAGCTTTTCATTATTAGTTTATTTTTATTGTAAACAGCTCCACATTGAGGTTAAAAATCTTTACTGACTTATAAATCATTAATATGTATATAATAAAAGGATCCAATAAGCACACTATTAGATTATTGAATAATTACCGTTGTCTGAATTTTATAGTGGTATAATTTAAAAAAATCTTTGTAGGTACATTTTATACCAGAATTATAATTATGTGTTCATGTATGTAGCTATTTTGTACAATTGTTAAGTATATTATATTAGTAACATTTAAATCTATTATAATATCTTTTTGTTATTTATATGCTAAATATTCCATTTACCTAATTATAAGTATTATCTACTTTTAACGCAAGAATCATTTTATTTGTTACAATTGATTGTTTGTCTCATATTATTATACATAATACATAAAATATATAAAGAAAAAAATTGTGACTTATAGATTAATTAATGACAGGCTGGAGGCATCTTACGATCACTAATATAGGTAGGGTATAATTAACACATTAAAAGAAACCGAAATAATATGCATTTATTATTAATATATAGCATTAATATATAATAATTATCAATATATAGCATTTCTATTACGATTAAGAAAATTAATTTTAAATAAAACAGGCAATATTTTTCTCGCCTAATTCTTTTGAATAAAATTATAAAATGCTGGATGCCGGATTTATATCTTGTGTGGGTTAATAGCAATTACCGTGTCTTAAAAATGTGCAAAGGTATGCTTAATTAAAAAAATAAATTATCTTGTAAAAATGAAGAATACCTATTGGCATTTTGAATAGCCGAAAAAAGTTGCAAAATTTTTTTCTTTTTGACTGAGGCGAAACAAAACATTTAATTTTTGAACCAGTCTAATGATTGGGTATAAATTTACTTTACTAAGCATTTTTTTTTTTGCCATATTATAGTGTTTTTTACGCTGATTTGGAATCTGGGTATACATCAACTTTACCGGACACCTTTTATTTCGAACCGATAGAACTTCATGCTGGCTACGAATCTGCAAACATTTTGAGCCGCTACACTAGTGTGTATATATATACATATATACACACATGTACATAATAAACTTTACTAAACATAATTATTATCTTCAAACCATTAGATATATAAAAAAAAAATTGAAAACAAAAATATTGTAATATGAAAAATTTGAACAGAGTATGTAGAATATTAAAATTGTATACGTACAATTCAAGGATCGGGGTTTGAATTTATGAAGGTGCTAAAATCCCCTTAGTTGCGCCTATGCATGTAAATAAAACTAACGAGTTTATTTGTTTGTTCGGGCTAATCTTCGAAATGGCTAACCTAACAGATTTTGACGCGGTCAATGTCACGGGTAACGGCTAGTAATATAGTATATATTATACTATACACAAATCTAATTACTATTCATTTTTTTTTTATGATTTTTGACCTCTGGGTTTATATCAGACTACATAATGGATCCCTTTCATTAATAAGCGCTAGAAATGGAAAGTCAGCACAAAAATTTTAATGTTTTAAAAATATATTTTATTCAATTTTTTTTTAGTCAAAAAGTTAATGTTTTACAAATTGTTGTTTAAATACTATGAAAATATATATATTGTATTTAAACAAAATTTTCTAAAAAGAATTAGAGTGGTATTAAAATTCTGACCGAACTACAATAAAAACATATTTGTATGGTTTTTTAATTTTTTGCTGGCAGGGTTCCCAAATAATCAAATAGTTTTTTTTTTGGTATGTGCCTAGTAGAACATTTATTTAAAAACGTAGAAATATATATGCAGAGAAAATAATTTGTCGTCTACAATATCATAAAATATGGTATAGCGATATGAATATAACAATTTTCATATAATCTGTGCTACAGGCTACTACGAAAGATATTAGAATTTTGTTTGCAGCAGCGGCACCCTCCATTTTCTATGATACAAAAAAAAAATCAGTGAAAATTATTTTTTTAAACTTATAATATAGCATTTGGCAGTTATATTAATACTTAGTAAGTAATGTTTGTTATAATTAAAATTAAAAAAAATAAATTTATATACGATATTAAAAAAATACAAATTTGCCGCCCTTTTTTGTGCAATGTCTGTGAAACCCTACTCAAAAACGGCCACGCGGAGCGCTAGGATCGAGTACTCCATGGCGCATACTATAGTTACTATAGTTGTTCGAATAATGATAAGCGATTTTATCGTCAGCATCAAGCACAAGTACTAACGTCAAACAAAAAAAATATTCGAATATCTGAAATCTTTATCAATAAATTTAAAATGTGTTGCATTTGACACCTAATCAATTTAAAAACGTAATTTATTTGTCAAATTCTTATTCTAATACGTTCGTCATATTTTACTTGCAATCTAATAGTGTATCATAATTATAAATTGCACTTGGTAAAGGTCTTAAAAAACTAAATTATTTCTTGAGTGTTTTAGTTATTTTGTCTAAAATGTTTTTAATTAGTCAACTAATTTGTATAATATATTAATGTATGTACGTAAAAATCTAAATGTGCTCACTTTACTGCCTTCACTTGTTTTTTTTTTTTAATTTTAACTTTTATTAGTATTTTTTTCAATGAATAAAAACTAAAGATACAAATATTTATTGTTAAAAATTATTTCTAACGTTTATTCCTAACGAGGAAAATTAAAACATAATAAAAACAGTCAAAAATGTATAAATAAGAATTATAATAAACAACTAACAAGTCTAGACTTATTATAAAATTAATTGCTGTCCGAATCTTCAAATTTAGTTATATTATCTTGGTATTCTTCGTGAAAATCTTGAAGTGTTCGTACTTTAGGCTTTACTTCACTGGGGTTCTCTTCAGTTATATCAAATTCTTTATCCTCTTCATTTTTTCCCTTACTACCTTCTTTATTTTTATTTTCATTTGCTTTATTTATTTTTGATTTTATTGTTTTTTTAGGTTTTTTTAATAATTGTAATTGAAGAACTTCTTCTTTTAATTTACTTGCTGTCATACTTTTGTTTGGTGCATTTCTCTTTTTCTTTAATATGATTTCTTCTTCCATCATGTATGCACATACACTCATTCTTCCACATTTTGCACGTGTAACATTGTCATGGAGCCGTTTACGTGATTTTGTTTTGGCTAGATCTTCGTCAGCAGAACTTGGTTTGGAATTAATTACCTCAGGTACAACTTCTTGGATCATATTTTCAATTAGAACACTATCATACTGTGCAGAGTTAGTTAAGGCACCATTAATTAATTGAGGATTTTTCTTTTCTTCAGTCTTATATTTTCTTTTTATTTGAGCTCTAGTACGCCCAGGAAAATACTGTTCAATCATCGAAAAGTCAGTACCAAGATTCATCAAACATTTGTAAAATTTAAGAGTTTCATCTTTATTCCATTGCTTAGATGGTTCCCTCTTACGTTTATAAGAGTAACTACGAGACTGAAACCCAGACACTTCAATAACTTTAGATTTTGCAAGTTCTTCTCTTTTCTCTTCTAACCCAGTTTCACTTAATGTTAATGTTTCTTGATCAATTATTATTTTTCCATCTACTCCAACTTTTATACAAGGTGTTATACAACTGTTAGACACTGAAGGCTTATTTTCCTGCAAAACAAATGTTATGAATATTTTTTATGTTAAAACTTATTTATGAAAATAACTTATTGGAAATGTTAATGATAACATGTTAAACATAATTTAAAAAAAGATGATATACTATTCTATCATTACTGTAACATTGCACATGAAATAATTTGTTACATCAATAATATAAATATTGAATGAACAAAAGTGGTTTCATATAGAGCCACTGTTGAGGAATTATTTAAAAAAAAAAGGTTCCTTACCATCTCTGTAAGAGATAATAGATCGTTATCTAAATCTTCTTCTTCTTTTTGTTCAACTTTAGTTTCTTTTACAATAGGATTGGTGACAGGGTTGTAGTAAATGAGATCTTGCATTGTTAATAAATTTTTATCAAATTCTTTTCCTTTGAATTTACTAGAAAATGGAATATTCCATCGCTGATAATTTTCTTTGGGTTTTTTTACATCTTCTAAAGTATTATCTGGCTCATCTACAAGTAATTTTGAATTAATAGATTTATTCTTTTTTTTTTTTAACTCTGTACCATTAACATTAGAACATATTTCAGTTTTTGTAGGGATACTTTTTGGCACAACATTTGTATATTCTTTTACTTGTGCTGCCTGAGGGTTTTCATTATTCTCGATTAAAATAATATGTCCAATTGGTTCTGGAACTTTGAAAAGTTGATCGATTTTGTCATCATTAGATTTAGGTTTTGCAAATTTTGCATCTATTTTATCATTTATTTTAGAAGGTATGTTTGGTTTTTTTTTTGCAAATGGAAATAGTCTATTGAGACCCGACTTGCTGTTTAGTACAGACATACTGAATAGCCTAAAAAATAAAAAAGGATATTATACAGTTTGGCCTCAAAATGGCAATTGCAGAGTTTTACTCACAGTTGAATGTCAAGTGATTAAATCAGTTTTGACTAAAATTGTAATAAATGGTTTAACCAAAATATAATTACTTAAACAAAAACTACATTTTTTTGAATAAATATTTTAAATTATAATTTTAACACTACGACAGTTTTAAACTTGAATTAATATGTAATGTTGAATAACTTACTATTTATAATAATTTTACAAATATTGAGTAATATTTAAACACAAGTTACATAAGTTTTACTAGCACACGCTACACGGCACACATGATTTAAAATGTGGATCAGTGAATGTGTAATGTGGAATGTGAAAATATTTCAGCAATGATGATAACAAAATATGTTAAATATGATAACGAATCTTTGGGTATGATAACATTACAGTTCTTACCACTGAGTTATTCTGTGTTTGTACGACCACGTTGGCTACATTGATTACTGTATTTAGGTTCGCAACATAAAACAGTGTGAACTAACCTACAAATTTCTTTTATCATTATTCTCTACATGGTTCACACTCCATACAAAGAGTAAGCACGTCTTCGGTCTTGCTTCATTTTCATTTGTGTTTACTCTAGAGTCGTTTAATTTGCACTCAACTCGTTGTACAAAATGTCCGGTAAAGAAGAGTAAGTTTTTTATCCATATTAATCCGATTATTTATTGATTTTATTGAAAATACAATTATATCATTTCTGGTTGTATGTATCTTAAATTTTTTAATTTAAGCTGAAACCGTTAACCAGTATTTGTCATTTTGGTTTTGTGACGAATCAATATGTAAAATTTCATGTTTCATCAATTTTTTTTAGACCTCCCAAAAGGCTTCCGGCAGTGCCGGAGTCTGTGCTCAAGAGGCGCAAAGCACGTACGGCTTTCAAACTCAAGCAATTGAAGAAAGCTATCGAAGTAAGTACTATTAATCTCACTTATATATTCTCCTAACTAAAGCCTACTTTAAGGATAATAAACATATTATATTTGTATTGTTAAATTATATACCATTTTATGATAATTTAACAGTACTTAAAACAAAAATAATTTTCTTTATACTTTTACTTATCAACCCTAAACTATTATTTGTTTTTTAATAAGGTGCCAGTTCAGCAATTAATGACTGTTTACAACAACTATAATTAATAATTCTTTTATAGTTTCAGACTTCAGTATTGCTAAACTACACTTAATTTTTTACGTATAGTTGGTGCAAATGGCTACTAAGGGTTCTTTATCATTTTTTCCCCAATTTTAATGTTATTGATGTATCTATTTTAATTTAAAGGAGCGTAAAGAGCGTGTTAAAAAGACCAAGAAATATTTTAAACGTGCTGAAGCTTATGTTAAGGAATTCCGTATGAAAGAAAGAGATGAAATACGTTTAGCTAGGAATGCAAAGAAAGCTGGAGATTTTTACATTCCTCCTGAACCAAAATTGGCATTTATTATGCGTATTCGTGGGTGAGCAGTTGATGTGATTAACATTTATAATATTCCAACATGCCTTTAGGTATTTAATAATTTGTTTTTTTTAGTGTGAACCAAGTTGCACCTAAAGTTAAAAAAGTATTACAATTGTTCAGATTACGCCAGATTAACAATGGAATCTTCATCAAGCTAAATAAAGTAAGCATGCAATTCATGCTATTAAATAAATGTATACCTTTAAACATTTTTTATATTTATACTTATGTTTATTTCCCCCTAAGGCTACATTGAATATGTTAAGAATTTGTGAGCCATATGTGACTTGGGGATATCCAAACTTAAAGAGTGTACGTGAACTTGTATACAAACGTGGATTTGCCAAATTGAACGGTCAGCGTATTCCAATCACCAACAATGAGATGATTGAAAAAAAATTGGGCAAATATGGTATCATTTGTACTGAAGATTTGGTTCATTGTATTTACAGAGCTGATCGTCGTTTTAAATATGCAATGAATTTCCTTTGGCCTTTTAAAGTGAGTAATTATTATTATAATAAATATTATAATATTTTTGGCATATCCATGGTGACATCATAACATAGCTGTTTCACCTTCCAATTTGCCATAGAAAAAAATATATAGTAATTTGAGTTTTTATTATTTTTTTTTTTTAAAAACAAATTACATTATATACAGTTAAGAAAATAAAGTTATTAGAACATTTTTTTTTATTGACAACTCGATATAATAACAAATTAGTATCATTACTATTAACTATTAAGCTTTGTCTCTCTGTTTAAACTCGTTATAATTTCTTATATTCACAAAAAAAAGTTTTAAAAATGAACCCAAGTTACATAAGCTTAATTAATTTGTGCACTTTTTAAAATTTAACATAGCTGTTATTTCATCAAGAGGGCGTCGCACTGGTGATTTTCAATGGTAAAAACATGTTTACGCCAACTGAAGATAACTTACTTAATTTTGGCTTTAAAGTAAAAGCACGCATTATAAAACTAAAAGAGAACAGTATTCCGGTAACAACAGTGCGTTTTAAAAAAAAAATTAATTTCTTAAAAAGTTAGTCATTTATAAATGTTAAAATAGTCGTTATATCTAAAAGATGTATTGAGCGTTACACTTGGAATAATGAAAAATACGCACCGTGGTGCCCTCCAGAATATTGTTCTCTTTTAATTTCATAATTGGTGCTTTTACTCTAAAACCAAAATTAAGCGTGTTATTTTCAGTCTGCTTAAACATGTAGGATGCTGAGATAGTCTGAAAAATCAATTAATTACCAAAATAGACTTAAATATTCCTAGTTATTGAACTAATAATTACACATAACAGTTTAACCTTTAAATTAATATTTTGTAAAAAAAATTGCCTATAGTTAACTCCTTAAAAATAAGCGGTGCGACGCCCTCTTGACATCATTTATTAAGACTAAAGGATTTTTCTTTTAGTGTTTTCACATTTAATAGATAGTCCTTTTACGTGGAAAGCCATGTATTATATTTTATTGATTTTAGTTGATGTATAGAAATTATTTAAGTATAATTAAACTGGTATGTATAATGACTGCAACAACTGGCCGTCTCCACTTTTTCAAAATGTTAAGGACAATCAAAACAAAATTCTTACTCCATTTACTGTAATGGGCGGAAAAAAATATTGTTTTGCAATATCTTTGTAAGCATTAGTCCAATTTTACTGCTTGTTGCACTAAATTACTGATAATTTCCCATTAAAAAGATCATTTTTGATAAAAATAGATATAGCCCATTGTTGCAGTCGACCCTTCAATTGTGTAAATTTTATCTTAAAGATTTGTGTCAACTATGAAAATTGGAATATATAACAAAAGACATACAATCAACACTAAACTAATTTTAATCACATCAGTATTTAAATTATGTAACTACATGCACTATATTTTAAATACAATAATAAAATTAAGTAATGTACAACTTTTGTGACCAATAATTATACCTGTTATCAATTGTATACGATCAAATATCAGCTATAAATTGTCCTACATGTTAGGATACCACATAGGTAAAACAAAAAACATCAACAACAAATAATTCTATTAATTTCGTACTAAAAATGACACATGGCAAATGACATTACTTGATAAATAAACTACTGCAATTCAATTAATAAAATTGAATGGCTTTGTGAAGAGGGACTTTGGGAGAATCCTCAGCAGTACTCATGACAGCTAATGTGTTAACTATATTAATTTCTTTTCCTACTTATTTTTATATTTTAAACTACAACCATTTCTGTTATTATTGATTATTAAAAGAATTTGTTATTTAAGAGCAATAATATGTAAAATGTGTAATAAGACCATATTATATAATAGTTGTTATATATATATATATATTTTAAGATATTAATAACATTTTTATTTCTATATTTTAGTTAAACACTCCAACCGGTGGCTGGCGTAAGAAGACTAACCATTATGTTGAAGGTGGAGATTTTGGAAACCGCGAAGACACCATTAACAAACTGTTAAGAAAAATGGTTTAATTAAATAAATGTTATATACAAAATAGATTGTCTTTTATTTGAGAGAGAGAAACAACCACTTATAAAAATAAAAATAACAGCGAGTTACTTGCTGTAAGAGTGGCCTTAGCGGACACCATTGTGTTCAGTACTTAAAAATAAAAAACAAAAATGATGCTTAAACAAAACAAGAATTCATAAAAAAAAAATTAAGAAAATATGATACTTAAAGTATCTTTCATTACCGAAATTTTAATTAAATTTTTTTTGGTATACTGTTTCCTAAAAAAACAATTTAGGATGGTCAGGTCAAACAATTAAAATAGTAATTTATTAATGTTATTTTAAATGTAATAATATATAAATTTATAAAATATAACACTGATACTGTCACAAAAATTAGCAATGAAAGATTTTCCATACAAATAATCCTCCCTTTTAGTTAAATTGATAATATTTGGTGAATTCTGGTAGAAAATTAATTATTTATAAGTTAGGTGTGCAAGGGCGCCCACAACTCCCTCCCCCTAGCTTCTCTGCTAGTTAAAAAATGTATATCTTATATCCCAAATTTGTAAAATCTATTACAAAACCATAGGCGGGCGCACTTGGTTAGGTGTAATAGTTATGATAAGTAATGGTTTTAAAAAGAGAAGCAGTGGCCGAGTTGGTATTGATAATAAATTATCAATAGCTCTAATGGATATAATATCGTTTATTGTATTGTATACAGGTGATCAACTTGTGAACCACTCAATATCTCGCCGGGTTTAATTAACAATTTAAATTTTTTATACAATGTGATCACAATTTCTCACAAATTGTTTTGTTTGTACCTCCCTCCTAACTTAGTTTTTTCGATAGAAACTTTTGACACTTGAATGGTAACGCATACATTTCATTAACTTTATAAATTAAGAATAATGTACTAAAAATGTTGACTGGTCGATAACCGTTTTTAGATATCTATTTTTAAAGTTATAAAAGTAAAGGTTAGGATGAGAGGGGAAATACGCACAGATAAAAATAATACTATACTCCATCTTTCCTCCTGCCTCGAAACTTCAATAACTTCAAAGATAGTTATCCAAAACTAGTTATCGACTAGTCAAAATGCTAGTACATTATTCTCAATTTAAAAATTCCAAGAAAAGTATGCGTTACCATTGAAGTTTCAAAAGTTGCTATCATAAAAACGTATATTGATATAATTTGTGGTCAAACGTAGTCTGCCATCTACATGTTTTTGTTATATTTGAGATTATTATACATTTTTTTTTTTGCATATTATTATATTTTCATATCGACCCTGTTCATGCAAAACATATTAAGTCCAAAATCGTAGTTTTAGATTTGGTGACTTCTATGTGTAGATAACAATCACTAAATAGTATTTTTGTTTGCTCTTTATTATAATATAAATTAATTTAATAAATAAAAACACTTTTGGACTTGTGTTTTATATGAACGGAGTCAATTTAATTACCCAGTTGTATATTATAGATTATTGTTTATTTGCTCCATGATATTACGATCATCATCAAGCTTAACGGGGCTCAACGCAGTGAACGCTGCCATCAGGAGATTATGGTCTCTAGACGGATAATGATATTACGACACTATCAATATTACCTAGTACCTACTTATTGATAAGAGTTTATAAAAAAAATATATAAATTTGTGTTCTAAGTAAAAATGTATATAGAAGTGAACAAGAACAATTTATAATATTTCCTGAAAATGTTCATACTTAAAATCACACTAATAATAATAGCTCAATGAAAATTGATCGGCAAAATGTTGAGTACTGAAAAAAAGTAAATTATTGGTTGAGATTTTAGAAATCCAAAATGAGTACTTTGCATAAAAATTGCCTTAGTCAACCTGGACGTAAAAAAGTTCAAGTATGTGATGTTTTTACTATTTAACAGCTTAAAATCATTTTTTATTACTTACCTATTTATATATGTATACCAGTTGAGTTTTTAAACTACTATAAAATTAAAATTTTGAAGCATAGAACAACACAAGCACATAACTTGGTTATTATTTTTAAGTTTTAAATTCAATCATTAGACTTACCTAACCTTCTTGAATCAACAACTGTTAAGTGTTTAGGCTTCAAAATATATGCCACCCTAATAACATCTAGTTAATAAGAATGTATCTTATGCTAATAAGATATGTATATTATTGTTATTGATTTAAAAAATTGTTTGGTCAATGAATAGATATCATTTGTTATTCGCGATGAAGAAGAACGAAGACATAGAGCAGGTGTTAATTCTTTACAATTAGATGCTAAACAAGGAATATTGTATTCTGCTGGTCGTGATGGCATTATTCGTCAATGGGATGTTCGTGATAATATAGAAGCATCATATTTGCGATCGCTTGAACACCACACGGACTGGGTTAATGATATAATTCTGTGTTGTGGAGGAAACTACTGTAAGCTCTACTACTGTGACTACAATGATTGCTTTAAAAATGTTAATTTAATAATTATGTTGCATGTTTTAGTAATATCTGCCAGCTCAGACACTACAGTCAAATTATGGGGCCTACGAAAAGAAAACACTTGTCTGTCAACTTTACGAACACATAAAGATTATGTTAGAGCTTTAGCCTATGCCCGTGATAAAGAAGTAGTTGCATCTGCTGGACTAGATAAAACTATTTTTATGTGGGATGTCAATATGCTAACTACCTTAACTACAACAAACAATACAGTAACAAGTAAGTGTTGAAATTAAAAATGTTATCAAATGTAAAATTTCTTTTTTCTACTTTGTAGCTGCTTCACTACCTGGCAGCAAGAACTCTATCTACAGTTTAGCAATGAACAGCAGTGGAACAGTTTTAATTAGTGGAAGTACAGAAAAAGTATTACGAGTATGGGATACAAGGACTAGTGACTGTTTGATGAAGCTTATAGGTCATACTGACAATGTTAAAGCTTTAGTAGTGAGCCGAGATGGCACACAATGTTTATCTGGTAGCTCAGATGGCACCATCAAATTATGGTCACTTGGACAACAACAATGCATACAAACTCTAAGAATTCATAAAGAAGGAGTTTGGGCTATAGCAGTAATTATGACTTAATTTTATTCATTCCTACACAAATTTTGTCGTCTCTAAATATAGCATAAACTGCTTTATTTTTAACAAATTATGTAATGTTTTTTTTCAGGCAACTGAAAACTTTTCACATGTTCTCTCTGGAGGTCGTGATAAAAAAATTTATTTATCAGATTTAAAAAATCCAAACAAGGTTCAATTAATATGCAATGAGTCGGCTCCAGTTGTAAAAATGGTTACTACACCAGATATGAGTGCTGTTTGGGTAGCTACATCTGAGTCAACAATAAATTGCTGGGTAAATTAAACAGATTCTATCGACGTTTTATTTTTATGATTTTAGGGTTGTTTCACACCAGAGAAGAATATGATATGTGTGTTTTCATATGCAGCATATAAAAAAATAGGCACATATCATAACAGATAGGTATGAAACGGCCCATAAAGTTTACTATAATAACTTGTAATTACTCAATACAGAAATTACGAAAAAGTGATGAATCTGCTGATTTGGATGATATACCAACGACCCCATACAACACTGAACCATTTAGAACACTTCAAGGAGCTGCTGCTATAAGAAAATATCATGTATTAAATGATAAAAGAACAATACTTACCCAGGATACAGAAAAAAATGTTGCCCTTTATGACGTTCTTAAGGTAACTTATTTTTAATAGTAGTAAATTAACAAAAAAAAATGTTTTTTACACACATGTTCAAAATTATACAAATTTAATGTTCTAATTGTTGAACTGTTGTAACTTTAATGTTGTAACTGTTTGTATTTACTTATCATTCAATTTTATAAATAAATTGTGTATTCAACATTTAATAATAGATTGGAACATTATAAACTATTTCGCAGTAATTAAGATATGGTATATATAATATTTTTTTCATTACATTTCAGGCTTCTAAATTACAAGATTTGGGTCAAGTAGACTTTGATGAGGAGATAAAAAAGAGACATAGAGTTATCTACATACCAAATTGGTTTAGTGTTGATTTAAAAACTGGTGTAAGTTTAAGACCATTAATTTTTATTTTTTACTCAACTAACCAAATTTGTATCATTCATCTAAGTTCTATAGTTTGTATATCTATTTGTTTATTTTATTTCTTCTAGATGCTTACAATACATTTAGGGCAAGATGAAAATGACTGTTTCGCTGCTTGGGTTTCAGCAAAAGAAGCAGGAATTCATGTTACAGATGATAATTTAAGAGGTATGATAATATATTTAGGCTGGTGATTACTGTATAAAATATGTGGTTTTATTAATAAATTACAAAGATTTTGGGTTAATAAAATGTTTAACAGGTCAATTTTCAATGATCTGCAGATTTATCAATTTACTTCTTAAGCGTACTCTCTTGTTAAATTACTTTTATAGAACAACCAATTTAAAAAAAACTAAAAATAAATTGCCTAGTTAAACTTTAACTTAGAATCCGATGTCAAATGCTGCCTCTTTTACTTCATTATAAAATATATTATCATAACATTGATAGTTTTTGTTTAAAATTGAACGTAACACACTACTACCTTTTCCGTTAACAAATATAAATAACATTAAAATTATTAATATAAATTAAGTAGTTCTGTACCACTGGGGCTCTAGCTTGCTAAATAAGTAATATAATCCTATACTAACTATTGTGTTTGGTTTTGTTTCTGCAGTTAATTATGGAAATCGTATGTTACGTTCACTTTTGGAAAACTGGTTGAATCGAATTCAAACAGATTCAGCTGAAGGAATGCAGTCATCTGACCTAACTGCGCAAACAAAACTTGATTCTCAGTGTTGTCGAATTCCTTCTCATACACCTCTTATGATCAGTGAAGTTGGTGGACGATGTTTGTATAGAATGCTAGTTAGTCAAGCGGGTGACGAGAATGATGTTTCGATTTTAAATGAGACAATTCCTGCGTGGGTTATGAACGTCGTTGTTGAAAAAACTATACCTAAAGCATTAAAGATATCATTTTATCTTGTACCGCATTCGAATTCTTGTATTAGGCCTATGAAAAAGTAAGTTTACTATTAAAAAAAAAATTATTTTAGTAAATAAATGTTATATATCTAATTTGTATATCTTTTTTAAATAGCGGCACACTTCGTCCTTGTAGAGATCGCTTAGTGGCTAATGATTTTATTCAAGTACAAAAAATAGCTGAGTATATTCATGAAAAATTATCTGAAAATGATAGTAACGGGCCGTATAATAAAACATCAGACTGCTTTAGCAACCATTTACAAGGAAATACTCCAGAAAAAAACTTTGAGCTTAGCTGCAATGATCAAGTTCTTTCCCCCACAATGGATTTAAGAACTGTCAAACATTTTATTTGGAAGTCATCAGCAGACTTAACCATTTATTTTAAGCCTAAACACTAAATACTATTGTAAACATTTTCCCTTATTATAAATAGTTATTACTTGTTAAAATTATGTAAACCATTTTTAATCTTCAATTTTTTTTGTGTGTAATTAATTTTTCAATCTTCAATTCCTTTTTGGTTTTTATTCTCAAAATCGAATAAGTAAATTACTGTTTAAGCATTTATAAATTGATTTCCTTAAGAGTTTCTTCGCAGTGTATTAAGATTTTGTTTAGAAGCTGTACATTTTATCATAAAATTAACATTTTGTGTCACAAATGCATGTATTATATTTTTTATTGTACATCATTTATTTATTTAATTCAAGCAATATTTTAGTACAATTTATGTCACCACTATTAATTCATTTTAATGAATTATTGTTTTTTTTAGTTTTATAAAATTATAATTAAATTTAAATAAGATCAAGTTGAATTTGAGTATAGGTAAGTTCCAAAAAAAAAACTTTATAATTTTTTTTTTTATTATTGCAAGACCTATTATATTATTTTGACCCCCCAATTTTTTTTGTAACAAAATTTGTATTAGTTATTAAGTATGTAACTTTTTTACACATAAAAGACTAAATATAAACTAATAATTTCTTGTAAATAATATTTGTTGTTTATTTAGTATTTAGATTTATTGTTGTAAAATTTATGTTCTATGTATAATAAAAATTAGTAATTAAAGTATAATCTTAGATGTAAATAATGTTGTACTAAAAATTATACAATCAAATTCTATACTAGTATTACTACTTCCCAAACAGAGACATTTTTGCCAGAAGAGTTTTGTCAAGGGTCCATATAACATTTCAGGCAATAATCACATTTTATTTATTTAAAAAAAAACAGATTTGAAACAACTACTAAATTATATTTTTTCTGGAATACACATAACTATAAAAATTGTTGTTTCAATTTTTTTTTAATGTGTAAAATAATTGTTTAATTCTGAAAAATATTTCATTTTTGAAGAAACAATTTTTTTTTAGTTAAGGATAAAATATAATTTCTGTTCATAACTTAATCTGGACCTTTAAGTATTATCTATTAGGGCCTAGGTGTGTAACATTTGAAATTGGGATAGAAAAAAAATGATGATATCACTTAAAGCCTTTTACAAAAAGACAAAAAAGTACATTTATAACATTGATTATAATAACGTTTCTTGTGAAAATTCTATTCTTACATTCCTAATATTTGTTGTATTTCATAAATCGCTATCCAGTCTAACCTGCCATCATGAGATGGTTCCTTGATAAATTCGCCATCAGGAAAGGGTCGTCAATCCACCGCCGGATAGGGTTTATAGCGGCTCCTTTTCATCAGACGATTGCTCGTCCAGCAAACGAAGCGCCCGTAACAGAGTGTCAAACCAGGGCAGTGAGTGCCAACACATTGCTACCTTACCCACTTGGCCACTCCTCTTCCTCATAAATCCAAATATACAGGTAAATTCATTAACATATTGGAATGAAAAATAGAGAATATGATGGGGTAAAACAAAGAGGAACTATAAAATTAATGGAAGATAATATTTCAAATGAATTTAATGAATCTAATATTTTAGAGCGTTCAATAAATAACCAATACTTCTAATATGTTGTGTGCAAAAATGTAAAGGATTTTAATAAATAAAGTATGGCGAAATTTGTTTTAAACTTTATTTTAAGCTTGCAGTAGTGTTATGACGTAATAGATTTGTTTGTTTTAACATAGTGTAGTACTACACTCTGTTCGTTTTAAAAGTATTGATTTGGTGTATACACTTTCCACACCGGTAGAAATGGAGATGTCGTATCGGATTTTCAGTGTAAAGTCAAAAAGTTTGTTTTGAAACCTCACACTCTACACCTCTCTATACACTACATTTTTAGTGCATACGCTATTTTTTTAAAACAAACCTTATATGTCATATGTAGTAGATATAGTAACAATTATCAGTCTTGTTGTACCACTAGATTTACATTTAATATTTATTAACAAACTACTAGATTTCAAAATGTATAACCTCTTTGTCAACAACTTTGGAGTTACTAAAATGTAAAATGAAATACTCAATACTCGTTTCGTTATGCTTAGCTAGTACCATTTTTTTGTTTGTAACTGAACCAATTCGACTTGCACTCGTTATGTTGTGTTTGTCGACGTCACCACAGCAAACTATATACTGTGCGTGATAAGCCAAAGGATCTCCTACATAATAATACAGGTATTTAGGATAATGTGTAAACTATTTTTTTTTTTTATACAAATTACTTTACCATTGTAAACTAAATAATCTCCTCCAAATTTAATACCACAGGTCAAATAGAATCCTTTTGTCCACAAATCTTTAAAAACTTTATATCTTAATTTTTCAAAATCAGTAGTAAATTCAGGCAACATTATTTCCAATGCTTTCAATTTAGGTTCATCTATCAAAACAATACATTAATTAATATTTAATAGATTAAATACACAATTTATTTTAAAACAATCTACTAACTTAAATGTATTAAAACTTGAGATGATGCATCATATGGCTTAATCTTTAAAATTTCTCTTTTCAATTCCATAACTTCTTTGCAATTATGACCACCATCGGCTAATATAGCAGATTGAACTAATTTACTAATTATTTCACCTTTTTTTTCCGCATACTTTTTTCGTATTTCATACTTATCTAGGTCTTCTTGAGACTTATTATGAATTATTTCATTTTCATCAGGCAAACAAGTTAATGAAGGGTACTGAACTAGTCGACCAATACCATTTTCAATTAATAGCCGTGTTTCTTCTGGCAATAATAGACAAGGTAAACCATTCTGATGTTCTTGACGTGGTGTTAACGGAAGCGATCCAATAAGGTTACCCAAAATATGATACTTAAATCGTAAAATATACCAATCTATAATAAATATAATTCCTATTTATATATGAATAAATAAAATAAAATAATAATTTTTAACTATATAAAACAATTTTTTTTTTTTTAAATGCTTTTAGTGTTTACTGAAACTGCTGATTTACATAGCATACATTAAGTTTACCATATATAGTATACCTAATTTGTTTTTATAGAGCTTAATTAACAATTTATAATACAAATTTAAAATAAAATTAACAAAACACACACAACAATGTCAACCCACCAACGATACACAACAGAACACTATATTTACTAAGGTATATTTTAACCAAAGTCAAAATTAATAATCATTTTGTAGATATTCATTTAAAGATAAGCATAATACAAATATAAGTCGATTAGCAAATAATTTATTTGTTTAATTATACCGTTTCTGGGTGAATCAATAATATTTATAATAAGCAGATATATAAATACTATTTTATCACGGTTTTATTCTCTGCATATATTAAATGTTAGATTGTAAATATATTGTACTTAATTGTAATCTCAATCTAAACTATTTAAAAATAAAATACTTGCCATCAGAGGACCAAATAAATGATTTTCCATTGATCATTTGTATATTAACAGTTTTGTCCATTATTTATAATTAATATTTATATATTTAGCTCATATAGTTGTATGTATACGTATATAGTTTAAACTTACATTATTTTTATAGGATAGTTTTAACATTTAAAACTATTAAGTATTATTATATAATTATTGTTATTTATTAAAAAACTTTAAATAATCATTCAATATAAAGTAACAAATTTAATTAAGGTCGAGTTTACTTTTAAGTATCACGACTTCATATTTTACTCAATGCAATTCCAGATAAATAATAATAAAATAAAAGTTAAAAATTGCCAATACAATGTAAATGATAATTCGATTTTTTTAAATTTTTTATTTGAAATTTTTATCAAAGGAGTATGAAACATTTATATATATATATGTATATAGATAATATAATGTCAGAAAGGTAAACAATAATCTCGTTATCATTTATCATTCAGCGCCCACAGCTGCAGTGGGATAGCTCACTTTTCCCAAATTGCGTGCGTTACTAAGGACCTTTTTTTTGATTGTATGCGTTTTTCCAATAACAAATTTCTTATCAGATCTTTTAAAATTTAGTTTTTTAACTTAGCTTTAAAGTTTAAACCTTTAACCTCCTCCTAGTCTGTAGCCTGAAAACCTAAGATATTTTTAGTTTAGCACCATTATTGATCTAAGCTACAGAAAAATATACGGTCCGCCCATAATCTCCCACCGCCCATCACCCTTAAAATTGTTATCAAAATTCATATGCATTCACCATAACTTTATTTTAACTGATAAAATATACAATCCTAAATATAATGAATTATATTACTATCTAGTATCTATATTTTATGACTTGTGTACATAGTACAATACTGAATACAGTGATCCCAGTATTGTCTTCAACCTGCTGACGATATTAAAAAAAATCTAAAAAAACACTTGCATGCAGAACACGTAACATATTTTTTGTGTTTATAACTTTATTCAAATTTAATTACAATTTGAAGTTCGTAGTGCATTGGAATACTTTGAAATCATCCAATTTTAATGATGGAGCCTCGGTATAATACCAAAAGTACAGGTATGAATATCAAATATCGTCTGAATAATAATATTTAGACAACATTTAAACGTTGAAGTATTAGTTTTTAGTAATTTTAAACATTTTATCATAAGAGATAATGTATACTAACGGTAATAAATTTAATATGTTTACTATATTTTATGTTAATGCTGTTCTGTTCCATGAGTTCTTATTTTTACTAGTTATTAATTCATACTTTTAGACCACTTGATAAATAGCTATAATATAGACGGCTAGATAGCCAGGATTATCTACTGATTAACCAGTATAGTAATGCATCTATATTCTTTGACTTGCTATCTTTTCTCAATAAGAGACATACATAATGAGAAACTATTTGTATTTGATGCTTTTTTTGTATAAAATTCTTAAGTAAGTATTTCTGACTGTTCGAAGTTTCTACAAACAATTAGTAAAATTCTTCTTTCTTTTTATAATGAAGACCTATGATTGGCTTTGATATATTGTATACACTACACTTCAAACTTTGTATTACAAATATTTGATATAATATGTCATAGTTGAAAAATATACAGGTTATTGCAAATTGTCTCAAATTGTGTTATCTTCAGAAATAAAATGGCTGCGTAACGGGATATCAGTTTTACTGTATACTTTACTATTACTATTTATTTTAACGTGTACTTATATACTTGATTTTGATTGGCTGCCCGTTACGCTGACATATTTGTTTTTATCATCGAATAATCTTGATGAAGAAGCAGTTAATGTGCAATAACCTTGATATTTCAATCATGATATATGTTCAACAAATTTTACTTTATCCTGAGTTTTTGCAATAATATATTATATGTTTTTTGTAAAAATAAACAAAATAAATTATTATATTATATTAAATATAGCTGTAAAACGTTTGATGAGAGAAGCTATAGAGCTCTCAGAATCTACAGAAGAATATAGTGCCCATCCATTAGAAGACAATTTGTTTGAATGGCACTTCACCATGAGAGGACCACCATCTTCAGAATTTGAAGGGGGAGTCTATCATGGCCGTATATTGTTACCATCCGAGTATCCTATGAAACCGCCTAATATTATACTACTAACTGTATGTATAACGTATTTATTTATTTAATATTTTTGGTCAATTTAAGATTGTTATATAAATCTATACAGCCTAATGGAAGATGGGAAACCAACAAAAAAATATGTTTGAGCATATCAAGTCATCATCCGGAAACTTGGCAACCATCTTGGTCAATCAGAACAGCTCTTTTAGCGTTAATTGCATTTATGACCACCAATGGACAAGGTACAATAGGATCGCTTGAATACACTTCCGAAGAACGTCAGACCTTAGCCAAAAAGTAAGTATAATTCATAGTTAGCTAAAAAAGATAATAATAATTTATATTCCATTGTGTTTTTATTAAGATCTAAAAATTGGGAATGTGAAAAATGTGGCCAAATATCTAATTTATTGGATGCAAAAAAAGCTAAACCATTAACAAAAGAAGAAAGCGAGCTCATTAATAGTATGACATTAAAGGTATGAGTTATAAAGTTTTACATTGTTGTACAGGTTTATATTGTTAATGAATTTAATGTGTTTACAACATAATTTATTTAGGGAGAAGACAATGAACAAGTATCTCAGGCGTCTAATAATGTAAATGAAGTTACAGAAACTAGTGAAGAGCCTGTTGTAACTAGTAATTTGTCGTTCAATCTTCTTAAAGATGCATTATGTTCTGATATTGGGATTTATCTTATCTATTTAATAATTGCACTCATAAGTATTTTAGTAGCTCGGCGTTTTTACAGCGCATAAATTGTTCAAACCTATAAATTTAAATACTTCCAAAAATTGTTTTATATAAAAAAAAAAACATTCAAAGTTCGAGTTCTTAATTGTAGTCTATTTACTATGTATATTGTAATGCAAAAATATTTATGTGTTAAATTTTTCATTCACTAAACTATAAACATAGATATTTATTCACTTTACATATTATAATACTTTAAGCTATATTGTAGAAATAGGGTTTGAAAATGGCATTATAAAATGTTTTATGACGAAGGTTTTTCCTTCTCATCATTTTCTTGTAACTTTTTTTCAAACTTTTCAAACTCTGCCTTAGTGCGTATTTCAATTTCGTCTTCAACTTGTTCAACTGCTATTACCTAAAACCACACATTCATAAAACCTTACTTACATGTCAAATTTTCTTTTACAATTACATTTGAATAAGAAATTCAATTTTACTTCAAAAACAGTAAATTTAATCTCCATTTAAATGTCTCTGATAAAACAATAATTACTTACCTCAGGGATATAAAACTGTAACATATTTTGAACTCCATTTTTCAAAGTAACAACTGAGCTAGGACAACTGGTACAAGAACCTTGTAATTTTAATTTTACAATTCCTGCATCATAACCCTAATTATTTATAAATTTATTAGAATATGAACTAATAATATGTAAACAAAACAAGAAAATTACTATAAAAAGAATGTCTCCACCATCTTCTTGTACAGTTGGTCTAATTCGGCTGTCCAGAAGTTCTTTTATCATCATAACAGTTTCGCTATCATCTTCGTGTATTTCTTTAACAAATATAATCATTTTGATAAAAATATTTTTCTCCTTTCATTTTAAAATGCAACACACTATTTTTTCTTCCTCAAAAATGTATTCACTTAGTGTTACTAAACCATATTGCTTCTACAAAATTCAAAACTTTCTTTGCTCCATTTCTGTACCTCAATCCATAATTTAAATCTATATGTACTGCCCTCCTAAGCAAAAATGCCGTAGTTAAAAAAAAAAATTTTTGTAAAAAACTATTAAACAAAGCAATTTTTTTTTTTTTAAGTTACGGCATTTTTGCTTATGACGGCAGTATATTCTTATACTTTTTTCTCCAATCGTCCAATTAAAAGCCTCCTCCAATAACAATTCTTTCTTTATTAAGTACTGGATGGGATAAAAAAATAATGTGGTTATTTTATTTTATAATCTTACGAGTATCGCTTGTTGGTTTGGCATCGGTTAATATTGGTAATCCACTAGAAAAAAAGTCCATTATAGTTGCATATACTTCAGGTTTTAGAACCATCCACTCAATATCATCATCGACTTTTGTTACTGTTATATACTCTGACCCAAAAAATATACTTTTTACGCCCTCAATTCGAAAAAGCAATTTTGCTAAAGGACTACATTGCGCTGATGTAATATTAGGGAAATCCATGGTATGACCTTTGTCCAATACCTATAACAACAACATTATTAATTTGTTGATTAAATAACTAGAATTTTGGTTTGATAATAAATTAGTAATTAATTAAAAGTGTATATTTTATTACATAACAAACATACTGGCCTCAACACCCGGTAAAAATTTTACACTGTTTGGATTTGGAGTGTCTTGTGTTTGGATAAACATGGATCGTGCTGGTATAGAAAATATTGGTAGCTTTGTCCACCTCAATGGTTTTCTATATGTTGTAAATTGTTTACGAGTTCTATAAATTATTAAATACATTTATAATTCTCTTTAAGGTTATTATAAAAATATATATTTTTTTTGCACTAGTACTAGAAGTGTAAGTAATAGATAATAGGAATTTGTAAAACATAATATTTATTTATTCTGTATATTTCTTCTGAAATGGAACTGACTGTTTTGAGTTTAAAAAAAATGTTTCTAGAATTTAAAACTTGTTCTGGAATAAATTAAGATAATTCTTAGTAGAAACTTGCTTTATAATGATTTAAAACCTAAAAGTTCCATTGACAAATAAAAATTGCTTTCTTCCAAATCCGATTAAAAATATTTATGTAAAATTGATTACACAACTAAATCTATTAAAATGCAAATTAATGAATGTATAAATATCATTTTTTGTTTAAAAAATAGTTAACAATAAATAACTGTTGGACAATATCATAAAATAAGACTTAAACAACGATTTATGAATATATACGTATTATTAATGCTGGTCTTAACCAATATACAACAACAATTAAATTTTCTTCAAATCCTATATTAGTAAAATTAAATCATTACAATTATTGTTAACACACTCGCTGCGCCTATTTGCTATAGCTGATATCAAGGTCTATTAAAATACGCTTTAAAATATTGGTGCACTGTGGGAAGTTTTATTATTACAAACGCACTTCCAAATTGTTGAAACGTCAAACATGATACACCAATTTTTAGACATGGTGAATGTGGTAATGAATATTTATATGTTGTTATAATAGTTCATAGTATAATACTTTTTTTACATATTACAAAACAGGAGAAAGTTATTAATATAAGAAAGTATTACTCTAAATTTACAGACAATTGATGGTAAAATTAAAGTTAAGTAGTCACGTGTAGAAAAATATTTCATATTATTAAAATCTATCCACATTAAAAATTCACTTTTACACAAATATGCATACTTCTGAAACTATGTTGCTCTCCTCAGCGCTACAGCAGACTGCTGTAAAAGTGAATTTGTATAGTGTATACGATTTTTAATAATATTGATCATTTATATAATTATAAACATTTTATTATAATACGGTTGTTTTTACCTGAGCAATATTGGAACTAGGTTTATAATATTCCTAAATCTACTCATGTTATTAAAATATAAAACAACTTTATATTGTAAAATAATAACTAATTAAATAATTAGTTACAGGTTAGCGGTTACTTAAATATAATTTATTATTTTCGATTAGAAAAAAAGACGCTGCCGGCTGATGTTATTTTTTATATATTAGAACACCGATTAAAGGACGAAAAGACACTGATGTGTAATGACTGATGAGTTACGACTTATGAGTGACCACTGTAAACTCTGATTAGTAAAATGTGAAAACTGATTACAATTTCTTTTTTTTATAGTGATCATTCAACACCATACAGTAATATAGAGGAGCTGTTCCCTATATCGCCTGTATTAAAAATTGGTTCGAACAAGGTAGCAATTTTCAGTTTGACCAGCTATGAAAAAAAAATGTACGTTTAAAAATTATGTTATGAAAACCTGCTCGCATATTTTTGTGAATTGTGACATTGTGAATAAACTAGATTATCGCTAACTAGCGATAAGAATTAGAGCCGACGGTCCGCCATTCTGGTGGGATTTAAGTGTGTTATTAATGCACATTATATTATAATATATCTGTATATATTTTTATATCAATATTATATATATTTGTGATTGTTATAAACCATAGACCTATAAAGATAGGTCTATGTTATAAACATATATTATTCTCACGTGATAAGGTTCTAATTCCCACCAAGATGGCGGAAAGTGGCTGCTTCATTAAGCTGGTCACACACAGAGCGGTTTAGCCGCGCGCGGTCGCGGATAAAAACCGCGGCGGTTTGCCGCCGTTAGTTGAACCGTCGTATTTCAATGGGTTTATTCACGATTAAAATATACCAGGTTATTGCATATCCCCACTCTTTGTGATTATTTTTTCACAAAATGGCAGCGTAACGGGCGGCATTCTCATTGGCCGATATTTACCCGCGCAAATTTGAAAACAAAAATTGTATTTTTACAAATTTAACAATTAAAAAATACTTATTCCAATACAAGTTACTAATACCACCTATGAGAGCCCCTAGAAAAGAAAAAAATGAAACTTAGTTGTGATGAAAAACAAAATAAAATTTTAAACACACAAAAACTGAAAAAAGAAATAGAAAAAAAAAAGAATAAATTAATCGAACAAGCCGGAAAATTATAATTACAATTAATAAACAACTAATAATAATTAAACTAAACACTCTTATTTATTTGTTCATTCTTCTTATTTGGATGCATTTTTTATTTCGTTATAAATATATAGACAACTATAAAATCTGTATCGAATAAAAAATCCAAATTGAAAACTAGAATTTCTTATATTTTGTTCATGTGTAAGGCTTATAACACTGTAAGCTGATAAAAGAAAAATAGCTTATCAGTCAATAAATTTAAACCAATAAGAACGCCGCCCGTTATGGTGCCATTTTTTATTTTGCGTCTGAAAGTGTTAGGAAGAGGGGGTAGATATGCAATAACCTAGTATATTTAAATCATGGGTTTATTCACACAGTAAAACCCGCACCGCTGATATCAGCGGTCAACCGCTAAAATTGTCCCTTGCGCGATTTTCGGCTCGACGACCGCGTCCGCCCATCATAATTAAACTGCATATTTTCAATAGACGTATTCATACATAGCGGTTTGACCGCAGCGATTTGTGAGCGGATCCTAGATTATCATATTATTATTGATATTATATTTATTATTTATACGCCAGTGCCTCAAAAACCGCAGGGGCAGTAGTTGCAATTCCCCGGTATAGAGGCCTCTTGGAGTTGGGCTAGGGGCCCCCCCTTCATCTGAGTTATTGCATTATATTCTCACATTTAAATCAAATAAATATTGTATTAAAATTATTGATTACATTTATTTAGTGTCAGATATTGACTTAATGAAAACATTTTAATTTCTAATAATTTCTATGTAATTAAATTTTAATATAATATTAATTATATACTTTAATTAATTATGTCTTTCGACACTGAAAAATTTTATAATACTAAAATATTTTATAAATTATAAAAACCGCATTAATAAACCGCGTTTGATCCGCTCCGTGTGTAAGTACATAGCGGTTGCGGTCGCGGATAAAAACCGCGACCGCTTCGTGTGTGACCAGCTTTAGTGGCATGTACAGATAGCAATCTAGTTTATTATATATATCTGTGAGTCTATTAGACACATAAATAAGTGTTTATGGAATAATCTAATGAAAAAATAGAATCGTTCCATTATTTCAATTATGAGTGATTTTTTTTGTCTATTTCGCATTTATTACTTAATGCTATAAGCATTATAATTAATTTAATAGTAATAATTAATAAATAATGCATCCAGCTTACTACGGTCTTAGGAGATAAGTTAGATTGGTTAACTCTCTTCCATGAACATACCAGCGTTGTTCGTCTTGAAGAAAGTGTACACTAATTAGTGTAGTGTCTGGGTCAAGTGTAAGGGGTGTGATCAGGTGTGGTGTTTCAAAACAAACGTTTTTGTTGTAGAATTAATCAACCGATAATTTATGTATTTTGATAGTAGAATTTATTATAATAATTAGTTGATTTTAGTTGATAAGAAATATGAACGACCAACTCCGAAAATAAAAAATTAGGTATCAACTATCACATCTACTCTATGGTCAGTGTGAAAAAAGTGTACACTGATACAATACTTTTTTAAAACAAACAGCGTGTACGACTACACTATTTCAAAATGAACGTTTTGGTGTACACTTGTGAAAAAGTACACTTTTTGTCAAAACGAACAAACTTAATATATACTGCTCTACTCCCCCTCACAATCTCGACATACCCGCTTAACATGATGTACAACGTGCCATAATAAGACAAAAACCAAGGTGGATTCCTAAATCCACCTTGACAAAAAGTTTACAACATTACCATTCTATCTATCCTGTGACGTTACCACTAAAAGATTTTATAGGTTAAGAATTTAAAAATTTATACAATAAATACCCCAAATACTATTCAAAATCAAGGAAATTAAGAAAATGTATTGGTTTTGAACAAATTAATAACCATGCTATATTGAAGTTATACTAATTCTCGCCTCTCGATGTTATTATTTATTATGCACATGCGCTCTGATATTTGTACAAAACAGTATATAAAATTCCTAACAAAATGGGTTCTTTTGTTTGTAATAAACACAAACAATTATAAGGATTTTCTATTCCTAAGGACTGAAGCTTAAAAGAGGTGTGATCGTTCTATAAGAAGAAAATACTAATTACAATGATGCGATTTGTGAAAAAACTAGCTCACGGCCTTAGTATATAATGTCAGTTATCTCCATCGCATCGTTATCAGTAATTACCGGTTAAATAGGCTAAACGCTTACGGAATTCTCAATTCACTTTAGCGTTGACACTGTAGTTTGTATGTATTATATACGATAATTGTGAGATATAACTCAAGGGAAGTCTTCATACATTTTAAATCAAAACGCAAAGTCCGAATAATATTTAGTATGCTATATATCATTATTTAAAATTTTTAATTAACATTAGAAATATTTATCATGTAATTTAATGCCCAACGCTACCATCATAAGTTGGTTTTTAGACGAATTCGTTGTCCGGGACGGCTTGTTAGACGTTAGTCCGTCGCTGTAGGGGGGATGGCGATTCCTATTTAGTATTTACTATAAATTATTGACTCTATAGACGATTTCTTGCCAGGCATTTGGCAAAGTGAGCAAACGAACCGCTCGTATGTCGATCCGGCGACTGTGAGCCGTCAGCGCCCAACATACTGACTCCTTATCTTACTCGATCACTCCTCCACAAATATATGTACATAAATAATTAAAGTTAAAGTTACTTCATTCGTAAAAAAAAAAACCATTATTATTTTTCAGAATTAATCATACATAATATTTGTGGTAATATATAAAAAATAACTTACACAATATAAAATGTTATAATTTATTTTTATATACGATAATTCAGTTATTCATTGTTGTCTCCTAGTCTGGACTCTGGAAGATAGTCCTGCAATATTTTGAGGTAGTGCTGTTTCTCAGGGCATCCTAACCACTCTAAGATCATAGAATAATAACTATCAAGAATAAAATATTGAATATAATGAAAATACACATCACTTCAAACGCTACACCTTTTTACCCTATTTAACAATTTAAAAGTATAATACAATATTTTTTTTTTAACAATGTCATTAAATATTAACTCGATATCAACTCAGTAAAACTCTACACATTAAGCGTAGATCCTGTAAATTCTTCTCTATTTAGTCAAAAACATCAACTTATCAGAAAGAATACATTCTATTTACTCTATTTTTTTTTCCGGATAAAATTTTATTTTAACTACGAGGGGAATAAAAATAAATTGTTAAAAATCTAATAATTTAGTACCCTTATGTGAATTTTGTACAACTCTTTTGTTTTAGACTTAAGGTACAGTAATAAGAACTTTTATATTTTAATAATCATTGTAATACAAGTTAATTTTTAAAATTTTATATTATGAACCCCTACCTAAAAATCCAATTTTAAGTTTAACAAGTAACTAATGTGCCTACTTATTTGATACAATAAAAAGTTTGTATTCATTTTTCATTATTTTGTTACTGTTATTAGATGGACTGTAATATTTTATTACATATTATTGTTTTCAGATAGTCATACAAATTCCAGTAAACAAATTGCTCCTCTTAAAAAATATGAAAATATATCTGTAATTAAACACGACTTAAAAAAAAAAACATTTGTTGTATAATTCAAAATATTTTAACAAAAAGTTTTAAAATTATATAGTAACCTAACAATTTAACAAGTAAACATTTTGAATTTTAAAATGTAGAACTTGTATTTTATTTTTTAAACATTAAAAAAACTAAAAAGATATTGAGGTAACTCAATAAATAAAAAAAGTTCTATTATATATATGATAGACTGCATAGATAACAATCTTCCCATAAAAATATACTAACATTTCACACCATTTTTTAGAATATGATTAAATAAATGGTGAAATTGTATTGGTTTTATGATTTATGTATCATTAATAATAATTGACAACAATTTTAGTAAATGAAAAAAATAAGCAGTTCTTCAAGGTTACAATACGTACATTTTATGACGACTTTATAGAATAATTAAGTAGGTGAATATTTTTTGTACGGCAATTATAATACTAATATAATTATATTATAATTTTACCATTTTTTTTTTAAATTACAAATAAAATAAACAACAGTAATACATTGTTCTTTTGTTATCGTATTTATCAAAGTATAGTTTGAAAAAATAATACTGGTAATGTAAAAAAACTATGGCAACAGTCCTATTAAACAAGATATACTGGGCTATTATAATGAATAGCTTATATTCTAATCATATATATATATATTGATATATATACATATATCATAATAACATAAAAAAATTAAAATAGAAATAAACATTGTTCCTAAGTCCATTTTCATTTTATTCAATGGCAACATGGAAGACTTAAAAATTAACAGATGAACACGAAAATATTAATAATAAAACATTTTGTAATAAAGTTATCAGAGTCAAAACTTTATTTTCTTTGTACTATAAAAATAATAAATAGGCGAGGGTATGCCAGAAGTAATGTGGATGAGCTTTTTTAATCCTGTCTATAATAATTGTAAAATTCTCTCTCTCTCCCTCTATATATATATATATAGACATACATATTACATCATACACACATATATATTAAAAAAAAAAAAAAAAAACATTTACTTGCAATTACATTTATTTTATGTACAATAACACTTTCGTTGTTTGTCCTCTGTTTGCAGCATTTCCATTATCTTATAGATACGTCGATTCGCCTAGAACCACCGGAAACACAATCACATTTGCATCAATGCTGTCGGTTGTATTGTGCACTCAAGCGACAGGGTTAAGAAAGCCTAAAGGAGAGAATAAAGCGGCCTTCACCAATCATTATTCTAAAAAAAAAAAAATACTACACAACAACAATTAGGGATGACAGCGTTTTACTTATAAAGAACATGTTCATTTTAAAAATTAGAGTATGTACAAGAGAATAGGGTTACTTTTACAAAAGTGATACACAAGCGACAATTTGTTCATGTGTATGTACTATTTTAATCCACAAGCCTAATGAGACGGGAGTTAAGCGACAGCCTAGATGAGAAATATTCCAAAGAACAAACATTTTTCTTTCACTAATTCTGTTTTTGAATGCGCTAATAATGTTTTGTGTGTAAATCACTGACCAGATTCCCATCCATCTTCTTCACATCCAGTATCGTCTTCTTCAGCTGTGGTGCAACTGCTTGATTCGCTTTCTGATAACTCCCCAACTACAGGTTCAGTTACATCAGCACGTTCAAACAACAGGCTGACGTGAAAGTCTGGACTGAACAGTTTATTCTGCTTATCCTTATGTCCATCTAGTTCCCATTTGTTCATGTATAGTGTTAACAGGCGATTATCAACTACGTCTACATTGCCAATTGAATTCGTTCTGTTTTAACACATCAAAATAATATTACCAATTTACAGTATTTGATTAAATTGTTGTATTTTAATCAAAATTATACAAAACTCACCGCATTTTAAAGTTTGGCAAACGGAGATTAGATGAATCATCCATACTGTTTGTACGAGTTGTCTTTTCATGCTGGTTACAATTATTCTTATGTTCCCTATTTCCATTTTCGGTAACAACAGGCTCTCGAACAAAAAATGTATTAAACCAAAAATGAAAAAGTTTTTCCTGAAAATTAACAACAGTTTCTATTAGGGATTACAGTATTTAAAGAGTTATAAAAATTAAAAGGTACCCATGTTTATATCCAAGAATTTTAAATTACATAGGTTTTAACCAAAGTTTCTGATTTACACAAGTAGCCAGGTAATCATAGCCTTTAGTTACTATAGGTAAAAATTAACTTTTTAATTTATAGTTAATAGCTTACAAAAAAATAAGTTTTAGCTTGATGCTTCCATTGCAATTTATAATCAATATTTTTGTCACAACTTTAATCTCGTTTTTTTAAACTCATCTCATAACACAGCAAAAAAATAATATTTTACATATGACAGTAGAATTGTCATACTCATTAGCCTCGTTTACACCGTTCTAACTATATTAGGTATACACCTTATAATAGGTGCCTTACCTATAAGCATTTTATGTTTACACAATGTGTCCTAAAATTTGTCTCAAGCCCTAAAATAACTGTTATAACTTGATATAATATTAACAATACTATAATACTATAAACATAAATGTGAATGTAAACACACAATTTATCACTTCAAAGTTTTAAATCTTATCATAAAATTAAATTTGTGATAACAGCCTATTATATTTCTTTAAGTTTAATTAATAAAAAAAAAGTGCACTAACTAAATTAGTATATAAATAGTATTAAATTATATATTATTTATACTTATATTAGTACTAAATTAATACATACAATTATAAATCTAAGTACAAACAATTTTATCATATTGCCCCTAACCAAAAGTCCAAGCTACACCATTTTATTTAGGGATGACAAATTTTTAAGTTAATAAGGTGTTTTTCTTAATTTTAATACAGTACCTTACAGGTATGATTTTTGAACTATAGACTTTTTACATGTAGAAATAGGATCAGTGACTTAGAAGATATCATGGGCCAAGACACAAAAATAGAAAAGAAAACATAGTAAAAATACCATGTAGACATAGTATGTACTCAGCTCCCCATCAAAGCTAAAAGGGATACATTAAAATACAAATATTACAAAACAAATTAGTTAATTTTGGACTGCTAAAGAAAGATGATAAAATGGGTTAGGCATAATGCTTGTAGACTTGTTTGTTTTTTATTTAGTAAAAAAAAACAATCAATTGTTTAGTAATTATAATCAAAATAGTACTAAGAAGAAGTGGAGTACAATGATCGTGTTTCAATAAGAGATTTATTAGACCAAATTCAATATCTTCAGTTAAATAAGAAATATTAGTTTCAAACCTTTTTCTTCATTTTATGTTTATTGTAGCATTCAACTTTTACATCACCGCGAACTTGAGTTGTTTGTGCCAATCGGATTGTAACATCTGAATCACTGCGTCGAATATCCTGCATGTCTGATGAATAAACTTTTCTTATTTTAGAACTATCTGCACTTGTCCATTCTGATATAACTAAACGAATGCCTTTAATAAAAATAAAAATAAATACTTAGTATATATTTACAAATATTTGTTCATTCAATATTCTTATAAAAACATACAAGTTTGACCAGAATTAAAAATGGTGGGCACTGGATCAAGTTTTATTTCTTTTACAGTTAATACAACAGGCTTATAAATCAAGTTTTCTTGAACCAACATCGAGTAATAATTTACGTATCTTCTCTGGCTGGGAATGGTTACACCCTAAAAAATAATTAAAATATAAATATAAATATAATATTGTATCATTAGAATAACACTAGTCAGTAAAGTAGGGTCAGGGCATATTTAAGTGGATGAGGTCACAGCAATGTGTAGACAGTAGAAATACTGATAAAAGCATTGTAAAGACAGTAATGTATTTAAAATTAAACTAATAATATTAAGGTGGATAGGATTAGGGTTGATTGTCTGTAAGTAGTAAGTTATTGCCATTGTTACCCATATATTGTAATCAACAATAAAATGAAAATATTTTCAAACGCCAAACCAAGAGACAGTCCGAACAGTGGCGTTACACCACTTCACCCTCAGCCAAAAAGTTCAAAACCACCTTTTCTGCCAAACAAATCATGGCATCAGTGTTTTGGAATCATATTGATTGAATATTTGTATAAGGGGGTGACCATCAACGCAGCAAGGTATTAAGAGACCCTAAAAAAATGTAGAAGAGCTATTCAGAATAAAAGGGGAGTCTGCCTGCTGCAAGACAACGCCTGACCCCACACAGTCAACGTCACGAAGCAATTGTTGGACTCCTTTGGATGGTATGTTTTAAACCAACCACCGCTTTCCCCTGACCTGGCGCCTTCAGATTACATGTTCACTTCCCTGAAGATGCACATGGGTGGAAAAAAAATTTGCAACAGACGTGGAGGTGAGGGGGGTGGTCGAAAAGTAGACGAAGGAGGTGGCGGCAGACTCGATCGACATGTTTCACGAGAAAAATTCCTGTGACCACAGTTTTTAATGTACTAAACTCAATTTGGTGATGTTTTGAAGGAGAGAAGTTAAGCTACACGGCAATGTGGCCACCATAGCAAAAAAATATTCCCTATGGCCGTGGGGGGCTTGTATCTTTACTTTCAGGACATCCCTCAAGGTAGATACCTTCAGTCTAATTTTCACAACTTTAGCCTTAAAATTACACCTAAAAAGCAAAATAAAGAAAAAGTTTGCACCCGTTCTAAGGGAAAAGATTTATGATATTTTTGGTTTGTCCACGATTATTGGTAATATCAAACTAATAAACATGGTTCTATATAAATCTGACACTAATTGGTTATTTTGAAAAATAGTTATAGAGCAAAGTAATTTTAAGTAGAATGATATTTTAATCTTTTAGGGTTTTATTTGTTTTTGAGAGCAAAAGGGTAAATTTTATAAATGTTTTGGATGATCAAGTACCTTTTAGGGAACGATTTCTAATTTAAAGACTTGCTAGATAATAAAATGGTTCAGCGGTTTAAAAAATGTCCAACCAGTCCCAAGTTCTAACTAGTGCCTGTGATTTTAAACGTGTAATTTAAATACACGTGTACACGAACCCCGTGTAATTAAGATACACGTGTAATTATAAATACACGTGTATTTAAAAAAATGTATTTTGTTAAAAATTTTAGTTTGAGTTAACGTATTTACACAATTATGCTTGTGTTTGAGTTTGTATAATTAAATAGACGTGATATTAAACGTCAAACTAAAATTAATAACAAAAATAATTTTTTTTGAATTTTTGTGTATTTATAATTACACGTGTAATCGAATACACGTGTAATAAGGACCTCTAGTTCTAACACAAAAATATAAAAAATAAAAGCTAAAATAATTTAATAAGAGATCCGAAGGTAAACTATAAAATATAAATCTATAAAAAATAAGATACTTAAAAAAAATATTGTGCTACCTTTTCATCAAATGTCCTTTTTTGTCCATAATAATTTAGCGCTTCTTTAGCCGTTTTAAACTTTCTGCTATGTATCAGGTAACAACATATCATAACTCCTGTTCGACCCTAATAAATTAACAAAGTAAGTACAGTTTGTTTAGGCATATAATATAACATTCAAATTTACTTTTCCAGCTTTACAATGAACAACAGCAACATTCCTCTCATCATTGCCGAGCCATTCATGCACATCAAGACAAAAAGGTCGAATAACCTCAATGCTGGGGGGATTATGATCTTGAAACGGATAAGTGACTACACGATGATGAAATTTCTTTGGATCATACGATCGTTCAGAACAACTTTAAAAATTTGATTCGAGACAAAATAATGAATACAAATTTTTAATCACATTTGAAGATAAAATACTTACAGATTGTATATTTTGTAATGATCAGGATGTTTTTGATCAAGAAGTTTGCTTACATCATCTATATGATTTCGATATACACTTTCTAAATTTTCTGCTGGAAACCCCATAGCTATCACATTTTCTAGAATGTCTAATATTTAAATTAAGAAAAAAATATATTTATACGAGACGAAAACTTTAAAAACTATCACTGATGCAGTTATAAATGGGTTATATGTTAGGTAAGTTTTCAAATGGAATCATTCATTTAAAATTATCTAGCAAGATAGCTTTTCTTTTATTTTAAAATATAAGTTAAATAAGCATTAATACTATATAAAAAATTATTTTAATGAAAGTTCTTACAATCAAATAATTTAACTTTTCCCATTTATTTATGAACTTGTAGTTAAGCATAAATTACATTTAAAGATAATCACAATGGTTTTTAATTTAAAGAGTAAAATCAAAACCAAAACTTAAAGAAGTAAATTTGAAGTTTATTTGACGGATTGAAAAGTAGCCTATAATAATAAATGTGCAATTAGTTAGTAATAATCTGTAAGTTAGGTATGTTAAAATGTATTTAATTGAAGTAAAGCAGTAAATTAAAATCGAACAAATGTACATTTATTATAATTTATTAAATAAATGTTATAAAAAAAGGATACAAGTCAAATCTAAGTTGAACCCATCTTCAGTGTACCTCTTTCTTTGTTTACTGACCAGTTTCTTAATTGGATTAGTCATTTTGATGTTAGGGATGGCCATTCTATTGCGGATCACCGAGCTATGCACCAGATCCGTCGATTGTTCGTCCATGGCCCTGCTTCTCAGTAATAGTTATGTGCATCGTACAGACTAGACTACAACACAATATCGAGGAATTGAGAATCTACTTTTTTAATATGAAGGTTTTATAATGTACTACTGTTTTGTGTAAAAAATAGCCTTACCTTACAGTCAAGTCCAGAGTAAGAATATAGCCTGTATCAATAATACATTTTGCGTGTAATCGATAAGATGATCATAATGTGTATATGATGTGAATGATTAAGGGTGATAATTTATGGCTGGACGCTCCAGAGATGAAAAGGGGCAATGCGTCAGAAGAGGGGAAAAGAAAATGAAATGAAAAACAAAAACTTATAACATTTTTTTTTGCATTGAAAAAAGAAACAAAGAGCTGGAAAGCTTACACCGTAACAGTCTGGTAAATTATAAAACATAATATTTACCGTACAATGTGACCAACTGTTATCATGGAAACAACTAATATTACAAAACTTCCAAACACGAACATAGATACTATTCCAAGTATACGGTTTATTAATCTATAATGTATAGGTTTAGGATACAAATGTATCTACACTGTGTAGCGATATAATAACATTTGATTTTGTGTATATCGCCCATTTTAAGGTCTATGATAGACCTAAATATATACTAATAGACGGATATTGATAATAAGTACAAAATGTATATTATATGTAGATGGAGCAAGGGTGTAGTTCCAGCGTGCCCACGTGAGAGCGCTGTTCGTTTTGACTTGGTGATATTAGCTTATGCGTGATCGAACCACGGGATACGGCTGTAATCTAACTGGTCGCAGTGTCGCACGTCGGCCCTCACAATGTTCGATCGGCGGCTACAAGAGTTCTTATCTAAAACTATGAAAAGGTGAAATACTGTTAGCGCTCCATGTGGATTTATTGTGGAACTTATTATCTTTCACTGATTTTTCTTATTATTTTCACCCGGCCGTTATCATAAACGCCACTTATTAAAATATGGATCCTCAGTGAAAAATAATAAGTTCCACGATTTTCCCACGAGGAGCGCTAGCAGTATCTCACTTTTTCATATTTTTAGATAAGAACTCTTGTAGCCGCTTATTACAGCTCGATATTTAACCAGTTAATATCGTAATAATATCATAATAAATTCTATTATGTTCACAGATATATATAATAAACTAGATTGCTAAATGTACATGCCACTAATAGAGATGATGAAGCAGCTGCTTTCCGCCATCTTGGTGGGAATTAGAACCTTATCACGTGAGAATAATACATGTTTATACCGATCACAGATAAATATAATAATATATACAGATATATTAATGTGCATTGATAACACACATAAATCCCACCAGAATGGCGGACCGTCGGCATCAATTCTTATCGCTAGTTAGCAATCTAGTTTATTATATATATCTGTTATTATGTTTATGATCTACACTCTACAGCCGTGGTCCCCAGTCACCCAAACACTATTATTTTTCAAATGGTATACAACCATACAACAAAAGATAGCAAAGAAAAAAGGCTAAGATGGGCGAGGTAATGCGGGGCGTCGGCATTAACCGTCATAACTAAAGTGGTAACTTCAAACGAATTTAAGATTTTCAGTATCTTAGTTCGTGCTTGAAGATATGTCTTTTACGTATTGATATAATGGACCCTTTCTGACTGTATTCCGCATTTACCCGACAAGTGACTACTTTTTGCAGTATGACTATGTCCTATGATATAAAACTAAAATGAAACGTATACAATTATTTTTGTTTTGACAAACTGCAGCAACCATAATTTATATGTGAATTGTGATAAATAACATTAATTGATAACACAACTAGTGCCACCATCACCACGGCCTAATAACTTGGAAAATAACTTCTATAAAATAATTTTTAAGGCCGTGGTCACCACACCATAACATATTATTCTTCTCTACATCGTGTGTAGCACAGACTAGATTAAATCAGAAGGGGTAGTTCCCAATCATAGAGCAATTATTATAAACATAATATAAATTTTTAAATAAAACCATTGATTTCATACAAACAGTTTTTTGTATAAAATATATTATCCTGGCACTAAAACTTTAAATCGAAACCAAAATTGTTGTCGGCAGCAGACAAAATGTATGAGCGTAATCCATAACTGATTATTCATTACAATCGATATAATAAATATTATGGTAGCATAATATATTATCTTAGTTATTTTTTAATTAATAATTACTATAAGGTAAAGGCTTATTGCTTACTAAATAATATATATTTTCAATTAATATACATATAGTTCAAAGTATGATTTTCTATTGTCTATTTAGAATAATCCAACAACTAATAATGAAAAAACTATTAGTTAAAAAATTAAATTAAATAGTTACAGGTATAACTGATGTTTTTTGAAATGAAGATTCAATATATAGCATGTTTATTATTGAAAATTTAAATACTTATTAAGTCTTAATTATTTATCTTAAATAAATTTAAAATTAAAAAATAATGTATTTCAATAGTGGCACAGTAAGTACTTCGTTTATGCAGTATGACAATAGAGTATAGACACAAAAAATGATAAAACAGACTCTTCAAGTTTTATGAAATTTTAATTTTATATCATCTAATTGAACTATTAGATATGAATCACAGGTACTTACTATATAGGGTGATTAATTAACTATGATCCAGACAATGTCTGCGAAGATATTAAAATGTTTTTAATTGCTATACTTTTACATTAGTATGCCTAATTTTGGTATATTTTCCAAAAATATGTGGAAGAAAAAAACCTCATCCCATATATGTTAAAACCTTATGAACTTGAGCTTTTTAAATAGTAAGTAATAGTTTGGTAATATTATAGTAGTAGCAGTAATAGTTACATAAATATTTTATTAACTTTTTAAATTAAGAATAATTTGTTGACCATTTTGACAGGTTTTAAATAATTACTTACAAAGTTTAAAATTTAGGACAGGAGGAAGGGTGACGTGTAGTTTTTTTTTATTTGTGCACATTAATCTATTGCACTCAGCGTCGCTCCTTCAATTTTGAACTCTAGTAACTTTAAAAGTAATTATTTAAAACTGATTATCGACCAGTCAACATTTTCAGAAAATTATTCTATATTTAAAAAGACGATAAAATATGTACATTACCTTTTAAAATCTTAAGTTCATAAGGATTTAACTCATAAGTGATGGGGTTATATTGTTGAAAATGTATTAAATTTAAGCTATCTAATAACTTAAAAATTATAAAAAAGATTAACTTTAAAAAGTATAATATCTTTTAAAGTATTGACTGGGTCATAACTCATTGTTAACCAATCACTCTGTATAGAAGTATAGTTATAACACCACAAAGGAGTTGCGTGGCATTTATTACGACAATATCTTATGTTACACACCCCTTCCACTCTTAATATTATTTATTTTACATTCTTATTTTTGTTCCAATAACAGTGAACTTCCAATTTAGATTTAAAAATGTACGCACAGTCGTTATCTCTCGATAATCTAATACACAGGTAGGTAGGTACCGTACGGCAACTCTGGACGTCCCGGTTATTGTACTCAAATAGACAGTAAGTTAAGCTACTAGCTAGTGTAAAATGACTAACAGCACAGCAAACAGCATGGCCGCTATGTCCTCGGCCGCCAGCTCGGACACTATGTCTGAGGTGTCGGATTCCGGAACTGGAACGTCGGGAAGGAGCTACAGCGATAGCCGGGAAGAAATGCACAATCTGGCAAATTCTTTGGGCCTAGAGTCAGCCGAGGACTTAGCTAAGGAACGGTTCAAAGTCGATAGGAAAAAGCTCGAGGCCATGTTACACTGTAAGTTAACCGTTGTATTTCTTACTTATAATATGCAAACAACACATAATAGTTAAAGAGCATACGTGTATACTACGTTGCTTACTTGTTAGAAAACAACAATCTTATGATATTCATTTCTATAACAAAAAAAAAAACTGGGAAACCCATAAAAACATGTTTGAAATTGAGGTTAATTAAGGTAAAAATACAATTCTTTTAAAAATATTTTGAAGTTAAGTTATGTCTTATGGAACGGTGTAAGCGTTTCGTTCCAGGAACAATATTTTATTTTGTTTTAATATTGTACTAAATACCGGGATTATCATTTTTGATCAATTAGTCAGTAAATAAACTCATATGATAACATACTATTAACCATTAATTCGATATTTGTTGAAATTATAAAAAATAATGAACACTTTACTTTTATGTAAACATTTTTGCCCCACGCAATTTTTTTTTCGTACATATCAAAACTCCCATACAATAACAATAATTATAATTGTTATAAAATCTTAATTGATGATTTATGATAAATTAAGATGATTAGGTGATTTTGGTTGTATAGGCTTAGGTATAACATTTAACTATACAGCAAGATAATCAATTTAAAATGATCTACTTTTTTTTTCTTAAAATAATAAATTACAATTTGTAGTTTTTCTATTCAAAAAATGTTTGGTTTATGTTATTTTACAACATAATGTAATTTATTAATATTTACCACAGCGCTATCAACTTTGAAACGTAAATGGTACTTAACGTTTATACTTAATTATCTTATTAACTTTTGAAATTTGAATTTTCTGACTATTTTTACTAGGCCAAAACCTATTTTTGATATTTTAATAAAAAACTTTTAAGTTATTAAAATTTAAAATAAGGATGAAAAGGTGAATGCTGAGTATAATGCGTGTAGATAAAAATTACATCACCCTTTTTCCGCTTTACATTTTAGGCATTAAAAATAAGTATTTAAAATTAAAAACAGATTATTTGTAATTTTAAATATAGACGCTACAATTTACAAATATTGTTGGCGGTCTTGCTGTGGTGTTTTCACAGCTATTCCATTGAAAAGCACAGGGGAAGAAGGGCGGATAGTAGTCCTATTATGACAATTTTTCAGGAGAGCGAAAACAAAGTTAGTTTGCAAGTATAAATCCAGTGGCGTAATTTGGTCATATTTGTGGGAGGGGGGGGGATTAAAATAAATTTCATAAATTTTACTCATCACCCCTCCCTCCCCCAATTTTTTTTTGTATGTATACCATTGTCTATATGCCAGCCGTTTTTAAAGCGCTAAGTTGGCCCTATTATAACCTCTCTTTCACCAAATAGATATCAACATTTAATAGTAGCCCTAATAGACCATTTATTGGTGTCATTATCTAGAAATTGAAAAAAAAGGACTACTACCCTTCTTCCCCTGTGCCCTTCAATTTCTATATTAAAAAAGAACTAAAAGTCGCGGTGTTAACACCCTGTAAGCGAGCGCTTGGAAATTAAATATACTTAATAACTAGTATAATAATATACTAGATAAATAATGTAGGTAATCAAATTTATTATTACCGTACTACTAGATTTTTAAATTAAGAAAAAAGTTTCTACCACTCTCAGGGTGATGCCATATTTTGGTTTTTGACTGCAGATCGGTAGGGTAAGCTATATCTAAAAAACTTGGACATAATTTTTCGAAAAGTTTAGAGTACCGTATTTTTTAGTTGAAAATATCATAATTTTGTATGATATTTTTATTGATTTTAAAAGAGATATGGGTTCAGTGTACGATTTTTGATACATATAGACTAATACTCTACATCCTAGCTATACTTTAAATAATTTATTTTAAAAATTCATGTTCAATATAATTTAAACCAGTTTTTAACTAAATCTTTCTGTATTTAGGTGATGGAGAAGACGGGATAACGGCAGTCAATTTCTTTCAAAAAGTAATTTTTAGTCAAGTTTTTTTTTTATGTTAAAGTCTTAATGACGGAGTAAATTTGTGATATTCAGTATATTTGGTTTAATTATCATCAGTATGTAGCTTAATCCATCGTAAGACGATTCAGTTAAATACTTTGTAGAAATTTCGAGTGGTATTATTAATTTACTTTTGTTATGGAGATTATAATACAACTTGTTTTTATTTAATTATTCTATAACTAACTGTTGACATTTACATTTAGGTAATGACTGATACGAGAACATTAATACTTTGGCCGACAAGACTTAAAATTGGAGCAAAGTCAAAGAAAGGTACTTGTATAGTTGATATTTTTGGATTACCGGAAATAAAAATCATATTATGCTTAATTATCGGTAATTTACCTTGTAATACCTTAGAGATTTTATATCGACTCTGGATAAATTTAAAATGGTTATTGTAAAAATTATTTAAATTTAGTGTAGTTTTTATTAGAAGTTAGAACATTATTTTAAAATTGTTAAATATTTAGGTTGTCAATTGAAAAAGGGGGATTGTTAATGAATGTATTAGAAAATCTATAAACAAAAACATATACTAGGAATTTTTAGATCTGTAGGGATAATGATATATAGTTGCTAATCCTCTTGATAACAATTAATCCATTAGCACATGGTCTAGTTCTAACTGAAACCTACCCAAGAAGACACACATTTAAAATGTAGCTATTATTCAATAACTGACATATTATTATAAAAAAAAAAATGTATACGATTTAAGTGTAATATATGATTTTATAAATAAACAAATAAATTAATAATAATTACTTCTTAATTGTCACTAACAGTTTTTGGAGCAAAATATTATTTTCTCATTTCAAATATTACTAAGTCGGAAATGTTCGCAAAAATAAATAACATAATGTCTGAAAGATTATTACTTAATAAGTTAAAATATATTATAAAATAAATACATAGGTCGTATGGGTGTCCCTCGAATTCGGCTATGGCTAGTCTAACTTTTATTGTTGATTTTCAAGAAATTAACAGGATGTTAAATAAGTTTAGAAACTTTTTCCATTTGATTACTAAAGGAACCAGTTTCCAAACTAATGCAACACCTAACATTAATCATAATACTTACTTATATCCTAAAAGATAGACTAAAAATCCTGAATTTTCAAACTAGAAGAGGGTATGGTTTTTGGGTAGTTATTCGTTACCGCTATTATTCAAACAGATTCTATTCCCATTTCGTCCTATTTCTTCTTCTTCATGTAGCTTAACGGGCCATAAAAGCCCAACGCTGCCTTCATGAGATGGTTTCTTGACGAATTCGCTATCCGGGACGGGTCGTCAGTCTGTCGCCGGGTAGGGGGATGGCGGCACTTTTTCACTGGACGATTGCTCTTCTAGCAAGTGGAGCGTCCGTAACCGAGTGTCGAACCAGCGACAGTGAGCGCTAACACATTGCCGCCTTACCCACTCAGCCACTCCTCCATTTTTCCTCCGTCAATTTACCTGAAGAATTAAGTTCGTGAGTTTTCACATTTGGGTATAGGGCTAGCTATGCCGTTGAACTCTGCATTCTTGATTCATAATTTAAAACTTAAGCCGCTGGGGGCTTTGCACCTATCCCCCCTTCTGTTGCCAAAGGCAATAAATTGTGTACTAATGATAGTTACAGTGTGATTTTTATATAATTAAGTACTTATTTCCTAAAATAAAGCTACCTTTTTTATATTTATATCAAAATTAAAAAAGTAGCTTAATAAATGTATTTAACTTAGCCTAAGATTTTTTTTAGAGTAAAAATATAATTGAACTTCAAAAATCATTTTCTAAGTAGGAATTTGATTTACTCTAAGGTAATATAGTCTGGTGATTGAAGTTAGATAATCACACTGTTCTTCTCCTGTAAGAAAAACGGAATAAGATTGTTATTTTAGTTTTTATCAATCATTTTAGTCAATCACAAGCATTAATCCCGCGGAAATACATGCAAATCAACTTTAAACAGCTTACATCCATAATTATTAATAATAACATAGTAGTGTGTATGGTATAATATAATATTATACTTTATTATAGTAGCAACTAACAAAAAAAAATATATATATATTGATTTTATTAAATAATAACCGGTAAAAATAGTTTTCATAAAAGTGAAAAAGTCCCTTTGTAAACTAAAAGAGATAATCGCATGACTTGTCTGTACGCTATATTCTGCGGATGACCTTATCGAGACCATTGTGTGTTTGTTTAATATAAGCTAAAAATACCAAGCCATGCCTACAAAGACCTTCCCCCGTTTTTTACAGGATTCGTAGATGGTTTAGTGACCAGCTATATAACGGTGTATATAGATAAAAAACATTAAAAATCTGTATCTTAAAACAAAATGTGTCGGACGCGCGTTCATTTCGTTTAATTATACGGTGACTATAAAGTGGCAGGTTTAAATTATTAATTTTATTCTTAATTTATACTAAATTATATATTTGTGATTTTATTTTATTTTATTATGTATAAAATCATAAATATGTCTCGTATTCTACAAATATTGGCTCAAATAAAACGACCTGAGAACGATGTAAAATTTTTAAAATATCAACCACAGCAAATGTACTTTTGGTCCACGAAAGATGAGACTTTGTGGGTTGAGATATTAAACACAGAATACAAAGCTCACAAAACTCAAGGTATGCTATATTATAAATATAATATTATACACCTAGGCCGTAGAATTATAATACTATACATATTATTTATAAACCTAGAATTTGTACAACTTGACACTCACATAATAACTATAAGTAATACATTTTATTATTATTTTTCGACTTAAAATCGAATTTCTAATTAGTTGTGTTGCCATTTTTATACGTAATATGTATTATCTTATGCATTTAGGTAATTTATTAAATATTAATACTAATTTATTTATTATCGGCATGGGTAGATTACGTTTTTGTACGTAATTTATTTTCAATTTGTTATACATAATATTGTTGTACACATTTGTATTTTTAAAAATTGTGGGTGATTAATTTAACATAAGCCACTCCTTTCCTCGAAAAATAATTGTGTAGTTTTTTTTTATGACAATATTTTTAATTATTTTATTTTCATATCATTATGTAATTTACAAATATTTATCTTTTACAGTATTTTTGGACTTTAATTTTTTAAATCAAGAATAGTCTGCTTAACACATTTTAAATTTGTTGATAACCATTTATTAAATAATTCGTAGGTAATAATTGCTCTTAAAGTTATTAGCGAAAAGTGTAGATCAGTAGATGTGTAAAGAGTGGTATTTAAAATTTTGTAAATTATTTTCCTCGAAAATGAGCAAATGGATCATCCTGTTTAAAATCATTTTTCCGTTTATTTTACATCCTAGTGTGTACGTAGTTGTAAGTTGATGTAATTGTTGAAATTAATATTATTTTAATGCGTCTCTAATAAAATTAAAAAAACTTTTTATCGGTATTTAAATACTGCAGTACTAGTAATAAATGTATTACTGGTATTTAGGACATTTTTCAATATTAGTATACCTTTTCAGTCGGTATTTTGGAGCATTGATTTTTAATTTGTCATAACCTTGTTTCAACCTGTTTTGAAGTCAATATCGAAACTTTGGTATTCGTTTACAATACCGTTACCACTAGTTTTCTTAAAATCTATAAATTAATACCAAATTCCAAAAACATTTTTGTTAACCTATGCTGTATGATAACATAATGCTCAGATATGATTAGTACACTTTTTGGAAATTGAATTAGCAGTATCCTGTAGTTAGCAGTTTACCAAACATTGCTATTATAGAGACTAGTTATAATATTTGCAATACATTTCAAACTTGAATGTTGTCAGCGGTGGTTGTCTACACTTCACTTTACTTCCAAAAGAATACTATCAATGATTATAAATAACATAATCAATGATAATTGATACTAATAATGTGACGAGAGTTTTAACAACATTTTGATATTTTTAATATTAAAAATAAGCATAATTAATATACCATAATTATTTTATAATTTATAAGTAATACTGTCGACTATACAGATTCTATAGCAATGATCATGTTCATTTATTAAATGTACGTTTTTTAAAATAATTATGGCTTTATTTGTATTTTTTACAATAGATACAAACAATTGTACAATAAGTAAATTTATTAGAAATATAAATTAACAGTGAATGGTATGATAGGAAATCTCCAAATAGAAACACCTAGAATAACATGATTAAACTAATATAATAAAATTTTATATCTTAGGTCTCGGCATCATTTTCTTTTATTGCATCTGGGCGGGTTTTCAGGAAGATTAACTGATGCTAACTGTGTGACGAGTGTTGTATTGGAGTTTGAATTTAGTTATAATACATTTCAGCTGTTTCATTTGCTGGTTGGAAATTAAGGTTTGGTTACACCTATATTTACATATTGGCTTTGTCAATTGCCAACGTTTCGTAATAAAGCCTTAAAGATTAAAAATATAGGTGTATTCGAATATGTAAACAACTAAAAATATATAATTAATTTAATACATATTTTATTTAGTTATTCAGTATGAAGTTAAAAAAAGTTATTTAAAAACTTTTATAATTTTATTTGCACAACTTGTTATTATTTCTTAGTTATTATTTAAATGTGTTTATTATTATTAAATGTTAAGTGTATCTTTAGGCGGAATTTTGATTACTTATATACACAAATACATATATATATATCTTCTGTCTAACGACAGTTCGCAAATACTTACCTTCAACTTCATTTTAGTCGTAATTTTTATTTATAACTATATTCTTAGATAAAACTACAGTATTCATGTAAATTAACTGAGTAAAATGAATTCGTATTGTTAAAATTATAACTCGTCAATCATTCTGCTTCACTGATTAAATAATACAATAATAAAAAAACCGTTGTTTTAGACCCTCATGTTCGAATCGCTGGACTAGCAGATGATGTAAAAGCGGCCAAAATGCAGGTTATGAGTGTTTTGGATGATAGAGTGAGTACATATATTTAGTTGCATCAATTAAATCATAAGTTTAAAAATTTACCAAGTAAATTTGTTAAAAAACTAAAGGGGCTTAAGCGCCGACAATATCATAACAAAATGTGCACACTTAACGTATGGTATGGAGCGTATACAATTTGGAGGATGCTCATTTCAGAACTTAAGCCCAAGACTATTCTCTTAAATGTGCCTTTGATTTATAGTAATTATTATTTATCTCATAATTTTATTTTTAATTTGTAGAGCAATCGCGTGACAATGAAGCTGGACTTAAGCTACACTGACCATTCTCATATTATTGGTCGGGGAGGTCTGACAATTAAACAAGTAATGGAAAATACTGGATGCCACATACACTTTCCTGATTCAAATAGAACAAGCTTATTAGAAAAAAGTAATCAGGTTTCTATTGCTGGTAACTGTGGTGCCGTTGAAAGAGCTAGAGCACGTGTTCGGGTAAAATGATATTTTATGTCTTCTTAATAGCTGTTATTATAATTTATTCATTATTCAAATAATATTATTGATTTTCAACGTTATGCCTTTACTGGATTTAAAATAAATAGGTACCAAGTCCATCTAATATGTAAATAATAGTCTGTAGGCTGTTATCATTAACACAAGTTATACCAGTTATTTTGTACTTAAAAAGTATATTAGAACAATTAGCGCAACCTCTTCCATGTTATAATTCCTTACACATTCCTTCACAGTCCTTTAAACATTGTTATTATACACCTTCATGTACCGGCACTATTAATTACACTTGGATCTATCTACACTAATCTGTCTTATAGTCGTTCATATTAATTCAGGTTTAAAATTAAGCAGGTGTAGTATAATAATAGACAATACCTAGTCTATAGTATAGCAGTATCAAAATTAGTGTAAACTTAAATTTTAAGCTAAACCGGTGAGAACGAATATTACCCATTTTATTTCCCTACTTTCGTTTAACATGTTTTAAACCATCTTAATTTATTCTCTCTCATCTTTTTTGCTAATGACGCCATTCCCAAACTTTTAAATAACAGTTTCCTTTTACTTTAACAAATGACCTCATTCAACCACACTTAATTCTCTACTCGACACGTTGTCTTTGATTCCTTAATTATTTTGCAAATTGTAATACCGTTTCTAAGTATTTAAACTTCTCTATTATCGACTATTGAAGGTTCTTTACCTACTTCGTATATTACTCTGTACAACTATTATTAATTTATAAATTTTAAATTTATAAACTTTATTTTTAGGAATTGACTCCATTGATATTTTGTTTTGATTGGCCAAACATTGGAACTGTTCAAAATTATCAAGATCCGTCTAGCCAGTTTCCGTACATTGGCTCTATACAGGAGAATTACAATGTGCATGTTATGTTTCGTACGAGACCAAAACTCCATTCGACTATGGTAATGGTTAAGGGCCACGAATGGGATGTTGTGAGAGTTAAAGAAGCGACAATGCAACTCATAACGCACATGTGTGGTAACCTCGCAGTAAGGATAAAAACTATACTACGCATTTTATTTTATTTTAATAGAGAACTAAAAAGAGTCGGTGTTGGCATTGAAATCTTCAAAAAATATTAATAGTAACTAAAAATTCTTCGAGAAAATTTTTTTGGAATGTCAATATGAATATTAATTTTTTTTTCTATATTAACAAAACAAGCTGTACAATATTCACAATTAGTTTTTTTTTGTCGAGGATATGTAAATAGCTTGAACAATTAACATGCGAGGAAGCCACCCATTGGTAACACCTCAAGAATATTTTTTTAAAAAATATGTTTTTGTCTTAAAAATGTATTACTTAATTTATACATAGTTGTAGTATCTATTAGAAATTTACGTTTTGTAATAACGATATATACGAAAAAGTATCATTTTTCAGTTACCTAATGAAAAACAGCCTTTCAACCCTTTATTTAGACAATCTGATGTTTCGTTTTAAGTTAAAAAATAAATCCATGGTACTTTTCGTAAGGAACGGTGGTATGTACTCTGTTTATCACTCTAAAATATAATTACAAATCATGTTTCAGAATCAAGTCTTAATACTTATGGTTATGGAAATATCACCTCAACACCATAAAATAGTTATGGGACCAGGTAATGAAACGCTTAGAGCCATTACTCGTCGTACTGGAGCACAAATATTATTTCCAGATGCTAAGGATCCTAATATACCTTCTATAAAAAAGAGTAGTGTTACCATCACCGGTCATATACATAATGTCTACGCGGCCCGTCAAATGCTTATTGTAAGTATTTTTTTACACATTTCATTAACCATGAGTAGGTAAATTGAACATTTTTCTTTTAGGGCTCATTACCATTGCTTCTCATGTTTGACATACCGCAAGACGAAATGGTACTAACCCACGAACAAATCGAAAGCGTAATGCAACGTTTGGACATACATATATCACTTAGACATAAAGCTAGTCAAAATATTTACACGGTTTCAATAAAAGGTTTTGAAAGATCTGTGGGTAAGTCAACCAAATTATTAATAAATTATCGTATGGTTATTAAATATTTTTCACACAACTTGAACAGTTTTAAAGAGTTAAAATAAAAATGTATTGGTTGTATAAGCAACCTGCAACGTTATAAGAATAAATTTAATTAATTAATATCCAACCGATCATGGCGAACTATACTTTACTTGGAACTCCGAACAAATGTATTAAACCCTCTTTAGTATTTACCATAATACAGCATTAAGAATTACGGTATTGAATATTGATTAAAAATATACTCTTTTTAAAAGATTGTTTATTTTTTCTTTTTGGGAGGGGGACGTTGAAGATCTCTGCTACGCTATTGAGGAGGATAATAGATAGTCTCTATCTCTTGACAGTCGCCTTGCCAGACAGAGAGACCAACCATAGTCGAGTGTCGAAACGCAGTCGAGTGATTTATTCCTTAAAATGACTATAAATAGAGAATTTTTTTACGAACTTAATATGTTTAGTACTTATATAATATGTTATTGCTTGAATAGTAATCATTTTATCATACATGATGAAAAAATACCATGTGAGCCATTGGTTTATAAAATACCTGTAAGTTTTTATTATGTTTTAGGTAACATTTATGAAGGGCGAAGATGTTTATTGGGTGGTACAGGAGAAAGAATAGCGCCAAATATACCAAATACATATAATGTGTCAAATGAAAACCCATCATTTTTGATTTCCAATGGAGAGTTCTATGGTGGTAATCGCTACCCCAACAGACCTTTTAATAATTTAGGAGGATTTAATAATTTTACTAATTTCGCTGGTCCGATGTCATCGTCATGTCGTAACAGTGTAGTTAGCTTACCTTTAGTGGGTAGTCATGGTAATATTCCTCAAATTAACGTTTTGGGACCTAGGATCCAACAACTGGCCAATGATTTAAAAATGGACAATTTATCAACCAACAACAATCACATAGGAAAATCAAGTATGAGTTATTTTTATGTATATAGTTTTTATACATATAAGTTAATAATAGGGCCACTTCACTGGAAGTCACGCATGTTTTGTACATATATATTTACTCGGATGTATGTATACTCATTTTTATTGTATTTATAAAGATTTTTAATCATTAAATAAAAAAAAACTTTTGATGATTAAAAAAAAAAAGTTGATATCACTCTTAAACACTCAAAATGAAATTCAAGTTATAGTTTAAGTCCATAATATATTTGTATTATATGATTTTAGCATTTAATTATATGCAAGATTCGGCCAACTCTTCGCCAAATCAAAGTTTACTATCAAATGGCGATTTAGGTACGTATGAAATTTGTAGTCAAATCAGGCAGCATTTTTTTTCAGTCTATAGTAATATTTGTAATTGTAATTGCGAATTCTTTTTTACCTGTTGTTGTGCTATTTTATAGAACCCGAAATGTTTGAAAATCGTGCCCCTGGTTTTCGTAGACAGCCAATCAATTATGATTACCAAAATTTGAGAGTTACTGCAGCCCAAGGTAAATTATAACTTATAAGGTTATTTGCAAATTTGAAATTAATACATATATGTCTAAATATAATTAAAAATATATATTCTGATTTATAGTATCTCAGGTAAAACCTAATCGTTCGGAAATTAGAGTTCCAACATCAGTGTGGTCCGGTTATGGGTTCAGTCAATCTAGCCCGTCCGCTTTGCTCAAAGGACAACGAGAGGTAAAATTAGTTTTCAACCAAATTTCCAATTTAAATTCAACACAATAATTTTCTCTCATATTTCTAATTATAAAATATCTTCACGTTGTCAGAATAATAACTAAGATATTACTCTTATATTGATATGCAACATGACATAACATAACATGTTGTATTTTGTATTATTCATGTTTCTTTGCTTTATAACTATAAAAATCACTTTTCTCACGTCCTCTAAACTGTTCGAAGAATATCAATTCCTTAAAAGATATGTCATAGCCCAGAACTAAATTCCAATAAATTTGCTAAAATACTGCGCGATGCGCATTATAATGCATTTAGATCATACCATTCTAGAGAATCAAATCTGCTTAATAATAATTAATATGTGCACAGCATATTTTATCTACATCATTAGATCATAGATTTATTATTTTAGAGACAATTTGTTGTGGTTTTCTTTATCGCAATTCTTATCCCTTGCAAAAAGGACTGCACAGTGATCTGAGAATAACATTTAGGTAGCAGTAATAGAAATTATGAATGTTGAAAAATTACAATTTTTTTTCAGGATTTCATTAAATATTAACACAAATAAAACAAATTAAATATTACAAGTGTAAACATAAGTTGACACTTGTAATAGGAAGTTAATAGCTATTGCAACTAAGCAAATTTTGGTTTTCCAGTTATTTTAAATGCTTAAATTATTTATTGATTTTCTCTACACTAATTAAAGAGTGAATTTGTCAAACGTTCTTCAAGTGGCAAAATATAAAAATTGATCTTTATAATTTGATTTGTATTTTATCCATTGCTGGAAACACTTTAACATATTTTTAAGTGTTAAATATGATTGTTTTTTTTATAAATAACTATTCATCACTTGAAAAATGAAAAAAATTGTTTCCAGTAAAGAATAAAATACAAATCAAATTTAAAGATCAATTTTTATACTTTGGAACTTGGAGAACGTTTGAAAAATTCACTTAAATTTGTCTTATTAATTTTACTTTCTTATTTGTCTCCATAAATTCAACTTATTCAAATCACAACTCTCTATATTCTCGTATTATATTATTGATTTGTATTATAGTATTTATAACAAATATTAAAAATGTAATACATTCATAAAGTAAAAGTAAAAAATACCTAATGGGTCGATTTTACCAATAATCAATAGTAATATGCAATGCAAAATAATTTATAATATTTTTTCTGTTTTAGAATGAACAAAATATATGGAGCAATAATTCGCCTGAAACAAACAATGAGAATACAATGGCAGAGTTAATTCCTATGGAAATGAGTAATCACTTAGACGCTACGCCTACTTCGACTGTTTCTAAGATAACGTCATCTTCATTTGCTGACTTGCCTTCTCATTTGGCTATGCTTGGTTTAGATAAGTACATAAGTGAGTATTTGGCGATTGAATTATGACAAACATTAAGTGACTCGATTAAAATATTTGTTAAAATTACAGATTTATTTAAATCTCATGAAATCGATTGGACCACTTTTAAGACGTTGACAGAGAGTGATTTAAGAGAGATTGGTGTTACAGCATTGGGAGCGCGTAGAAAAATATTGCTGTCCATTGCTGGTAAATTATACATTACATAAAATACCTTTCATTACCATAGGTAGAAATTTGAGAAAAGCTTAGTCTCTTTAAAAAGCTGTAGTTTTTTGTACAGTTAATTACTAAAATAATGACTAAAAACTACATTTTCTTAGCCCTTCTTAAAATTTCTGCCTATAATGTATAATAACAGAAGAGTCACTTTTGTTGTTGTCTAGATATCCAGATCTTAATATAATAACCTAATATATTAAGTTCTAACACTGATGAAATTCCAACTATTGTATTCTACTATGGTTCTATCCTTACAAGCTATTTACGGCATTTTTTATGTTTCAATAATACTTTTCTCAAATTTATGCGAACTTTTATCACCAATTCATATTAATACAATTTTATTAATTAGATTCATAATTTAAATTTTGATATAGTTCGAAAAAAACAATGTGCAATTTTTGAATTAGGGAAGACCAAATCAATAAAAAAAAAAAATTTTAAACTCATATGACTGAAAACTCCACCAACAAGACTCAGCTTATGTTCTTTATTTTACCAGAAGCAGTGATGTAACGACAGGTGTAGGTCAAAAGATGTGATTATTTATTCTTTAAAATCTATTATCTAAAAGTTAATTTTGTTTCCTAACTCCAAAATATATTCTAATTAGAATCGTATATTAAGTTATTAATTGTACTTTAAACTCACCCAGTACAACAGCTTTCGCATCTAAATAGGCTAGGGAAAAACTCCGCATTATTCTGAATGACAAGTATATAATTTAAAAAAAAATTATAACGTGCTAAAATACATAATTACAGTTCTGTATAACCATAACAAGTAATGGTTATTTATTCATGGTATAAATTACTTTACATTTTTTAGAATTAAACAAAAGATGCCCAGTTGGTGGATTGTTTGGTATTAGTCCAGCTCCAGGAGCAGAGAGAAAAAGTCCTGCGTCTAATAACAGTCCTTCAGACACGTGGTAAATCAAAAATATATAACTGCATGTTGAGTAACTTATAATAATTTTTTATACTAAAAAATTGTAAATTATTATTATTTAAATTATTTAGAAACTCAAAAGTGGGTTTTAAACAATTTTTTTCATTATAGAAAATATAAATAGGTATTAAAAACTTATTATAATAACATAACTAACTACAGATTTATTTAAAACATAACAAAACTTGTAATATTTTAGTAACAATTACCCTTTATATATTGTCTTCGTTCGATACTAGTATATTATTAAGTTGTAACCAAACATTTCTTATGGCTTTTATATTCCTACCTACATATATTATACATTTAAATATCCTACCTACCATTTTTTAAAAATTATTCCCAAGTGTATTTATTTATATCGAACTATGCTTTATGTTATTTTATTTCTAAAAAACCGTATTAATGTTGAATTTTTTATGCGATCGTCAATGTTATTGTTAGGCGCATTATATGTTTGTTATTATTTTAATAATGGTCGATCGTTGGTAAAGTATGCAGAGCGATAGACAAGAAACATTTATAACTTATAACAACTTGTGGAAATATTTTGATTTATGATTTTTTCAAAACCATTTATTGTATCCATTATTATTCATTATGTTAATTTGAGTTCTATATTATCTTATCTTATTATTTTTGTTATGTTGTTTACTTAATTATTATTATACATTTTTTTTTTGAAACTAAAAATTTATAGTATACCTATTATAGGCCTTTAAATGGTATAAAAATACAATTATGTTTTTGTACATTATTATTAATATATACATAATAAACAAATTACGTAAAAATAATAAATTTAATCAAATGTATTTTTATTATTAAAAAAGTTGTTGAGGGTTGGTCGCATGCATACCCCTTGGATCCCTTCTTCGATTATTTAAAACTAGATATAAGTTAATTGATAATAAACAAAACTTTCTATAAGATACTATTAAAAAGCCAATACAGTTCGACCAGGGATAGTGGGATCTGAAAGATCACAAATCTTAACAGGAAACAAAATACGCTTCAACACGAATCTATAGTTGGTATACCGTTCATGACCTTTCTTACTGCTTCAGATTTTTCTCTCCTCATGACATACCCAAATCATGTCGATGTCAGTTAATTTTCTCTTATTTCGTTCGCAATCTAAGCCTATGGTACCTTAAATGTATTCGTTGCTTATACTATCATCCTTCGTCACTCCACTCATCCGCCTAACCATTCTCATTTCCGCTACTTTCATTCCTTGTTTTATTTTTCTGTCTACCGCCCAACACTCCGAACCATACAACATAGTCAGTCTCACCACACTCTTGTAGAAATTGTCTTTAAGTCTCGTTGGAATTTACTTATCTCATAAAACACCTGACATGTATCATACACATATTTCATGCAATCAAACCTTAAATACTAAAACCTAGGTTTTGCTCGTTTTTAGGTATTAGGTAATTCAGTTTTAGTTAACAGGAATAATAAATTGGATCTGAAGAAATTTTGTCAACAAATTACATGGGGATAACAATACGTACCTATTTTGATTTTTGAAAATATTTTAAAATTATCAGTGAATACATTAATATAGTTTCGTGTTTTACAATTTGTATGTTTAAGTAATAACAACAATTATAACATATTAATAAGTAACAACACAACATATTATATAAGGAAACGTAACAATTAAAATATCTTCTGAAATATCACATTTTAGTAACATTATAAAATCACCTGTGATTTATTTAAGCTCTGAAAAAGAATGTTCTACAGTTGCAACATTATGTATACTAAGTTTTGATCTTTTTTAGCATTTTCTAAAGCTCTATTAACTTTTGAAACTTAAATGGTAATAAATAAATGGTAATAATTAAATTGTATAAATGTTATTTAATTTTTGAGTTTACCAAAAAAATTTGTTTGGTTGATAAGTGATAACCAGTTTTGAATATATTGTAATTATTTTTTAAACTATTTAAGTTTGAAATTAAGGACGGGCGAGATTGAGAAATATGAGTTTTGCAGCCTTCATTTGGCAAGTATGTTTACTAATAGACGGCACAATCAAATTTAAAAAATAAGTAGATTTTCCTCAATTTTACGGTTTTGGCAAATTTTAATAATGATTGTACAAAAAATAATCAAAAGCATAACTACTCAAACTAGGTCTCTGAACTAGGGGGCTACAGTTCTGTTTTTTTTTTCCAAATTCTTTCGACTACTCCCCTCTCCTCGTGTATGCAAGTAACAGAAAATAATATCTATATCTTTATAATATATATACAACAAATATAAAAAAATATAAAAATACAATAAACAAGTATAATATAGAAAAAACTGTTAAGCAAACTTATGGGTAAATATATAGTTAAGATATAAAATCTACCATCAATCTAAACCATAAAAATTATACACTTATACAAAGTATAATATAATTTGATCTACGATCCTCTTTACCAAATGCATTTTTTATATTTACTCTAGGTAATTACTTTATTAGACATCTCTCGTTCTAAATCATTTTTGTTTACGAACAATAAGCGTATGTTCGCGGAGGTACCGTAAGCAAACATGTTTACTGATTGCAAATACTATAAATATGGTGATCACTGATCAGAAGTACTCTTTTTTCGTAAGACAGTCCTTTTTTTCATTCTCATTGTTCTAGTGCCCTTAACAATAGTATTAAGTACATGAAATTGAACTCTTTTTTGGAAATATTACGGGCTAATTATACACGTTTTCAACAGTTTAATTACCCAGTCCCTTTTTTGAATTTATGCATTTTTTTACGTTAAAAATGATGGTGAAGTCAGATTTTGGCGATCGGACTTAGTTTTGAAGTTATAAGCAAAACCTTAATTTACGTCATTTTTTTAAAAGTGCAATAACTTCATGAAAATGCACTTTTAAACATTTTTTTAGTCTTCAAAATATGTGTTTTTTATGCCTAAAATAATAGTTCAATCAAATATTTAAATCAGGTAATTGATCAAATCGTCGAAATTCGGTCTTATAAAGTTACACCATATGATATTATTTGCTGTTACTTGCCTGCACGTGGAGAGGGGAGTGGTCGAAAGTATTCTGAAAAAAAAACAGAACTGTAGCCCCCTAGTTCAGAGACCTAGTTTGAGTAGTTATGCTTTTGATTATTTATTGTATCAATCAAAGATAACAATACTACCCTTTATTAATTATGTTGCACTTATAGGTGGAGATTTGATTAATTTTTTTTTGGGGGGGGGCTAGGGTTTTTCTGACCCGCAAGGGCTTCACACCCTCTCATCATTACTTTGATAAGCGATCAAATAATTTTGGTGGGGCCCCCAATTTCCGCCTATGGTTGTACTCTACTGCACTTTACTTTAATATCTATACTCATTAGTAGATAATTATCTATTTATAAACACACACACACACAAATCGTTCAAATTAAACGTAAACCTGCAAGCTATGATGTAAACATATAACTAAAAATTGACCACTTAGGGCAGGGCAATGCCAGGGTAATATAACCTGGGTAATATTATAATTCTTCAATTTAGTTTAAATTAAGTAAATGTATTACTATTTAAAACAACGACGGACCAACGGACCAACAACCACGGCAGGCGAGGATAAGGCAATTTTAATACGATTATTATATTACCATTCCTAAAATTATTGCACTTTAAAAAAAAAATGAAGTAAATTAAGTTTTTGCTTATAACTTCAAAAGTAAGTCTGATCGCCAAAATTTGACTTCACCGTTGTTTTTAACGTTAGAAAAATACATATATTAAATTGAAAAAATTGAAAAAAAACGACTAGGTACTAATCTGCGTTTACACCATTCGTTTTTATAGCTGTTAATATAAGTATAAATAATAGACTAATCAGATAAAAAACAATTTATAAATAGATTGAGATGATCTAAGGGCTATGACATGGGCAAAATGGGTAGAATACACATTAGTCAATTATGATAGAGGAGGAGCTAAGTTTTAAATTTTAAAACTTATTTTATTTTTGGATTTTTATATCTGGTCACTGTAACTATAAATGATAATACCGGAGAGCTAGGCCATTTTAGGGGCTCACTTTTCCCCCCAACATTAGTGTAGCCATACATTGTGATACAAATTAAAATATTACGTATGATAAAATTTTATATTTGATAAGCCTATGTAAAATTTCAATTTTCAGTATAGACATCGTTTCAGAATAGTGTTATTTTGATTCCTTGATTTGGAAAACACTGATATGTGGGGGTGGAGGGGGAAATGCTGAGTCAAATGTCAATACAAATTCACATTGTCTTTCCCGTATTATCATTTATAGTATTTGCCATAGACCTTATATTATAGTCGAGAGAACGAAAAGTGGCCACTGATACGCAAGCCCCTAGCGGCGGATTTTCGCCAGTGTATCGCAAATTCTTTTTAAAAAAAGCGCGCATTTTGAATTATATGTCAAGCATAAATTATTATCATTGTGCTATTATTTATATTTTTTCTTTATCAATTTTAAAACAATAACATTTTAAGCTCACGCCTTTTCAGTTTTCATAGCTCTTATCGATGTTTCATATTTCTACCATCTTCAGATTATCATCGAAGCAATTATTTGAAAACCTTCCCATTCATAATATGCTCCGTCCCCAATGTGCTGGCTTTTTATTTTAATATCTTTATAATTTGTAAATTTAAATCATAATATATAAGTAATAAGTATATAACTGTACAAATTGTATAGTTTTAAGGTGAATTAAAAAAAACTAATTTTTTTTTATAGCAATGGCCAATGGCAAAAGTAAACACTAATTACTCAACACAGATTTTTTCGCAGTATTATTGTTATTTACTATTTATTAAATTAATAGATATAATATTATTATCAGCTTTCATTTAAATGCATTATAATAAAAAATACATTATTTTTGTACTTAGTATACTTATATTTATTGTTATTGTTTATAAGAAATGTTACTAAAACTATGGAAAACTAAACTTTTAACTTAACTATTATAGCTAAATATGTCTTAAACTTTAATAAAAAAAAACGTAAATACGTAATCACGTGAGTAATTAGTATATAATATATACACGGTTTTACGTGCATAAAATTGTAAATTTTATTAACTTACTGGTAATTTTTCAAGTACGGGTTTCTACTCTACTACTCGTTATCACCATCCTTTTCATCGCCTCAATCGCTATCATCGTCTTGTAACGTTATTAATCATTATAATTGGCTCTAACGTGACGTCCCTCAAAATTTCTTTTTTATTCTCTCATTTTGTATTTTTGTCTTGTGCTCAACACACTTTTCCCAATCGCGTTGTGTTACCGCGTCTATAGCTGCGTGCGCCAACTTTTCGACATCTACCATTTTGAATGTGTTATTTTTTTTAGCTACCTCCGCTCTAACTTGTCCCAAAATAATTCAATTGAGTTGTAATGATAGTGGTAGTGAGGTAACCTTATCACCTCATGACCCATTTGTAGCGCGATTACGTCCAATTCGTATCGTTGTACGCCGGGATAAGTAGTTTAACACGTTCACGAAGTTCGGAAAGCTTTTTATGTGGCAAAAAGTCAACATTTTTGCTTTTCAGCCACTCTGTACTACTGCTTTTCGGGAATTACTTTTTGGAAAACTATCCACAAGCGCTAAGTGGTAGGACGCGTTGTCCATTACAATGACCGATGGTTCTTCAAGGGGGTTAAGAATACTAATAAACCAATTTTTAAACACTACTGCGGCGTACGGTAGTCGCTCTCTTAACTGCTTACGTTGGCTCGGAATATTAGCTTTGAGCCATTAACAAAGCCATATTTTGCAGATCCTGCGTGGAAAATGAGGCGACCACCTTTGCCTGTTGCAACCTTTAAACCTTCGTTCTCTTCGGCATTTTGCCATAGCGTGATCTATAGTTCTGGTTTATCCAGGTTTCCTCTTAATACACGACAGGGGGGTATCTTTTTTTTTTTCACGTAGCGTACATATTTTTCTTAAAAATGTACAACGAAGTGCAACAATGTCATTTAAAAAAAAACTATCATGGATTTATCTGGAAAAACAAGAACGGTAATAACGGTTCACAAAATAGTAAATAGCCTCCCAGTTAAGGAGATTTTCATAAGTAGCCGACTATAGGCAATACGCGTTCCATATATTGAGTTCAGTGTATTTTACTGTGTACTTATACTCTTGATTTTGATTGGCTGCTCGTTATGTTGACATATTCGTTTTTATCATCGAATATTTGATGAAGAGGGGTATAGGTGCAATAACCATGTATATTTCAATCATGCGCTATGTCTATGCCCTATGGTATTTGCTGATAGTTTGCTTACCGCAAAAATGATTTTGCATTGTCTTAGGTTCCAAACATAACAAACTGCTGAAGCCTGGAAAAGCTGTTCACTGTTAAGAGCAAAATGTAATGAAACAGTTTTGACATTATTACACACAATAGATAAAAACATCGCCAAAATGGTTAACAGCAAACCGTTTGCTTTCGGTACCTTCGCGAAAATTTTAGTTCTTGTGATAATAGATATCATACTTTTTTTTTCGTTACCTAATATTTTTTTTTTACTAGTCTCAACACAGATTAGATAAAACTTTTATCTAATCTGTGGTTTAATCTGATTCGTGATCACAGATATATATAATAAACTAGATTGCTAACTGTATATACCGCTGTGGCGAATGCAGACAATACCACCAATAGAGAAGATTGAAGCAGCCACTTTCCGCCATCCTAGTGGGAATTAGAACCTTATCACGCGAGAATAATATATGTTTATAACAATCACATATGTATATATTACTGATAGAATAATATATACAGATATATATATTATATGCATTGATAACACACATAAATCCCACCAGAATGGCGGATTGTCGGCTTCATTCTTATCGCTAGTTAGCAATCTAGTTTATTATATATATCTGTGTTCACGATAAAACTTTTATGTCATGCTTCACTCTTGCTTGCTTGTTCCACTTGGTTCATCCGCGATAGAAACTCGAATAATATAATAATAGAATTTTTGGTTAAGACAGAAAAACGAAAGTTATTATAGGCAGATATTATTCTCATTTATCCAAACAATAAGAAATTCAACTTTTTGTTTGTAAAAATTTCAGATTGTTTCAGCATTTATTCTAAATACTGTACATAGAATATTTAACAGTAATAATTTAAAAACTTCGATTATAATAGTCATCTATTTAATCCAGGGGCGCTGAACTAAATTTTAGTAGAAGGGGCAAACAATTATTATTGATAGTTTTCTATCTATTGGCGTCATGCAAATAAATTCCTAGATAATTAAGTTAATATTTTTAAAGTCATTATATAGGGTAATATATGTGTATTAGGACTATCCATTTGGTATTTTATTTAAATTTACATTAATTATTTCCAAATGGCCAATATTCTTCTTAGATCAATAATTAAAAGTAAATGATCAAAGGGAGTACTACAATATTTGATTAAACTGTATCATGGAAGAAGTGATATCGTGTTTGGTTGGTGACACTGGTTAGTAGATGGGTCATCTGAGTCTGTCGGTCAGTCTGTGATGAATTGTTGCTGTGAAAATTTCCATTTTTACGGGAAATTGTATGTCAGTAATACATACACTTAGGTTCATTGTTTTTACAACCAAAAATTAATAATTGAATTCGCTGCTTAAATGAGTAAAATTTAATTATTTTATTAATATGGTTTAAAATAATATGTAACAAGTGCAAAGTGTTATTTCCTCTTATCAGTGGACATCTTCAGTCATAAGGGTATTGCTTTTGGACATTTCCTTTGAGCATTTCAATATTAACAATATTAAGGTACACAAATTAATATATTTTTTATTTAGACCTGTAAATTTAAATGACATGTCATATATTGCATAACGTGTGTAATAATATATCAATTAGTATTTTATAAACGTATATTAACAAAATATTAAATTCATTATTTTACACTTATTTGGGTTTCAATATTTTGTTGTATAAATTATGATTCATTATTAGATAAAAACCCTTTAGGAAGGCCGAAGGATATATCTGTCAGGAAATAATCGTGCTAACCATTCTGTGGCATATTTTTCGGATTTAATTTTCTTTAATTCTTTATTTTCCTGCCTGGGAAGTCCAACCCACCCCTGAAAGCTCTCCATACCAAAGAGTTTAAAAGATCGTACAGACTTATTAATTGTACTTCAGTAGTTTATAGTTACATAATTTAATAGACATATGATATAGTAATATTTTATGTCATCTCGTCATAAGCTATTGCAAATGACCTCTTATTGATAAGATAACTGACCAACCCATGTATGTAGTTACTGAAATATAAAATTATAGATTTTTAATAACTTTCATATGTAATGTTTTATTCTTGTATATGTTATTTATTTTATGTTATCTATTTATTAAAAGAAAACTTATTTTAAAATTACCTATGCTTACAATAAGTTTTAAATTAGAAACAATTTTACTTTATTGATGCCTTTTTTTTGTATTTATGTGTAAATTACTCTGATAATAATTTTAACATTTGAAATCCACGGACTCGTCAAGTAAAAAAAATTATAGCATCTTAAGCTTAGAAGAACTTGTTTAGCAAGTATACGAGTGTGACCGAGATATGCACTAATGTAGTATCAATAAATTAAATACAGTAAAACTTAAAAGAAATATTAGAAACATGTTTGAAGTAAAGCTATACTAATTATTTTTAAAACTAAATGTGAAAACCACGAATGCAGTGATGACCAAAACAAAAATGCTACTATGCATTTCAATGAAGACATTACTGTCCTATTATATTGAGTGGTCGTGTTGGGTTGCAACTGTCTCATACTCTGATGCACAGTATACTTAAAAATACAGCACTGAGAACACCATACCTATCTAAGAAATAGTTCAATTAGTTCCAGAATGTTTTGGGGTATTCTGAGGTAGAACCATTCTGAATCGCAGTTAAAAAATGTATTTCTTAATAACATAATTATAAATACTTTTTTACCATTTATAGATTCACATCCTAGCATAATTTGAAAATAATTTATTTACTCTCAGTTATAATAACACCCAAAGTAATTTACATTCAAATTATGCCCTGTTACCACTTAATAGTAAGGATGAGGCCTATTGTGTTGGATTTTATTTATTTAAGGTAAAAATTAGCTAAAAATTGATCTAATGTGTTTATGAATTGGAGTATACAATGATCATATTTATGTCTAAAACTTTTGAACAATATTTATAATTAATTTAAAAAATAAAAACGTTAACATCTACTATCTGCCTCTGTATAAGGAAATTTAAGGGACTCAGAACATAAGTGTTTTGTTTTTAAAGATTTCATTTTTGATTTCTTAAGCAGTGTATACACTAGCAAGTCAAACCTATCGCGAGCCCGTCCTAATTTGGCTTGTCAAAAAACCCGTCCGTAGATGGATTCTCATGAGCGGTTTGCAAACGGTTAGGCTTACTGTGTTCGGCAGGTGTATACGTGCCTATACGTCTCTGACCTCAATATGCGAAGCTTCTATTAGGTAGGGACTGACAAAATTGGCTGTAGTGTCCCTGGGAATCAAACCTTGTACCTCTTCAACCCTATCTTAAACTTGAATTTTATGATTTCCACTTTATTAAAACTTTAATATTGGAGATATTATTGATATTTACAGTCCTTCCGGAAGGCATGGATAAAATCTAATTCCACGCGATTTAATATAAATTTTAGGCATTTTTTCATTAATTTGAACAATTTGTTGTCTAAAACTAAAACTATTCAATATTCTCTGCATCTGACAGTTTTGTTCGAATTCCAAGAAGTTACTCTATCGTTTGATATAATAATGTAAAAAAATCTAAGCTCTAATCTTTTAGAGAAATTTTAATTATTAAATATATGTTTTTTTATTATTTCCAAAGTCAAACTCAAAAAAAGATTGAAGATTTTATTTTTAAAATCACAATTTTAGGATATAATCTGTCAGTAACTTAGCTTAGCTTGTTGGTATCCTGTAATGAAGATAATTATAGGAAATGTATTTGATAAACTTATGAGCCCATTGTCTGGGCCAGACATTGTACTTTTTATTGCATAATTTTAGGATATAATTCAAAATTGTATTCAATTTATAGTATTTTATAAATTAAAACTGTTTTGCATACTTATCATTTTACTTATCATTGTATAGGTACTATATTTTAATAATATTCATATTAATTATTTTTTTAAAGGAATCTATTTTTATTACAATCTGCATATTTATTCTATTTAATCTTAAAATATAATGATTATCTTCTTTCCAATTTTGAGATGGTTTTAACAAGAAATTTGTATTTATATTTAAGGCTGTAAAAATCTGTTTTGTGTAATTAAACTGGTTATTGTCGTTGTAGAAATATTTGCAGCTGTTAAAGTAATTCTGTTTGGAACTCTTCGTCACCGCAAATTTTTAACGCCTGAACCATTTCATTTTTTTCAGTGCTTAAAATTTGCTCATCAAAAAATGATAGACCCATTAGAGTTTCACTCAAATACCATAAATTACGAGAAAATGACTTAATTGCAACAATTAAATTTGTATACTTATAACAATACAACTCTTTCAGGAATTGCAAATCATTCCTTGGCGCGTTTGATGTATCAGTAAAGTTAAACCAGTTTCTTACATATAATATTAACACATAATTTAAACTGACATAGTCCATTTAATTCAAACGTAGTTAACTTAAATTGTTTTCTAAACATATAAATCTTAAGGCAATATAATATTTTAGCCATCCATCTCGCTTTATGGTAGGTAAGCACCAGGCTTATAAAAAATTGTAGTATTAGGTAGTATTTCTCCTACACACAACAAACATAATTTAAGGAGCTCTTTATAATCATCACGATCAGAAAAACATTACAGCTGATTTAAACAAAACTATTTAATTTCTTGTTTATGTGAAATCATTTTTTCACTAACCAAATCGTCGACCAGCATACTTTCATAATAGTCTTTATTTATCAAATTCCATGATTGCGAAAATTGCTTAAAAAGTGTAATGTCTGGCCCAGACAATGGGCCCATAAGTTTATCAAATACATTTCCTACAATTATCTTCATTACAAGATACCGACAAGCTAAGCTAAGTTACTGACAGATTATATCCTAAAATTGTGATTTTAAAAATAAAATCTTCAATCTTTTTTTGAGTTTGACTTTAAAAATAATTTTAAAAAAAGTATATTTAATAATTAAAATTTCTTTAAAAACCATATTAAACGAGCTTAGATTTTTGTATTATTATATTATATCAAACGATAGAGTAGTTTCTTGGGATTTGAACAAAACTCTCAGGTTCAGAGAATATTGAATAGTTTTAGTTTTAGACAACGCATTGGCGCAAATTAATGTAAAAATTGTATATAGTCATGATAGACCTGAAATAAAACATACAATAAATAAACTAAAAAACTAGTTAAATTATAAAATATTATACATTTTCTTAGTGTGTATTGATAATTAATAAATGATGAGGCTAAAATTTTAAAAAAAATTTAAAAAACATAATCTAATAAAATTCTATAAAAAATCATCTTCAAAATCGACCTATTTTTTGAACATAAAATACGAAACTATGACTCAAAAAATTGCCAAAACAACTCTAGTTTCATTATTTCTTTATACATAGGACTAAACAATATGGATTTGTAAACAACAACTTTTTTATTATTATGATATTTTAGTTGTTTTTTTTCAAGTTATTTGTCAATATTTCCTTGAGCAGTTTTAACGCTTTCAATTTATTAAACATGATTTTTAAAACCTGTTAATAGGTGCTATAATTTTCTTATTTTTTAATAGATATAGAATATGAAATTCCCTCGTAACATTTTGAAAAAAAAACAAGAATTATGCGTTATTAGTCAGTACACATAGGTGTGCTTTAATAATTGTATTATACATCGCGATTTTAATTTTATTCTTTGAAGTATAAAGTTAACTTTTGTATGTTATCAAAAACAATACATTTTACTACAACTTTCTCCCAAGTTTTTGGACAACCACAAATTTACAATTACATTGAAACAAATATTGTTATGGCTTTTGTATAATTATAATAATAATTCGCTAATATAATGACAATAAAAAAATGTCCTTCGCCGTACGTAAAATAATGGGAGGAGTCGAGTACTTTGACTTTATTGATCTCTTTTTACCGTGTGCTGAATGGCATACACAGTAGTCACACCCTACTATTACACCTATGTGCGATATTTTCCCTTTTGAAAAATGATTTGAAATTTTTTATTATTATTCTTGTGTAATTATCGTACAAAATAAATTCTTATTATACCAAATTTTGTGACAACTTTACTAAACCAATATGTTTTTTATTTATTTAAGGATATTTTCCGTGGGATTTTGTACCTTGATTACGAGTTTTTAAAAATAATATTCGGATCAAGTTATTAAAAGATTTTATAATGTGTCACCATTCTCACTGATAGTACAATTAAAATTGCGAAAATAGTAAATACATTTGCAACCAATAAAGAAAAAGCCAATACATTGGATTTTAGACTTTGTGACGGACGACGGTCACTTAATTTTCTAGTTTTTGGAAAGTCAAATGTATTTTCATAAATGATAAAATCACTCATTAAACTCTTTTAGACCTAACATTTCACACTTTGTATGTATAAAAAAGTATGCGTTTCTCTTACGTCAAGTGTGAAAAGGCCTTACATCAAAACAAAAATATATTCACTAAATGGTTTTGAATAAAAGGTTCTCAGAAAATATCCGATGTGTATTATGTGTATAGAGACGTAACGTAACCGTTATTTGAATAAAACACATGGGTTGAAGTAGAGAATTTAGAAAACCTTTTTTTAAATTTGTGCAAAAAGTAATTTCAAAAAAGTTTCCTAATATTATAACTACGATATTATTTATCTTAAAATTTCAACTTTAATATGGTTACATTATAACGACGTTGTACATTTTTATTAGTGACGGGAATCCGAAAATCTGTATTTTCACAAAACTACGCTATTTAAGCTATTTATAAATCATATAAGTGTTACATAATTTTACAATATAAAGTTGTGCACCTAAGTCAATTTTTTTTTATAAATATGTAAAAATATAACAAAACACCAAAAAGATAAACTGCTTTTGGATTTCAGATTTGATGAAATCCGAAGCATTTTATAGACAAAGTTAGTTTTTTTTAAATTTTTATGAACAAATTTTACTTAGGTACACAAATTTATATTGTAATACTATTTACTATTTTTAAGATTTCCAAGTGGCTTAAATAGCGTTATTTGAAAAATCCGGATTTTCGAAATCCTATCACTAATTTTTACACATATCTAAAAACAATAAAAATTGCTTTAACATTTTTACTTTAATAATAATAATAAAACATATCTGTCAAGCCAAAATAGCCTTTAACAACAAGAAAACTATATTTACACCATGAAACATTAGTCTAAAAACAAGAAAAAATCTATTGAAGACATATGTGATGAGAATTGCCCTATATGGGTGTGAAACATGGACAATAACAATGGAAGAACGAAGAAGACTTTTGAAGGCGTTTGAAATGTTATAGGAGAATGTTAAGGATACGTTGGATGGACAGAGTAGCCAATGTAGATGTACTGGAAAGAATATCAGAGGGAAAGTTACTATGGAAAAATATAGTTAGAAGACGAAACGAGTGGATAGGCTATATAATGAGACACGAAGGATTGTTAAAACTGATTATAGAAGGAAGAGTAGAAGGAATGAACCACAGGTTAAGACCAAGAATAGAATACATTCAACAGATAATAAAGGACCAAGGTTGTGACTCGTATGTAGAAATGAAAAGGAAAGCAGATAATAGAGAAGAATGGAAGATGGCTGCAAACAAATCTACGGATTGAAACCATAGAGAGAGATACTTAAATAATACTTCCGTAACGGTTGCACTGATTTAAGGGGGGAGGGTCGTGTAAAAATCCGTTTTTTCCAGGATTTTTTTTTAAAAAAAGGGTAAGATTTATTAAAATGAAATAAATTACATCATGAAATTGACCATTCAAAGTATTTAATAATAAAATTTCATATCGAAAACATTTTAAATGGCGGCGTTACGGCTGCTTGAATTTGGTATTTCGATTTTGCGCCGTGCAGCGTACAGGTCGCTCTAATTATCTAAACAAATTTCAACATTTTTGCCTCTGCAACAGTTTCTTCGCAACAAAATGTTGCAGCTGGTGCGTTTCCAGCTTTACTCTTACAATTAGCCAAACGCGCGTACAGGTGTTTACATGTTTTACAACAAATTTACAATTACGAGTTGTACGATGAATAGTTAGCGTTTAAAAATATATTATTCAATATTTCAATGCATCTGTATGACTGTATGTGTGTATGTTGTATCAGTTGACACTTGACAGTGGTGTATTTACTAGGATCTGGGAGAGAGTACAGACTGTAACCCAATGACCTATTTCCGCGTAAATACCTACTTTGCTTATCTGTAAAGTAATAATAATAGGCTTTAGTCAGTTACATAATACGCGGGAAATGGTATTACAGAATTCTGAAAATCGTAAAAAACGAGTTATAGGTACTTAAAGTGTACCTCGAAAATGTAATAAACATTTTCTTTTTAAAACTTAATTTAAAATGTTAAATTATTACGATTTACTACATTATCATGTTCTATATTAGGAGCACAGTACGAATACGGATTATAGCGGAATATACCTTACCATGTGAAAGCAAGCTTTCGTCTGTTTCCACAATTTTGTTTTCGTTTTCTAAGCCTAAAAGCTAATACATTTATAAGTATATTATAACCGATAACAGGAATGATGCATGTATAGGTCCATAACTGAAACCTTCGCCTCCAAAGTTTTCAGAAAAAGTGAAAAATTGTTAGTTCCTTAAATATATTAAGGTATAATATATTAGGTAACTTGTTGAATTTTTTCATAAATACATAAAAAAAATACGGTGATCATTGAATTGGCTCCTAAAGCCCCACCCTGATTTTTGTACACAATTTTAAATAACTCAAACAATAAAATGGTTAAGAAGCAACTTTTATTCTGTTATTTAAACTGTATATTAATAATTTTAAATGTAATATTTTTTATAGTGATCTGTGGCTGATGTATAGAGTAAATAGAAAATTGGTTTTTGATTCCAGGCAAAAGTTTAATTATTTTTGATTGGTTTATAACATTTTGTCATTTTGGAGTTCATTTACAAGAGATCAGTCGTATGCCTCATATCAATCCTAGGATGACATCTCGAGTGTCCTCCTCCATTTTTTTCACAGTGGAGGTGGGCGATACTAAGTTCACCATTCTGAAACGGTATCAGAATTTAAAACCAATTGGATCTGGTGCACAGGGGATCGTTTGGTAAGTATTATTAAAAGAGTACATTTATTACAAATAGCATGATTATTATTAAATGTATGTTTAAAGTGCCTAATTAGCTTTGGAAATTGATTATAAGTTAATAGTTAGGAGATTGAAAGCTGTCAGTTTTTTTTTTAACAATTTAAACCAAAAAATCTGATAAAATTTTGACTATTGAGGAGTTCGGATTTAAATTCTGTAAAGATATACAGGTTCTTTGGCTTTTTTACTAGGTTTTGTTGAATACGGATTTTTTCTTTTTTTATGTAAAAAATTGCATTTTAAACCATCTGCTTTCAATCCCCTTAATCAACCTGATTTTTAATTATTATATTTAGTCCCATATAATATTTATTTCTTTTCAATTTAAAATGTAGTATATTAATTATAATATTAGCGGTAAATTGTAATAATGTGCAGCCAATATATTATTGTTGTATTTAAAGCATGTTACGCACATAGTAATTAAAAAATATAATTTTGTGTTTTTTCAACTATTGTCTATTATTTCTGTAGTTGCACTATTTGTTTTTTTTTTTGTTTGGTAAAGTTGATTTTGAGCTTATTCATAAAATGCTTGGAACGCAATCAAGGTTTGTTCAAAGACCTCAAGGCGAGCCAGACGCCGAGGCTGAAGCTACCGATATGTTTTACACTCTAGTATTTGGTGATACTGAATTTTCAGTTCCCAGACGATACACTAATCTTGTCCCTAAAGGCCTAGGTGCCCAGGGCATGGTTGTGTAAGTATAAATAGTTTTTCGATTATCTCAATTTAATTATATCTATTAATATGTAAATAGTGCTGCAATGGATACTATTACTCAACAAAGCGTTGCAATAAAGAAGTTATCTAGACCATTTCAAAATGTTACACATGCCAAACGGGCATATAGAGAATTCAAACTTATGAAATTAGTTAATCACAAAAATGTAAGTTGAATGAATTTATTATTTTTAAGTATCATACATAAATAATTCTGTTTAATAGAAAATGCAGAAGTTTTAGATGTGTGTACCTATGTATATATATATATATATATATATATATATAAATAAAAAAATGTATGATTTCTTTAGATCATTGGTTTGCTAAATGCGTTTACTCCACAAAGGACTCTAGATGATTTTCAAGACGTATATTTGGTGATGGAGCTTATGGATGCTAACTTATGCCAGGTTATTCAAATGGATTTAGACCATGAACGGATGTCTTATCTGTTATATCAGATGTTATGTGGTATTAAACATTTACATTCAGCTGGAATTATTCACAGAGTTCGTAACAGTCATATTATTTGTATTTTTATAAATAGATTATATAACATTAAATATGTATGTTTACAAAAAATATTTTTCAGGACTTAAAACCTAGCAATATTGTTGTAAAATCAGACTGCACATTAAAAATATTGGATTTTGGATTAGCGCGAACTGCTGGAACTACTTTCATGATGACACCATATGTTGTCACGAGATACTATCGAGCACCAGAAGTAAAATTTGTGTTTTCATTTATGATTGTTTAAGCTATAAATTAAAAAAACGTATATGTTATTGATTTAAGGTTATTTTGGGCATGGGCTACAAAGAAAACGTCGATATATGGTCAGTAGGTTGTATTATGGGTGAAATGATTAGAGGAGGTGTATTGTTTCCTGGTACTGACCACATAGATCAATGGAATAAAATTATAGGTTTGTTAATTTTTATTAAATAAAATTATAACATATACATGTAGAGAATAACTGCTTGTGGTACTTTAACTGATAATGGGTGTGACAGTCCGCGGACCTCAGTCATTGGCGTAGGGAAAGTGGTGCACCCATTGCCCAATACACTTACGTGTATGCCAATAGCCAATACTTTGACCTAACTGATTGGGATACTCTAATCCTCCAGATTGAGGCGATTAAGCGCAGGGCTAACAACCCTGCCTAGTAAAAACATATTGTTCAGGATCTAATAAATATGCCTCTGATTCATGGAGCTATAGATAACTAGACTGGAAACTGGGAAAATGCCTTATTTTTTGAAACATAAAACTTACGCACTATTTATAAACCTGGAACGTATCAAGAGCATTAAGGACGTAGACAAATGCAAACTAAAAATAATGACTCTACAAGAAATTAGATGGAATGATACTGCAACGATAGATATTCAAGAAACAACTATTCTCTTCAGTAAATTTAGTGACCCAACATCAATTTAGAACTGGGTTTGCAGTACATAAAAGCATAGTACCAACTATTAAGGAATTTAAATATACCAGCTTAAGAATATGCTGACAATGAAGGCTTAGTTTTTTGATATAACCTTTATAAATGTACATGCATACAAAATTAGACTAATATGTAATAAAGAGTTTGGTGTTTCTATTATTTTATTTCATAACTAATATTTACTTGTTACTGTATAACTTTCCAGAGCAACTAGGTACACCATCACAAGAGTTTATGAGGCGGTTACAACCAACTGTGCGTAATTATGTTGAGAATAGACCACGTTATCCCGGTTATTCTTTTGATCGTCTATTTCCGGACGTATTATTCCCATCAGATTCTTCTGAACACAATAAACTTAAAGGTATGTTTTCTTTTGGTTTTAGCTTAACTATTTTACTACTACTAAACTTTATTCATTTAAATTAAAAAAAAAAAAATTGACTTAAGAGAGATGCAAGCGTGTACATTTTACATGCTTTATGCTTAGTACTTTTCCTTTTTCACTAATTTATTAATTTTTAATAGAAAGTAAAATTGTTTGATGAACAGTTTATTGAAACAAATTATATATAAGATGTAAATTTTAAAAGATAGACAAATTCACCCATTACAGTCATACAGTTATAGATATATTAACTTTGAAACCTTATTACTGGTTTCTATTTCTTTTATTTAAATAATTTTTAAAAATGTATTGTGTTTTGGTTTTCAACAGCAAGCCAAGCACGTGATCTTTTGTCTCGAATGTTAGTGATTGACCCAGAAAGACGTATATCTGTAGATGATGCGTTGTTGCATCCATACATCAATGTTTGGTATGATGAAAGCGAAGTTAATGCACCAGCACCCGGACCATGGGACCATTCAGTAGATGAACGTGAACACACTGTTGATCAGTGGAAAGAGCTTATTTACCAAGAAGTTATGGAATACGACCCCACAACAGCTGCAGCTGCTTCTGCTAATGAACCACAACCGAGCCGATAGGCCAAACAGGCATTGTTTACCTCCGTCCACTGTCTGACAATTAAGTCATAATAATTTAGTTTTAAAAAAGTTTAGGTATAGTCTTCCATAATTCAAATTAATTTAAATTGTAATTGTAATAACCCTCCTTTTGATGTAGACAAAATTTCTGTAAAATAAAGAAATCATTGTATAATTATACTTTATAAGTAAATTTTTGAGAAAAATGTCAAAATTAAAAAAAATATTTTTAATCAAATTTTCTATCTAGAAAAATATTTAAAACCATAAAATTTAACAAATTAGAAATTAACGGTTGTGAGTTTTTTGTGTTAAGTAGGATAATATAAAAATAAAATAAGTTGCTCATTGTAAATAAATATATACGTATATGCATTTATATAATATATTATACGAGCAACTATTTAATAATTGTAATTAAGTTAATTTATACATATGCTGCCTTATAAAAAGGTAAATTCTATGTATGTGTATATATCTACATATATATTATACAAATTATAAATAATAGTAATTATTATAATTATAAATTATAAGACCTAAATTATTCTAAACCTTACAGACTTTTATAGGTTACAGTTTCTTGCTTGCATGCCTATATTAATTAAAAGGCATAATTATCATTGCAATATTGTAGTTGTCCTTAAAAGCTAAAATACATTTTTTTTACAAGTATAAAATCTGATCTCAGTTAATATGTGAACATTTGTTCGCTATACTATTATAGTAATTTTCTTTCATGTCAAAAAATTGTTTTGGTTTGTCATTTTTTCCTAGTTTGATTCCTTAAATATATAATATACATTTTTTTTATTTACATTTAAAAGTTACGTTTCTGTTACTGGTAGTCATAAGATAAACACGCACAGTTGTATAGCATCCTAAGGTCTGTAGGGATATCTATTAAGAGTTTTTTTAGATTAATAAAATTACAAAACTTGTAAATTTGTTTTCATATGCAATGACATGATATTTGTATGATTATCCATGAAATGTAAACAATATTTACTATGAAAAAAAAAAATAAAAAATGTAGATTATAATTTTGTTATTTTTATAATTTAAATTTATAAATAGTTGTTTGATTATAAATAAGATCACGTTTAGTCCTTAATTTGGCGAAGGAAACTTATAATATGTAAAAATTTGACACGTATTATCTTTAATGCAAAGCTGAGATTTACAATGATGTGTTTTTTTTTGTTTTTGGAACAACAATATCTTTTAAACTGCTGAATACATTTCTTCATGTAGTAACTCTATAGATTAGAAATCGTACCTATAAGGTACTTTAGTAGACAAAAATTTACCCTATTCCCTTCAAAATCTAGAAAATGGCCCATGTACATATTTATTCAACATAAAATTACTACGATCCAATTTTTTTTTTTTTAAATACGGGTTAGGTTAGGTTAGTTAACTATGACAATAAATTATTATAGACATGCTTTGTATTAATATATTTTTAAGCACATTATTGTTGTTAGGTATAATGCATTTATTAATAGGTATTTGTTTATTTACCATTACAGATTTGCATCAAAGCTGTTAATTTAAAGTGATTTAAACTTTCAGTTGTATTAATCCATGTAGACCTGTAACCTCCCACGCTCCAACCCTGCTGTAATGGCTTTTTATTTTATAGTTTTAAAACTATGTACTATTATATGAAAAAAGATAATCATCAGTAGTAGCTCTTTGAATAATAAATATATAATTTAATATATTTTCACTACAGTCATAAACAAAGAAGACTTTAAAGATCTCTAAAAACTATATTTTTACTCATTTAAACATTTTGAATTTCAATCTTTGAAATGTAGGATTATAGTGTTTTAATAATATAATTTTGTATTTCTAACACTAGTAGGTATTTCTCGTTCAACACAGGCTTTATAGAATAGAGATTAAATTAATCAAACAAGTTAAAGACCTGAAGAGTTGTGGGGTGGGTACAATAACTCTTAAATAAAAATTGTTATTTGTGCAAAACACTAATGGACACTACATAAGTATATTTTTAAGGTAAGAGTTTGAACTTAAATGGATACCTTACTGACTTTATATCAAAGCTAATAACCTAGAGTAGGATACTATTTTATGCTTAAAAACTAACCCAGTTTTGGTTTTTTACTTTAATATAGTAAAATTTAAATAAAAGCGTACATTGAAATTTTTTTTTTTAAATAAAAACAACTGAGGATGTGTTTATAAATTAATTATAGTTTTAGTCTACAAAATACATTTTAATAAAGAAAAGCATTAATTAATTTTCAATAAGTATTAAGTTTAATTAAATGTATTATTAGTATGGATTTTCTTCATCGTCTTTAAGATTATCAGTATATTTTGGTCTACCGGCCATTTCTAATAATTTCATGTCCCACTTATCTGTATTTGTGGGTACCTTTCTTTCTTCTTCATCGCTTTCATCATTTATCTTTTCTTTTACACACCACACTTCTAGAGACGCAATGCGAAAATCTTTTTCTCTTGTTGGCATTGAATAATCTGTAAATGTTGAGCATGAGACATTGCACTGGCCTTTTCCATATTCAGAATCCAGCCATAGACCCCAATAATTCATCTGTCCCCCCATACCTATACCATTAGGTAGGGTATATTGACCATTATTCATGTACATAAAATGGTCGTTATGCCCACTTGCTACACAGCAATTGAAATTTGGAAATAATGTAAATAAAAAACATGCAGAATCTCCATAAAATGTTGGTTTCAAGAACCATGGTTGTGAAGCATAACCACCAAAAATATTACCATCAGTATCTTTTACAATAAAAATTGTGCATCCCTGATCAACTATTGCTGTGCTTAATGCTTGAAAACTTTCTCCATGTGAACAAGATGAATATAATAAACGCCAACTTTTTTGACAATCTACTGGTAAATGTTTAACAATAAACATTATCCATCCAAAATCTAATATAGTTTTAAATGATCTATTGAATTTTTTATTTATTATCACAGCCGGGAACAAATTATGATTCTTTGGTACACCATAAAGTGTAGTGATTAATATTCTATGCATTAAACCGTAGTATGTTTCATTTTGCAACCAAGTATCTAAGCTTGAAGACAAAGATTCATTAGAAAATTGTAAACTTAATTGTGGTATTGCTCTTGCTTTTGCATTAATCCGTATCCAATGTGCATACTCATCAGTAGATTTTAAACAAATTATTAATGTTTCAATCAAATCAATTGTATACTGTCGAACATTTGACTTTGAAAATATTTTCTTAATTAGGCCATGATAATTTTCTTGGTAAATTTCATTTAGCGCAAAAGATTGATATATATGTATAATATCTGATCTATCTAGTTTGTTTGAAACAAACCAATGTTTAATATGTTGTGTCATGTTATCAGTCAATAAAGGTTTCCATTTACTCATTAAATAATCCACATGAACATGGTCGTTGAAGTTCATTAAATGATCAATAGCATCACATTCTTCAGTATGCAACTTTGGCAAACGTGGACCCTTACTTCCTTTGGCACCCATTTAAAATTTGAATTTTTTTAACTTACTTTATGGATCATGCAACTAATTAACGATAATTGTATGCATTATAAAAATGAAATTCGTTTTGATAACTTCATTCTCTTGTTTAAAGTGTTGTGCAACAATTGAGCAATACACAAATAATATTTTTATTGTAACTGCCTTTTAACACATTAGGTAACAAAAAAGTAACGATTATTATTAAAATAACAATGGTATTAACTATTAACAAAAAATTACGTCTAATCAAAGCCAAACGTCAACAAAAATCAATATTTATCCCAAAATTTAAAAATGCTGCAGTCTGCTTGCAGCTTATCAAATATCAACACATTAGTCCTCAGTTTATTCTGTTATCACTTATCACCTTAGTTGAGTGACTACTACTATAAAGTTATAACTTATAAGTACTTATACTTATAAGTAATAACTTTATAGTAGTGGTACAAATTTAGTTTAGCGGGCACCTTTTTAAATCGTTAGTACTTTTAATGCTGATAACGAATCTGTAAGAATTTTTTTCCGGACGAACTTAGCTTGGGAGTTATAAACATTTGAAATCGACAAAAGTGGGCGTCCGGCAGTGCATATATACATTTTTTTTCGATTTTTTTTTTTAATCGATAGCATTTTTAATGCTGATTACGAATCTACAAGCATTTTTTCTTTAAAAGCGAACTTAGTTTCAGAGTTATCGACATAAGAACATCGCCGATATCGATCCATACGCGGGTGCCCGCCGGTCCACATATAAACTTTATATTTAGATTTTGTATAATAAATTTGCCCGACGTACTTAGCTTGGAAGTTATAATTGAAGATCGTCGATATCGACATACCCGGCGGTGCACGTCTACCAGTGACCTGCGCAACCGACGGGTCTACTTTCCCCGGTCTGATGACGATTATACAAAATTGAAAAATAAAGTGTATATGTGCACCGGCGGGCAACTGCGTATAGATCGATATCGGCGATGTTCTAATGTCGAGAACTCAAAAACTAAGTTCGCCTTAGAGTAAAAAAAATCGAAAAAAAGGGTGCCCGGTAAAGTAGATTTGTACCTATTTTTTGTATTAAAAATAAATACTGATTTATTATAATTAAGTAATAATAATAAATAAACTTTTAGATTCAACCAAAGGCCAGTAAGTGTAAGAAAAAAATGCGCCAAACCACATATCAATCGGATTAAAATTCATTGAGCTACATTGCACGGCGTGCAAAATATTTTTGTTTTGAGAAAATCTCTTTTAAAGTTGCCAATTTTCCAAGTTTTCGGCGCGCGCTGTTGGTAGATCCTGTACCGGATTTGAAAATTTGTTTTTGCATTTTTGTCAAATTTTATGATTTTTTTTCGTCAAATAATGTTGTTCTTTAGACTCAAAATATCAAATCTCTTCAATAATGCTACCATTTAGTGTCAAACAGTAGCGTATTTAGGATTTTTCCACGGGGGGGGGGGGGGGTACTGATATACAGATTTTAACAGGCATACCTATTTAATATAAACATATATTCATATTATTATATACATGTTGGCTGTTGCATGTAAACAAAAATTTGGATTCTTAACTGAATAAACTGTAAAACAAGGTTTAAATTTCTCGAGGACAGTGAAAGAATATTGAGTAGTTCATCAGGTGCGACTGTTATATTTTAAACTATGGTCTATGTTTCAAATAATCTCCCGGGGCGCGCGGGGATATAACCCCCATACCCCCCCCCCTCGTAAATACACCACTGGACTGTCAAAATATCAAATCAACAAATATATTTGGCCAATAGACTGAAAGGTAAAGCGTTTACGCGTTCGTTCGTATAATATAACTGCGCGTAGCACGGTTTGAAACGCGCCACTAGAGTACGCTTATATAGGTATATTTATTCTTTTAATTCATTTGAAAATTGAAGAAAACATTTTACAGATGATTAACTAATTTTCTAAGCAATAAAATTTTTTTTTTTCACACGACCCTCCCCCTTATAAATAGCTTTTTTGAATCCCCTTAAATATAAATTAAATTTATACATCACAACCAAGTCTTAAGTATTTATTTTTTTGTATCTAAAATATGGAAGAGGGTCTTCAGCCTTGAGTGGGAAAGAAATCTACTATAATACATCGGTCACCTTTTTTTAAAATTGTTTGCATAATATATTTATTAATTAAAAATGTTATAATTTTATTTTATTAATCATATCGAGTGGGTAGCACTAAAACGCTGGCAATAATCATCATAGTGCGTGCACGCGCATATCACTATTACGAGCGATCTTAAAATATCTGTTACTTCTAAACGAAGTGCAAGCGTGAAGCGACTACATTTTGGCAGATTCGTAATCGGTATTAAAAATACTATCTCTTTAAAAATAATGGAAAAGAAAGGTGTCCGGTAAAGTAGATTAATACCGAATTACAGAATCTGATTTCCTTAGTTTTTAAGGTAATTTACAGTTCGGTTTATTGGTATAAACTGAGGCGCCTAGTTTCAAAATAAGCTATACAATTTTTGAAAATTTTCACAAAACAACAAATAATTTCTTTAGATAGAACCAATCAAGATTTTCAAACAACCACAGTTTGAATTAGTTATATTCTTCATTTGAATTCATAATTCAATACAAATTTTACATAACATGTAATACATTGTGGTCACTTAAAAAACAAATACGTTGTCAATATGTCTTAGGGCTGGTTTTGAAACTAGATGCCTCAACTGTAAGGTGTACGCACTAAACCAACATATTATATTATGTTCAGTGGGTGTATGACTAAATACCAGTTACCACACTCATATAAATAAAAATGTGCTAAAAACTAATATATTCATGAACTGATGAACCTTGATAAGTTTATTTATGAATAATGAATATAGATTATTTTTAATAGGTATTTTGCTTCCGAGATAATATCCACGCGTCGTACGAAAAGTAGCACCGTTCAAGTTCTTACGATAACTAACACTGTTTGAGGCTTTTTACGAAAAGCAGCACCGTTCGCGAATTTCTTACGAAAACTAGCACCGTTGGCACCAATGGCACCAATAGCACGAACGGTGCTAGTCTTCATAATAACTTGAATGGTGCTACTTTTCGTAAGAATCTGTGAACGGTGCAAGTCTTCCGTCTTCGTAAATCGTAAGAACTAAGAAGTCATAGTTTTTGTAGACGCGTCGATACATCTATAATAGCTACGGAAAAAAAACAATTGTTGTATTTTCAACAAACTACATTTTATATGCATTGGCTGGCTGTACTGTGCATTATCTCTGCCCACGTCGACATCTTATCATTTCCAACTCAACAAAACATACGCCACTAACAACTAACAAGTGACAACAACACAGTTTATAATATCTACATTCTGTTCTCATCCAGATTGTTATGAATGTAACGGGAAAAATAGTGTTAAGATCTTGTTAATCGTCGAATCGCCTCACTTCGGGTGTAAACGTTTCCGACGCAGCACACACTTGTATTTTACATTCCATTAGAACAGTTTGCCACGTATTCATTTAAGTAAATTGAGTTTGAACTTATAACATTTTTTGTAAAATGGCTCCAAAACAACGAATGAGGATAGCTAATGAAAAAGCTAGCAAAAACATCACACAGCGAGGAAATGTACCAAAATCAACTGTAAGATAATACTTACGATTATTATGTAAATTATTCGAAAGATAATTTTTAAAAAAATGTATTAAATATGTCTTGGTTAGGTATAAAATAGATAAATGTATCTATTTTACATTTTGAATTAATTTGAAATTATGTTTATTTTAGAAGACGGAGAAAAACAAGACGCCAGTTAGTCCATGGCTTTTGGCCTTATTCTTATTTGTTGTTTGTGGGTCTGGTATGTATTTAAAATTTAATAAATGGCTATAATACATATATTAGAAACAATTATCGTAATAAAGTAAGGGAATATGAATGAAATACAAGGTCTTCTAAAATAATAAATGTTAATACATTTAATTGTTTTACAAATTAAATTAAATTGATTGAAATGATGAATTATAAATAAACATGAATGATTGAAATCATTCATGTTTAAATACTCAAAATTTATGTTTAATGTATAATATAAAATAACCAAATTTTTGTTTGTCAAAATTGTTTTTGGTGTTCGTTAATTCTTATTCTATTTTGTTAAAATTTTGCTCGTACTATACATAGTAATGTTAATATTCGGTGTTTTATTTTTCGATCAGTATTTTACTACATAGTACAAGTATTTAAAATAATGTATAAGAATAAATACTCCATGTTTATAATTAAAAATAACTAAAACAACTGAAAATTATTCTATTTATAACTTAATATTAATAAATTAAAATAAAAAATACGATATGAAAGATAAAACTAATCACCAGTTGCATTATTGAAACAAGTTCACTACCATATACACTATGTACAATGTGAATGTACATGAATTACTGCAGAAAACAATTCAATCCAAAAGCAAAGAATTTTTTTCTCATTTTATTTCTTTATAACCTGTTATTATTGTTAACTTGAAAATATGTTGAAGAAATATATAAATATATTTTTATCAAGTTTTATCTATAATTTTGTACCCTTTTTACTGTTTCGATTCAACACATTTTTCAATCAAATGTGACTATAATATAATACATGTTGTCAATTATCAACTGAAAATAATCCAACCAGTAAATTTTTTTTATTATTTCAACATTGTAAAATAATCGTATACACCAAGTATATTTCTCGTTAATTTCATTACTTTTTTTGTAATAATACAATAAGTTTTGTTTAATCTTTATTTTGATTTTGTTACAGTGATATTCCAACTCATTCAAAGTATAAGAAGTGCATAAACATCAGTCATTTAAGAGAGCAAAATGTATGTTTCTCTGGTACCCATCCATCTTTGTGCTATTTCCTCCTATTAAATTCCTATAATCCAATATTATTGAATAATGTTCAGTTGTATTCTTTTGATTGTACAATATTATGTAAATTAACTACATAGTTTTTCCCTATGTTAAAATATTACATTTTTGTTATTTTGAATTATACAATGTATCTTAGCCAATGTCCAGTTTTATATTATAATTCAAATTCACATTTATATATTCATCCAAATAAATAATATCTTTAAACAGTGATTGTAATGGTTTGAAACACTGTTACATCATATAATGTTATATTCAAAATATTGTAAATAAAATTATTAAAACTAATATACTATCGTTTATTTATTTTATATTGAATTATGTACTTGATTTACTCATTCTATAAATATTTTATTATCACACTGTAGTAAACTCTTTCACATTTTTAATCATTCTTTCGTTCATAACAATAGTATATTAGGGTGGTCGAAAATTATATGTCTTTCTGTTTTTTTTATTATGTTTCCTTGAGTAAAAAAATATTTCCCTATTTTTTTAAGATTATGTAAATTATTTTTAGAGGTTGCAACATCAGTTTTCCTAATAAAATATATTGACATAATATAATATACTTTTAAACATCTGTTATGACCTATGCTATTATAAAACCAATAATTAAGCGTACCTACACTAAGTATATGTTTAGATTATTGAAATCCATTTTCTTTAACAACTTTTTGCTTGAATAGTACAAGCTAATCCTAACTTATTCCTATTGGCTATTAATAATTATATATTTAGATAAATATATAATGATCAGTCAAGAAATAATTCCTGTTCTAAGCACCGTGATGCGAGGAATCGAATAAAACCAACCGCGAAAAAATCCGTCCAGTAGTATAGACGGAAAAGAAAAACACACATTACGAATTATTAAGAAGGGAGATAAAAACTTAATAAAATTAGAGCTTTTTAAAAAAAAAAGTAGCACGTACTTGTTTACAAGTCATTACTAGAACTCCTTAAATAGCTTTAAAATTTATTTGCTAACTAAGGCATAGTTAAAATATATCATGAAAATAGATTTAAATTATACACAGGTTTTTTCCCAAGGTACATTAATTAGACAATTCAAAATATAATTTGTATTACATTTTTTTTTTTTTTAAATAACCTTTGAATAGAATAAAACGAAATTTTTCTTCTTTTGGAATAGCAATTTGTCTTATTTTTTCGAAGTCGTTTTCATAAGACCTATTATATATTTTAATGGTACTAATGAAACAATTCACAAAGAAAGAAATAAACAAATACAAGAATAATTAATACATTCAATATACTGCTCTCCCTCTTTAACACAGTATTTAGTGTAGATAACATACTTAATATCTTATACCCCGAAGAACACCCAACTGGCAACTACACAACTGTCAACACCTAACATTAATTCCCTTCACTATTGTAAATTGTATAACATTACTATTTACTTCTAATTCTATAATCCAAAAAATATGAAAAAGTTACAATTTTAAATATTGTAATCGTAAATGTATGGCCAGAAACTACTTAAGTACGGGCTACGGATAACGTAAAGTAAGCCGCGATCATTACGCGGCCAGCGGCTGTTTTTTTACCTTAACTCGCCAACACGTACGTACGTTTGTACGGGTACTTTTAAAATATTGCAAAATTAATTTAACCAACTTCCCGATGTTCAACATACTGATAACCCAGACACTCTATTTTGAATGACAATACAATGTTCCGTCATAATATTGGGACCCGGACATTCTGGTTGCAAATGCCGGGGAGTCATTCGACTAAAATTGCATTTTTAATCTTCTAAAATTAATTTAGTAACCTATTCACAATTATTAAGTACCTTTAATAGGACTAAAAATTAAAAAATAATTACTAAAAGAACAATTATTTACCAATCAATTGTAGCCTATTTTTTTTAAATGTCATTTACTTTGAAAACAACCAAAATTAACTACAATTTTAAATAATGTTAAACGTCATTAATTTTTGACTAAAAAAAAAGCGTGGGTCCTATTCAACTAAGTCCCTAATAAATTTACCAGATAAAATTTCAGATAATGGTTTATATTGTAAGTTTTTTGTAATTTAAATTTGATTACACTTTAATGTGTGACATACATTTCATTATACTTAGTATACATTTGGACTAGGTTGAAATTTTTAAAAATTGTTCTTGTAGTAAAATTATTTTTTACTATTTTTTAGAAAAGTATGTTTTTAAACGTTTTTTTTTTTATATATTTATTTTTCAGACTATTTTCCCGCGTAAAATAATTTCAAGTTATCTATATTATTAATTTTTATTTATATTCATACCATTGAGTAATATCATACTATCGATACTAACGCTCGTAGTTTACACATCCACCGTCTTTGTAGTTAACCGTGGTCATCATAGATAATCTTTCATTATGATAAGATTGGCGCTTTCTATAATTACCAATGACTTTTGAGTAATTTCTGATAAAACTTAAAAATTACCTAGATAGTAATCATAATTCACTACTTAATATACATTTTTCGTCTTTATTTACTTAAAATAAGATTGATATAAGACTTTAGTAGTTATATATTGTAATTGATATGGTTTAGGTATTTTTCATACATTTATTAAAAGTTAATTTTATATATTTTTTTAAAAATTTTTGATTTAGTCAAACAATGGCTGTAGCAAGTAAAATTCTAAAAACAATTGACACATCTTGCTATGAGTATATGCATCCATGGGTTGCATCCTGTTCAGACGCAAGTGCTGGATTATTTATTCATTCATTACAGGCCTCTTTTCGTATATACGTTACTACTTACATGGTATTATTCATAGTATGATATTATTTGTTTAAGTAATATTAATTATTTATTCAATACTATTTTCAGTTAACTTTGTTAATGAAAGGCCGTAAGCCCACAAAGAAGGAACTTTCACAAACTTTCCTAAGTATTTTACAGTCAACTGCATTTTTGACTTGTCATGCATTTGGTTTTTCATCTGCAGTGTGTATACTTCGGTAATTTATTATAGTTATTATCATACTTAAGAGAATAATATAGTTTTAGTATGAGAAAATCAGGAAGAAGTTAGCAATAGGCTTGAAGAGTGGAGAATAACACATGAAGGAAAGGGATTACGGATTAGTAGAAGTAAAACAGAATATATAGAGTATGAGTTTGGAGGAAGAGAACAAGAGGTTGACGAGTAATGACAATATGCGGTGACGTAGCATGTGAGTTGAAGAGTTTTAAGTACCTAGAATCGTATTTACAAATGACCGGTAGTTTTAATGAGGATGTGAAACATAAAATAAAGTGCACTTCAATAGTATACAAAATAGACAGATGATTTGGGCATGTTACAAGGATTGTGGAATCAGAAGCAGTAAGAAAGGTGGTAATGAAAATAAACGTAAGAAGGAAAGAAGAGAAGAGAAAGATCGAAAAAAGGGTGTTAGATGTGATTAAGATGGAGTTTAGGAATAGGATAGCCAATCCCAAATTCCAAGTTGGGTTGCAGGTGAAGGAGAAGAAAAAGATTATCATACTTAATAAATAGAAAATAATTGTATTTTTATTTTAGGAGGATGCTCAGTAATTTCAATGTATTAACCGTAGCTTTTGTACCATGTTTTTTAACATGTCTTGTTGCTATACTAATTGAGAGACCTTCAAGACGAGGATTACTAACTCTTTATGTTACAAATGTTGTAAGTAATTTAGTTATAATATTGTTATTTTATTTAATCCTTTTTAGGACTTAGGTTATGTAATTGACATGTTAACAAATTTATAATAGTTCTTTTATGTATAGCTTTTTATAATTATAGTTTTATTTTTAATGTAGGCTTCAGAAACATTCTATAATATGATGGTCAGTAGAGGAGTAATTAAACCTATTCCTTATGGTGATTTATTTATATTTGGGTCAGCCATTACATTGTTATTGTATTTTTACCGAGGCCAACATAATAAAGCTGATTCGATATACTCTCTCTTGAGGTAAGGTTTATGTTAAAAGGGCCACAGCATGGTTCTTACAAAAAAATTAAAATGCCACCTTATTGATAAAGTTTTTATCTATATATTGTAAGAATTTGGTAAATCTACCCCTTAAGGAGGTCGGAGCACAACTAGTTTTCATTCGTTTTAGACCAATAAGCGGTGCTAAATTAGACATACTTTCCAATGTTGGATTTTAATTTTTAAAATATGTATGCAATTGTTGATGAATTTTCTAGGTTACTTAGGGAGGTGATTTAAAATTTGGTGTGCCTAAAATAAATTTAAGTGTAATTCGGGAATTATCACTGAATTTTTCAATCATAATTTTGGAGGTCTTCAAAAGATAAAATTTAAAATCGCCAAATTCTCACAATGTATAGAGAAAATCTTTATCTATAGGGTGGCGTTTTAATTTTTTTGGTATCTCTACTAAATATTTATTTGTAAAAACCATGATGCGGCCCCCTTAATGATAATTTTGTACGAATTTTCCTGTCATTATCTACAGATTCACTTGCCCATTATAATATTATAAACAAATAAATTAGAAAATATAAACATGGTAGGTGTATTTGTACATTTTTTGTTAAAGATAATTTTCAGTTATGGTTACAGTTATATGTTATTAATTTCAGCATACAATATTACATGCTATACCTTTTTAAGAACTATACAGTATACCCATATAGGCAGTGCTTGACTTGAGAAAAAAGTAGTAGAGGTACTCTAGATACTTTTAAAAAAGTAGCGCCACTAGCATTTTAATATCCCTCACATTACCACGGGGGGCTTCGCCCCCCACACCCCCTTTAACGGTGCCCTAAGAAACATTAATAAAAAATCATTAAACAAGACAGAGTAATAGAAAAGTTATCTAGGTATAACTTGTCTTATTACAAACTTTTTTTTATATAATTTAATCATTTTTCATTTTTAAAAATCTTCAATCTTCATTTAAAAGATTCCACGGCACCATTGATTAAATGTAAATATAAATACAATTATACAGGGTGATTACAAAAGAATAAGTCGGTTTCAAAAATCTGTATTTTCTAAATGGTACAAGCTATAGAGCTGCTTGACCTCTTAAAATAGCCACTGTAACCTCAAGTTAGATTAAGTTACCGCTAGGATAATTTGAGGTGGACCAAATTCACACGCAATTCTGGAACACTTAAAGACTCGCCAAAAGTTAATGTGTTTTGCACTATGTTTCATGAGAAAGTGTATGGACCATTTTTTTTTTAATGAAGCCACTGTTACAGGCAACTTGTACCTTTAAATGTTGAAAAATTGGCCATATGATTTTTTTTTATGGGGGTACTGAAGGGAAAAGTCTTTGTGCCGCCATTGCTTGTGAAGATTTGAAGGCACGCACGCATAACTTTGGCTGTGCAGACAGTAACTGCTGACATGCTCCACGGAGTGTGGGAGGAATTTGCATACCGACTTGTCATTGTTCGGGTTACTTAAAGAGGATAAATTGAACATTTATGATTTATTTTTATTTTTAAAAAAACTTGAAGTTATAGCGGTAATTTTAAGAGTTCGTGCTGCTCTGTAGCTTGTACCGTTTAAAAAATACAGATATTTGAAACCTACTTATTCTTTTGTAATCACCCGGTATTTAATCAATGACGGTACTTTTCTAGACAGCGTATTTAAAGTTTAAACAGGCAAACGGAGCGATTAGTTCCATCAAATTGCTGTAACATTTCGCAATGAGACCAACAACATGACGATTAACGGGCACGAACAGAAAAACGTTTTGCCGCCGCGTAGTCACTGATAAGTGATAATGAAATATTGATAGTAAAATAAAATATACGTATCAGATATAAGATATCAATACATTTTGAAAAAATTAGAACATTTTGTAAGATTTATGTATTTAACACAAACATTTAAGTTGAGCAACTTTATAAATATAGGTATGACTAAATAACAACCTGTCCCATGCGTTCCCCTTTAAAAATGAAGTAGGCGTACGTAGAATATCCATTAAATTAGTTGAGGTACTTAGTCCCCCTGCGTCCCCCCAAGTCAAGCACTACATATAGGGCAAACACTATATAACCTATACACAGAATCAATTCCTATAAAAATGTATATTTTACAAGGACCTGTATGTTTAGGTTACATCTTTTTAAAAATTAATTTTGCAACCTCATTTATACATTTTACATTTCTAAACTAACTGTAGCTCTGCTAATTGTGTTCAGTATAGGCTGGATTTTCATTTATTTGTTCAGTTTACTTTTACCAAACTTTAAAGGAGCCATATAATATAAATGTTTTCTAATTTTACTTTTATTTGTATGATTAATAGTTTTTGTTATTACATTTATTTTGATTTCCCTATTTAAAACTGTGGTTCGAATCTCTGTCCCTGGCCGTTTCTCAAACTGGGTGGACAACCGTCTGTAAAGACAAATGGCCACCCAACTGGTGCGGAAAGCAACGTAAAACACTGCACCATACCACTTCCCCAGGATGCCAACTCTTGTTTCTAGTAGATCAAGAGTTGTCAAACTGACCTAAAAAGGTCTTAAAAAAAAATTATTATCTACTTTTTAACTTTTAAGATTCGTTGTCGGCCCTTGCGAAGAAAATGATTATAGCAAGCCTTCTGTTTCTTCTCAGCCCAATCTAGTTAATGAATATCCAAATCAAAATACTATTAAAAAGTTTATCCATGATATTCATGCATCCTATCATACTATAGATGATCAACTAAAAAAAATCTGGATTAACGAGTCCTGTCCACATGCTCATGGATGTCTTCATTATATAACAGCTGTAAGTAAAATAAATAATAAAACAATTTTGTTAATATTTGTATTATTTCTAATTATAATTATGATAACTTAAATCAGTTTTGTTTATTTTTTTCTTTTGTCATATTTATAAAATAATTAATTTCATCTACTAAAATAACATAATAATTTTTTTGAAGAACAAATTTATAGAAGTTCAATTCTTTGTCAAAAATAATAATACTAATGAATACAGAAATGCCATGAATTATGTTTCATGGCGTTTATGCAATTATCAGTTGAAGTATTCATGCAATAAGGGCTTATAGACAATGGTGTAGGGAGAGGGGTAGCTGCCCCAGAGCACATTCTGATTTAGGGTGCTTTAGTATGATATACTATACACAGTTCATGTACTATAAAGCACAAAAAATTGTTTTGTCTCCAGGCACAATAGTCTGTAGTTACGCTGCTATAGTATTTACTCTTTTGCATAGAATACCTCAATTTAAATGTGTAATTTTTTTTTTGGTAGTAGTATAATTTTTAGTAATGTTGATGGGTAAATATAAAAATCAAAGAAATAGTTCACTGTAAACTATAAAATATTAATAATTCAATTATAGCTTTAAAATATGGTTTTGGGTGTTTGTGGTGCCAGCATCCAGAAATAAAGGTTGTTGTGGGAACTGCACACAGTGCTTGTGACTATTGGCTCATTGTGCAGCCTTATCTCTGTTACCCTGACTTATCATTTTTATAAAGTTTATCAAAAAAATATTTCGCCTTAGGCTTCTGCATTGCTGCTAAAATTCCATCAGTAGTGCATAAAAAGCAATTAAAATTACAAATGAGGACATTACATGTCTTTATCAGTATTTTATAGTTTAAGAACAGTTTCTTTTGAATATGATGTTTAAACATAAATAATATAATTTAATGTTTTGTTGTTTTTAGTCGGGGACAAGATTATTTTTGATTGGTTACACTCTACAATTATGCTTAAAATCATTATTACAAGTAAAACGAGTAATACGTAAGCCAACTTTTGTGTTGAAATTAATGGTGACTCCTGATACATTTAGTTTGGGAGCATTTCTAGGAGGATTTTCTACCATTTACAGAGTAATAATTAAACTTTTTTTTAAAACTACTTTAAATGAATCGTCTCATACAATAGAAGGAACACATCGAGTTCTAGATGTATTTTGATAAACATTTTTAAAGATATTTAAGCCGCGAAAATGCTCAAAAGTGGACTTTTATTTTTCTTACATGAGCAGTGATTTAAATAGAATACTTGATAATAAATTTATGTTATTTTTAGTTAGTCTCGTGTGTTTCAAGAAGAGTACTTACAAAGGATTCCAAATATATATGTATTCCAGCAGGATTATTAGCCAGTCTTACATTTTGTTTGTACCGTAATAATACAATTGCTTTGTATGTCATGTTAAAGTCACTACAGGTATTGTAAAATTATGTTTATACTACAATGAGTAATAAAATTGAAGTCGTCATCTTTCAAAAATAGGTTAGAGTTGTGATAAATCATAGCAATTAAAGAGATGAGTAAAACAAGTATAGGAAAGTACTTGTTTTTCTATTAGTTTGTTTTTCCTTTTAAATATGTGTTTTATTAACTCGCTGAAGTATTTGTTGTAGCTGTACATTAATATTTTCATATTAAATTAATTTTATAGTTTTTCAAACATTTTTTGTTTCAGTTAATCTACAATAAAGGTTCTAATGGTAGAATACTACCCAATTTACCGCAAGCAAATGTATTTATTTATTGTTTTTCTACGGCTATACTATTCCATGCTGCTATACTAGAGCCACACAATTTACGACCATCGTACTGGAAATTTCTACAAACTGTATCTGGAGGCTGTATAGGATTGATTGATAGACATTGCTTAGATGCATTTGGGCTGCGATCAAGTGAATCACTTGAAAAAGTGCTATTGAAACATAAGCCAGTACCTTTACAGTTAATCAAATTTTAGTTTAATTAGTGTTTAAGTATTGCAGGGTAATCCATTTTTATATTATATATAATCATTGTAGGATATGGTGGGTTAAAATAAGTTTTAACTGGAATTTTATATAAAAGGACTGAAAAGTTGGGTATTTTTAAACTTTATATCTAGGTATTGAGGACCTTTATGTTCCTTGTTTGTTATTTCATAGTGAACTCTTACTAAGTTAAATGTTACGTGGGACTCAAGTTTATATTTTACAGATGTATTTATGTACATGTATCAAATAAAAAATATACTTGTTATTTGAATATAAACTATTTATTTATCTGTCCTAATAAAAATATAAGTTTCATAACTAAGTAAAAAATGTATTTAGTAAAATTAAAAAAAATATACTTATTTATACATACTTGTAAAAGTTACATTTAAAAACATTTTCTTTCAACTTTTTTAGTTAGGTATTTTTAATGATTTATAAATCATTCATTATTAAACTTGTATTACTTATGCAAAATAAAAATAAATATTAAATGGGTCATTGAATTAAACTAGTGTTTAATTTAACTGTACTATACTAATGTTGAACCATGGTGTATTCTAATACAAATTTTGGATGTATTTGAGGATACCAGAGTATTAATTTTTATTTTAATACTTGAATACTTGGTGGACTACCATTATTTGTTTTACTTTGATCTTTATTACAATTTTTAAATATAATGAGTCGACTTAATTAAACTGCAAATTTCGGTGAAACGATTGGAAAACTAATGAGCAATGGCCAATGACTTTAATAACATGTTTTACATAATAAAGACAACTTATGACTGACTAGCTCTCTTATCTGTAGTCGCTCACAAAATTTTGAAAATGTTAAAGAAATACAATAAAATTGTAAAGCTATATTGATTATTGAAATAATTTGGACTTCGTTGTTAACCAATTAAACCCCTTTTCAGAAACTGGGTTTTATTGCTTAACGGGTTTTGGAGGAAGTTTATCACTTGTGTAGACACTGTGGAGCAACTTGCTTGTTGCCATTGGGCGGCATTCGGTCATAGGTTCCCAAATGATAACAAGTCACCACTGGTTATGACGGTTATTCCGACGTCCCGCATTACCCCGCCCCTCGTGGTCTCTTTTTTTTGCGAGGTTATAACGAAGCTATACCGATTACCGTTTGAAGAATTTATACTATATGGGTGGCTGAGAACCTGACAGCTTACCACTAGGCTTATATTGCTTATTAGCTTATACCAATTAGAAATAGACGGATAGTTGCATTTAGTTCTAGCAGACCGATGTGAGAGCGCGTGATCTGGTAATCTTTGCACGTGCTCATTCGAATTCCCATTTTAGTATATTATACAGCAACCATCTATCTATGCCACGGCTATAGATAGATGGTTGCATAACGAGCTATGAAAATGCAGCCACAAGAGTTAAGAATCTTATCTGAAAATATGAAAAAGTGAGATACTGCTAGCGCTCCTCGTGGAAAAATTATGGAACTTGTTATTTTTCATTGAGGATCCATGTTATATTAGTCGCGTTTATGATAACAGCCGGGTTATCAGTGCTGATAACGTCGTCTACGTTTGGAAGTTCTGTCAAAAACGTATAGATGGCGTTATCGTGTCCGGCAGTTTCAAAATGAGCCGTCGATTTCTAGTAGAGGGGCGGCGCTGGCGTAGACATGGCAAACTATTTTTCCGCAATCCTCACTCGCCTTTGATAATTCATAGAGAAGAAACGCTGATCGAATCCGATAGAAACTCCCCCGAAACGTACAATCGCGCCCCCCCACGCACGCATACCGGGCGCATTTCGACCGCCAGCAATAGTGTTACCCGTGAAAAAACACCGCAGGGTCGTTCGTCGTCGTAATGGGCCATTGAAATCGTGGTCGCGCACGGGTCATTGCAGCGGTACCGTAGTCAGTACTCAGTAGTATAATAGTATAATATAATACAGAAACACTAGCAGTAGTGAGCGTTTTTTCGTGTGCGCCGTCGTTCGCTTGGGATTACAACTACAGCGTGTGTGTATATGTGTGTGATACTGCGCGTGCCCAAACATCGGTAAATTAAAGAAAAAGGGCGACCGTCGGCCTTCCAACAGGAGCCGAATAAACGTCGTCATGGAACAAATACCCACATCAGCTAGTGACGGCGGTGGAAACGCCACGGCTGCACCGTCGTCAGCCGGCCCCTCATCGTTCACGCCCCCGACACCCGCCGTCCAGCCCTCGGACAACAATTGCATCGACAAGAGATTACAGTCGGTGTCCGAGTCGGAGTACCAAGACGAAGAGTACGACGAACCCGACCAATTGTACTTGTCCGGGTCGTCCGGTTCCGAGGAAGAAGTATCCGAAGTACGCAATACGTTTTTATATAAAAATATTATCCCGTGATAGTGGCGAGATTACAAATCAGCACGGTACTTTTTTTATTATTATTTTCCTCGTATGTGACGTCACCGTATGACCTTTCGGGGGTTTTCGGTAAGAAAATCCCATACGTCTTCCCCCCCAAAACATTCCAACCTGCCGAGGGGGCACCCTTTGTCCCAACTGGTTTCCGCCCAGTCTAGGCATGGTGAGGGGAAATGTGTGAGTGAGTGTGTGTGTGTGTGTGATGTGTGTGCATGACAACCTAACCTAAAAAACCATAAGTCATTTTTTTAAATATTTTCTCTCGTCAATTAAAATATGTGTACACAGTGAGAGGACATCGACGTATTCTATTCAAACGTCGTATACCACGGAATTCACTATTATTGTGTCCATGCCCACAGTTGAGTTACATTTGTCGTATGTTATACTACTGTTTTTTCTATATACCATCAATAACAATGGCGCTATATGTGTGTGTTGTTTTTCCTCCAGTCGGAGGGGTCAATCGTATTGAGATTTTCTAATGTTCATGATACATACCGCACTTTAGCTATTCCCATACTGTTACTAGCAAATACGTTTACGCTTTTGTCCATTTACATCGTGTGCACGTTCGCGTTGTGTTCTCACACAGATGGGATATTTACTAATATATTAACTGCAATTTTTGATCGAGAAAAATTTGTTGAATTAACTAATCTTGTAGAGTTGGAAACTTTCAATTAGCGTTGGTAAATATTGTACTATCCTTAAATATTATTACCCTTCATACAGTTTATTTTACCCAGGTAGTGTATTTAAATAGTTAATGCTTGAATAACATGTACAACTATTAATTAGGTTCTACCTTGGAAACACATTTTGTCATCGTAATGGTGATACTTTTTAAATGTTTTGTTGCCAGTCAAAATGTTGTATTTCATCCTAAATTAATATATTAACATGGATATGTTTTTGGGCGTTTTATTATATTTCTAACCCAAATTGTCAACTTATTATTTGTCTACCTTATGTGTAACATTCTAAGGCCTAAATTCACTTTACCGGACACCCTTTTTATGAGATTGTTTTTTCATTTTAGTATAAAATCTTTTTTATAGTGTTATTTTTACACTGATTACGAATCTGACGTCAAAATTAGGCCGACTTTTCTAGTTTAAAAGCTATAGCTACTTGAAATTTGCAAATTTCTCCATGTGTAATCATAGGTGACAACGGGTGATTCCCTTCAACCGCCATGGTAAAGTGAATTAGTTCTCATTCTAAAATATACAAATTTACCATCCCTTTCACAATAGCTTAGTTTGATGAAGTTAATAGCAATTTGCAATACTCTTTAAGTTGAACGAGTAAGTAACACGTTGTGCAGTTCTTATTGTTGCCAGTTTGGCACTCAAATAAGAGTAGCTCTGTTTCTTTGACTCAGAGTTGCCATTCCCTAATGGTAGTAGACTAACAACCCTTCTCGGGTAACAAATAGCGATAAGAAACCTAATTCCATCTTGTTTTGGTTTGTGTTTAGTCAGTTTGTATTTTAATAATATAAAAATTAGCAGTTGCTAGCCAACCTATCACACACTTAAATAATCTTCATTTTTAATCGGTTATATTAGAAATGTTATATTACCTTATGTTCAGATTCTAATTGGTATTGAATCTGAACCTATGTGTTTATTAAGTGTTAATTTTAAATAAATTTGAATTTTTTTTTACCATTATGTGCTTAACTTTTAGCATTAGTATTTATATCTTATTTAATTAATATTCAGGTTGGATCATTTGGTCTTGATCAAGACGATCTATGTGAAGACCCTAATACCCGATTAAATTCAACCTTTCTAATAGCTGCTGATGATACAGACACCGAACAAAGTATAGAAGGGGATCCTGATACCCATCGTCAATTAGAAGCTCTTCTCCAAGCAGCAGGCTCTATGCTCAGGCCAAGTATGTACCATTTTATAATTAGAAGTGACAAAAAAAGAAGTATGTTTAAACTGAAAATGCAATATTGTTTTATAAAATTAACTAACAGGTGGAAACGTGTGTGGTTTAGGTCTTAATAAACTCGGAGTTCCAATCGAGACCACCACTGACCCTGAAGTGCTGCGAAAACTAACGAATAGTGTTTCTTGTGCCTTGGACGAAGCGGCTGCAGCACTCACGCGGATGAGAGCGGAAACCAAAAACGATAATAAGTAAGTTTAAAAAATATTCATCAAAATTAAAGAAAAAAAATATTATCTATGTCCTTATTAAATATTTTAGGACCTTAGTTGAAGCATGCCATGAAGGTGATGTCGGTGCTGTTCGAAAATTATTAACTGAAGGCCGATCTGTTCATGAAACTTCTGAAGAAGGTGAAAGTCTATTGTCCCTAGCTTGCTCAGCAGGTTATTACGAATTAGCTCAGGTAAGCGACTAACACAAATAACTACCATAAAAGTAATAAATAATAATAAGTATATCATCAGATCATTAATTTTGTTTTAAAGAGATAAGTCACGTAAGCTGATGGTTATAAACAATTTTATTATATAGTTAAACTAGGGGCTTATCAGTTAATTTTAAAATCGATAGGCAAATTATGTTATTATTTAGCTTACATTTTACTTAATAGTCATGAACATTTTTATCAACTTAAATATTTTCCATAAATTTAACATCCTACTTCTTCTTTACATTTTTATTCATAGTATATAAATATCTTCAATTTTTGTGCTTAGGTTTTACTTGCAATGCAAGCAAACGTTGAAGACCGGGGTATTAAAGGAGACTGTACGCCGCTTATGGAGGCAGCCTCATCAGGTTTTGTTGAGATTGTAAGATTATTACTTGCTCATGGCGCTGATGTGAATGCTCTATCATCCACTGGTTTGTTGTTTACAATTTTTAAATACATTTTATGTATTAAATAATTAAATATTATTTTCTTTTTCTATTACAGGAAATACTCCATTAATGTATGCATGTGCTGGTGGTCATGTTGACACTGTAAAAGAGCTTTTAAATTACGAAGCAAATGTAGAAGACCACAATGAAAATGGGCATACTCCTCTTATGGAAGCTGCAAGCGCAGGCCATGTTATGGTGGCAAAAGTAATTTTGCGGTTTTTTTTCCTAAAATTTTGTATTATAACCAATTTACTTATTTAATAGATATTATTAGAACACGGAGCTGGTATAAATACCCATTCAAATGAATTTAAAGAAAGTGCTCTAACATTGGCATGCTATAAAGGTCATTTAGAAATGGTCAGATTTTTATTAGCTGCTGGAGCTGACCAAGTAATACTTTGTCATTTAATAATTAAGTTTTTAAATTGCCAATTATGTATTATTGATTAAACCGTCTTTTTTTTTAGGAACATAAAACAGATGAAATGCACACTGCCTTAATGGAGGCTTCGATGGATGGTCATGTTGAGGTTGCTAGACTTCTGTTGGATTCTGGCGCTCAAGTGAACATGCCAACTGATAGTTTTGAGTCTCCACTTACTCTAGCAGCGTGCGGAGGACATGTTGAGCTGGCTTTATTGTTAATTGAACGAGGTGCAAATATTGAAGAAGTTAACGATGAAGGCTACACTCCTCTTATGGAAGCTGCCCGAGAGGGCCATGAAGATATGGTATCTGTTTTACTAAGTAAAGGTAAATAAAATTAAAAAATGTATATTTATGTAGAATTTTAAAGGCTAAACATATTGCATCACATCAAGCATAATTTTTTCATACAAATTATTACTTAGGTTACTTATTCAATTTTTATTTTAGGTGCTAACATAAATGCACAGACTGAAGAAACTCAAGAGACTGCCCTGACATTAGCATGTTGTGGTGGCTTTTTGGATGTAGCTGATTTTCTAATTAAAAATGGTGCAATCTTGGAACTAGGAGCATCGACACCACTTATGGAGGCAGCTCAAGAGGGTCATTTAGATTTGGTCAGATATTTATTAGAATGTGGTGCAGATGTACACGCTCAGACAACATCTGCTGATACAGCATTGACTTATGCTTGTGAGAATGGTCATACCGATGTTGCTGATTTGTTACTGCAGTTTGGTGCTAATCTCGTATGTAACAATTTTTATTTTTATTACAAAACAAAGTTAATAATTGATTGTATCACTAGGAACACGAATCTGAAGGAGGTCGTACACCTTTGATGAAAGCTTGTCGAGCAGGTCACCTATGTACCGTCCAGTTTCTCATTTCTAAAAATGCTGAAATTAACCGAGTCACTGTCAGTAATGATCATACTCCTTTATCTCTTGCCTGTGCTGGAGGACACTTGGCTGTTGTTGAATTACTGCTAGCCCATTCAGCCGATCCCTTCCATAAGCTCAAAGACAATTCGACTATGGTCATTGAGGCTGCCAAAGGGGGCCATACCAATGTTGTTAAATTGTTATTAGATTATCCCCATTCGGTGATGCTGACACCTCCTGTATCACCTGTACCCGGTACTCCAGTTCAAGAGACACCAATTGTTGATGAATCTACTTTGTCTGAAGTACAAGTAATGTCTAAGGCTCATGCTATTGCAGGAAGAATAGTTGAGAGTTATGGACCTAATGCTAAGCATAATGTTAACTCTTGTATACAAAAAGCTATGATTAGGAAGGCACAATTAAACACACCTAATGCAACAAATGACCTTCAAGTAAGTTATTTTTAAATAAAAATAAATTTTAATTATTTCAATAAATCATTATATTATAGTTTTAATCAGAAATTTACATTGTTACAAGATACAAAATCTTGATCATCCATAATTCATAATACTACTTGACAATTGCATTTTATATAACTTGTTACATATATTATTTTAATTAATATTAATTATTTGGATAATTAATCAATTTAATGCAATTTAGACTAATTGCTACTTCTATCAATTAAGAAAAAACTATTGGTTGTATTATAGTTAAGTAATAAATAATCTCGGTTTTTAATAATACAAATAATCTTTATTATGGTATTCATTAAAATTTACTTATATGAATATAGCGAAAATCATAGCATTTTTTATAATAGTTTGTTGTAATATTAATGTTTTATTTTAGTTTAAAATAGAAACGCATAAAGATAATACACCTACTAAGAACAATACCCCAACGGCCAAATCTCTTATTAATACTGCAGCCATTGAGCAACAGCTATTTAAAAGACAACAAATAGCTGAGGACTTAAAGGTTAGCTATTACCAATTTTCTTGATATTATTAATAATAAAAGGTTAGGAACTTTTGTTTAAGTTTGTTTTTGCCTATATTAAACTCTTCATGCTATATAAATGATATATTAAAAATATATCAGTCAGCAGTATTATAGATAATTATACCAATTTATTTTTTAGGCTTAACGAGCCATTTAGGTTCTTGGCAGCCAAAACTATTTCCTTCTATCACTCTTTATATTATACAAGCCAGCTCCCCGCAGTCTGCTCCAGTTTCTTCTAGTAATTCTCTGACTGGTCCCTTTCCCCTCATCACATATATCATTGCTTCTTTCAACATACTTTCAATACGTATAAACATTCAAATTCAATTATATTATTATTATTAAATTTAATTAAATTAAAAATCTGTGAAATATAATAAATCATACATTTTTAATGTCAATAATAAAAAAGTTTCTGTTGATTAGCAAATTATTATTAGCGTAAATACAACATCAAATTAAAACGGTTTGTTAACAAAATTAGGTATTGGATATTATTTTTTCTTAGTATTTGATTAATAATAGATTTTTTTTAATTACAAAATATTTATTTGAATTTTTACTTATAATTTAGAGAGTCGAACAGGAGTTGAAAGAAAATGGAAGCCTTTCAATGGCCACATTGATGACTACACCACCTCCGTTGCCTGCTTCTTCACCTGGAGTTTTAGATTCTAGTACATCGTCTAGTGGTTCAAACTCAGGTAAAATAATACTAAAAATACAATTTTAAATAATATTAATTTTCTTAAAAAGTGTCAAAATAAATAATAATTTAAACCAAAATTAATTCATTTGCTCACTAATTAGGAGATACGTCCAAAGCTAGCCCTAGTCAACCCGTGTCTACCAGTTCAGATGTAGTGCAAACTACAGCTATAAGCGATAGACCAAAAATTAAAGCTAAATTCAAAAAGAAACCAGCTCAGCCTTCTCCGGGAAACCTAAATGTTAATAACCCTTCTCAAGCAACATTGGATGCCAATTACGCCCGAGGGGTAATGGCTGGAGTGGCGGCTATGAAACCTCAGTATAAGGCAGAAGTATGTCATGCATTAATAACTTTTTTTTAAGTGTAACATCAAAATATTTACAGATAAGTTTCTATTAATTAAACAAAAATAATTTAAATTTTTTTAAATTTAAAATTAGTTTATTGAAAGACACTCTGGTGATGGATGTGATAAAGAATTAGCTGCTCGAATGATTAAATTTTGTGAAGAACAAACAGCTAAATGTGATGATGGTCACGAAAGTCTAAAAAATTTGATGATTACTTCATTAATGAAAGAACATCTTATGAAAGTTCGCAAAGATCATCTTCAATTTCCTGATAATATGGTGAAAAATTTGTTACCACCATTGTCTGGTGCAATTCATGACAGTTTACCTCGTGGTTCTGCGGGTATTCTACCTATACCCGGTGAAGATAATTCCCACATTGATTTTAAAACATTCAACTGTATTGATGCAGACCTAATTGAAAATTTAGTTAGCGAGACTCTTACTCTTGAAGAAATATCAAATTGTAAGTAATAGCTAACTATACTGTTATTTATAATCTATAAATTTGTATTAAACAATTTTTGTTATATTTAGTACCTATTGATGAACGACTTCAAAAAGAAATTCAAAATTATCGTATCAATGTAAATTCTTCACCTTCAGAATCTACACTAACATTTCCCTCTCAATCATTTAAAGTAAGTAGTTTCTGTATCTTAAATGGTATGGGTAATGTTCTGAACAAAAATTACATTTTACTTTTTATTTTTAGTTAAATAATAAAAAAAATTTCCAAAATTGGGCAATCATATTAAATAATAAAAAGTTTAAAATACATTGTTTTTTTTATGGAGTTACTCTATTCAAGTTTTGGAAAAAATATCCTAATAAAAAAAATATATAATATGATAAAAAAAAATGTAAAAGAGATAAATGTGATTTTTGTCTGGAATTTTATCTGGAGTCTTGTTTAAAAGCTAGCATAATCAAACATAAATTTTAAAATTATTTGCCTTTGATTTTTGACAACGAGGAGGAGTGACCGAGTGGGTAAGGTGGCAGTGTGTTAGCGCTCACTGTCACTGGCTCGACACTGTCACAGGCACTCTGTTTGCCGGGCGAGCAATCGTCCGGTGAAAAGGAACCGCCATTCCCCTCTCCGGCATCGGCCTGACGATCTGTCTCAGACAATGAATCTGTCTAAAAACCATCATCTCATGATGGCAGCGTTGGGTCTTAAAGGCTTCTTAAACTTGATAATGATGCCATTGATTTTATATAACTTAATTTTTATTTTTATTACAGAATTATGTACAAAACCACCAAACATCCGTTGATTTTAGACTATCTCCGAAAGACATATCTAATTTTGCAGGAGCTGTATCACAACTTAGTTTAGGTATCTATTATATATTGTCTAATTTTTTGTATCACCATAACGTTAACAATTATAATTTAATAATTAGATGAAACGACCACCCAACCAACTGTAGCAATACCTAGCCCAAATAACTGTGTGCCAACACAAGTCGCAGCTGCTACTCAAACACCTTCAGAATCTGTGACATCTAATAAGCGTTCAGCAACAAATACGTCAACTACCACTGCTACGACAACCACAACAAATAAAGGTAAAAAGGCGCGCTATCAAGTTCGCCCCCAGCCACCAAGTTTGGCCCCCCAATCTGGGTCAAATAACACCCAATCGTCCAACTCTGTTGCCCAATCGGATGTTGCCAGCTCTAGTAAGACAACAATTTCTTTTATCTCTCATATTGAGAATGATTTAATTACATAAAATTGAATTTCCTATAGTTAAATTTTAATGAACTTTTTTCATTTATAGGATTCTCTACAACCACCGGTGAATCTTACGGAAGTGATGCAGATATATCATATGGCATCAATGTGGACTCTCAAACAGAAAGCAACCACGACACAGCCCTTACTGTTGCTTGTGCGGGGGGGCATGAGGAGTTGGTAAAATTATTACTAGTGAGGGGTGCGAATATTGAACACAGAGACAAAAAAGGGTTTACACCGTTAATATTAGCAGCTACAGGAGGCTTTGATAAAATTGTCGAAATCCTATTGAACAATGCAGCCAATATGGAAGCACAGTCTGAACGAACTAAAGATACACCCTTGTCTTTGGCGTGTTCTGGTGGCCGTTATGAAGTATATATTTTTTAAATGTGTAAAATTGTTTGTTGTTATTAATCAAATACTTCGTTTTATAGGTTTGTGAACTATTACTACAAAGAGGAGCCAACAAGGAACACAGAAATGTATCAGACTATACTCCTCTAAGTTTAGCAGCATCTGGTGGATATGTTAATATAATAAAATTGTTATTAAATAATGGGGCTGAAATAAATTCCCGAACCGGTTCTAAATTAGGAATCTCGCCTTTAATGTTGGCTGCCATGAATGGTCACACAGGTTAGTTTGAGATATAATTATTTGAATTATAATAATCAACAATATTCAAAATTACTTAATTTGTAGCTGCCGTTAAACTTTTGTTGGATATGGGAAGTGATATCAATGCTCAGATTGAGACAAATCGGAATACAGCTCTTACTTTAGCTTGTTTTCAAGGGAGACACGAAGTAGTTTCTTTATTGTTGGACAGAAAGGCTAATGTGGAACACAGAGCTAAGGTAATATATTACTACAATATTGAAATAAATATTTTTAGTTAGCTTCTAAAAAAGCAAACATAATTAATGCTTAATTAAAAAACATGTATAGTGTATCTCAAAAATTCCACGACTACATTGTAATTGTTTAAGAGGAATGTATAATTTTGGAAATTGTATCTTCATAATGTCCATCATGAGAAATTTGAGTTATAAAATAATTTATCAATTAAATTTTAAACATGTGTTAAACAATTTTTTGGGTGTACTGTTTACTATAATCTTATATTTTTATTTATTTTTTTACTTGTTTTTGTAGACTGGACTAACTCCGTTAATGGAAGCTGCTAGTGGCGGTTATGTAGAAGTAGGTAGAGTATTAATAGACAAGGGAGCTGATGTTAACGCCAATCCAGTTCCATCTTCTCGGGATACTGCACTCACAATTGCTGCTGATAAAGGCCATGTGCGATTCGTTGAGTTGTTATTAGAAAAGTGAGTATTATGGCAACAAACTTCAGAATTATGTTTTTAATAGATTTCTTATTATTTTCTCTATTTCTAATATTTTATCAATATATTATTACTTAGAAACGCGTACGTTGAAGTAAAAAACAAAAAAGGAAATTCTCCTCTTTGGTTAGCTGCAAATGGAGGTCACTTAGGTGTAATTGAATTACTTTATAAAGTCGGTGCCAATATTGACTCCCAAGATAATAGGAAAGTTACCTGTCTTATGGCTGCATTTCGCAAAGGTCACGTTAAAGTTGTTAAATGGATGGTGAACCATGTATCCCAATTTCCTAGTGATCAAGAAATGACACGATTTATCGCTACATTAAGTGATAAGGTATGACATAATAACAACTATTAAATGTATTATAATGTAATTGGGTTTACCTGAAGTATATTTCCATTTTATGTATGTTAAGGAGTCTATTGATAAATGCCAAGAATGTATGGTTGCTATTCGAATATCAAAAGATCAACAAGCAGCTAGAGCTAATAAAAATGCTTCAATATTATTAGAAGAATTAGACATGGAAAAAACAAAAGAAGAATTAAAAAAAGCTTCAGCAGCTCGTCGCAAAATGAAGAAAAAGAAGAAGAAACAAGCAAAGAGCGGTAAAAAGAATAATGATGAAGAGGAACCACCTGAAGATCAAAATGAAAGCCAAGAAAATGAAGAGGAAGAAGAAGATGAAGATGAAGAGGAAGAAGTGCCCGTTAAAGGTTTGATTTAATTAATTATTTAACAATTTGCAAATTGGGTATTGAATAACCAATAGTGAGTGAGTAGCTGAAACTACAAAATTGAGTGTAAAACATAAAAATAGTTATCAATGATTGGGAAAGAACCATTTTTAGAAGAGTATGTTATATGGCTATATTTTTAGAGACTATATTCCGCGACATGAAAAGTGGCGTGTGACCGTCACCAAGCGGATTTTTTGCAATAGTGGTTGTCAAATAATTTGCGCGCCTTTTAAAATATTTTAAAAATGATTCTACAATGAATGCATGAAAAAAAAAATAAGGGATGCAAAGTTTGAAATTGTACAATAGCTTGCTGTAGGTATTATTCGTGATACAGCTTCACGCGGTACGTGAAGCTGGGGTACGACAGCAGCCAACCACCACTTTTCGTGTCGCAGACTATAATGGGTATATTTCTGAAATGTATGAAAAATTAAATAAATATATAAATGTAATTTAATACTACCCAACATAAAGTTGAAGGCAGAGTTGTGCCAATTCTTATTTGTATACAAACAAATGTATTCGAATAATTATTATTCACAACTTTTAATTAAAGAATAATAAATAATTATACTAAAAAATTAATTTTAATAAAATAATTCAATAGTAAAAAAACATTTGTATGAACTATTAACTTTGTATACTTAATATGAAAAAAAAAATGTATAGGTTATATGATATAAAAAAAGTATTAATTTTTTTTATCATTAGAACCAGATTTACATTTTTGTCAACTACAAATCTGAGCTATAGCCTATCTAGTGCTAAAGTAAAATAAAATAGCTAATGCTTTGATGTTAAACAATATAAATTTTAACTTGAAGTTCACTACTTAAAATTTTCAACTAACAAATTTTGTAGAGTAAAATTTAGTTGGAACTATTGTTTAATTTGTATTAAAATATGATGATTTCATTATAAAATGGTAGGAGAAAGTGTACTAAAATTTAGTCGCATCAAATTAATTATTGTTAAGGGCCATGCAAATTATACTAAAAAATGTTTATATGGAAATAACTCACTGTTTCAATTTTGAAAATTGTTTTGATCATTTTCGCATATTACATTTTTTTTTTTTTAATAAGGTTCTAATATCCCCAAATATTAAATTTGATTGCCATATTATTCTGAAAAATTCTATTAAAATATGACATTTGATAAATTTTTTTAATTTATTTACATGAATCATGGAAACTTGAGCCTTCGGTATTAATTCATTACATAATTTATGCTTGTACTACACACATTTTTTTAATAGGAAAAACTCACAATTTCAATTGCGAGTTTTTCTCATTTCATTATTTTAAAATACATTATTAATTGTTCATATTTGTAGTTACATATTGATAGTAATTTTTAAAACTAAGTGGTTTGAAAAATACATATTTTCTCTTTATTAGCCGCCTCTTAATGAATGTCTGTGTCCTTTATAACCTGCTTACTGCAACATCTAGTTTGTGAGCATAATTACCAATTAATAGATATTAATATTTTATACATTTTCAGTATTGGTAGAAATGAAGAAAAAAGTTGACTTAAAGAAAAAAGGTAAAGTAACTGTTTTGAGCAGTGTTATACTAGCTGATATTGAAGAGGGCGATAGTGGAATTGATGCTAACAGTCAAGGAAGCTGTAGTAGTACTGATGCCAAAAATGCTGCTGCTGCTGCTCGAACAGCTACTCAGGCCCAAAATACAAATGCCAGTAAGAAAGATAAAAAGAAGAAAAACAAAGAAACAGCTTCTTCAGAGAGTAAAGCTGCTATGACTACAAACGTAAAATTAGCAACTACTTCAGCTGCCACTCAAACAAATACTTCTAAAATCAATTCCACACAAGTCAAATCAAATAAAGTATGTATTAATTAACAAAGAATCTACATATTGTATTTATAATTTTTAATAATAATTTATTTATTAATTATAGGAGAAAAAAACCCAAGTGAACTCAACTGCTTCAAAGACCACTACAGTTATTTCTTCAAAATCTGAAACATCACAAACTGTTTCAAGAGCAACTCCGTTATCATCAACATCATCATTGTCTAAAGCTAAAATACAACAATCTGCTAATAGTAATAATAACAATATGGCCAATGCTCGTAAAGAATCAAGTAAATCCAATAATTATAAAGGAAATAAAGTAGTCAATAATATGGTATTCGAATCTACTCAAAATCCTGCTGCGCGTGAAGATTTTGAAGCTACGGGAAATGAAAATTTTCTCACAAAACATAAAAAACAACAGTAAGTAAAAGCAAAATTATTATATTATGAGAGTGTTGGTACAAGGCAATACATTTTTAGGTCTAAATATGAGTAGTAAATTTGTATACTTTGCCAATTGTGGTGTAGAATGAAAACTAGTATTCTATCATGTTTTTTTGTTATTTATATTTAAGTGTACTTATATTACATATATTTTTATTATTTATTTTAGAGCTGAAGAATATACACACGTTGGTGCCAAAACATCAAATATTAGTCCTGTGAAGCAAACTCGAGGACGAGAAGAAGGTTGGAAAGAAGTTGTGCGAACCAGATATCTTGCATCCCCATATAGAAGTAAAAAGGTGTCAGTGCCATTAAATGCAATTAGTCGTGTGATTGGGCGTGGCGGTAGTAATATAAATGCCATAAGAGCTTCTACTGGTGCATTAATTGAAGTTGACAATCAAAGTAAAGGACAAGGAGAAAGAATAATAACTATTAAGTATGTAAATTCATTTTTGTAAAACTAAAGCTTTGTACATTTATTAATACTGTATTCTTTCTTTAAACAGAGGGTCAACAGAGGTTACCAAACAAGCACATGATCTAATTGCTATGCTCATTAAAGACCCTGAAGTAAATATCATGAGTGTAATTGCTAAGAATCCTAAAGTGACAAGTGCTTGGGATAAATCTGTGGTAATTAAAACATGAATTTTATTTTTAATTAATATATGTTTTATAATTAAGTAGTTACAAAAAAATTATTAATTTTTTTTTTTTTTTTTAGAACAATGCAAAAGCAAAAACTGCCAGTGCAGTATCACAGAAACTAGTTGTAAGTCAACCAGTGTCAATTTCCACTTCTAAACCACAAGCACCAAGTAAATTGATCTTAATATAATAAATTGAATTAAATGAAGTTCATCCATTGAATTTAAATTAAAACTAAATTAATTATTTTTAGCAGTTATTGCTTCAATGACGATAAAGCCTACAATCTCTGTAAATGGACCTCGTCCAACTGTTGCTGCTGTAGCTGCAGGTAATTAAATCATTACAGTTTTAGCAATTAAGAAAATTAATTTAAAGTATTTTGTATTTAATTAATTAATTAATTTTCAGGTGAAAAGAAGATTACGACAAGCACAGTTAAACCAACGATGTCCTATACCAATGCTATAATATCTTCCTCAGATCCAGCTCCTAAATCCCAACAACAGCCACAACCATTGCCTCCAAAAGTTGTACAGCCTGCTTTTGTAACGCCAGCATCCACTGCTTCTACGAGTGTATCTAGTGTACCTTCGTCGGTCAATGTGTCGGCATCATCAATAACTATGATAACCAAACCTACCAATGCTGTACCTCTTGCTCAACTGAAACCTCAACAAGAGTTATCTGCACCTCATCACCCAGTGGCAATTGTGTCCCCAATGGTTAGCAGTGCGCCATTACCTCCCCAACCACAAATTAAACCTCAAGTGGTAGATGCATCGGAATACTCGTTATTTGATTCTTTTTCTAAGGTATATAAATCTATAAACACTTCAAATGACTTAAATGTAATTTTGTATCAATTTTTTTTTCTAGATATCTGTTCAAACTATGTGGGGTAGAGATGGAGAATGTGGAGGGCAAAAACCCACTGTAACATTCACAGGAGGTAATCATGTACCAGTTGTAACGCCATCAATTGGTGCAATTGGTCAGCCTAAAAAATATTTAGAAACAGATCCACCTATGGCAGATGCTTCCAAGGCTCCTGGATACAGAGGGATAGGTTTGTCATCGCCAATTTCATCTAAAACTGGAGGGGCAAGTACAGGAAGTGCCAATGGAAGTCGTACAACTACACCTCCAATGTGTTCTCCGGTATCACAGTATAATAACAGTTCAAATGTTCAATCGAATGTTCAACAACCTCAGTCTGAACCTTACCATCAACATGCCTACATGACTGAGCAGTCTCATCAGTCGTCACAAATAAATGTTGAGCGATCAAGGCTAAACCCTCGAGCACCTGATTTTGCAACTATTAAATCAAATCAAAACGTGGTACAGCCTCAACAAGTTTACAACAATCAAGTACCGCAAAACTTTCTTCAACCCCCTATGGTTCCAAATGTCATGCCATATCAACAAAAGTTTCAACAACAATTACCTAACTTAAGAGTAGCACCTAACAATCCAAATCGGTGGACCCACTTCATCAATCAGCCTCCACCACCGTTTGGCCGACCTACTCTGCATCCTGTAAATGGAAGTGCAGAAATCTTTGCAGGATTAGAAGCCACTGCAAGTCCACCAAATATGTCTCCAAATCTCGATGAACGCAAAGCCCCGCCAAAACCAATTGGAACTGAAAGAGCGTGGAAGCAAAACCTAATTGGAGAAAATCCCCATCAACAACATCAAGGCAATTGGCCTGATATGAAAATGCAATGGGCTCATCATGACCTTTTCCGAACGCCCCCACCACCACCTGTTAACTTTCCATTAGGTCCAAGATTACCTATGCCAGATGAACATAATCTTTTTGATACCTATCAGGTATGTAAAATATAAAATAAATATTTTAATTTCAAAGGAAATACCATGTTCTATTATCATAATTATATATTATTAGTGTTTGTGCTGAAAAATGTCTATCCTTCCCCCTCCTCGAAAAAAATCTTCAATTCCACCTATGGTCATAATTATTGTTATTTTTACTATAGTTGATGCATTTTTTTGGTTTATTTAGTCCACAGACCACTTAACGGGAGCTAATCTTAGTCACCATGCGGCAATGATGCAAACTATGCCCTTGTTTGCTTCTAATGGTCACATGGAACAAGCTCATCATTTGCTGGCATCTAATCATCATACTGCTGGCCAAATGACGTTTGACCCAAAATTGGAATGGGATCAATCCAGAAACCAACAACAGCAAGCTCAACAACAATCGCAACAGCAAGCTCCATTGAGTACACCATTTCCATTCATTTTTTAACCATGAAGCGTAAGTGCATGTTAATTTTGTAAATATTGAGAATTTTAAATATAGATCATTAATTTAAAGAAAATAGGCTTGGGTTTTTTATTGTCATTACCCAATTTAAAATATATTTAACTACACTACTATAAAAGGCATATTTCTTGACCTTTATTGTTAATTATTTCATACAACATGTTAGTGTAATATAAAACAATTTAAAATAAAAATTGCGACCAAAAAAAAATAATAAAAATTCAAGCTTTGCGGAGAGGGAGGATGCGCCTAATGAATAATATTAACAATTTTGACTCGATCCGGATAGTTTTTCGCTGTTATAGAAAATTGAAAATATTGCCATTTTTTTTTTTATTTTTCCGGATTTTGGGGGTGAAGAAGTTGACTTTTTCTACTTTTGACTCACCAAAGTATCAATCGCATCGATTTCGGATCTATAGAGCTGCTACTTGAGTAAATCGGTCTAGAGAAAAACAATTATCGCGATTACAGACACATAATTGTAAATCCAGCACCAAGCTAAAATTGTATTTGAAATGTCATGTATAAACACACTAAATTTGTTCTATACTGATAATCTATATTTGATCTCTTAATTCTTATACAAGTAAACAAAATCTTATAAATAAAATAAACAATTATTGTCAACATTTTAATGAAATAAAGTTGTGGTATCCATTAAATATAACTGAAGATCAGTAAAAAAATATAACGTAGGGTTCTATCACTGGATGGCCTCTCTTCTCATGTTATATCACTGTTTTTATTTTTATTTTTTGTATATACGAGGGTCGTGCAAAAAGTAAGTTTCCCTAAGCTGTAGGAAAAAAACTACAAGGAATATAGAAATTTCTATTTAATTTTTAGATTCCTCGATACAAAAACTATTTTTCCACATAGTCACCGTTTTTCTCAAAACATTTTTGTAGCCGCGACATACGTTTTTCATTCCTGATTCATAGTCCGCCCCCGCCCCCTCTTTTAAACATTTGTTGACATCAGGCTGACCTCTGATCACAAAAAAAAACGTATTGAAACGGCTCAAAATTTGTTTGAAATGCCTGATTTGGAGGCAGATGCCATCTGGGACCGTATTGTGACTGGGGACGAGACGTGGGTACACCTTACGAAACCTGAAACGAAACAGCAGAGCATGGTTTGGCACAAGAAAGGGGCCCCTCCACCCAAAAAAGCTAAAGTTGTCCACTCAGCAGGCAGGGTAGAAGAGGCAGAAGGGTGTTTTGCTCGTTGACTACCTTCCCAGGGGTGAGACTGTTATTGCTAATAGGTATTGCCAAGTATTGACGGACCTTCGAAAGGCAATCCAAAACAACGACGTGGAAAGTTGTCAAAAGGTGTCCTTCTCCTCCATGACAACGCACAAGAAAGACTGTTGAGGTGCTCGAAAATTCCAATGGGACGTCGTTATTTTGCATCCACCGTATTCCCCAGACTGCCACTAGCGACTACTATCTATTTCCGAAATTAAAAGTTCACCTGGGCGGTCATCACTTCAGCAACGACAACGAACTCAAGGTGAAAGTCTACAAATTTTTAAAGGAGGTGGCGGGGCGGACTATGAAGCAGAATTGAAAAAGCTTATATCGCGGCTACAAAAATGTGTTGAAAAAAACGGTGACTATGTGGAAAAATAGTTTTTGTATCGAGGAATCTAAAAAAAAAAAAAAAAAATCGATATTCCTTGTAGTTTTTTTTCTACAGCTTTGGGAAACTTACTTTTTGAACGACCCTTGTTTATTAATGTAACTATTTGCTTATTATGCCTCGTAGCATAGATTGTAAATATTATTTAAATAAAATAAAAAGATCAGTAAATATTAAAAACTAACGCTGTCAAACTTATAATATAGTAGTTGATAAAAAGTTAATTGTATAGTGAAGTCAATTGAAATATTGGCATTTTAATAATTATTGTATTTGCATAAGAAACATAATCCTTACAAATGTAAAAAACATTCAGTCGTACATAAAGGAAAAACCGCCAGATTTTTTCGTTGACGGAATAAAAAAACCTTGTTCGCTGTTGGGCGAAATTTATTGAGCGTAATGAGCCCTATATTGTAAAATAAACACGCTATTTAATAGCAATTATTTTCTACTTCCTTGCTTTTTTTTTTGTTTTATTTTAATACTCTTCATATTAATAAACAGGTTATATTAACGATTTTTTTCTGCAGAAAGAAGACATGTCATTTATATAGTTTTTCGTCTATTTTGAGAAATTAGAAAAAGTGGACTTGTCCCCTTTCCGCAGTTAATAAAGTGATAATTGTTTTCTACGTTTAATAGAGTTAATGTATTGATATTTTTCTATAATATTTTAATGTGCTAGCTTGTTTAGTTGAAAAATCTAAACTAAGCAGCCGTCGATAGGGTTAAGTAAGTGGATCCTAGTAGGACTGATGGCTATCTCGTGTCTGCATTTAATTAAACCTTATATAAATTTACTTCAACGCCGAGAATCTAAACGGGCGGTTATAATGTTAAATAATTTTACTCTCTAGTATGCAGCGATTAATGAAGTGTTTTATTAAATAGGTAAATGTTAAGTAAATGATCCAAAAGTGTAGTTAGTTAGAGTTGAATGAACACACGCGAGTGGGTGAAGTTAAAAGAGAAATTAATTAATTAAGTTACACAAAATAAAAAATGTTTATATATTTTACCAGCCGACCGGTGTCCTGAATTCAAAAAAATATAACTTAAATTAAAAATTTCACATTATGAATTGGATATTTTTACTTTTTAAATTAGATTTAATATAATTAAAGTGTGAGTAACTAGGTAATAAGAATAAGTTTTTAAGAGGTAGTTTGATAGTGGTACAAAACACCTATTTTCTGTAAAATGTGTTAACAAAGGATGTTGTAGCAATATTGTGGACATACGAATGTGAACTACAGTAAAAATTTGTTATTTAACGATTTTCATTTAAATATCTAAATTAAAAGTATAAAATCAACATTAATAATGGCATTTTCATTCATATAGCGCATTATGAAACTTTCCGGGAACGGTTTGTTTGGTCATTGTCAAATGAACATTTTTTATTTTGCACCAATTAGGTTTCTGACGGGGAGGGGGGGTGATATTATTGCCGAATATGCTCAATTCCGCCATTATAGATAGGATTTTATGTCCTGACCATGAAATGGTTTTAGCAGACGTGAATCGTGACCGTAAAGGGGGGGGGGTAAAAATGCAAACATCCTTAGTATGTATTTTGAGTCTGATTCAATAATTATCAATTAACCAATAATCCCCCGTTTGCAGTTGCGATCCACGTCTGCTTATCATCATTTCATGTTCAGGGTATTAAATTCTTTCTTCAATAGCCAAATTGAGCGCAAAACGCATATTGGCCAATTTTAGCCCAACCAGTCTCTCCTTGAAAGATCGCCCCGCCTAGTGAAAGTAGCTGCTTGTGGCTGGCTTCAAACCCGCGACAGTGCTTGCCGGAATTTCCACCGCCTTAATCTACTAGACCACTCAAGTATGATGAAACGGTAAAAATCAAAGTGGTGTGAACGATTTTAATCCTTATCTAGTAATTAAATAATAGATCAAACTTTATCAAGTGAAGTAGTGTATTTTTACTTTTGATGGCCTCAACTATGTTCTTGGTTTTTTTTGTTATCCTTGATAAAAAGTTGGATATAAGGTTCTCGATCTTAAAATATTATAGGTACATGATAGGTCTACCATCAATCTAATTTTTAGATTATTCCCCAAAAAATAAGTCTGAACAAGAAAATAAGAAGGTTTTTTCTTGCAAGAACTTTTGTCTATACAAAGTTACATTTGAAAATTAAAATGTATGTTGCATATAATAAAAAATTCATTCAGCAAGTAAAAGTTAATGTTGGTTTCAACTTCAGACACTAAAACTAAAAAACGTTATAAAATCAAATTTTAAGCTTCATAAACATACACATTTTCCCATTCTATGGGTGTCTAGCGACATTTCTACAAATCTAAGTTTATAATATTAATACCTAACCACAAAAACATTTTTTTTTCTATATAATAGGTCACATTAAGATTTCGAATATTATAGCCAAAGAAACCCCTTATTATTAGCCATATTTTGAAGGGCCTATTACGACAGACATAATACAATTATCTATAGGTAGGCTTAATATCTAAAGGTCACATTTTATCAAAATACCTTTAAAATATGAATTATAAAAAAAATAACGATAATAAGCTTATAGGACATTCTGTAAACTAACAGAAAATTCACTGTTTGTTATTTAATTGATTTTGCATTTCTGTTGAAGTATCTGTTAATAAAAATTATTTTAAAAACGTATTATTAATGAATATATATTTTTTTTTTTGCAGGAAGCAACATAAATTATGCCTAAGTAATTGAATCACACACACAGACGTACATATAATTTGTTTTTTGTTTCTCCATTATTAAAAAAAACTCTTCGGTCTCTTGTTTTAAAAGGAAGACAAGTACATAATTCAACCAAACAAACAAAAATACCTATCAAACAAATTCGAACTTGTAATGCTGCGTTATTTTGTATTGTTTCATTTTTTTTTTTTTTTTTGGAACGATCTTTTTTACATTTAAAATACTACAAGTTCTTCATTTTTTATTCTATTATTATTATTATTATTATTATTATTATTATATTTTTTTTAGCGATATGTTATTACACTTTAATTACTATGGCTTAGGGTTTCTTTAATACCTACTCTGTTAAAGAAATTGTTATATTATTATTATAATAATGGCATACAATGCAATATACGGATGGAAAAATATAATTATTTATATACTATCGAATCTATGTGTTTTTGATAATTCCGATTTATAAGTGGAGTACGATATAGTAATTTATCTACTATAATATTAAAACATATAGTATATTATATTTTAGAGCCTATTAAAAAAACAAATTTACATTTTTATTTATATATTTATTATTGTACTTTTAAAAATTTATTAAAATGAATATTTAATTATATATAATATAGTTATGTATATATCCGTATATATTTATAATATATACATATTAAAAAATTTTAACTAAATATTTATTTATTATTTTTATCTCTTTGAATGTGATAAACGTTTAGTTATTATGCCGTTTAATATATTAATGGAAGTTAAAATATTTTTTTTTTTTAATATGGCTTTAATTGTAGCCTAACGCAACTCTTTATCCTGACGTGTATGGTGTATTTTTTTTCTCTTTTAATTTTTCAACATTCCTATAGAGTATAGACTATTTAAATAGAAAAGGGCCAGTCAAATTCTTTCCACAAATCCCCTCTCTTATCAGTTATCACATTATATTCACTCCATAGACCATATATTTCGATGTCTTTATTTATAGCTTTGACTCACTTCTTTGGCCTACTCTAACTCTAAAACTCTTAAGACAAATCACTCCTACTAGTTTTTGATTATTTTCCTCTTCAAAATTTCCTCAATTTATCTCTCATTCTTGTATATTATTTAGATTATTTATTATGACGTGACAAGGTAAAAAATAATTTTAATGTTTGTCAATATGTCTAGTATATTAATACATAACTAGTAATGGCCAGAGAAGTTAGAGATCCGATACATTTAACTCTGCTTATAGAAAATGATAAAGTATGTGAGGATCACTCGTATGCGTCAAAACTTATAGATTCAATTAAATTAAAAAGTACTATTGTAGCTTGGATGAAAGAAAAACTCGATGTTGCTGGCTATACTTGTTTGCTAAAATCAATTATGTCCAATTTACATGCCACTGGATTCTGCTGTACCTAGTTTATCAGATGCTTTTATGAACTATAGTGTTAAGTAAATGGCTTAAGATTTCGACTATCATGTAAGCACTGTATTTACGAAATTAAAATGTAGACAGTAGACGCCATTTTTTTGTTCATGTTATTAAAAATAACACAATTCAGAAACGCATATCTTTATGTTTTTTACAAATATATTGAGCTGTATATCATTTATGGGTTCGATTAAGTAAATTGCTACATTTTCCCGGGAATTAAGAAGCGTCCAATAATTAAAAAAACAAAAATACACTTGCATTAGTATGTTTTAAAATGTACATACATTCTTTGCTCCTCAACATAATTAGTTGGTATTGGTTAAAAAATACGTAGAAGGAACACATAAAAAATACATACAAACATCGCTTTATTCGTATCCAAAAGGTAAAAAAATGTTTAGATACTTTCACAACAATACGTTAGTTAATTAAATTATTAAATACAATTATCTTAACGCTTAAAATTCTTAACAATAAGTGTTATTATACGCATAATGTATTATTACATATATAATTAATTATAACATAATACAATACTTATTATTTATTATTATGCTTATAGTACTAAAATGTATAATTAATATCACATTGTATTGCTCCAAGTTAAAAACTTAGGTAGTATACGTTATTATCTTATGAATGGCGTATGTGTACTGTGTAGGGCATTATTTTTGTATTATTGAGGGTGTTATTACATTTTATTCTCGTGTACTTTTAATCAATTATTATACAGTATACTGCAGTCTATATGCATAAAACCATATCAAAGTAGTTGGGTTAGTTGGAAAACGTGTCGTGCTTGATCAAAAAGTAATAAATTTCAGTTTACAACTCAAAAACATGTATACGGATAGTCAGTACTATAATAAAATAGACACCCGTCTACAAGCCATACAATTATTTTGACTTTTTAACATTTATAATAAAAACTTTATATAAAAGAAATCTATTGCTATACAGAAGTTTTTTTGTCACACTGTCTGTTTTTATAATAAATGGCTTTAAAGTTAATACCTAACATCCAATTGTATAGATTGATAAATTACAAGGAAAAACCAGCATGGAAATAATATAAATGGATATATTAAATAAATATAAGTACAGCGTATTCTAACAAAACAAAAAAGTCGTTAAAAATAATAACATTTTGTATTGGTGTGTTGTTTGAAATATTTACATGGTTTTCGGTTACACCTATGTTTACAAGTACATATTGGATTTGCCAACGTTTCAGAAGCCTTCCATCTTCAGGGTTGTGTTGTCGGTTGCGTATACTTATAATCCTGCAGGCAGCAGCGGAATGAACTTCGTAACCAGCACGCAACAAAGCCCTGATCATGGAAAATGAAAGGCTTCTGAAACGTTGGCGGAGCCAATATGTATAAATAGGTGTAATGTAACCGAAAAGTGAAAATCATGTAAATCATTTAAAATGAACACTGTAAAATACGGGTGGTATAAAATTAACTATAGTCCTGTATGTTGCAATTTCCAAAAGTGAAAAAGACTGTTCGACAGATTTAATAACGTTCTTTTTCAATTAGCCTTTTCCCAGATGCCCATGATTATAAATGAAGTTGCCGCCTGTCGATTATTATAATTTAATAAATCATGTTTCCAATAACCTAGCCGAACATTTAGTATAACGCTTAATAATAATTAAATCTGAGCTATCACATAACACATTTACATGTTTTTCTAAAATAAAATAACAATATACTAATAAAAACAATGGTGAAAAAATGTATTGAACTACAGTTAATTATTGTCGTAATACCACATAATTTGCATTATTTACGTTAAACACCTACGTCTATATCTTTAAGACGTACGAAGGAGACTACATGCAAGACGTACAAATAGGAACTCGTTAAGCTTAGTTTAACGTGAATGGTTTAAAATGTATACAATTTCGAAAGAGCCTCCAACAACTTCACCGTTTAGGAGTTCATGTATTCGGCGTACTGTTCTAACGGCGGTCTTCTGATTTCGGCGGTTATGTTGACGGGCGGCACGTGCAAGAACGGGTCGGCCGAACTGGGCGCGAGACTTTCTAGGTAGGTTTTCGGACACAGAGTAGCGCCGGGAGTGACCTTGATTTCCGGTCTAGCTTTCGGAGTGATAGTACATTCCCGGACGCCAACCGTCACTTGGTCGACCGTCTGCTGGTCGACGTACGCAGCGACCCTCTCGGGTTCTCTAGCTACTCTGGCGGTCATGGTGTCGTTTGTATTGGTGTCCGTCGAAGGTGAGTCGATCGCGGCACAGTGTGCTGACACGGGTGTGTTGCAGCGGCGGACGGCTGTAGACGCTTTCTGCAATTCCTTCTTGATGTTATCGAGGACCCGAACCACTGTAGCTGGTCGGTCGTAGGGCAGTTTGACTACGGGATAAACTGGTCTGGGCATCAAACGACGGCGGCAGACCAGCGAAAGTGGCTGCTGCCGGTGTCGGTGAGAAGACGAAGGGAGACGCGGCAACGGCGGCGTCGGTGTGGCCGCAAAGTTGGCGTGCTCGCGGGGTTGCTGGTAGCGATATTGACGGCGGCGGTAGCGAAGACGATTGAAATTGCTCGACTCGGCGGTTACTGCGTCTTCATCCGAGTGATTATTGATATCGTACTGCGGTCGGCGGTCGGTTGACTGTTTGTTTATCCGGCGACGATGATCAACGTCATTAGCTGCCGCCGTTGTGTGGACCGCAGACGATTCGTGCGCAAAACGTACTGAAGTGGCCCACGCCGTTGTCGGCAGCGCAGCTATACACGATTTTCGGCCAAATGACGTCGCGCTGTCAGACTATTACGCACGAACGACGGCCGGCTCAATGCCGACTAATCTGGTGTGGGAACAGCGGGAAAATACCGCCGGGTTTCCTGAGCGCGAATGACGTCTAGTCTACATAAACTATAGTCTATACCTATTACCTACCGCTTTAATTTAGGCACGGCCGGGACACGAACATACGTAGTTTTAAGCGTGTGCCGCCAGTGCCTTCTTGACGTTAAACATAATAATTATATTATTATTATTATCATCATAAAAATCGAGAATTTTATTACTTGTTAAAAATTGTACAACCGCGATGAGACAGAACGGAAATTAAATATCTTGTTCGAATGTTCGTAGTTCCTAGTAGGTAATTAGTAATTACTATGGCGAGTTATAATGTGTTTGTTAGCAAGTCAATCTTGAACACTTTAGCAACGTGCTATGTTTTTAAAAATACGAAATGTTAAATGTCTATGAAATATTGAAATCGTGAAATTGCATCAACAATTTGTTTTCATTATACCTACAGATAATTGATCTGAATGCTAACAGTGACTATGATAATTAATAGGTATTTCGAAGTGTTTATGGAATGTATTTTCTTCGTCGAATCTGGTGTACAAAAATATTTGAAGGTAATAAATAAATTGAGTGGGTGTTACTATAAAATACTATCTATCATCATCTAGTAGTACAGCCCTTAGCCTATTATGAATAAGTCATTATCGATAAAATATCTAAAATTCTTGATAGCGATAAAACTATTTTTTAAACAAGTATTAAAACCTAAAAACTAAACCAATATCCATAAAACACCAATCCACATTTATAATTGTATATATCTTCGTCACTTGAAATTTTTTTTTATATTTAATTTTGTTTTGGCTCATTTATTATAATAATCTAATGTCTGGTCATACAGTGCTATATTAGTAAAAAAGAAATTATTTATTTATAAGTTATTAAAAATGTATAAATCCACCACGTCATAACCTCATACCCATTAACCTATATAC